ACAAAGATGGTGGATGGGTCGAGCCCCGAGGAGCAAGACGGAAGGAAAGAAGGCGAGGTGGGCAACTGGTACCGAAAATCCGATACCATAGGCAGAACAGGAGATGGAACTTGCCGTGCCCGCCTTTCTGACCTGGCAGATATAGAGAGACCCAAGAGCGTGCCAGAGAACCAATAACGAACCACCAGCTGCTGCTGAAGATCGCTGGGCTGGCATGCCATGTGTCGATCCCGTGGAGCTATCCCACTTGCGATGTCTAGTGCCCACTATGGTTGATTGACAATACTCAAAATGGTTTGTGTGCCCTGACCTTGGCTGCTTGGGCTATGTGGTGTTGGTCTCGCCTTGTGGAACGAGTCCTCTCCTCTGCGCATGGTGTTGGGCATCAGGATAAGAGAGCCAACTGAGCGCGATGGAGAGGGTGAGGGTGAGCGGCGGTACATGTCGGTGTGAGATGAGATATGATTTCATAGAGGAGTACGCCTGATAGGAGAAAGAGGAGAAGGGAGAAAGCGACAGATCGGATCGACCATAGCACAGCACAAGACAGCACAACACATATACTTACAGTACTACCATAGTAACGTAGGTGTATTGTGCGTGTCCGTGTGCACTGTAAATATGGAACCGTTCCTCTTTACCCGCGAGTCGGCAAGGTCCCACACAGCTGCGCTGGGCCCTAGAGAACCAGGCGCGGTCCGCGAAATATAGGCTCCACTCCGGGTGGTCAAGGGCGTACGAGTACCATCGTGCCATACCATGTAAGTATCCTGACCGCAGCCCTAGGACCACTGTACACGTAAGTATCCGTCGTGCTAGTAGAGAAGATCTTCTCATGGGTTGACGTATTTTCTAGAGGGTTTACAAGGAAGCCAATGAAGAAAATTGGTCGATCGACCTTGACCCGTCAACGCATATTGATTGGCATGGGCATGGCATGGCATGAGCATACATGCTCTGTGTATTATAGCATTAGGGCCTGGGCGATTTTCTGGAAATAATCAAAGACTGTGTGCCTCTAAATAAAGTGTGGTTCCTTCTATCCCCTGTTTTTTCTTTCTTTTTTTCTTCGACCGCTCAATCTTGGAAGCACCGGAAGAGGCACGGGCCAGGCCAGGCAGCATCCCTCCTGGTGTACCAGATAGATACGCTCTCGTACGACCTGGCGGGATGGGTTTCTTTCTTCCTTCGTTTCTTTTGGAGAAAGCCGTGAGTCGTACATGGCAGTGTTCTAGCAGGGAACACATACTAGAGTAGACGTTTCCACACCTCCAGTCCATCAAGGATGTACTAACTGTATTCTTACTGTATTGTATTATGGCAGTACTATGTAGAAGGGGAGGAACCTGGTTACTATGATCACAGCAATGGGATCGGGAGGGGCAAGAGGAGCCGTCTGATCTGATCGTCGCAGATCCTATTATTAAACCCTAGGTCGCATCTGGCCGCAATTCGCATGCATGTCCAGCGCATTACGAGAAATCTCGGGGCTGGATCGACAGAAAGTGCGTTGCAGTGTGCTGAAGACGTAGACTCTTCATCACGCACGCGGCATCCCCGGCAGGATGTGACGTATACCCCCTGATCATTTTTTCTTCTTCTTTCTTTCTCTTTGGTGGGCGATAACCGTTTCTCCGCCCCTTCTGTATCGGTGAACAGAAAGTTAGTTCTTCGGGCCCAGCAGCCGGAGCACCCTGACAAGCCCTAGCAATACTATACTATCACTACTTCACGACCCCCCACCTCCCAAATCCACACGAGACTTGTGTAGCTGCTGTTCTTGTGGGGACTTGCAGAATGGGTCTGCTGGGCCTTTGCTGGGCCACTCGAGGCCACGCAATGAATCAAGAATACCCAGGATGCAGTACTTGCATTTTGTACTGTAGTCCCACTATGCTCACATGTACTGTAGCCGATGCCAGACACATGCAGCCCGATGTCCAACTTCGTGTGCTGGTGGACTCTAGGATCCACTGTGTCTCCCTGCCACCCTTGTCATGCCTCCTGTCTTCATCTTTCTTGTAGCTTTTTGCTGCTCCGCCAGCCCTGCAGGCCTTGTTGAGCTTGATTGATATCTCTGCTGGAGAGTGAGTGTCGGTCTCCAGTTTCAATTACCTCTGATATCCTCTCATTTATTGTTTCTTGTATCTGCTCTCCTGCTCTGGCGTACTTTTGAATACTCCCGCCAGCAGCAGCAGCAGGCGTGAAAAGAAAGAAGAAAGAAATAAAAGAAGAAAGACAATCAGGATTGGGAAGGCAGAAGACTTCCTCCTGTGGCTAAAATTATCCATCCCGCCACTGCCTCTAGGAGGGAGCAGCACCACCATTTCTACAGTGTTTATTACAGTCAATCTAATGTTGGAGTCTTGATTCTCTTGATTCGATTTTTCCCTTTCTTGGCCGAGTTTTTAGCCCTGGACTGGGCTTGGCTCTAATAAGTAATTCTGCCATCTATTTCCTCCCACCCACCCACCCAAACACCAGAACCCCAAGAACAGAGTTAGCCCCCCCTCCCCTCCCCAATCTAGCCAATGCGGAGGCTCCAGAACTCGACCACCTTAACCTACCTCCATCGACGCGACTACCTTCCCTCATACACTAGCCATACTACCATCCCACCCCCTTCCAGCATTTTCTCACTTTGTCAACCCCTGGTCGTTTCTGTTCCTTCGTTAACCTCTTGGACCCAGATCTGCAACGCGGTGTTTTTCAAATTGTGTTTTGTTCAGCAGCAAGACACTCGCGCATCTGCATCATATCTGTCTGTGACATACTATACCTGCCTGCTGCTGGCCCTAGCCCACAGGTTCAAGGTTTAGCATACCCCTTTCTTACCAATCAACGACGACATCATCGACCCCCACCCTCACAAGGTCCCATCAATCGTCAAGATCTCCCTTCATTCCAGCTGCTTGGCATCGAAAGGACCAGACCAGCTGCAGCTTGACTTGGAAGTAGTGGCACGCGAGCACACTCACACCCACCCAACTAGAGCACTAGGATTCAAGCACTGTCAACGCACACACACCAGAAACACCACCCACCAGAGGCTTCAGCAGGCAACATACAGTGGTCACCCTTCTTCTGTACGACTACCCAGCACTGCTTGCTGGCTGCACTCATATGCAGTCACAGCCATAATTCTCAGATCCCTCTTTACCAGTATTCAGTATCATCCTCCATCAGCCATCATTAACTTTGGACTCTTTTTCTTCCCCCCCCCCCCCTTTTGACGTCGTTCATTAAATTTTGGCTACGCCTGTCAGGCCTTGGGTACCACTTGTGGCTGTCGACGCCCCAGTCTGATCCTACCTGCAAGGTGGTTTTCTTGTCTGCATCATTTTATCTTGACGTTGAATACATCTTTATTCCAGACGGAAAGGGGACAAAAAAAAAATATCATCCACCATTAAAGAAAAAAGGAAAAAAAAAAACACCTGAAGGTCAGTTAAAACTCGCAACAACGCGGCACTCTTCCTGGCACTTCCTAGCCCCTCCGCTGGGGCCGCTGAATCTTTCAGCACCGCCCCCCCCCTTAGCACCCTATCAGCACCCATGCTCCGCGCTACCTGGCTTGGGTTCGGATGCGACTTGGTCAGGGCAGAAAACCCAAATCTTGTCAGCGCCGGCCATCCCAGTCCAGCAGCCCCTGCGAGCCTAAAGCCTGTGTACTACCGTTTCCGCCCCCCTGTCCGCCCGCCCCCCAAAGGTCTTGCTTGGTTCCTGGGTGTCTGAGCGTACCGCAATTCCACCCTGATCCTCAACCTCACTCCTTACATTTCTGTTTTTGCTGCTCGACCTTTTCCACCCCTCCTCTTCATCTCCATCTATCGCATCGTTCAGCGACCTTTTCCGTCGACCTAACAGCAGGCTCGACATAATTCCATCCTGCTAACCTCTCCCAGGCGCTTTCCATTGCGCTCGTCGCTCGTTAAAACCGTCCCTCCGCATCCGTAATCCGGTGCGACTCTTTCTACTGCCTCTAGTGCACGGTCGCTGCTCTAGAGTGCCACGATCCCTTCCTATTTGACGCCACGACCTCCTCATAGCTGGTCCGCAACATATTTCCCCCTCCCATATTCTTGTCTGCACCACCTACAACCGTGTGTCGAATGGGACCTGCTTCCTCCGAGACAGCCTCTTCGCAGTCCTCGCCTGCTGCTCAGCCCTAATACTCGTCTCCGACCGGCACCGGAACCCGGACACCCCATAGACTGATTGGTCTGGAACAAGAAGGGACAAGCAAGAGGAGAGGAGGACGACTGAGAAGGAAGAGTGAGAGAAAGAGAAAGGAGAAAGGAGAAAAGAAAAACGCACAGGGTACAAGGTGCATAACAGGGGATTCAGGCCAGTCAGAATCTCAGGCTTGCTCGACAAACCAGAAATTGGCAGAACCGATCTTCATAGAGCGGACCGGTCACAATAAGGTATTGATCAGCCACACACAGCAAGGGAGTCTAAGCGCAGGCACTCTCAAGTTGAGCCGTGGCACCGGGCCACAGCCGCAGCGGCCGATCCACCAGACGTTGCCAATCGCGAGAGCTGCATACCTGCACCTGCATTGGTTCAGGTTGCCCGTCCTCCTGCACAACCGCCGTCTCAACTCCTTCGCCCAGCCGCCTGGCTACTCCCACTAGGGCGCTATCATGGCTCCCACAGCACCCCGTCTGAAGATCCTATCAGGTATGTGGCAAAACGATGTAATGTCGTCTTACATTGTGCGATCTTTTTAGTCTCCCTACTCTATATCTACTTAGGTCCTCCTCCTCCCATCTCCCCCCCCCCCCCCCGAAAAGAAAGTGCGACTGCATTCTTCGGGATGTTTGGGGAAGAGTGTCTTTCTTTGAATTCTTGAACCCACCCCCCCCCCTTTTTATTTCCCGCCTAGGCCCACGCCTCTGTCCTCCCTGATTTCCATTCCAACACAACACGCTCGTTTTCTGCTACTTCCTATCCTATGATGTGGTGCACATACACCACCTGTCGCTAATCGCTTCAACATGGCCGACCTGGAGCTAATGAATATTCTTGTAGTGGGTGGGAACGCTGTCTCGGCTTTCCTGTCGTGGAGGCTACAGGCAACCAATGCCTGTGATGTGACTCTTGTTTGGAAGTCCGGCTACGAGCATGTCGCACAATATGGCATCTCCTTCAAGTAAGTTGGACCACGCGCTGGACGCCGGACACGTCGCGCCTCGCGATGCTAAACCATACTTTCTACTATTAGGTCCGCAGTTTTTGGCAACGAGCGATTTAAACCCCGTCGAGGTAAGGGACAAAACCACGCGCACACGCGCACGCGCGCACGCGCGTCTTGATCCGGAGTTGCGAAGGGACGTACAGCTGCTGACGGACGTTGCACACATACAGTGGTCAGATCACCAGAAGAGGCATTAAGCCGTAAAGAAGGATCCTTCGATTATGTTGTTCTCTGCGTAAAAGCTCTGCCCGACATATACGACCTGGCCTCCGTCATCGATTCCGTTGTTGTTCCTAATCACACCTGCATCCTGATCAATACCACCAACACGATCGGTCTTGAGGCAGCCATCGAGGAGAGATACCCGACAAATGTTGTCCTGTCTCTCGTGGCCGGTGCTGATCTGGCGCAACTCGGCCAGAGTGAGTTCGAACACAAGGGGTCGACCGAACTGTGGGTTGGACCGGCCAAGAGGAACTCCACCATTCCGGCGACGATACAGGACGACATGGCCTCAGCTCTTGCTATCACGCTCAGCTCTGGCCAGGTCGACGCCAAGGTGTCACCCAACATCCGGCAGCACCAATATGAACGTGTCATAGGGTGAGTTCCGAATTTTCCTATGCTGGCTTTCCTCCCGCCCCTCTGTATTAACGAAATCTCCGCAGTCCCATTGCCTTTCATCCCGCCAGCGTTATATTCGAGACGGCAAACTACTCGGAGCTGCTCGCGAAGCCTGCAGTGAAAACCCTCGTGTCTGGCGTAATTGATGAGCTGCTGGAGTTAGCTGCCGCGCAAGGCTGCAATTTTGACACAGGCTACAAGGAAAAGGTTATGGACGAGATGACGAGGCAGGCTGGCACGGAGAGCGTCATGTGGCAAGACTTCCAGTCTAGGAGACCCATGGAGGTCGAGTCCTTCCTCGGCTCGCCCGTGAAGCTCGCGCAAGAAGCCAACGTCAGCCTGCCCCGTATCGAGACGCTGTACGCCATGCTCCACCACCTGAATGTCGTCAACCGGAACAGGCCGAGGATAGACGTTACTGCTGCGGCAGCAGGGCCTCCACCGCCGTCCAGCTCACCAACGTCGATGGCCATGCCGTCTCCCGCAGCCCGCATGTCCATGTCACAGGCTCCTCGCCCTATGCCGCCCAATGGTATGCCCAACGGAAACGGAATGCCGCGACGACCCAGGGGTCCCTCACAGATGGGACCCCCTCTTGGAATGCGCCGTCCTTCATCCAACACCGGCCCGCAGCCGAACGGCTATGGTCGCCCTCCGATGAACGGCATCCAGAATGGATCCCATACCCGTCAGCAGCCGTCCAGACGAGGCTCGATAGACGAAGGTTTGCAGGAGGAGTTCGGCCACCTGGGCTTCTACGACGATGAGATACCCGAGGGCGGCGAGCCCATCACCCCCGACCAGCTGGCGATCAGGGAGCGCGAGCTTCAGTTACGACAGCGCGACCTGGCACTGCGGGACCAGGAGATGAGGATGAGAGGCCCCCCGGGAAGAGGCATGATGGGACCGCCACCACCCGGAATGAGGCGTGGGCCGCCCCCTCCCAGAGGCCCTGTCTACGATGATGACGACGACGAGGACTATTTTGATCCCAACCTTGGACCGCCTGTGCCTATGATCGACCCAGACAACTTTGACATGATGAGTGTCACGTCCAGGAAAAATCGGCACACACCAAAGCCTTCGGCTTCGCAATTTCGCAAGAACCCAGAAGCCGACTCGATGCCAGGCAGGTCCAGCCGCTTTAGGCCCAACTTCGCCAGTCGCAACCGCTCGAGCCAGATGGGTACCCAAACCCCTAATCTTGGCAGCAACATTCTAGATGACCCGATGATGAAGTTCACCGACAACAGATACGGCCATGTTGACCGAAGTGCAATGCAGGCGGAATCGCGAGCGAACTCCATGACCTCGCAGGCGGGCAACTGGCAGAACGGGTTGAACGGACCGCCGAACGGGCCGCCGAACGGAATGTTCCAGCGGAGGGCGAGCCAATCACCAGGTTATGCTCCGTCTATGAGAGGAGGAAATGGCCGGCCGTCCCCGCCCAACGGATATGGGCCACCAGGCATGAACGGACGACCGTCGCCACCCAACGGTGTCCGCCAGCCTGTGCCCCAGTATCCACCAGGGCATGGCAACGCAGTCGCGCCACAACAAGTTGAACAGCACGCTGGGGTGAGCAACCTTCATCCGCCCTCCAAGGGCCAAAATGTCCCAAGTCTGACCGGAAGTGCGAGCGCCAGCGCGGGCAGTGGTGAATCCACTAATCTCGATACACCATCTGCGCACAGCAGCCAGAGCAGCCTCGGGGCTCGCCCCTCCATCGCGGCACGTTAGGAGCGTCGCATTCCTGGGTTTGGCCTGCTCAGCAGGCTTGTACCAAAGCGGCTGCGGTATCTGAGCTTCCAATCCCTGCGAAGCTCAACTGCTCGGTCGTCGTACCACCCAGAGGGCAGTGTGTGCTGATCTCTCTGCCCAAAGCGGTCTGTTTACCACACACAAGGCCTAGCTATTCTCCCTTTGAGGACGTCCTTGATCGAAACTCGATCAATGAGCACGCACACACGCACACCCACTCTTGAGCATCGCGAAAACTTTTACTACTTTGTGCGAGTTGTGACGCAAACGCTACCCTGGAATACTCGGATTTACGAACACATGGCGTGCATACGACAATTAGAAGGCGTTGAGGGAAGGAAAGGGAAAGTCTCATCAGTCCTTGGTTAACATCAGTTGGCCGTCATGACTTCCTCGAAATCGTGAAACAACAAAACCGAAAAAGAAAGAAAAAAAAAAAGAAGAAAAGACAACGACCGTACAAATCCGACCAAACATAATTTTAGTGACGGAACCACTTGGGGCGAGAGCACCACGTGGCCTCATGCTCAAGGTACATAGGGTATTTTGGCACGGCACGGCCAGGAGAAGAAAGCATATCGCGGTATACTTGATCCTATTTCTGTTAATACTCCCCGCACCGCATTTCCATTCTGCGATCCGCTTTCGATGTGTCTGGTATCGCCACATCTTGTCCGACAGACCGACCGGTTATCCACACACACAGACACACAAACACAAAACACACACACACACACACACACAAAAGTTGTGGAAGAGGAAAGCGGGACAGCCAGAGCAGAGGCATTTGCATTTCATCAGCCATTGCGTATGTTGTTAATGGAAGCATGGTTCGGTTCGGAAGACAGTCAAGGGGCCAGGGATAGGTACGGAGGAAGAGGGAGGTGGTGGCATTATTGGGCTGTGGAGGGATCCGACGCATGACATGGTGGGGAATTGAAGGGAGGCGGTCTTGAAGAAGTCGACGAACAGACCGGTGGACGGGAGGACTCATCCGCTATTGTCAGGAGTAAGGGGGATGGGTTGGGATATAATCTGCTGTATAAAACACACAAATCGTGGTCGAACCGTCACCACATTTTCCTTTCGTTCACACACGCACATCCACACCGGCCAAAAGTATTTGTACCATTCCTTAGCGTCTCTTTTGTTTCTTATATGAAAAGGTCGTAATCGACAACTTTGATGGCAGCCCGCGCTGTGTGTTTTGAGAGAATAACTTTGTTTTCTGTTATGTGTCTATCTGAACGAAGGCTCATGAGCATTTTATGTAATAGCAAATGAGGGGGAGGCGAAAGGGGACAAATGACCGGAGAGTAAAAGAAGGGTGTTTTGTTTACTTGAACTTTCTTCTTTCTCAGTTTCGTCAGTACTTCTTATTGTATTTAATTTGCTTGCATGCCTGAGCACGCTCTTTGGCTGCGTAATAGATCCAGGGTCTTGCTATATGAAGTAGTCAAGATGGGGGTGGGGGAGGATGGTCAAAGGTGTAGGGGTGTGTTTTATTGGTAGGAAATATCTACAGATCGGCATTGGTGGCTGTCGTTGATGTTTTGTTAGGTTGCCTCTCTCACCTCTTCTTATCATCGAAGAGATAAAAAGAGGAAATCGACATCAGGATGTTATAAACAGGAACATAGAATCAATTATTGCAATCAAATTTCCTGTCTTCTTCCTGGGTGCTGGACATGATCCCGTCATCTGGTGACTGGAGAGGTTCGAGATTCCATCATTCGGTATAATACCCGCCAGATGTTGCCGGCTGGCGACGGCTGGTACCTCCCGACAGCGACTCTTCCGGGGACCTCCTGCCCCCCCCCCCCCATTCCATGAACCGCGGTCGCGTCTCAAAAGGTCAACAATAGCAATATCAACATCAACAACACGCCCCGTCCATCCAGCAACATTTCCTTGTCCGGACCCCATCATCGATCCGAGGTCTTATTTTCCACAGCATTCATTAATCAAAGAAGGACCCCTGGAGGTTTGGGCTCGGCCTCGTGGTTTTCGCCCGTCATGAATAACAACACGCAGCGGCAATCTATGGCAACCTCGGGCAGCGCGGTTAAGCAGAGGCAGCTGGTATGTGTCATGTTCGCAGTGATGTCATTTTCCTTGTTTGCTTGCGTCCTTTTGATGGAAAGTTTCTTTCTTTACAATTATCATTTATCGCAAGAATACAGTTCAGCTAGCTAACCACCGAGCTACTACCTCTTTTCTCTCACCACAGACGCAGCTGCACTCTCAGCTGGCCCAGCTGTCCGCCAATCTCGCGGACACCGAGAACCTGCTGCGCATGACCAGCGTCCAGGCTGAGTGTATGCGCGGTCTGGGAAGTTGGCATGGTGGACTGTGAGTCTCCTTCCTCAACAGGGTCTTCGTCCCCCTTTACTGAGTTGTTTTAAAGGCTGACTGTTTAACATTCTGCAGGTTCATGGCTGCCAGTAAGGTGCTGGGCGAAGATTCCGTGAAAGAGCAGGCTCAGCAGAAGTGAACCAAAATGTGACGGGAGCACCCATCTTCTTTCATCTCCGCCATGGATCATTTGGCGCCTAGTCTTGGAGAGCATATCTACCACTCTGCAGAACATTGATCCCTGGACGAGCACTGCTAGCCTCTTTCCCAGGTAGAGAGCTGCAGGGCGAAGCCATGATTCACGGTAGATTTCAAAGCATACCCCCGGTCGTCATGTTCCGCTCTGCTGCTGTGACTTTGTCGCGGCAGCGCGGTTAGGCCGCCTCTTCTGTTTCTCGGCGTGGACGGGGAAGCGTTTTTCACCACCACATGTGTAGCACTTGACCACGAGCACATCCGCCCAGGGTTTCCTGCCGCCCTTGCTCCTGTTCTCGACGGCAGAGGAGGATGTCTGGCCGTCCACAAGGAGCGAATCGCAGTATTTGCAGATGGAGCGCTTTATGTCCGGGCTGATGCGGACCTGGGACTTGAGGGTGACGTTGCGCAGGTCAGTGAGCAGCTGGCGTGATAGCTTCTGGGGTGTGGCTGGGTCTTGTGTCGCTAGGCCACCAGCATCATCACCACCAGCCGGGCCGTTATTCTCGGACGAATGGGTCTTCTGACTGCTGCTTGCGTGTGGGGTTTCTTTTTGGCCGGCCTCTGTTAGATATGTTGCTGCTTGGTACAGGAATGAGATGCGAGAATATATGTGCCGGTTTGACACGCCAGTCTTTTTTGTTTTTGCCATGGTATTCGTGTGTATGTGTGTGTGTATCTGTCGGTGAGAGTGAAACAAGTTTGTAATTGTGACTCCTCAGCGTTGAGCATTTTTGAGTCACGAGGGTGATACTGGGATGTGAAGGGGAAAATTCGAGGCTGTCGTGCGATTTCTCAAAGATGACTACCGGTCGAAGCCATTTGTCCAGGCTCTCTTCACTGTCCCCCAATCAGCCCTGCACAAGGGCTCCCCGCAAGAGCCTGGCACTTGGTCTGTGCTTAATCGCATCTACTCCTGAAAAAGTGGGATGGGATGCCGAATAAGGACTAGCCGGAGTGGCCTCAAAGGCAGCGAGCAAGGCGACGCAAGGGGGGCACCCGACGGTGCGCGCTCCCTCCCTGCCCCCACCCTGATGCCTCTGGCCCCCTGCCACTGTTTGCTGCTGTGGCACCTGCTCCCTGCTCCTGCTACCAAAGTACAGCCTTTTGACCTCACCTTTTCTCCCTCCACAATTTTCCTACCTTTTCCCTCTCAACTATCCATCTCTCTCTTTCTCTCTTTCTCTCTCTATCCCCTTCTCTCGACCAACTCCCATTTTCTCGTAGACCAACGAATCCCCCCCCAGCCACCAACGATTCGCTGCCTCTACGCATCGCTTTTTCCTTCTCTGCGGAGCTCATTTTGCGCTCCTTCTTCCTCTTTGTTTCCCAGCCTCACGACCCAGATTGGCCACGCGCCTACTTTCCGGGCCTGCTCATACTCGTCCCTCGATTCCACTCGATCGATAACCAATAACAGCCATCATGTCTGCCGAGGAGGATCTCATCGACTACTCCGACGAGGAGCTGGAAACCCAGAAGACCGCCGCCCCCGCCAATGGCAAGAAGGCTGAGGCCACCGCCGCCGCCGGCGACAGTGTCGACAAGAAGGGTTCCTACGTCGGCATCCACTCCACTGGTTTCCGCGACTTCCTGCTCAAGCCTGAGCTGATCCGCGCCATCACCGACTGTGGCTTCGAGCATCCTTCGGAGGGTCAGTCCTGATACCAAACTCTGACTCCATCATTGCAGCCTATTGTTACACTCAATTGCCATACCCCCTCCCGCGTGCCACACTCAAGGGTCCGTCCATCTCGTCGCAAGCAAGCAAAGAAAGAGAAAGAAAGAAAGAAAAAAACAAAGAGAAGACAAAGCATAGCAACTTGGGTCCAAATGTCAAGACAATGATTTCCCATCGTTGGAGATGGATGCTGGTGGCAGCCCATGGCGTGAAAGAAGAAGAAAAATAGACAAAAGGGAGTCTTTGCCGTTATTTCCCTTGGGAGAGAAGTCGACAGCCCAGGCACACGCAACCAAACTCGGATGGCGGGGGCAAGTTCCTTTCCAGATTGTTGACGCAATTGTCTGCTCTGGACCTCTTCTGGTTCACTGTTTTAGAGAGCGTCATTGGCAGACAACATCGACCAGCTCCACCTGAGCTCGTGCCATCTGGCCTGGTCGCGCCTCTAGGGCCTCTTACAGGGACTGGTTCGGAAAGAGGAGGCAAATGGAAGCGACGCATCTGTCGAGGGGTGCTTCGGAAGCCCTTCTCGCTGGCGCCCAAAGAGGACCTGGCACCCCTCAAACCTTGTCTTGATCGACGGATTTCTTGTATCATGCGCCGCGCTCGCGTTGACGACTTTTTCACGTTCTTTCATCTGGACGAGAAACTTTTTGCTGCGACGATGGGCGGACCTACCGACTCCCTCTCCGTCCTCCTCCGTTTCAAACCTTTCGAGACCATTTTCTAACTTGGGTCCGATCGTGCAGTTCAGCAAACATGCATTCCTCAGGCGCTGCTCGGTGGTGATATCATCTGCCAGGCCAAGTCTGGTCTTGGAAAGACCGCGGTCTTTGTCCTCACCACCCTCCAGCAGGTGGAGCCCGTTGCCGGCGAGTGCTCCGTCCTGGTCATGTGCCACACCCGTGAGCTCGCCTTCCAGATCCGCAACGAGTACAACCGGTTCTCCAAGTACATGCCCGACATCAAGACCGGCGTCTTCTACGGTGGCACGCCCATCCAGAAGGACGCCGAGGTCCTCAAGAACAAGGAGACCCACCCCCACATCATCGTCGGAACCCCTGGTCGCCTCAACGCCCTCGTTCGCGACAAGCACCTGCGCCTGGGCAGCGTCCGCATCTTTGTCCTCGACGAGTGCGACAAGATGCTCGACCAAGTTGGTGAGTTCTCCCCGCGCCTGGGCTTGCATTGCCTTTCCTACTCCTCATTTTCCCTTCCTTCCCCCCTCTAGCACATTACTAACTTCTCGAGACAGACATGCGTCGCGACGTCCAGGAGATCTTCCGTGCGACCCCACAGCAGAAGCAGGTCATGATGTTCAGCGCTACCCTGTCCGATACCGTCAAGCCGATCTGCCGCAAGTTCATGCAGAACCCGACGGAGCACTATGTCGACGAGGACACCAAGTTGACGCTGCACGGTCTCCAGCAGTACTACGTCGCCCTGGAGGAGCGTGAGAAGAACCGTAAGCTCAACGAGCTCCTCGACGACCTTCAGTTCAACCAGGTCATCATCTTCGTCAAGAGCACGGTCCGCGCCACCGAGCTGGACAAGCTGCTGAGAGAGTGCAACTTCCCGTCCATCGCCGTCCACTCTGGTGTTAGCCAGGAAGAGCGGTAAGTAGTTTACCCTGCACTGATTTTTTCTTTCTCTTTCTGAGACAGGTGAACGTCGACTGATGGTCTTCCACATCCAGTATCCGCCGGTACAAGGAGTTCAAGGAGTTCAACAAGCGCATCTGCGTTGCCACTGACGTCTTTGGTCGTGGTATCGACATCGAGCGCATCAACCTGGCTATCAACTACGACATGCCTTCTGAGGCCGACTCCTACCTGCATCGTGTCGGTCGTGCTGGTCGTTTCGGTACCAAGGGCCTGGCCATTTCGTTCGTCAGTACTGATGATGACCGCAACGTGCTCGAGGCCATTGGCAAGCGCTTCGAAGTCGCCATCCCGTAAGTTGTTTATGCCTGCCATGATGGCTTTGTACGGAGGGGGAGAGAGAGGCACTAGCTAACACATCTCGGCAGTGAATTCCCCAAGGATGGCATCGAGGCGAGCACCTACATGGCTTCTTAAGAAACCTGTGAGTGCGTCGAGGCAGGTGGATGCTGCGTTGCCTCCTAAGGGCTATAGCAGAGAAAGCCTATTTGCTATCTAGGGCGGCTGGAAAGTTCGGAACACGAAAATGACATTTCAAGTAAAAAGAAAAAAAACAAGAGGGACATTTGGGATTTCGTGCCGGAATAGGTCTTGATGTGGATGGCTTGAATCCCTCCTTTCTAGATTTTGTCCAGCAGAGACAGAAATTAGGAACAAGTTCATGCTTTCCAAACTGACAAGATGCCAAGAAGGGGGGGGGGAGGCAGAGAATCTGCCCTTATGTGATTCTTCTCCCCCTCATGTGATTTTCCTTGTTATCTCGCATCATGATTGTCTATCTCGTTCTTCTTCTCACCACTCGCCTTCGGACAGCCTTTTGACTGATTCAACATGGCTGTTTTCCTATAGCAAGTGGAGTTGGATTTTTCCTCTGAGGATCAGGGGACCTCCTCTACAATTACATTCACTGGCCTGAAAGGAAAGTACGAAGGTAACTGAATGCGAACCGTCCACGTAGGAGGCCTCCACGGCTCGCCAACGGAAAAGAAAGAAAAAAGAAAAGAAAATAGGAAACCCCCCCCCCCCCCTCTCTCTCCCCCCAGGCAAAAAATCACGATCTTTGTCGAAGATGCTGGGTTGAGGAATAATCTAGATGAGGAGGGACTATGTCGGGTCCGTGGGGAAGAAAAAGACAGCTCATCTCACATGTGCCAGCACCACCCGGGAGATCCACTGGCGGCGGGGGCGGGCGGATGGAAAAGCGTTGACCGCCTAAAGAGCCGTTCTACAAAACAGGGTGGTAACGAATGAGTACAGTACTACTTATTGACTGGATACTTGTACATATGGCAATGGTGTTCTGTGTCTGTATTTGTCTTTCTTTCTGTCTTCCCGAAGTACATTAGTTTGTAGCATGGGTGGTGTGAGTTTGCATGTATGAGTTGTCGTTGGGTGAGGAGAAGAATGATGCCCGTTATTTATTAGCGTGTGGAGAGAGAAAGAAAAAGAAAAAGAAGAAAAAACACAATCCTTTGGATGAGAGGCTCTGGACGAGGGTCTGGGAACGAGGAAATGTTGTATACCCTGGTTTCATCGGAGAGATCCACTGACTACAACAATAGATGGACAGATGATGTTGTTGTTCCTCCTCATTGGAGGTCTCCACTCTGAAAGAAAATAGAAACGAATCGAAAGCAAACCAAACCAGGAGTTGGAAGAGAAAGATGGAGGGAGGAAGAGGTAGAGCGAGTGCGAGAGGAACAAGGTCAGCAGGGACTGTCTCGTGCCTTCTTCTCTCTTTACCCTTTTGCCTCTTATCTTATCTGGTGATTTTTTGTAATTTTTTTTTTTGGAACTTGTTTTATTTTTACTTCGTCCTTCCTCTTTCCCTGATCTGCTTACCTTTCGCTCTTCCTTCTACACATACACACTTCTTGAGTCTTCAGAGAGAAGGGCTCTTTGAAGGAAATAAATTAGTTGCTCCTTTTCTTTTGGATGCTATCAACAAGTTGCCTAGTCCCAGTCCCACACTGAGGTTCCCGCGGCAGAGACGACGAGTTTAGAGTACTCCACAGTGACTTCTTATCAGCAACATTGCCTCTCCTCCTTCTTCTCCTCGTCGAGGCTCTCCCTCCTCTTCCTCCTCCTCTTCCTCCTCCTCTTCCTCCTCCTCTTCCTCCTCCAAAAGTAAAAAGGTCTTGCTTGATACCTGACGCGAACACGTCTCGTTCCAAGTCTCGACTTTCTCCTCCTCCTCCTCAACGTCCTCCAACGGCCCCTCATTTGCTGCCGCCACACGCAAGTAAACAAACCTCGTCGAATCCCAAACCATCATCCGCCATCGCTATCCTCCATCCTTTTCACCACCACCCACTTTTCTCTCCTCTTTCTTTTTCTCTCACACGCCTCTACTTTCTCGTCCTTGATTCCCTTTCCTCCTATAAAAAGCAGTAATAATCATAGTCATAATAATTATTAAAAAAGAAAAACGACAAACGAACAGACCATGACGAGCGTGCGACAACCGTCGCCGTCGCCCTCGCAGCTCCCGCCCGTGCCCGCGTCGCCTACCTACTCATACGCCAGCACTGCCGTACTTCCCTCCTCCGCCTCTATCGCGACAACAACTGGCCACAACCTCCCCAGCAACATGTCCACCTACACCCTCCCCTTACCGCCGCCGCCTCCACCTCCCGCTGCAGCCCACGCCTTCCTCACCAAGTCCGACCTCGCCTCCTCCCAGTCCGCCTACGCCGACCTCCTCTCCACTGCCAAGGCCTACCGCCTCGCCCTTGCCTCCCTCTCCTCCGCTGCCTCCGCCTTTGGCTCCGCTCTCGAGTCCTGCGCCCGCCTGAAGGAGGCCCGCGCCGACTGCGTGTCTCTCCTGGGCGGCAGCGGCGGCGGCGGCGGCCACACCGCACCCAGCAGTGGCGGTGCAGGCCCTGTCCCCGCCGTCCCCGGCACCGGCAGCAGTGCCTGCACAGCCGACAGTCTCCTCGCCGCGGCAGGCGTGCACCACCTCGTTGCGAACCACGAGCAGATCCTCTCCGAGACCGTCTACCGCTCCTTCGAGGTGCCTCTACTGCACGAGCTCGACAAGTGGCGCGGAGGTGTCGAGGACGAAGAGGCCCGGTACCTTGCCGCCGTCCGCCGCCAGAGCGCCGACGTGCGCCGTCTCGAGCGCGAGGGCGTCCGCCTGCACCGCCAGCGCGGGCCTCGCGACGTCGCCCGCTTCCGTGCCCACCTCGTCGAGCTGACGGCGCGCCTCGACGGGCTCACGGCCCTGCGTGCCGAACACGCTGCCTCCCTGCTGCGCGAGAGCCAGGATACCAGCGTCAAGATCCTCGAGGCCAGCTGCAGCCTGGTGCGCGCCGAGGTCGATATCTTCGAGAGCCTCGCGCGCAAAGGATGGAGCGGCGGCGGGCTGGATGATATCCTGGAGAGGGGCACCGACCTGTTTGCAGCCGAAGAAGGGACCAGTGTTGTGGGGAGCGGCATCGGTATGGGCAGTGGTGGCAGCGGCGGTACCGGGGCCGACGAGGCGGGCGCAAAGCTGTTCAGCATCCTCCCGCCCAAGAGCATCCTCGCCGACGCGGCGTCCGAGACGGGTGTGCTGCTCCTCCACCACCATGGCGGCGGCACTACTACTGCAACGGACCGTGGGCGCGGCCACCAGCGCGCCGACAGCCTCGGTGTTGTGTCGGAGCCGTATCAGAGCCTGGCCGGCGCCGTGGTGACGTCGTCGACCAGCCCTGAGCGCAGAGGGCGCCGGGACCTCGAGGACGCCGCGAGTATCTTTAGTGCCGACTTCAGCCCCTCCACTACCACCGCGCCACGTCCGCGCATGACGAGGCCTTTCTCGCCTAAACCTGTACGGGTGCGGACGGAGGATGTCTTGGGCGAGGAAGAAGACGAAGAAAAACAAGGAAACAGGCAGCGTGACGACAACAACGACGACGACAACGACAATGATGAGAGTGAGAGTGATGATGAGGATGGGCCCATGTCGCCTGAGACGATACGAGATGGCGAAGGAGGGGGAGGGCGTGGGGATCTGGCGCTCTCTTTGGCGGATGATGAGCATCCTTGGGACGACGAGGGGAAGAGGATGTCGACTGCCGGGTCGGATCCTGATGAGAGGGAGCGGAGGTGGAACACGAGTGAATGAGGGATGAAGTAATAACGGAAAGAAAAGGAGAAGGGAAAAAGGGAACACGAAAGGCGTACACGCACAGAAGCGAACAGTCAATCACTCTGTCAGTCAGTCACTGTCCTTTGTTATCATCCATCAGCTAGGCGTCACGGTTGGGTATAGAGCATCTACCATTTCTGACTTGGGAGGAGGTCTTTTGGTCCATCATCAAATTGTAAATTGGCCGTCTGTTTTGAATGTTCGACGGAATTGTATCTTGGGTTTCTCCTTACTCTTTGCACTCTTGAAATTCTTTGTTCGCGCGTCTCCCAACGCCATTGCTCAGGGCGAAGAAGAAAATAAAATAAAAACCTTAGGGAAGAAGACAAAACCAGAAGAGGGCCTATCCTTGAACTCCCATCCCATGCCAAATGTGAAGTTGCTGCTTGCGTTCGTGAGGCATCCGAAACGGACCCTTCATGTCGTGACAAAATGTCTGCTAATCCCCAATCCTCAAATTCCCAGCCAGGCACACCATCAAGGTCACCACCATTTCCCTCAATCCTCCTTGTCCGCGCTGCAGATATCGCCCGAGAACAGCCGGAAGTAGAGGTCCAGCCAGCAGATCAGCTTCCAGTACAGGCTGGCGGTGGCCCAGTCAAATTCGCCCTCGGCCGTCCGTGGCACCTCGCTCCCGATCATTGCCCCGCTGAACCATTTGAGAAAGGGAATCTGAGCCAGCACACGTGATGAGAAGGACGGCTGTGGCAGCAGGGCTTGCTCGGCTGGTAGGAGCACCGCCTTCCGCGCCGATGGTATCACCCTGCAATATGTGCTCTGCCCTGCGCTGGAGGAAGAGGAGGCCGCGGCGGCTGCTTCAGGAACGAGAGCGCCGCCGTTCTGGGCATGTTGGGCCCCGATCACGGTCGAGGAAGAGGACGTACCGGTGCCGACGGTACCGCTCTCGACTGTGCGGCTACTGGCGTGTGAGTGTGGTGGTGAGAGCTCGTTCGCGTCGCTGGCTATCACCTTCTCGGGCAGGCCGCCCTCGCCAAAGCTTGACCTGAGCTCTGCCGCCGTCCTGTTTCCTCCAAAGCCCGACCGTCGCCACCCCGCCGGTATCTCGTCGCCCTGCGCAGTGGTCGTCGCGTCGGGTACGGCCTCGTCACGGGTGGGCGACATGCCCTTGTAGTACTCGGCATAGACGAGATGGCCGAGGATGGCCTGTGGGCTGGCGTAGATGGCAGCATCCGCAGCCTGCTGCGACTCGAACGTCACCTTGACCCAATGGTCACCGCTGTCCGCCCGGTTCACCTTGGCGCGCTCCTCGGGCGTCAAAGCGCGCCGGCGGACAAACGCTGGGTCGCGCAGCTCCGACTTGTACCGTCGGATCTCGTAGGGCGGATCGCGTGGGTAATCCTCGCAGATGCGCCCGGCGATGTGCTCGTACCGGTTGATTGCGGCGTACTGCTGGTCAATATCCTTGAAGCCGCGCAGTATGATCTCGGTTGGCACGCTGGGGATGTTAAGCGCGGCCGTGCTGGGATCGGACGTGGGCGTCGTCTCGTCTGTGATATTGCCGGTCGACTGTGCGGACGGGAGGAGCTGGGCTGTGGTAGATTGGCGTCGTTGCTTTTGTGATGCTGACGCGTCTGACGTCTCCTCGGGCTGGAAGCTTTGCTGCTCGAAATAGGCGGCAAAGACCTTTTGCGCCGACTGGATGGTAGGGTCTTCGCGTCTGGCGGGGGTGGCGGTCTTGGATCTCGAACGACGCGTCGACTTGCCAAAAGCGCCCGACTCGGGGACTGCTCGTCGGTTTCGAACGTTGCCCGCGTTGCCTGGGTTGCCATCTTGCCTGGAGTTATTCATGGTCAGTCATCATCAACAGCAGCAGCAGCAACAGCAGCAGAGATGAAAGAGTCTATAGTCTGCAGGATGGGGGAGGGGAGGGAGCGTTGGGGACAACATACTGTGGGTAGATCATGGCATATGGTCTCTGGACACCATCTTCGCCAATGTACAGCTCCTCATCAGGAACATTATGCAAGATTAGAGGGGCCATGCTGCAGTACTAAAGTGTCCAAGGCAATCAACAGACCACAAAGAGTTGAATGCAAGAATGGATGTTGAGGTTAACAGGAACAAGGAAGATTCTTCGTGCAGGGTGATAAAACAAGAGCAAGAAGACAGGCAAGAATGCCTGGTCTGACTGGCAAGAAGAGGTAGGCGAGAAGGTGGAGCTGGTGTTGTCGTCTGTGGATAGACGAGAGTTGCTATGAATGCGAATTGAAAGACTGAAATTCTGAAATTCTGTCGATATGGTCGGAGTGACTTGGCCTGGCTTCCGGCTTTGGCACAGCAACCACTGCAGCGATCCCTGTACTGTACCGTACCCCCCTGCCTCCTGTAGTAGCTAATCCCTGTAGCCTGTCCAGGGCTGTCATTGCCTGTCATTGCTTTGACTGCCTAAAGACCACCCACTAACTAACTACCTTACTTAATCACTTTGGGGAGCCCACTAACCACCCACCCACCTAACTCACCCAGCAGTCAGAAGTGACCGCTCTCTGGCTTACTTGGCCAAGCCCTGTTGACTTACACCAACCATCCTCAACACCAACCACATGTTCCCAACTTTTCATCCAAGACCAGGCCTTGTCAACATACCTGTCTTCCCAGCTGAATCACCCACCACATAAGCTTGTGTTCTCGTCCCATATAATCAGCTGAGATGGACAATGAACCGTCTTATGTGGTGTACATCAGATTACCATTCCCTAGGGGAGACTTTGTGGACCCGCCCCCTGTAAGTCGCACTTGGTTGAGAACGTGGTCTTATACGCAAAGGCATCTTTCATTTGTACTGACTAGCCCCATCTTAGGTGCACTGGGACAGCTCTAAAGATGAAGCATTATGGAAAATCATCTCAGGCGTGGCAAAAACTGAGATTGATTGTACGCCCATTCAGCGTTTCCCCCCTGCTCCATGAGTATTCTGACTGACATCATGCTTCATGTAGGGGCTGACCTGTGAGCATTGCATCTTTTCGACGGGATTTGCCAATAATCGCATTATATACTTGTGCCCATAAGCTCACAAAATATCCAGGGCAGATAGGTTCGAGGTCTCGGTCGATTTCCTTTTCCAACAGGTCACATATCTCCAGGAGCGTCATACCTCGCAGCTCAGGGCCCAGCTGAGGAAGGCCACTGTGGCAGCTAGAAGCTCAGCAGCCCCGTCTCCCGCACCAGGTTCCGAACCCTCCACGGCCATGGCGAGGACACCCTCGGGCCGAGGCGTACCGGTCCACGCAAGAGCTCCTTCGCAACTATCGATCCGGAGGGATACTCCGGTTCCTAGGGCTGATGCGAGTCTGCCGAGCACCCCCAAGGCCGGACCAGCCTCGTCCATTCGATTGCAGACCGTACGAGCCTCGTCATTGGGAACCGCTGCACAGCTTGGAGGAGGACAAGGCGGCGCAGCTGGTTCGTTGAGGCTGAGAGCTGGCACACAGCTGTCCTCGCCTAGGATCCAGTCCGGAAGGCAGTGGCATCCTTCTATGCCTGGCATCGACCCATCGACCCCGGTGAGCGACGTACCGACACCAGTGCCTGCTGCCGGTACATCATCTCCAGGTCCAGCGGATTCAAGCTCTGAAGGTGCCTCATCCGACGAATCCTCCGGTCCTGAACAATCACGAATTATCCGACGGCCCCCACGCTTCCAGCAACAACAGCAGAACGCCAACAGGGACGCCATCAAATCGTCATTCCTCCAAGAGGTGGACGAGGAAGAGGCGGAACCGGCATTTCTCCCTTTTAAAGCCAGATCTTCTGGTGCCGCTCACGAGGGGAGCGGCGATGGAAGCGGGCAATACACAGATCCTGGTGCCACACTGCGAGGTGACCCACGCGACTTTGCTGCTAATGCTGCGCGTCGACTACAGAACGTCACGAGCCCTGACTCGAGCCAGGGCAAAGGCAAAGGCAAGGAGAGGGAGAAGGAGCGCAGATTACATAAATCAGGCACGTCTGATTCCTCCAGCGGCTCTGCAGCCTTTGTGTCCAAGCGCTCGCCTGGCGATCGAAGGCAGCCCTCTGGTCCCCTTTCTCCGCGCCGAACTGTCGAGTTGAAGGGAAAGGGGTTCTCGCGAGAAGGAAGTGAGGGCACGCCCAGCATGGGAAGCAGCTTCAGCGATCTGGACGGTATGGGCCATCTTTTCTTTCCTTGGTTGTCGATGACACTCTTTCCATACATACTCATTTGGTGCTAATTATCTTCGGAGCTCACAGATGCTTCCGTTACCCAATCAGCCCTGGAGGAGGCCCTTGCGAGCAATATGCAGGGTGGCAATACCATTGGAAGCACCATCAGCAATGTGTTCAGCAGGAGCCGATATCTCCCAAAGTGAGACCGACGTACCAAGATTTCCTGTCCCTGTCCTTCTTCTTTGAACTTTTGATATGCGGGAAATGTCAACTTCATCCTTGCGTGGGCTGTTCGCACCGATTTGACCATCGTCCCTAGCTTTTATGCTGATGACTACGATGTCGGCTTTACGCCGCGAAGCAGCCAGTGCTACTGGAGTGCTGATCGAACTTGGGAGCTTTCTTTTTTCATAGGACCGTGTATAGCTCCAAAGATGTTCAAATGCAGCATTTTAACCCTTAAATTAGACAACACCCCTCCAGCTGATTCTAGCTGTTGACAATTAGAGAAGACTAGGCCTCCTCCACCTCATAAAATCAGCAGCACTAGGGTTAATGCGAGATGAAAGTCGAGTTTGGGCCTGTCGTGTGTCTGTGATAGTTGTTCTGACGCAAGGGATTGTCACAGCCCATACCGTGCCATGGCTCGGCTAAACGGATGTTTTCGAGACCGAGACGGTAGAATGGATCAATGCAAGTCTTTCCTTCTTTTTCTTCTCTCTCTCTCTCTCTCTCTCTCTCTCTCTCTCTCTCTCTCTCTCATGCTAACTCGATTTCGAACGAAGATGATCTCTACTTCTCGGTAAGCCTGACATGGGCGAAAATGAACACTGTGCCTGAATCTGTTACAAAGAGCACGGTTTGCTACTAGCTAGTGTCAGGATGATTCGACGGCGTATTCGAACAATGAGGCAGAACCCAAGCTCTCTCACTCAACTTCCCCCTGGACTGTCTCCGAAGCGGTACTGAGCCCAGCCGAAACAACCCTCCTGCATCGTCCACAGCTGCTTCCCAACATCTGGACCAGCAGCCCCAGCAGCGACGTAAACGGGCATCAGGTGATCCATCCAACTAAACAGCGCTGAGGGTTAGCACTCATCCAACCAGGTACGGAGGGATGTAGGTATTATTCCTCTCCTTCATAACTAGCAGAATAGAGAAGAGACAAGGGTGCACCATGAAAGAGAATGAAGAACTTTTCTTTCTTTCTTTCTTCCTTCGCGTTTCCAGAAAGAGGAAAAAGGAGAAAAAAACATACGGGTGTGCCTGCTTGGCGTCCGGGCGACCGCAGACGGCGGCCATTCTCATCTGTCTCTCCTCGACAGGAGCCTCCACGGCCTCCTTCAGCGCATTATCGAACGTGACGGCATACGGCCGCGGCTTCTTCGGGTCGTCGGACACCATCATGCTCCACATATCACGCAGGTTGTGCACTGACATGCCGGCACCGATGATGACAACGCCCTCGTCGCGAAGGCTGGCGACGGCCTGGCCTAGGCGGTAGTGCTGGTCTGGGTCCTCGGAGTGGAATAGGGAGACCTGGACGAGCGGAACGTTGAGGGGGTTCTCGACGGGATCAAAGGCTACGTGGAAGCCGGCCCAGACGCCGTGGTCGAGACCGCGCTTGACGCCCTGCGCCCTGATGCCGGCCGAGGAGAGGAGGTCGATGATGTGACTGGCCAGCTGTGGGTTGCCCTGGTTTGGGTAGGTGGCCTGGTACATGTAACCAGGGAAGCCATAAAAGCTGCATATCTACACAGTCAGCCTCCTCGGACAGTCTTTCTTCCTTTTCGAGAAGAGTGGTCAACCCTGGGTCCTAAATCAAGAAGGGCCGGGACGAACTCGTAGATCAGGTCGGTCATCAGTGCATTGTTGACCTGGATGAGATCAGGTTTGGCCTGCCAGTGGGCGCTGAATACCACCACGGCCTTTGGCTTCACTTTCTGGGTAATTTCCTTGCCAATGTTCTGGAGGACAGGATAGACCTCATGGTCTTTCTCGTACATGACATTCGGCTGACGAGCCACGTTAGTCGGATTTGTAACAAAGGCAACTGGTCATGACAAGAAAAAATAAAATCATACCCCTCCATGGCTAAAGAAATATACTGGCGCCCTGCCTGACATCGTCACGTTTGCACCAGAAGGCGGTGTGTCTGAGATGTGCTTCGACAATGATCGTGCTAATTTCGAGATCTTCCAAAACATGAGATGCTCCGGGACGGGCATGAACGAAGTGTATGAAAAAGCAGCCACTAAGGCGATGACGATGGAGATGATTGCGACAAGAGCCCTAGTAGACACCCGAAAAGCCATTTATGAACACAAAAAGACATGAAATGAAGCCATACTGAGCATGGCTCGACTTACAAATCTAAGCACTGGGCACTGCCCTTTTCAATGAGGATGAGTTGAAGTGCTGAGCTAATCGAGGTCCTCAACTTAGAAATCGTGTTGATGGCTGGATGATCCCTGACCCCTACATGGTGGTTCCCCCACCCTCTGAAAGCCCCTGTCACGGAGTTACGGAGCCCACAGGTCCGAGTTTGCGGCTCTGGGGGCGCGGTGCAGCTTCCGGCGACAGGTCAGAAACCCACTTCGACCGAGAGTTGACAGGGCTCACGTTCACATCCAGCAAGACACTCCAGGTCCGAGAAGAGAAATAGACTTTCCGAAGACCTGTGTGCTCCACTCGAAGCATCGGATCGCGAATAAGGCGCTCGAAATCATCCGATATTAACTGCCGGACCTCGGCCCGTGTCCTTGACCTCGACGACTTCAACCTGCAAACCACCGAGAGACAGGGCTCGTCAATATGGCGTTGCGCTACAAGGCTCCTCTCGTTTTCCCGGCTGTCAAGACACACACAGCGACAGTCATCTTCTCTCACGGTCTGGGAGACACTGGACACGGATGGGCTCCAAGCGTGGAGAACTGGCGGCGGAGGGAGAGACTTGACGAGGTCAAGTTTGTGCTGCCTCATGCCCCCGTCATACCTATCACCTGCAATGTGAGCAGACGCTGCCGAGCCAACCCATTTCGGGGCTACAAGATCATCTTGTCTTGATTCCATATACGCTGACACCTCTTCTGCAGGGCGGCTATCAGATGCCAGGTTGGTTTGACATTGTGAGTAGTATTCATCTCCTGCTAGCAACGGTGGTTCCTCCCTGACTGACAATGAAATGGCACAGAAAGTTCTAAATGGAGGTGTCGAGAGCATGCGGGAGAATGAGGATGAACAAGGCATCAAGGCTTCCGCAGAGTACCTTAATTCCCTCGTCCAGCAAGAGATTGATGCAGGTATACCGGCAGACCGTATCGTCCTCGGCGGGTTTAGCCAGGGTGGTGCCATGTCTATCTACACCGGCCTGATGTCCAAGGTCAAGCTGGCAGCCATCGTCTCCATGTCTGGATGGCTGCTCCTTAGCAAGACGTTTCGCGAGGCCTTGAATGCCGGGCCCAAGATGAACGAGAACACGCCGATTTTAATGTGCCAGGGCGATTCGGATCCCCTCGTCAGACCTGAGTTGAGCCTGCTCAGCTACCAGGTGTTGAATACCACCGGGCTGAACGTCACCCACAAGATCTATCCGTATGTCGCTACGTTCCCATCCATATTCTCTGCACCTGAACCAGTCTGGCTAACACTTTTTTTTCAGCGGCCTTGGCCACTCAGCTGCACTCGAGGAGCTTGACGATGTAGAGGCTTTCTTGAAAGCAAAGCTGCCCCCCAAAGGTGATAGCACAGCTGCAAAAACAGCTGATGAAGGCAGATCAGAGCTCTGAAGGATCTTATAAACAATATCTGTACAGCTAGCGCAAGAGTTAAGGTTTAGGTCTGGTCAAGGGTTATTTATCAATGAGATAGACCAGGTAGCTCCTGATAGACTCGTTCTTTCCTTTTCAATAGCAGACCAAAATCAACACTACCTTCTGGAGGCCTAGCCGCTAATCCTAATCAGGGACTGGCTGGAGCGCAGCCTCTTGATCTGGGACCTCAACACACTCGAGATTTCTTTTATCACTTGTGCAATCTATTCTGACTGCCCCACCTTCTTCCTTTCGACTCTTTCCCTTGCACCCGTCGACCAGCAAGAATCCCCATCCGATCTTTTGCCCATCATCCATTGTTGTAGACTACCATCTTGTCTTCAGACAAAGCACAACTCAAATCAGGGTAATGATATCTCCAGCCTTCCCTCAGCCTCCTCTTGATGGAAGTCTCAGCCAGCTGGCCTGAAATCTAACCACGGCCACGCGCATTCTAGTGAGTATCCAAGCATTTCTCGACCACTTTCGATGCCCTACCATACTAGCCTCTCTTAGCCTCTCCTTCAAACCATTTCCTAACAATGCCTATTATTGATGGATCACCTTTGGCACCCCTCCCTGCTTACCCCTACATGCATCTGTACTGGTGTTCGGAGGGGGCTCAGTGCTTCTCCAGCTACACATCTCTTGATGCACACAGCCCTTCTTGCACCATATGATACTGACCACGCATACCAATCACTGCAGCATCAGGATGTCTTCTGGACCTATTCCTGCGTTTGGAGGCTTCAACGGAGACCAGATCCGTTTCCTAGCCATGATAATGAAGCATTCCAAGACCATGCCCAAGAACGAGGAGATTGACGTATGTTCCTCCTCTCGACCCCCCTCCCTAGGGCCTTCTTCCAGCCTCTTTTGATTCTGTCAAGACTATAGACCTGTGACTAACTTGGATGAACATAACAAACAGTGGGAGGGTGTTGCCAAAGACATGGAACACATGTCTGCCAGTGCAGCCCAACAGAGATATATGTGTTTCCAACTGTGCACTGGGGTTGGCCATAATAAGGAGAGCATTACTGCTGCTCCATTTCCATTCCACAGCGTCCAAGGCGAGCTGCAGGAGAGAGCTGTTGACCTTTCATCTCCCTCTGCCGTCAACTTTGGAGAGTCGCAAGAGGGTACTGCTACCTCCTCGTCTCCGCTCATCATCAAATCTGACGGGCTGCAGGATGGTGCTGCTGCCCCTTCCTCTTTCATTGCCAATCACGGCGAGCTGCAGGATGGTCTTGCTGGCCCCTCCTCTCAATTCACTATAAATCACAACGAGCTGCGAAATGGTGCTGTTAGCCCCCAGTCTCCATTCACCATCAATTTTGACGAGCTGCAGGAGGATACTGCTGTGTTGTCTCCTTTTACTGCCGATCAGGATGAGCTGCAGGAGCGTGCTGCTGATACTTCATCTCCTCTAATCTTCCGTCCCCTACAGCTGAAGGGCACGCAGGCACCGTCTCTCCTTCAGAAACTCCAACTCTGTTCTGAGCTTCAGCATAGGATCCAGCTTTTCCGAGAAATTTCAACCCAGGAGATCGCGCTGCTCCAGGATTTTGTCATGGAGACCGGCAAGGCCCCCCTTTGCATCAGTAAGGAGCTCATGGCGCACGGCCTCACCCTGCTGGACTGATGCTTTTCTCCCTCCATGTATGTGCAGAAATTATGGAGCAATAGAATACATGACTCTTTCAGGTCGTACCCCATAGAGATCTGCACTCGAAAGCCTTGAGGCAAACAAACTTCGACTTACTACAGCTCTTTACAAAGGTACCAATGTGCCTACAGAGCTACGAGACTGCTACCAAAGATGAAGATTGTCTGGCAAAGACCTACTTATTAGATACCTATGTATTCTTGGGGCCATTAGCTACTGATATACAGCAGCAAGGTACAAGCCAAACCATGCCTCGATGTCTTTCATAAGTTCCAGGGTGCAGTTGAGCACTCGGAGAGGGAATAAAATCATCAACGTAAAGAAAGCAACGAAGAGAGCAGACGGCTAACAAGGGCGAGTCAATTGAGGAATGATTCAAAAGCAAAGTAATCCTTCCTACTTCTATGAACGAGTGTGCTTCTAATCAAACAGGCACGTGTATCTCCTGATGACAAAGTTCTGCCCTTCCAGAAACATTCATACCGCATTGTGCACGGGATTGTGCTCATGCCTCCACTGGCTCGACCTCTCCAGTGAAGGTGTCCAGCTTGAAGCCGTAGACATTGATGCCAGCCAAGGTCGGGACATTTCTCAAGGTACGAACGTCCTCCCGGACCGACTCCTCGAGCTGGTCGGTGGTGAACAGCTTATAGTCGGTCTTCTCAGCGTCTGCCTTGGCCACAGCACCATCCTGCGCCACCTTGCTGACGATATCCTCTGAGGTTACGTGCATGACGCCGCAATCTAATAATGGATGGTCAGATCTGGGGCAACGCAAGTGTTTGGGGTGTAACGGAGTGTAAAGATCACCTACCGTTGTGGTGGACGACGGCAATGGTCTTCAGCCCGCCGAGAGCCTTCAGCAAGGTCAAGCTGCGGATAGCGTCGTCCGTAGCCCGGCCTCCAGCGTTGCGGAAGGTGGCTCCTACATAGTCGGGCCCAAAGAAGGTCTCGGGCACACAGCGCGGGTCAAGGCAAGTCACTGTTTTGTCAAGTTGCAGAGAGCACACCTTTTGTCAGTCAAGTCGAGAGGAAGATCGAGAGAAGAGGAAGGCTACATACACACGAGAGTCATCATGCCGCTCTCTGTGAGTGCTTGACGTCGGTCGGTCATGTGCCATGGTGCCGGCAGGTTAGGGAACTTGTCCCTGGCGAAGACTTTGTTGTTCTCCAGCCACTCGGGGACGAAACCAGAATATTGTGTAGACATGATGGGCAGCTGGCTGAAGCGAGATGTGTCTATGTAATGATGGAGTAGGAAAATGGTCAGGAGATTCCGATGCAAATGTCTGCAGATGCTTAGTTGAAGTCGAGGCTTTGATCTGTGATTGAAAACTGCCCTCAAATCTCTAGACAGGCAAGAAATGAACATTATATATTCTTGTGCTTTCGACTGATGCCAGGTCTCACGTCCCTCCCAAACCTGCGTGGCGATGTGTCGTGTCATTGTTGATGAGTGATCACACACGTCCTAGAGTCATCTTCAAACATAATTACATCTCAAACGACATGATTACTTCTTGGGGAGTTGAGGAGTTCTCCCACACCCATTTTCTTGTATATCAAGTAATTAATGGAAAGCCGCTGGTGACAAAGCAGTAAGATGCGCCGTCGCCATTGACGCCATGTAACTAACTACCGCAAGCCATCGGAGGGGACCCCCTGGTTTTGATTACTCAACCACCTGCACTGCAGACGCGAGGCTTTGCTTGATGCCTGCTTTCATGCCTGGATTTCTGATCTGCCTCGATAAAGTTGAAGGGAAATGAATATGTGGAATTGAATTGAAGGATGCAATTGGAATGTTCTAGAGTGATTTTTTGTTATCTCACGCACGCGGTCTCGGATGATTAGTGATTGGACAGAGAGTAGCAAGACCAGCATTGGCCAGGGCATCCCGAGTTCAGCGTCATGAGCAAGTTTGTGTATAACCAAGCCGACGCATTAAAATGTTCAACCCTTCATATCTTGCACAAACTCCTTCTCTTGTTCCGGCGTGACAGGCAGCACCCTCTTCCTCTCCTCGTCCAGCTTCAGGATGGCCTCCCTGGCCCCGTCCCACGTTCGTCTCTTGCCCGTCTCGAAATACCGGTACATGTGCGCCGACTCGATCCCGTTGGCCATCAGGTTGTACATCTTCCTGTCCTTCCACCAGAACTTCCAGCCCTTCCAGCCCATCCAGCTCAGGTTCTCCATGCCGGTGCCCGCGGCGTCGTGCAGCCACCGCTGGTACTCCCACTGCCTGACCATGCTCGTGTCGATGCTGTGGTCCAGCTTCCAGCGCGACGCGACCCAGGCCTGGTGCTCGTCCACCCACCTTTCCATCTCGGCGCGTGACGGCAGAGGGTGTGCGCCTCGGAAGACATTGGACACGGCCATGGAGGTGACGTCGGCGAAGCTGAAGCCGTTGGACTTGCCAAAGGCCGAGTAGCACAGCATCGCGAGCGAGTCGGCGTATTTGGGAGGGAAGATGTTCATCCACAGGCGGTACATTTCGACGTCACCACGACCGCCGCCCTCGGATTGTGTAGCAGCAGCAGCATATCCGTGTGCGGTCGGCAGGCTGGTCTCCAGGGCGTCAGGCCCCACGACACTGAAGTCGGCGCTGTACCCCGTGCACATGATGACGGCGTCGATGTCGTCCAGCACCATCCCGTCCAGGAGCTCGACCTTCTTGGGGCCCAGGAACCTCTTGATGCCGTGCACGGACTGGATGCTGCCGTCGCGCAGGCAGGGCAGCACGCTGTCGAAGGCGAGGGCGCCAGGCACCTTGAGCGCGATGCTGGCGATGTCGGTGAGGCGCCACTCGGGGTCCAGGTTTGGGTACGAGAGCCTGATGTAGAGCTTGACGGCCAGGTCGCCACAGACGCGGGCAAAGTTGGGGAGGTGGGCTTGTAGAGAGTGGGTGATCTGCCGCCGCCGCCAGGTCGCCAGTGCGTCGGTCGGCACACCTTTTCGAAACCTGCGGAAGGGGACGGCCCCGCGCCGGTGGGCAGCGTACACGGGGTGTGCAGCATGGGGCAGGATGTCGGGCAGGATGTCGGCAGAGGTCGAGGAGAGGCCCAGGACGATGACGCGCTTGTTGGCGAAGGCGTCGGGCTTTCGGTACTGTTGTGAGTGTATGATGAGGCCCTCGAACTGATCCTGCCCCTCAAACTGAGGTATGTTTGCCCTCGTCTGGTAGCCGTGGGAAAAGACGACCTTGTCGAACTCGAGTGTCTGGGGACCTTGGCCGCCTTTTGTGTCGACCTCGAGACACCACTTGGTGTCGTCTGCATTGCGGGATGCCTTTTTGACAGATGTGTTGAAGACCCAGTCCTTCAACGTGTCAAAGTGACGGGCGTAGTCCTCACAATACTCCCGGAACTGGTCTGATCTCAAGAATATAGGGTATCCTGCAGAGATTGTTGTTCAGTCTCCGTGCTTATCTGCGTTTTCTTCTACGTTTCTGAGGAATCTACTTACTTTCTGGCATCGGATAATCACTGAAGCCACATGTGTACTTGCTCAGGTTGGCGACAGTCCCTGCGAGCAGCATATTAAGCGTTAGTGATGATCGTTCTTCTAGCGGCAGAAGAGTTCATCGAGGTAAGGAAACAGAGAGATACTTACTGGGCAATGCAGTCGTGTGGGAAGGGTCCTCCGAGTATGCCCAGAGACCACCAACCCTTTCTCGGCGCTCGAATCCCGTGACGGAGAAGCCATCTTCGCGCAGCTGCTTCAACATCGAGAGTCCGCAAGGGCCTGTTTGACGGTTAACATGACTGTGGTATCAATCTCCAATGGACAGCGCCGTTGCGTAAATGAATTATGGGATGCGAGCCAATGGGAGAGAACTCACCAGCACCAACAACAGCTACAGTGGCTTTAGGCATGGTGCGTGTCACGATGGACATGACTCCTTAGAGACTGTGTAAATTATTCTATGGTGTAACGTAGAATGTTACTTTGGCTCCTGGTCTGGTAGGATAATGGACCTCCTTTGAAGGGACCGTTGGCATGCTCTCGTCAGCAGCTTACTGCGGCGCAGCAGCCGATCTCATCTCATAAAGTCTGACAACACCAATCAGAATAAGGAACACACATACCGAAAGAGGTAAAGAGCTGCCACACTAGCTATTGTCATGCTGGTCTGTTGGTAAATATAGATCCCAGCTGCGTACAAGAGGGCGGAATGCTTCCGCATCTTGGAAATAAAGGATTTAACATCACACAGGGCCGTATATCATAATGGCTTGGGATTATCCATAGGTGTCGCTTATTATCGTTCTGTGCCTTTGCTTCTGCATCATACGGAAATACCCCAGCTCTGGGTAATCAATATTTCGACAGGATCACTGGTTGGCAAAAGGTGTCGGCCAGGCTCTAAGATCATGGCCTGGGCATATTGTGCACATCTCCTCTGTCAATTACTTAGTAGATCCAGCACCGTTGTTGTCAATTAGGCCCAACCACGAGGAAATTTCGGGATCCAAACACCGAGGCCTTGAAGCCGGTTGGTGCGTTGAGAGACAGGTAACGCAAACTTGGACGGACTGAGGGAGAGCACAGAATGTTGAAAGATAGTTGTGCGAAGGGCTGGTGACCTACTGACACATGCATGCCTCCTCTTCATATCGAGACTTGATGCTGAGCATGCATTGTAAGCACTGTCAGTTCGTCAAACAATGCGTATTGAACACTCTTCTATCGCAGTTTTCATCAAGGTAAACAGGCCACAAGAGGCAACCATACAGTTCAGTGCTTTTTTCATATCTCGCTCTATATCATCTACTTGACTCTAAATTCTGGAACCTAGTTTACCAGTCTTGGAGCACATAGGAAGACCCCAGGCCTTTACTCATGACCAAAACCGCACCAATGATCACCAAAGAAGCCACAATCAACAGCACAATCTCGTCGACAAATGTCCTGCGCCCCATGCGATCCAAGGGACCAGCCCGTCCACCCTCCTGTGGCACACCACGATCCTGGATAGCGGGCTCCTTGTCCTTCCACGGTATCTCGACGCCCGCATCCCGCAGGATCTCCTCGGCCGTGATTTTGGCACCAGCCAGCACGATGGGCACGCCGGTGCCAGGATATGTGCTTGCACCAACAAAGTACGCGCCCCGCAGGGCCCTGGCACGGATCGAGGGCCGGAAGCAGAGCACGTTGAAAAAGTTGTGGCTCAGGCCCAGGATGGCGCCTTTGTCGAGGTTGAACCTTTCCTGCCACGTCTGTGGCGTATTGACCATCTCGTCGATGATGGACTCCTCGAGGGCGGCGCTGCCTGTCCTGGCGCGGATGGTGGCGAACACAGCCGAACGGGCGCGCGACACGACGGTGTCCCAGTACTGCTGCTGCTCGTCATCTTCCTTGCCCTCAGTTGCGACGAGGTGGCCCACTGGCACGAGGACGATGACGGCGTCGCAGCCCTCGGGTGCTGCGCTTGGGTCGATGCGGCTGGGCACGTTGACGTAGAAGCTCGGGTCCTCTGGGAGAGTCTGTCTCTTGAAGATGGCGTCGAAGGACTCCTTGTACTCGTCTGCCAGGAAGATGTTGTGCACGCCCAGCTCGGGCACCTTGCGAGACAGGCTCCAGTAGAAGGAGATGGAGGAGCAGGAGGCGTCCCTCTTGCGGAGAGACTTGGCGTAGGTCGAGATGGCCTTGGTGGCAGCAGCAGCAGCAGCAGTAGCCGAGTAAGAAGAAGGAGAAGAAGCAGTGGACTTCAACGTGTCTTCTTCTTTCGCATCGTTCGTGCCACTCCCGCCAGGAAAAAGATTGCTGTATGCGTACACCAGATCTGCATTGACGACCACAGTATCCGCCAGCACCGCCTCGCCGCTCTCCAGCATCACGCCGGTCGCAGTCTGCCCATCTGGACTTGTCAATATTCTTTTCACGGGCGAGGAAAGCCGGTAGTTTACGCCTAATCGCACACCCACACCGACCAGCCTCGCCAGCACGGTCTGGAAGCCACCGCGAGGGTACCAGATCCCCTCGGCGGCCTCCGTGTACTGCAGCAGCGAGTACGTCGACGGCGCATCAAACGGGCTCATGCCCATGTACATGGTCGCGAAGGTAAACACCCGCCTCAGCCTCTCGGTCTTGAAGTACCTGCTCGCGCGGCTCCAGATGCTCTCGAAGGGGTGCAGCCTCAGCGCCATCAGGGCAAAGAAGGGCGTGAGCACGGTCCTGATGCTGTCGTGGTTCTTGTGCAGCACGTGCTCTACACTCAGCTCATAATGCCGGTGCGACTCGGCCATCCAGGCCAGGTACGACTCGAAGCCCTCCTTGCCCTCGTAGTGCTCGATCTGGGCCTTCATGGAGGCGAGGTCGGTACACGGCCTGAAGACATGCCCGTCGTGGAAGAAGATCTGGTAGTTGGTCGGGCACCGGAGCAGGTCCACGCCCTCGGCCTCCAGGCTGGTGTCCAGGTCGTGGAAGGTCTCGCGGAAGAGCTTGGGCAGCAAGAGGAGCGAGGGCCCCTGGTCGAACCGATATTGCTGCGCCGGCTGGCCACTACTGCTTGTGGGTGCCGAGTAGAGAAGGCTGCACCGCCCACCAATGAAGTCGTTCTTCTCCACGACGGTCACTTTGTACCCAGCCTTGGCCAGCCTGGCCGCCGTGCCAACGCCACCTGCGCCCGCACCGATGACCACGGCTGTCTTGGGAGCCGGCTGCCTTTTCATCATTACTGACAAAAAAGCACCTTCTGAGCCCGGTTCTGGGACAATCTTGGGTACTTAATCACTGATGATCCACGCAACAACCTTATGTCAGTGGGTTTGCGAGCTGTGAACAGTATTAGCAATAGAGAAAGCACAAGACCTGGGACTCGAGCGTAACCAACGTGTACAATAAACAGGACGAGTACTGATGGCTGAGAATGACTATAATACTAGGAAAGCCATTAATCTGCACAATAATTAATCAGACAACGCACGGAGCCATTGTACTTGCTGCAGCAGTGAATCATGGGCGTGGCCATACCATGCTACGGTAGCACTACGGCAGTTTATACCATGATAAGGCCCTGTAAACACTATAGTAGTACTATTGGGGAGGCTAATGAATGATTGTGCCGAGTCTCCATGTGGCCTGCCTAGGATTTGGGCGACATCACCATAGTCATGACATCACCACTTGTTGTGAGAGAGAGAGAGATTAAACGAGAGAGGCGTGGGAAGTAATCCCGTAATATCCGGCCTTGAAACATGTTCCGAGGTACGATTGCAAGTCTACGGTGTGAATTATGGAACAAAGAAGAAGGCGTTTATTAGTTTTCCCGGTCGTGATTTTGAACATGAGTACATAAATAAATAAAAAATTGAATTGACTTCATGGTTTCGTGCTTGGTAATTTGCCGGCGTTGGAGGGAGGAAAAATGGTTACCAAGTCGTTGAACAAGGAATGAAAGGCAAGCTAGAACGCCTGAATAAATAAATACTGGAGCCACTGCAGCATTGGCTGAAACTGGGAAGCGCAGTAATTCCAACGCTGCGGGCTTTAAATTAGCTCTTGTCCAACACTAGGCTGGTGTCCGGAGCTTCTGTGCGCAGAGAGCAAATCCACCGAACACTAGAGATGAAAGAACAACCACGACGACGACGCGTTCCTTGTATCCTGTCTTTTCGCTTTCTCTTTTCTTTCCCCTCCATGGTGTTCTGCTAGGCCCTTCCAAAGAAGCTGTCACTCCTCCCCTCCAATCCTTGCGACTTTCCAGCACATTTTCCAGTGTTGCTTCCCACCCTCTGACGAATCCAAAGACGCTTGTGCTTTATCATCGCTCGTTCATCTTGGCAGAGCCCATGTTCAACCAACCCAAGCACTTGGAATCCGACCTGAATCTTCTGCCATCGTAACCAGAGATTTGATTGATTAATACCCGTCTTGTAAGTGCCATCTGGTACTTGGACCACACAAGTACTATATGCAAATGCTAATCCGAAGCCAACAAGGTCTCATACCCTTTGGGCATACCATCTGGAAACCCGCCAACCAGTGTCGAAAATACTATAGGTTTAGCCTAGATCTGGCCGAATATGTACTTATAGCATCGTTGGAACGCATTCTACCCTCCACCCCCGCCTAACCCATCATGGCATACGATTACGCTCTTGTGTACGTTTCTCGCTCACTCTCCTCTTCCTCTTCCTTCTCCTCTCCTCATCTTATATATTCGACTTGGTCCATTAGCTAACCATGCACACACAGGCACCTGAAATTTACGGTCCCTGTTGCTGCCCTGCTCACCCTGTGCAACTTTCCTTTTCTTACTCGTCGGCACTGGTATCAGACCTTCATCCTCATCACCATCGCCGTCGTTGCCACCATACCCTGGGATAGTTATCTCATCCGGCAGCATGTCTGGACCTATCCACCGGATGCAATCGTCGGCCCAACCTTCTGGGCCATCCCGGCCGAGGAGCTCTTCTTCTTCATCGTGCAGACTTACATCACCTCCATGCTGTATCATCTCGTCAACAAACCACTCCTCCACGCCGCTTATCTAAGCCCTCCTTCCTGGTTTAGGGCAACGCTGCACAAGCTGGTCCAAGTCGCTATCCTGGACCTCGCCCTGGTGGGATTTTGGCTGGTCTCCAATGGCGGCCCTGGGACGTACTTGGGTCTGATTCTGGCGTGGGCATGCCCATTCGCCTTGTTGACCTGGAGCCTCGGCGGTCTGTTCATGGTCTCCTTGCCCTTCACGAGCACTCTTCTCCCGATCCTGCTGTCCACCATGTATCTCTGGGCCGTGGACGAGGGCGCGCTGCGCCGAGGCACGTGGTCTATCGAGTCTGGCACCAAACTTGGCACCATACTGGTAGGGAGCCTGGATATCGAGGAGGCCGTCTTCTTCCTCGCTACCAACGTGCTGATCGTCTTTGGGCTAGGTGCCTTCGACAATGCCCTGGCTGTCATTGACGCGTTTCCGGATGCCTTCAAGTCGGCACCCGAATGTCCTTCACCTGTCATGCTGGTGGAGGCCTTGTACATGAAGTGGACTGAGGAGCGAGACGATCGCGTGACTGGGATTCTGGAGGCGGTGGAGCGGCTCTGTAGGAAGAGTCGGAGCTTTTATCTGGCCAGCTCGACCTTTACGGGGCGGCTAAGGATCGACTTGGTATTACTGTAAGGCGTGGCACCGTCACCATGTAGAGGCTGCTCTGCTGCACACCAGGACCAAGCGAGACGACTGACTGACTTTTGATGATATCCCAGGTACTCGTACTGCCGCATGGCTGATGACCTCGTCGACGAACCTCCTCAAGGGCTCACCACCGCGACCTGGATCGGCAGGCTTAAGGACCATTTGGACCTCGTCTATAAGCCCAAGCAGTCCGAAACTGATCCCTCGGTGCAGGCTGACATGATACGCGCCTACATCGAGAGCGAATTTCCCGCCTCGGCACGATCTGCTCTCACCCACCTCCCGACGTCCCTTTTGCCCCCTGAACCATTCTATCTTCTTTTAGAAGGATTCAAGACGGACTCAGGGTTTCGTTTGAACAACGACACCAAGGAGCGCCGACACTTTCCAATAGCCAACGAAGACGACCTGCGTGAGTACGGAAGCCGGGTCGCCGGGACGGTTGGGGAGCTCTGTCTCGCCCTAATCACGCACCACAGCAGGGAACCCATTACCCCAACCCGCCAAAAGTCTGTAGCCAAGGCCGCAGCAAGGATGGGAATTGCGTTGCAGTACGTTAATATCGCACGGGACATCGCGGTGGACGCGGCCATGGGGCGGGTCTATCTGCCGACGACGTGGCTGGTGGAGGTCGGCCTGACGCCCGAGGTCGTGGTGGACACCATCATGTCCAAGGACGACCAGAGGCAGGATAGGCTGGCAAGGCTGGTCTCGCTTCGAGAAAGGCTCCTCAATACCGCCTTTGCCATCTACACTGAGGCGAGGCCGACCATGGATTGGCTGCCCGACGAGTCAAGACGGCCCATGATCGTCGCAGTCGAGAGCTACATGGAGATTGGGAGAGTCTTGCGAGAGCAGCAGGAGGAGGGAGCTCTTCTGTTTGAGGTGGTAGAGGCAGGCCGTCCGAGGAGGGCCACTGTCTCCAAGTGGAGGAGGCTGAAGGTTGCTCTAGGGGCGCTAATCTATGCGTAAGTAAGTAGATTTGGGGTAACGGAAAATATCATCATCAGACATGCGTGGGATGATCACTATTTTGCCTTTTGGAATGGGCGACACAAGACATTATTCGATATAATGTGTGGTTCGATAGGGTGAACTGTTAACACTGGATCTTGTAAAATATCTCTTAGATTTGACAACAGTCCCAAGCTGTTTTGGTATGATGGGCGTCAAGGGGAGAGGAAGGGAAGTCTTGCAATAGGAGAGTTTTCAGATAGAGGAAGGGTTTCGTTCACCTTAGACATTAGACAACAGCAACAACACTTTGAAAGAGTATATTTCTGTCGAACTCCAAGTTCTCAGCCATTCAAGGAAACATATTTGTGTGTTATGCTTTTATCGACTACTGCTATGATCTTGTAATTCACTTGGTCAATACTAGCCCATGTTTTGTATAGAAACTCGCTTCTTAGCGGTAAGAAGCAGAGGAACCACACTCCCAACTCTGAATATTCCCAGCTAGATGATAGCGGCACTAGAGAGATACGAAGTTAGTGTTTGAATAATGAGAGAAGAAGGAAAACCCAAATCGTGTACAAAGAGGAGACCTTGCCTCAAGATCAAACAGCCCATAAGCGACTGCGTCCCATTCTTCATCCGGGGTGGTGGTACAGTTCAGCGTCCTAATTCAAATCGTCAGTCGTCAGTATTCTCACGACGATTTACACCCAAGCAGGCTTCTGCACTCCAAACAAGACGCACTTGTAGAGGTTACATCCTCCTAAGCTCTCTGGGACATAGACAAAGTTCACATCATCCACCAGGTCACTGGGCGCATCGGGAAAGTCTGCCCAAGTGTCTGTTCATCGAGCAGACGTCAGCAAACCCCTCAATCACAATGATAAAAGGGATGGAAAAACAGGAGGAGGAAAAGGATGTATCGAGACTCACAGCACTGGGGCGTTGAGATTGTCAGGTTATAGCAAGTCCCGCCACCTGCAAGAGGAGGGTCTGCAGGACAGCCAGGGCCGACGGCATAAACAGACGAGTTGCAGAACTCGATCTGGGGGCTCCCGAATACGCTCAAGAGAGCCGCAGCAGCTTCGAATTTCCCCTTGGCCATTTGTAAAGAAGGGGATCTCAACGAGACGAGTGGTGTAGAGATTTCCACCTGGCCTAATCAGTCTGGCACTTGAGAAGGAAGAATGTGATTTCTCCCTGTTCACGGCTTCGGAATTGAAGACAGGCAGCCAACTTCAGCTCAACGGTTGGGGGGATTTAAAAGGTTCATATACTTTCTCGACCTGGAACGGTGTCAGCCTCTTCAGCCCCGAAGCTCCCCGATCTGCACAACGCACTGGGCTGCAGAAAAGAAGACACTCATTTTTTTCAAGAGTACCTCTAAGCCACCCGTTACACGCGCATTGCACTATTGGCCTAACAAGGCACGCGAGGTAAGCTTGGCATGTCTAGACTCGGGCATGACGAGCGCATCGTACATGCAGAGCACGAGGCCTCTTGTTCGCGCAGAGCGCGACATGCTGCTCCTCCTGCCGTCGTTAGAAAAGATCATCTCAGTACGGGTGGGGAAAAGTAGGATGCTAGACAGTGATCTAGTGAATTCTTCGGTGAGATGATAAGTCTAGAAAGAGGCAACCAACGTGTCATTGAGGCGACGCAGCGGGTTCGTATTCCCTTGCGTGCCGCTCCTCGCTTCTGCGCGACCACAGTAGTGGATTACAGGGGCTGACTACACCGGTATGCACGGTGCAGAAATGGTTGTGCAGATAATTGCCTGGTTGGTCTGAGAATGGCCAGGTGAAGAATTATGTCGTGATATGTTGATCGAAAAGAGAAATATGGGGAGAGGCCTGGGTGTCAAATGGGGCAGTTGATGAAAATTTTGAATAATAGAGTGCATGCAACTTTATCGTTGTTTTATCTGTTTCTTGTCTTGGCGACATGGACATCTTTGGTGTCCATCATTACTCGTCAATTAAATCATTAGTGATCTCACTCAGTAAGGCATCTGAGATACTCTGCTTCTAGAACCCATCTCATCAGAGAGTAATGAAACCCTTTCCCAACCCACCTGTTCGTCTCCGGAAACATCCGAAGACCTAACTCCTGCATCAGTCCCAATCCACCCAAACGTGACCTTCCTGATAAGAGATACATTCCTCGAAATGCACACGCCGTGAACGCTATAGTGTCTCGTGGCATGATCCTCAGCTGTCCTTGTTTTGAAGGGGGGCATGCCTCTTGGTATAGTGAGCGACCTCCAAAGGCCCAGAATTCGCGCCGAAGACAAACCTGCAGACCTACATGCATTCCCTCTTTTGAACGCTCAATATCACTGAGCAGTCTTTCAGCCTCTGCATGACGATTCCGCCTGCTATGCTTATCGTACTCTTTCATTGGGGTCCATTGCTCGGGAGCATAGAGACTGGCCCTTGCAGCCCCAGGACTGAGATTCAACGGTATTATAGGAAGACAATACTGCTGAGGAGATGGCAATAGTCGTGCGCCTGGAAATCCTGCATTGTGGAAGTGGCCCAATCCCTTATGGCTTGATGACCGCCCGAGAGCTGTTCTTCGAGGATTGAAGTGTTGACTTTGCGTAAATCAGCGCCTGCCGCAAGGAGGACCCGAAACAAGGTAAAAAAATTGTGTTGGGCGGCCAAGGCTAATGGAGTTTCTTCAGATGAAGGGCCTGATTCTTCGAAATTGGCTCCGAAGTTGAAGAGTAACCGTACAATTGACTCAAAAGATGAGGGTAACACCCTCTGGTACTCTGCGGGTTGTTCCTGAGAGGGATTGGTTTAGTCAACTCGTGCCAACTTTATCAAGGTAAGTCTCTCGTGGTAAGACTCAGCGGACTTGTCCTCTTTTACCATGCTCATCCCAACGTCCAAGACGGTTTGATCGGTAACAATCGCATTCTTAACCTTGAATACAATATGGGTCATAGGCGTGCATGCAGCTCCTAACGGTGTCAGCCCATCCTCCCAGAATATCATATTCGGATCAGCACCGAGCTCGAGGAGCTCGTGGACGATACGCGTATGATGGTAAATGATGGCAAGACGAAATGCTTCTTCACATCCGGCTCGGTCCATATTCAAGTCTTCCGGAACCAGACGAACCAGCATCGTCTCAACTGTCTGTTCTATGATCCCGAAACTGAATTGATCCAGAGTGGTCGAACATGGGAGTATCAGGTCGTCCCCGATACGAACACGGCGTTGATCCTGAAGTATGACATCTCTCACACTGAGGCGTTGGCGTCGTTCTGTTAGCCCTCGCCGGAAGGCCGACTGTCCTAAGTCATTTTTGAGAGAGACATCTGCGCCTCGGTCCAGCAGCCGGCTCACGGCCTTCCAATCCCAAAAGCTGGCTACTGTCATGAGGACTGTATTTCCGTCCTGATCGGTTGCATTCAGCTCCTCTCTTGGTATCTTGTTAATAAGATTAAGAGCTGTAGCTTCGTTGGTAATCCACCATGTCTTCCACCAAAGATTGCGCATGAGATTAGGGAAAGATAGCTCCAAGGGCAAAGTGTGCACATTTCCATGGTATATTAATGATCCGCGATCGATGAAAATGATGTTCTCGATGGTCCTGTCCCTCATGAATACTCTTTGGACCCTGAACATCCAAATGACAAGCGGCATGTCCTGTGTGCAGCTTCTCACGTCGACATTTGCGCCACGCTGCAGCAGGAACTTTACCACGGCGTCGTGTCTCCCCAGTATGGCCCACCAAAGTGGAGTCCACCCATTCTCATCCCGAGATTCAATGTCTTCTGGAGTGGCGTTCTGGAGATACCCCAGGAGTCCGAAGAAAGCGGCTGCGTGCCATCCAAGGCAAATTGATCGAATCTTATGCTGGCAGATCGTGGCGAATTCTGCCTTGTTGAGCGTTGGATCGTATTCAAACTGCGGTATGATGCTAGGCTGACTGATGATGTGCATCATGGCTGCGCTGACCTTCTCAGACTGTGACAGGAAATCTTGAGTCAAGTAGTGATGTTCCATATGACTGTTCTGGACATGGAAGGCCCAGTGGTCTGCGGCATACGGCCATAAGATAGAATCCTCGAGTTCGAGCGACTTGTCCAAGAGCAGGCATCTCAGACACGATATAGCTATGCGCTCTTCACCCTGCGGCAGGCACTCTTGAATCTTGATGTTGTTGTCCGGGCTACGGAAGTACCGTTCCATGTCTGGATGAACAAATTTGACTGCCTTGTCGGACGAGACTTCTTCCGCCAAGAGCCCTATACAGTTTTTCAGCAAATCATTGGCATCGATACGGTCATCGATCCTGTTTCCGTGGCGCTGCAAAGAAATGGCCTCTTGAATTATTCGTATCGGGCAGGGCCGTTTTGCATAAATGACCCAGGCTAGGACATCCTTGGCATGCTCGGCTGATTGTCCTCGAAGGATCCTGGCCGTATACTCATCATAAGTATTTTGCAGCCCAGAAGGCAATTTGTCAATCTCTTTGATGGTCTGCCGGATGGTATTCTCTGTTGGATAGTTCTTCACGGTGTCGATGAGCAGATCCATATGCATTCGTGGCAATAGAAACCTGACCAAGTTAGTGGTCGAAAAAATGGGGCTATCGATATACGGCGCCCTGAAAAACTCATGAATAAATGCATGTGTGGAAACGACTTACATGCCAAGTGCTTTTGATAGAAGAGCTTCCACTATATCAGCCTGCAAGCGGGCTACTTTCCTCACAATCACGGAGAACTCGTACGCTTGAGGCTCCGTGAACCGGTAGTTGAGATACTCCCTCAGATCGTCAGGCTGGGCCGACACTTCCAACATTTCAGCACCAGTCTCGGTGAGAAATTCGCTGATAGATCCGATATCTCGAGAAGTGATCAGGACGCTGGCTTTAGTTGCTGACAGAGTTGACAGCAACGCGTACGCGTGGCCATGATCAAGTCGCTCGTCTAGAGCATCGATGACAAAAAACACTTGCTTGAATTGAGCAGTCTCGGCAATGAGCATGTTTTTGATCTCTATGTCATCTGGGACAATGGGCGGGTCATGAGATAGGCACCTTTGGGCGGCATTGATTACTACCTTGGAAAATTGGTGCCTTTGGTGGGCGAGTTGTGAGACCAAAGTTGAGCATGAGGCTTGAAGACGTCTGCTGATCCAGGTGTTTGCAGAATATGTATGCAACAGCGACGGATGGCTCCAGGATGGTGTTCTGGAGGTCTTCAATGGTGACTTGAACTGAAATCTTGTCAGTGGCTGTTCGTACTCCGGTGTGAGGTGCGGCAACTGCTTACGAGAGAATCGTTTTGCCAACTCCCGCTGTCATTTGCCGAAGGACCAGTCGCGTTAGCTATCATCTCTTAAATCAGCACGGTGAGGCCTCACGTTTTCCGTAGCACCATAAATAACGAGGGACCTCGTCCTTCAATGTGTGCCCTTTCCAATTCTCGTACTGGGTCGTTTCCAAAATCCATTTCCCTGTCTCAGCTTGGCGTTGTCGTAAGTTGTCTCTCTGGGTGTCAAGCATATTGTAGAACACGGGCATGAGCCATTCCAATATCTTGTCGCGAAGATTATGGCCTAGTGATTAAAATTAAGAGTCAGTCATAATAATCCAAGGACAAAGCCCCATTCAAAAATACTCACCGCTCTGGATTCGACCCTGCCATTCTTTCCATCTCTCTTCCTCCCTTGTCGAAGATTTGTAGAAATGCAGCACCTTCTCCTGTGCTTGAACAATGGCAGGATATACGATTTGACGGAATTGGGTTTGGGATACGGTTCCAGCTTGTCGCAGTTTTTGACTGGCCGCCTTAAAGCACTCCTCGAATGTATCAACAATATGGTGCAAAATGTGGCTCCGTGTCCTTTTCCGTGTAAAGTTGACGCAGTAGGTTGAAAAAGATTTTGTGATGATTTCCGTTCTTAAGGTATAAGTCGCATTTTTCAATGAAGGGAAGATATCGAAGGCCGTCGCCGTTTAGCACAATAGGTATAATGCCATCTTCGTCGCCTGTGTTCGTGTTCGCCAAGCGTCGTAAACTGAGAAAGGCGAGTTCGGTAAGAGCATGATGGAACTCAGCATTATCGCACTTGTCCTCGACGACACGGCGGATTGCATCACGATTTGATTTCTAGGCGAGCGCCGGCGGCTTAATTCTTTGTAGCAGGCCACGATCTCCTCAACATAGGAAGTAGCATACTCTGCTGAATTCAGTAAGTATCATCGCCTGCCAGCTTCCCATCTTGGGTAATATGTCAAACATCGAAAGGAATATGAACAAATCGACGACTAGCAGCACAGCTGCGCAACTTCTGAGTCAGTGGTCGAACCCTGGTGATACCCTCAGTCTTCTGCTCCTTATAGGCGGCGATATTATACAAGGCTCGATCGCCCAGCTCGTTGGGTGTTGTGTCCGTCTGCCAGTCCCACCACATCCTAGACTGTCTGTCGCCCCTGTGGCGTTTTCCTTCGGATGGGTTGCCTTTGGCTTTTCCAATCTACTTTCTGCGGCAAGCAAAACGTCCCTGATGCCTGATGCCGATGCACCTAGCATGGTAGTCAATTGCTCGAACGCATTCATACAGAAACCCAAGTCATGGGCGCTAGATCGTTTGCTTCCTGACCATGAGATCGAGCTTGACGTTGACGCCAGAAATGAAGAGGAAGGCGGCAAGGCCGAGTGTCTCCGTATCGACATCTTCAACCTGTGTCTCATCGCTGAGCCGGAGAGGGATAGCGTCTGGTGGTTGGGCTGGCTCGTGATGTTGATGCAAATCGGTATTGCCATTCCACCCTGAGTCCTGTATGGTGACTGGGGGGTCATGATAATTACACTCTGCGGAAACTTCCTCGCTGCCGCCACCTGCGCTCTACCACAGTGGAAAGACGAAAAAATGGGCTGGCCGCGCCCTGGAGAAACACAAGGTCACCTGCCTCACACGCGGAAACGGAAGCCTTTATATCATGGTCGTTATCGGTGAAAAAGGCTGCTGAGACCTCGAGGTGCTGGCCAGGGCCACATCTGTCACCAGGCCCAAGACTCGGTGGATTTCTCTAGGGTTAGAGGTGCTATGGGCGTGTCTCTTAATAAGTGTTTCTGGCCTAAAAAGCAATGCTTGGTTTCTGGTTGGAATCTGCGGTTGTAGCATGCTGCAGAACGTTTTTGTGGGGGAACACCTCGAACAGCAGCTGCTCATCGCTTTCATCACATGCCTTTTTCTCGGGCTCCAACTATCATTGGGAGGCGCCGGCCATCGCCGATGATGAGGATGGCCAGGTCGATTTCGAAGAAGTCACGAGGGGGCTCGCTAACCTGGAGAGGTGGTGTTCTCTGAAACCGTCCAGACGTGCATCAGCGGAGGCGGCTAACGAAGATATCACAATGTCTGGGTGGCTGTCGTCAATGTCTAGTAGAGATGACGTTCCTGAATGGTTGGAGGCCATACAGCTTGGCGAACATGACGGAGTGATCAACGCTGTAGGTGTGCACGGGGCCCTGATTGAGCTCGAGAAATGGGTTCCAGCTGCTGGACTTGCCATGGCCTAGATGTTCTTTCCTTCAGGTCTGAAATACAATGACCAGAGTGTGCGGGACGATGTGCACAAGAATTTCTGGAAACGCGCCTATCACACTGCTGGCCTTCGAAGACGAGCTGAGGAGAAAAGGAAACATGAAGAGAATCGGAACAGGTCGAAAGGTCGGGGGCAGACGCCAGTCGCTAGGGCTAAGGAGAGCTCATCTGATGTAAGAGTTTGAGTTGCTGTGGGGTAATGACATCTGGTTATTTTCACCGTTGTTCCTACTGGATTTACGGAAAAGACCCTATCAAGAGACTGTGCAGTAGAAAGACAGAAGGAGGGAAGGAAAGCCAGCCAGCCAAGCCCAGGATGGCTGAAGCTATCTAGGAAAGGCAGGGCGGGTGTCCGTCAGGCACGCACGGGCCAGTAAGTCACTGGCCCTCACACAGGACGAGTTTCTTGCATGCATTTGCATGCTGTATTTTCATGCAAACAATCCTCGTTCAGAATGTTTCGCACTATCAGTGTTATATAGAGAGAATTCCCTTTCCAAGAGCACTACCATCAAGATATTGGATGATGAGCCTGGGCTTCAATTCACCAAAACAGGGTCTCTAATTTGCCAAGTACTATACAAATGCTGTCAGGCTCTCTAGCGTTGGTGGGTCCTCACATGCAGCCGGGCTTGTATTTAGCAGCACACTTTAGAAGGTAAAGCGCTACTGCCCTAGGGCCGAAACTGGCGCGGTGTTAATACGGGAACTTTGCAGCGCGCAGCGGTTTAAACGCGAGGACGCTCAGACGCCGAACCTCGGCAAAAAAGACATTGAGGATCGGATACGTATTTATCGCCAGGGGACGAAGACCAGACCAGACCAAATGAACTCGATGCCCGAAAGAATTTCTTTCATTTTTGTTCAATACTCTATCTTTGCCTCTACACTTCAAATGTTCTTCATGAGAACATTCTCTTCTTGACATAAAGGCTGTTATCTATTGACGAAACAACTCAGAATTTTCGTCCCCTGGCACCTCCCCTTTAGCTGGCTTGCAAGCTTGCGATCATTAAGCTTACTGTGTCTTTACATACTTACCAGTCTAATCCCTGATCAGTATTGCCTACTATCTACTTGTCTACCTGTCTACATACTTCTTACCTGCGTGCTCAGTGCCCGATCTGTGGTCTGACACAGGGCTTCAAGATGAGTGAAGAAGGGGCCAGTGACCGGCCCACGCTCATTCGGCCGCCGCCTGACGACCCAGACAAGGCGCCCATCGAGAATGCACTAGACGTGTTGGATCTCAGCGTCATCGGCCCTGTGAGTCCCTCGATAAACCCCCAGTTCACCTCCATCTTAGCATAACGCCACACACTCTATCCTCCAGAGACTGACAAGGCTGACGATTTTCTCTCCTCTCTCAGAACATCTTTACCAACAAGCGTCCTCTGTGGCACCCACCAGGGGCCCGTGGCGTCTTCGGCGGCACCATGATCGCTATGTGCCTTGCTGCAGGGCAAAAGACGGTCCCAGACGACTTTGCGGTGCACTCGTGCCACTGCTACTTCATCCTGGCTGGGTCGGCCGACATCCCCGTGCTCTTCCACGTAGAGAAGGTCCGCGACGGCCGATCCTACGCGACGCGGACCGTGCAGGCCCGCCAGCGGGGGCGGGCCATCTTCACGACGACCATGTCCTTTGTCAAGGAGAGCGTGGCACACCCTTCCTCGGCGCCGGTGCCGAACCACGAGTTCAAGGACGGCGTGGTGCGGCACGCAGCGCCCATGCCATGCGATGCGGCGACAGGCCTGCCCGTGGAGCCACCGCCGGATGATTTTGAGGACGAGCTGGAGCTGGCAAGCTCGGGGCCATTCCAGAGCCACCGCGCTGTGGTCGTGAACAACGGCGATGGCTCGCCGCAGACCAAGAAGCTGCGGCAGTGGTACAGGGCGAGGGGTCGGATCTCAGAGGCCGGAGGCCGCCAGGCGCATCTCAACGCGCTGGCGTACGTGTCGGACTCGTACTTCATCGGGACCATCTCGCGGATTCACAAGCTGTGGCGGTACCCGTTCCCGGCGCGGGAGTTCTCCTCGCTGCCGCCGGATGTGCAGGAACACGTCCGCAAGCTGAACGACTTTGAGGGGTTCGAGACAGGCGGCAGAGGCTCAGGGGCACAGAGCTTCGAGGAGTTTAGGGACTTTTGGAAGGACAGGCCAGAGATAGGCATGATGGTCAGCCTGGACCACTCAATCTACTTCCACGAGCCTAGGAAGGTGAAGGCGGACGAGTGGATGCTGAGCGAGATGGAGAGCCCCTGGGCGGGCGACGGGCGTGGTGTGGTGACACAGAGGATCTTTTCCAAGGATGGCACTCTATTGGCCACATGCTTCCAAGAGGTGAGTTTATGGAGACAGGCTGACTGCCTTGCACTCTTCTTCCTCATCTTCATGAATATTCACCAAGTACTGACATGGCTTCTTCTAGGGTGTTGTGAGAATCAAGGCACCAGAGGGCACAGAGAAGGCAAAGCTGTGATAACATTTAGAAGGACACTGTGGTTAGGCTGTAATTACTGATAGACAAGATGATACCAATATATTTATTCATTATATAGACCAGGAAAGTATGGTGGCACACTGCATTCTGAAGGAGAGATATTGGACATGCTCATGATGCAACTAAGTGCATTGTTACATTGGTTGCACATTTTCACATGTGCTGACTGAACCCCCAAACGTGAACCTGTGCTGGCTTCTGGGTATCACTAGTACCTGAATTATAGGCCCTGTGAGGAACAACAACCACTGTGGGGTAAGAAATTGTAGATCTTGTATGGAGGGGGCCCTTTTCCCCTCATCAAGAAGCCACCCCCAATTGAACCCCATAAATTCCACCACCCCATGGAGGACAGGGGGAGAATGGCTGTTGCCGTTGGAGCGTTTAGCCTCGGGAATCAATGGCTGAGCACTATCTACGTATTAATTCGACACCCTCCTCGGCTCATGGGGTAGCTTGGGTAGCTTCAGCACCTGCTGTACTAGAGTGTCCATTCCCCTCCCCCCAACTTTGATACCCTCACACAATCTCTCCATTCCCCTCCAAGAAGATCAAGACACCATGTCGGCCGTCAATCGTGCTCTGTCGAGATCACTACGCCTCCAGAACGCTAATTACGCGGCATCTCGTCAGGCTGTACGGTCAGTCTCGCTTCTGGGCAGTGGAGCATCGTCATCATCATCACCGACCTCGGGATTCAGCGCCGCCCCTCGAAGCCTCTCCCGAACAACAACATCCCGCTTCCACACCATGGCTTCTCTGCAGTCCGCCGCCGCCACTACTCCCAAGCCCTCTGAGGGCGTGGGCTATGATCCAGAGATCAAGGACATCGCCAATTACATCCACAGTTACTCGGTCGACTCTGACCTCGCCGTAAGTGTCCATCTCAACCCTTTCCCCTCCTCCGCTTTTACTTCATACCCCGCGGCAGCCGAGGCTAACCGCCGACCACCACCACCACCAACACCAACAGTTCGACACGGCCCGCTTCGTCTTCCTCGACACCATCGGCTGTGGCCTCGAGGGCCTGCGCTTCAAGGAGTGCACCAAGCTGCTGGGCCCTATCGTGCCCGGCACCGTCGTGCCCAATGGCACCAAGGTCTTTGGCACCCCCTTCCAGCTCGACCCCGTCAATGGCGCCTTCAACATCGGCGCCATGATCCGCTGGCTGGACTACAACGACTGCTGGCTCGCCGCCGAGTGGGGCCACCCTTCTGACAACCTGGGCGCCATCCTGGCTGTCGCCGACTGGGTGAATCGGACCAACAAGGCCGGCGGGAACCTCGCAGGCGGCAAGATCTTCACGGTGCGGGATGTGTTGGAGGGCATGATCAAGGCCCACGAGATCCAGGGGTGTCTGGCCCTGGAGAACTCGTTCAACAAGGTCGGTCTGGACCACGTCGTGCTGGTCAAGGTCGCCAGCACCGCCGTCGTCTCCGGCATGCTGGGCCTGAGCGAGAAGCAGACCGCCGACGCCATCACCCAGGCCTGGGTCGACGGTCAGTCCCTGCGCACCTACCGCCACTCGCCCAACACCATGTCGCGCAAGTCGTGGGCTGCCGGCGATGCCTGCCAGCGCGCCGTCAACCTCGTGCTCAAGGTCATCAAGGGCGAGTCGGGCGTGCCCACCGTGCTGTCCGCGCCCGTGTGGGGCTTCTACGACGTGCTGTTCAAGGGCAAGAAGTTTGAGTTCCAGAGGCCCTACGGCAGCTACGTGATGGAGAATGTTCTCTTCAAGGTCTCGTATCCAGGTACGTTGCATCAAACCCTCCCTCCTCCTCTTCCCACCCTTTCTGGCTTCCCTCTCTGACCATGTCGTCCCGCACCACCAGCCGAGTTCCACTCGCAGACCGCCATCGAGGCGTCCCAGAAGATCTTCAACACCCTCAAGGCCCAGGGCAAGTCCGCCGCCGACATCAAGGCCATCACGAACCGGACCCACGAGGCCTGCGTGCGCATCATCGACAAGCAATTCAAGCCCATGGACAACTTCGCCGACCGCGACCACTGCGTGCAGTACATGTGCGCCGTCATGCTCGTCTTTGGCCGCCTGCAGGCCACCGACTACACCGACGGCAGCGAGGCCGCCACATCCCCCCTGGTCGAGTCCCTGCGCCAGAAGATCAAGTGCGTCGAGGACCCGGCCTTTACCAAGGACTACCATGACCCGGCGCTGCGCACCATCAGCAACGCCCTGACTGTCGAGCTGAACGACGGCACCGTGCTGGAGGAGGTCGTCGTCGAGGCCCCGCTCGGCCACAGGCTGCGCCGTGAGGAGGCCAAGCCCGAGATCATGGCCAAGTTCAAGAGGCACCTGGAGCCTCACTACAGCGCCGACAAGGTGAAGCAGCTGGTGGACCTGGGCGCCGACAGGCAGAAACTTGAGGGCTTGGCGGTCGACGAGTACGTTGACCTGTACGTGGTCGACAAGAGCGAGTTCCTGTAAAAGCCCTTGGCGAATGATGTGAATGAGAATCAACAAACCCCCCCCCCCCCCCCAAACAGGAGTCTGTATTGTATGTAGACTTGGAGCAGACAAAACAAGATGAGGAAAAAGGTGTGATCAATGATAGACTATAGTGTCAGAAGACTGTTCAAAAAGATTAAAACTTTATCTGCGCGAGGTCATGCATATATACTGAACTATACCAGCTGGATCAAGAACAATAAAATGGAAAGAACCCCTCATCATTCGGAAATTATCGAAATATGCCAAAGAAGACGCCATCCAACGCCCATCATGAAATCCCTATATAAAAAAACCGAAATGTATGCCCTACGCATGAGTAATACACATGGCTCTCTCTCTTCTCTTCCCATCACGGGTACGGCCTTACTCGTCAGCAACAGTGCCCAATCAGGAGAATACTCATCTCGTCTCCTCTAAAAGATGGAATTGACAATGTTGCTGCCAATACTGGCGCCAGCGCCAAAGATGGCTGCGTTCCCCAGCTTCTTGCCAAACTTCTTGCCCATCTCTCCAGCCTTTCCGCCTCCTTGACCCTGCTGCTGCTGCGGCTGTTCGGCCACCGCCATCGGCGGCACCGAGCTGTTGTACGGGTTCTGCTGCTGTGGGCCGGGCGGCGGCGGGTATCCACCATACTGCGGCTGCTGGGGACCAGTGTAGGCGTGCTGCTGCTGCTGGCCCCGGTAGTAGGACACGCCGCCCGCCTTCTCGCCGATGCCACCCTTGTTGCCATGGTCAGGCACCACCTCGACATAGGTCCGCGGGAAGATGCCCTCCTGCAGGGTGCGCTCGTTGCGGCCCATCCACCAGTCGGCGTTCATGTACTCGTAGACGGCAACTTGGTCGTTGCGGTCGAGAGACACGTCGCGGCCGTCGGTCGCGGCATAGTGGTAGAGTGCGCGTGCCCGGGCAATGACGGGCTTGCTCGGAGGCGGGGCCGGGGGTCCGCTTTCTCCGTTCTTGTTGCGGTTGGGGAGGGCGGGCGGTTGCGAGCCGGTGGTCTGGGCGTAGCTGGGGGGCGGGCCCGTGGATGCTGGGCTGGCGATAGGAGAGGCTACACGTGCTGCCGCTGGTGTTGCTGATGGTGATGAGGTAGTGGGCTGCTTGTGTTGCTGCAGGTAGCCGTTGAGGGGGCTCTCGGCGGGGAGGAGAGCGTGGATGGATTCGTAGGTGTTGTAGGGGATGACACCCTTCTCGAGAAGGGCCTCGAGTTCCTAGAGAGAAGAACAAAGGAGTTTGTGTTAGAATCGTCAATTTTCCGGGACTGGAGGTCATGTGTGTGTGTGTATGTGTGTGTGTGCGTGTGTCATCTCGTGTCACAGATAGTACGTTTTTGCGTTTGGGGGAGAAAGACGTACATTCTTAATGGTTCGGATGGACCGGTTGTTCTCGATGATGTCTTGACGGTCTGCCATTTTTTCCTTTCTTTTCTTCAATGGAGTTTCTGATGGTGGTGTCAAGTAAAAGGAAGGAAGAGAAGAATGTTCTTAGGGCAAGGTTGGCGAGATGAAGAGGAGAAGGGAGAAATAGGATGGACAGACGTTAAGTGGTCTTCGCAGCGGGGAAGAGGCAAAGAACAGAGGAGAGTAGCGGGTAGGTAAGGGTTGTTGTTTCGAGGGGCGCTGGGTATTGTGAGAGACAGTGTGTTCCCGTGGGCGCCGCGTCAGTGGCAGTGCTGCTCTTCTGAAACGGCAGGTGATAGGCCCCAGTGTAAGTGAGGCTGCGCTCTCGCCAAGGTTGGGCAATGCTACCAACTTGGTCTAGGGAACAGAGCTAAGCTTTCTATGAGGTGAGTACTTATATTCCCTATGTGGATACTTATTTTCACCTACTTGTGCAGGTGTGTAAAAAGAACACAAAAAGAAATAACATAACTGATCAATAGAGAAACGAACTGAGAAAAAATGTGCTTCCTTGTTAGGGTCTCGTATCCATCAGCTTTCTGTCAGGCCTACAGCTGCAACATCTGTGTATCTCGCTTGCGGTCGTCAGCCAATCATAGCGATGGCAGTCTATATCTTTGGCCTAGATGGGAATTCGGGCAAAGAAGTTTCCATGAGATGCGGGAGGTGCAAACAGCTGCAGCTTGGGATGGTCTAGACTCGATTGACCATGATGACGAGGTCTGATATGAGGACTATATACATGTATATGCCCTGTTGTGGCGTGAAAAGGTTGAGCTATTCCGTGTCACTACTGCTGAAGAACGAGGCTTGTCTTGTGGTACCGGACTAGTTTAGCAGTATGCATTGTCAGCTAGCCGGGTTTGAGACATGTTGCTGAAGAACGAGATTTTCTTAATTAAAGCCTATCATCCTACTGCAATCTTCGATCACTCTGGTGCCGAGCAGGCGTGGGATGTTGGGGGAAAAGGCCGCGGAAGGGACCATAGCTGTATCCGTAGGCTCAGAGCTGAGAGTTAGTGCTCCCACCTGCAGCATGCGCACTCTGGCATTCCCTCCGTGGTAGTTGTACATATATGGTGTACAATGATATTTCCGAATGGCGCCCAAGACGCAAGAGATGGAGAATTTTTGGAGCAGGGACCGCCGTCTATATCCACACGCTATTTACCATAGCCATGATGCCGTATCCCAAAAGTACCCCTCTGATATCATCAATGTTTCAATCGTACAATCCGCGTTGTAATGGTCGTAATGATTCCTCGATGCAGTCCACACAAGAAGGGGGGTGCCTCCTCACGAGCTTAGAAGATCTTCCAAACGGCATTGATAAAGAAGGGGGCTGTTCAGACCACGGGAGATCAGCAGGCGTTCACAACCAGATGAATATGGAGGAGACAGAGGAGGAAGCATACAGAGGTAGAGGGCCGCGGCGGCGGCGGCACCCTGCTGGATGGTGTAGGAAGCCTGGGCCTCGGAAGCCCTCAGCTCTTCGGCTGAAAGCTGAGGCATCTGGACTGCTCGTCACGGAGGATGGTTAGCTGCCGGTAAGGCCTCAGGGCACGCAAAAGGTGGATATGTGTTTGAAAAAGTGGGTTTATGCAACTGTAGTAGAGATAACTTACATCCTCCTCCAAACATCTTGATGGCTGGCTGCTTCGCTGTGGGACGGCGGGAGGGAAGGTGGAAGATTGGACGTGGTGTTGGTTATGGGTGCTGGAGCAATGACGGCATGTGAGAGAAAGTTTTGGTGCGAGTATAGACAGATAGAGATAGCCCAGCAGCTCCGATGTCGAAAATTTCCCTAAGGCGATAAGCGATAAGGTGTTGACTGTAGGGGGGCGTGTGTCTTGGGGGGCAGTTTGATTAGCGGACCGTTACAAGGGGTCAGACTGTAGGGCCAGTAACCAGGCAAGATTGTACGTACTGGGTACTACAGTGTGCATCCCACCGTAGCTTCATGTAGAACCACGTTGCTCACAGCTGCGAACCCGCTCCGGTTGTAACCGATAGCTGTCAATCCTTCCGACCGGCCAGGGCTGCGGACCTCTCTCTTGCCTTCAAGCCGGCTACTGGATGTATTGTACACACAGTACATACAGTTCCTGGGGAAAGTATGTATCCGTGCTACTATGTTACGTAGTACAACACATCCCGTAGTAGGTATTACATACTACAATCGTATAGAGCCGGTTCCCTTTTCCTTTTTTTTTTTTTTTTTGCCCACGGCTGCTTATCTCTTTCACCAAGGCTAAATCAACAAACATGTCAAGCCGTTGAGAGCCGATCACGGTGACTGGAGGTCGGGAAAGTCGATCGACGGGCCACAGACAGCGCTTTTGCCAATAGATGCGCGACTCATTCACATTGTTCACAGCCATGACTGACAATATTCTTGATACTTGCCATGGTAATTAGCTGGTTGGTTTTTTATCTTGTGAGGTGATCCCGGTATTTTTTCTTCTTCTCTCTATCGCTCCTTCCCAATCGTCGTCAGAGTCAAGAAAGACAAGAGGAAGAAGGCGCCGCCCCTGGTTTAGTTCCGACTTAAGGGCATCGGCACAGACGCTGTTGGACCATCAGACGGCACCGGCCCGCGCCCAGAGACAAGAAAAAGCAAGAAGGGGGGGAGAAGGAAGAGAGAGAAAAGACATTAGCTTCCTATTTCCTTCGAAAAGTCACCGACATTTTTTCTCGATATATCAGATCGTGCATACCTATCCCTCCTGTTTCCTCACCGTCTTTACTTCCATATCGTGGCACCTCCCTCCTTCTCTTCATCCTCTTCTCCCTCCTCCTCCTCCTTCTTTCTTCTCCTCCTTGGCTGTGTGGGCAGGCTTTTCTTTGCATCATCCCTCCCCTTCAAGTGTGTGTGTTTGCCTCCCGCCCTTCAGACGTACATACACACATTCCTATCGCAAGTGGCGAGGCTGTGCCGGCAGCTCACATCGGCGACTTTCTCACACTCAGATTGTGACACCCACCATCCACTCTCTACACAGAGTCAACCCGTCTCACCTTGGACACGTCCTCCTCTGACACGGTGGAAGCTCAGCAGAGCTGAGTGAGTGGCAGCCACAGTCAACTCTCGTCTCAGCACCCATAAACTTCATCTCTCGTGCAACAATGGCTGCCAATGGCTTGGCCATCTCGCGCCACCTCGGTCGTCTGAGCAGGGCGGCAGCATCCGGAGCAAGGGGCACGCATGCAGCCCTCAGCCTCCGGCTTGCGGCCAATGCCCAGCGTCCATGGGTCTGCCGCTCCTGCTCACGAGATGGTGTCGTTGGCACCAGCAAGGTCTTTACCCGAAAGCAGTCGTCGTCGTCGTCGTCGTCGTCGTCGTCGTCTTCTTCCAGCTATGCCATGCTGGACACCTTTCCTCGGCGTCACATCGGACCAGATGACGCTGAGACGGCCGACATGCTTCAGGCTCTGGACCCGCCTGTCAAATCTCTCGACGAGTTCGTGGCCCAGGTAATTCCTGCAGACATCCTGTCCTCGCGGCTACTCTTTCCCAATGCGCGCTCAGAGAGCAACCAGCCCACCGAGGCTGCCGTTACCGAGGCCCTCCCCGAGTCCGAGGTCTTGGGCCTGGTCGAGGCCCTGCAGAGGGATGAGATCCAGCAGGGCAAGAGCTACATTGGCGCTGGCTACTACGGCACCCTCGTCCCCGAGGTCATCAAGCGCAACGTCCTTGAGAGCCCCGCCTGGTACACAAGCTACACCCCTTACCAGGCCGAGATCAGCCAGGGCCGTCTGGAGTCGCTCCTGAACTTCCAGACCATGGTTACTGACCTCACTGGTCTGCCCATGGCCAACGCAAGCCTCCTCGACGAGGGCACTGCTGCTGCCGAGGCCCTGACCCTGTCCATGAACACCCTCTCCTCCTCTCGCGCCAGAAGACCTGGGAAGACCTATATCGTGTCGGACGCCATACACCCGCAGACCCTGGCCGTTATGCGCAGTCGTGCCGAAGGCTTTGGCATTGCCATTGAGACGGCCAATGTCCTCTCGCAGAACTTCACCAGCCGCCTGGAGGCTTTGGGCGATGATCTTGTTGGCGTCATGGTCCAGTACCCGGACACATACGGCCGCATCAAGGACTTCCGAGGCCTGTCCGATGCCGTCCACAGCAAAGGCGCCCTCCTCAGCGTGGCCACCGATCTCCTGGCACTGACCGTCCTGACGCCCCCAGGCGAGTGGGGCGCAGACATCGCCTTCGGCAGCGCGCAGAGGCTCGGTGTTCCCATGGGCTTCGGAGGCCCCCACGCCGCCTTCTTTGCCGTTATGGACAAGCACAAGCGCAAGATGCCCGGCCGCCTCATTGGTGTCTCCAAAGATCGGCTCGGCGGAAAGGCTCTCAGGCTGGCGCTGCAGACCCGTGAGCAGCACATCCGGAGAGAAAAGGCCACCAGCAATGTCTGCACGGCTCAGGCCCTTCTTGCCAATATGAGCGCCCTGTACGCCTGCTACCATGGGCCCAAGGGCCTGCGCGAGATCGCAGAGAAGGTCATGAGGGGTGCTGCCGTCGTCAGAGAAGCTGCATCTGCCTCTGGTGTCTGGGAGGTAGTCACGGATACCTCCCTCTTCGACACCGTAGTGCTTCGAGGCTCAGCAGCTGCGGACCTGCTGGGGCGGGCAAAGGAGTGTGGCATCCACCTCCGTCACCTTGGCGATGATATGGTCGGCATCAGCGTCGACGAGGCGACTACTAAGGAGGATTTGACGGCCCTGGTGGCGTGCATCACCGACGAGTCCGGTGCGGCCGCCCTAAAGACCGTCGATAAGCTTCTCAACGCGAACAGCAGCACGGTGGAGGTCGCTGAGCCGTTCAGGCGCACGTCCGGATACCTCACCCACCCCAACTTCAACACACATCACTCCGAGACCGAGATGTTGCGGTACATCCACCACCTGCAGTCCAAGGACCTGTCGCTCGTCCACTCCATGATCCCGTTGGGCTCCTGCACGATGAAGCTGAACGGATCCACCGAAATGGCTCTCATCACCAAGCCCGGCTTCGCCAACGTGCACCCCTTTGCGCCTCGCGACACGGTCAAAGGGTACCTGAAGATGATCACCTCCCTGGAGGACCAGCTCAAGAGCATCACCGCCATGGACGCCGTCTCGCTGCAGCCCAATTCGGGCGCACAGGGCGAGTTCGCCGGCCTCCGCGCCATCCGCAAGTTCCACGAGGCCAACGGCCACAAGGACCGTGACATCTGCCTCATCCCCGTGTCCGCCCACGGCACCAACCCGGCCTCCGCCGCTATGGCTGGCATGCGCGTCGTGCCCATCAAGTGTGACACCAAAACCGGCAACCTGGACTTGACCGACCTCGAGGCCAAGTGCGAGAAGCACGCCGCCCAGCTCGGCGCCATCATGGTCACCTACCCGTCGACTTTTGGCGTCTTCGAGCCTGCCGTCAAGCGCGTCTGCGAGATCGTCCACGCCCACGGCGGCCAGGTCTACATGGACGGCGCCAACATGAACGCCCAGATCGGCCTGTGCTCCCCTGGCGAGATCGGCGCTGACGTCTGCCACCTCAACCTGCACAAGACCTTCTGCATCCCGCACGGCGGCGGCGGGCCCGGCGTAGGCCCCATCGCCGTCAGGGCCCACTTGGCACCACACCTTGCGCCCACTGGCCCTGACGCCCAGCCGGGTCTCGTCTCCAGCGCACCCTACGGCAGCGCTAGCATCCTGCCCATATCATGGGCGTACAACATGCTCATGGGCGCTGAGGGGCTCAAGCGTGCCACCCAGGCCACCCTGCTCAATGCCAACTACCTCCTCTCCCGCCTGCGGCCCCACTACCCCATTCTGTACACCAACACCCATGGCCGCTGCGCTCATGAGTTCATCCTGGACGCACGTCCTTTTGCGGCCACGGCCGGCGTCGAGGCCATCGATATCGCCAAGCGGCTGCAGGACTACGGCTTCCACGCGCCCACCATGAGCTGGCCAGTCGCCAACACCCTCATGATCGAGCCCACCGAGAGCGAGAGCCGCGAAGAGCTGGACCGCTTCGTCGATGCCCTTGTCAGCATCCGCCAGGAGATCCGTGAGGTTGAGGAGGGCAAGGTGCCCAAGGTCGGTAACGTGCTCAAGAACGCGCCACACCCCATCGCAGACATTGTCGGGGACAGCTGGGACAGGCCCTACAGTCGCGAAAAGGCCGTGTACCCGCTACCGTGGCTGAGGGAGAGGAAGTTCTGGCCCAGCGTCGGGAGGGTGGATGATAGTGAGTTGTTTCTTTTCTTTTTTTTTTTTCGGGTTTCCCCCTAAATTCCCATGCATTGGTCAAGAAGTATAAATACTAATAGTGTGTTACAGCCTATGGGGACTTGAACCTCTTCTGCACATGCCCTCCGGTCGAGGACACCACGGGTGACAGTGCCTGAATCTTTCAACGAGAATCGTCTGGTGAGAGTTGAGGAGCCGCACATATACAAGATGGGATACGACGTATAGACCTCGCTTGGTACACGATTACTGTTCTATTTCGGAGGCATAGAAGACGCCGGCGTTGCATGGCGAGGGCCGTACAGGTCAGGGCTTATTCAACATGATTTGTTTATCATGATCTATTATCATCATCGCCATCATCATCGATCGTTCATGCGTATTTCAACACAATACGATACCCAAAGGGAAGGGGGCCTGGGATAAAATGGCGTTTTTTAAACATGCCAATAAGAGGGGGTTTTCTAGGCGTCATGTCACTAAAGAAAGTTTTGCAAGAACATGCATTCAACATTTATCGGCCACAGTGCCGCAGCGCTTGGAGGGCGGGCTTAATCTAGTGCAAAGATAGACATGTACAGGGCAGATATTTACCTTATGCACCGTGCCTCGTCTGGCCATCTGGTTGTAAACCTGCGCGAGAAGATTTCATGACAACTTCTCCCAGATCGACATATTGCTTCGCATTTGAGTATTCGGTCTAGCAACCATCATGGCTATAAGAGCCTTATTTCAAGCCTCAAAACCACGCTATCGGAAATGACATTTTGCTGTGCCTTCCAGACGCAGATCTTGGGCATCAAATTCTCGCATTGTTTGGCCAACTAAGCACTGCCACCATACAAATATTGGGACTGGAGACTTTAGTGCTGATTTTAGGTCTGCGTTCCTATACATCCAGCATAACTGCTCCTTTCTCTAGCTGCACTAACTTCGAGACCAAAGACCAAAGCCGCCCCCTTCCCCAGGTGGAGGGCGGTATAAATAAATGTATGGGATGATGCTATACTCGCCCACTCTTCTACCTCTGCAGCGTTTCTGCATGACTTGTTGCGTCACCTACATGAGCGTTGTCGCCAGATGTAGCCGTTTCTTGTCCTTTTATACTCTCTTACTTTTTTCCTTCCTCCTGGCCTTTTTTGGGGGGGAGAGGGGGTTTGGCCTCCACACACAAGTGCTGTAATCCCACCTTGTCAGGCTCTTTTTTTAAAAAAAATAAAAATAAAAAAATTGCGAAGGTCTCTAAATTATTGATGATGTGGCAGTGAGCCTGCCAGTCAGCCTCATATATGCAAGCAGCAGCCCTACTTTGAGTCAGCAATCGACTTGTAAGTACTTGAATTGGCGGGCGAATAAGTAGGCGACTATGTACCATATGATGTGCAAGGAAAGGGGCTATCTAGAGACTGGTAATTTTAGTGAATTGAATATTGATCTTTTCCTCAGTTCACACATCATATTCCATGAAACGTTTACTTTTCTATTCAATGACCCTCTTAGGGAAGCACAGTTGAGGACAGAGTCCTTGCCAGTTACTCGGCCGCAGAGAAAGTCGACAATGTTGTTGCTGCTATTATTGTTGGCCGTCTTGATCAAATAAGTAAGTTTCACATCGTCAAGCGAAAGTCCACGGCAGTCAAGCATAGCCCATAGATACCAGATCTTCTGCCGGGCCCGGACAGCTTGTCAGCAGCTGCAAGTATTCGGAGGTTGTGGCAGATCCGAGACCACGACGGCATAATCTATGGGCAATATCTAAAGCAACACGAGCTTCTCCTCGACCCACGAGTTGATCGAGTGCTCAGCGACGGACCTCCTCGGGTCAGTCCATGGGTTAGACCGCACCAAAGATGCGTCAGAAGTTGGAGGAGGGCCTCGGCTGCTGTATGGACAGTATGCGGCCGAGGAGATTCTCTGGCGCGAGAACTGCAAGAGGCTGAAGGAAGGGAGATGTATGCTGCTAGCGACCAAGCCCATGATCTGGCTGGAAGACATGACAGTCTTCGAAGACAGCTGACTGGACGGCATCCAGGAACGGGTGCTAAGTCAAAAGGAGACGCGAAAGGCACTCCAAGAGATGGACCAATTCCTTGTTTGGTATTTCTAGGTCCAAAAAGGAGGAGGGTATCGCTGCGATGGCGGATCGCACTTTGTGAATGACGACGAGCTCCGTGCCAAGATAATTTGATAGACTCAGATCTCACTATTATCTTTGTATAATTCTTGGAGGTTGTATAGATTTGGGGGGGGGGGGGGAGTTCCCTTGAAAATCTAGTCATGTGTGATCTCAAAAGTCGTCGGGCATGAAAACTTGAGAAGTGCTCGTACGGGGGGTTTTGCTCTGTCTGGTTTTCTTTTTGCTGAAGTATCTTGATTGACTTGGCAAAATTACACTTGGACGTAGGAAGATGAAAGTATGCACAGTCGGTTGTTGGAAGCCCCCGGTGAAACCTGTAGGCCACGGCAATGCAGTCATCGGCCCGAACTGCAATGCAGGTTGGTGATTACCTACTTAAGTATGTGAGCAGGCAGTTCGACACTGTGCCGTTGTCTCATCAAGCGATGAGCACCTTCTGCTTTCTCTATTTCACTCTCTCTTCTTTTGATCATGAGTAATGTTCCGAATGACTACTAGATATGTCGCGTTGAACCGCGAGTTCTACCTGAGCAGTAACAAAAATGCAGTTTTAATACATCACAAAACGTCAACAAAGATGGTAGCGTCGACTTCCTCCAGCAAGCGCTGCAGTGCAAAGTGGCTGGCCCGCCGGAAGAAGCGGAGTTTTCATTTCCAAGTGCTATAAATTCATTCCTCTCACCAATTACCAAAACGACGGCGAGGGATTTTTAGTTCTCTTGTGACGCTCGCAAGCCTCACATAGCACGTGCTTAAGGTATGCGGGACGGTGCAGATGGGAAATGAGTTGCGAGTGGAGGAGGGTGGGAAAAACGTGGCCTGGCGTCTTCCTTCGGGAAGAGTAAGCATTGCATCCTAGTGTGGTGGTGATGGTGGTCAGCTGTTGATGAACCTTGATCCTGTGACCCGAGATGCATGAATTGGTAGAGGTGTCCAGCAACAAGAGTTTCGATAAGGATCTTTTCTCTCTCCTTGCTCTTTATTTATCTTTTCTTTCTTTCCCTCTGTTTGCAATTTTTTTTTTCTTCTCTTCTCTTCTTTTTGAGCTCCTCATCTTGTTCTTTGCGCAGCGAGCCATAGAGAAGTGGGGGAGAAGGAAGAGAAAAGAGTATAAGGGATTGTAGCGCCCGGCGAGGCCGTTTTCAGGTCACTACGCCGCCGGAGCTGTCGGAAGAAAAAATAGTCGTGGGAAGTTTTGGGGGAAAAAGGAAAGATGATATCTTTGGATGCTGGTCTCGGGCGCGTGGAAACATCCGGCGGCCCGCCTATACATCCATGGAAAAAGCACTGCAGCTGTCATGCCACTGGGCAGTGAGGATGCCATGGTGTTGAGATCTTAGTGTGGTCTGTCTCGAAAGACTTATCGTAAGAGTCAGTGTGAACAAAGTTCCTCATGACCAGTTTTCACTTTGATGTGAGCAGGGAGGGTATCAATGAGAAGAAAATAAGACACAAAGAAGCCAGGAAGGGGAGGCGCCGATATATTTGCTATGTACTATAGGAGGTGCTGAGGTGATTCGTGGGCGGTGAGTGTAGTGAAACGAAACAGGCCCCCACTCATGGCCAGCAGCGTCTACTGCGGCTGCATGGGTGAGTGTCGAATCACGCTGTTTTGTCTGTGCTACGTGGTGCTAATACCACACAAGGTGGATGAGACGGGCTTGCAACCTTGACCAAAATACAGCACAGCACAGCAGAGATGATGTGGCAGCTCTGTTTCACGGAGTTCACAGAAGGGGGAGGTTTTCTTCTTCTTCTTTTCTTTCTTCAAAAGGAATTAAATTTAAAAAAGAACTTCGGCCAGCAATTGCAAGCTCGGGTGAAGAAACCTCCAAGCTGAGTGAGGATGAGGTCAAAGTTACGTTGGGAGTCTCTTGAAGCAGGCCAGTCGGTAGGATGGCCTTGGTTTGTTTGCTTCAAATCCCGCCCTCTCTCTCTCTCTCTCTCTCTCACATACACACACACAAGTCGTACAGTTCAGAAAGGGTTCTGACCAAACAGATTTGACAGGTCGTCACCAGAAGTACAACGGGAATTGGGAAACAGTTGTACAGCAGCGGGTGATTCTAGGGCCACACCATGTCTCTCGGTCGTGTGTACCCAAGTGTAATTCTCCGAACCGCTCGTCACATTCCCAAGGGCCCATTGTTGATAAGCGTTTCGTGATATATCATAAATTTGGCACACACGCACGGGACTTGTGCGACCTCCAAGGTTGTCAAACCTGTTGAACCCGGGAAGAAGGGAAAAAAAAATTAGGAAACATTACCGCTATAGTAATGGCTATTATCTCTATTAACTATCCAAAAATTCGATGAAAGTCCCATGGGGACGGGTGGGCACGGATTCAGAGGGTCCAACTAAGTCAGGTCAAGGGTGTCTCTAGATCTCAGCTGAGGATGCAGCCCGGAATGTGGCGCTTGCTATCAGGACGTCGGCCGAGGTTACTGTAGTCCCCTTCTTTCTTCTCCGTGTCTTTTCTCTTACTCATGCAATTTCACCGCCTTTGACAAGATGATTTTGATGATATTAGTTGCTTCAATGTCCAGAGTCTATCCTTCACAGAATAATTCATGATCTTGTCGTCGTGGGAGTGGTTAAAACATGTGTGACTAGATTAGCATTAACCAAGTAATTCCTTTTTTGATCCTTTCTGCCTGACCAAGGACCAGGGGGGACGGCGCCTTAGGTGCTTTACAGTACTACCATAGCACTTTACTGTATACTTATGCACCTTGCTTCGTTGTCCTGTTTCTATTCTTTTCTCCTTTTCCTTTTTCTATGTTCTTCCCTTCCTCTTCCTTGCCAGCCAACCAACATATCTACTTAGATTGTTCCTTTCAAGACCTGAAACGCATTGTTTCTTGTGCAGTATATACTAAGTATTTTGTCTTTTGAATGATCGTCCTGGTGGAGAGGGGTGAGACTTGCTTTATTTGGACCCCAACCCTGGCCCTCCTCTTGCTCTGCCCTTTTCCTCCCTCCCGCCCTCGTTCCTCTCCTACACTACACACGTGCACACACACACACGCACCTAGAGCTCCGTCTCCATCTGGGACTGGACCCCCCGCTTGCGATCCCGCAGCCAGCGCGTCATACCCAATCCACCCAGTGCCAGCAAGGCAAGCCATGAGCCTGCGGGTCTCTCTGGTCATACCACGAGATCGCTCCACCAGCTAAAGCTTGTCGTGTAACAATCAAGCATCGACAAATCGGCCGTCGTGTGTGGGCCAAGCGATTCGATCCTCCCAACTTTACACCCCACCAGGGCCACCCTCCACCCTCTGGAGCGCTTGTGCCGCCTCGTCCAACCACCACCCCTAGTCCCCCCCCCCGTCTCGCCCTCGCCCCTTCAAGATCCAAGATCAGATCAAATCACAACAGCCGCGCACTTCCAAGAGAGATTTTGTCCTCCCTGTGAACCCCCTTGCGGATGCTGCTTCGGCCTGTGTGTGGGACAACCCCCCCTGGCGGTCCGGGTCGGTATTAGATTTTGAGCGTCACAGAAAAGAAGGCGGCGGCGGCGGGGGTTTTATTATGGATCTTGTGCTATGAAGAAAGGTCGCCGCGCCTGACCACATCCATACTCGTCACCCCATAGCGACTTTTTATATATCCTTTCGATCGAAATCAGCACCGTCCTAGCCTCTTTTCTCTCTCCCTCCCCCCCCCCCCTCTCTCTCTTTCCTCTGCTCCTGTTGCTGCAAGTATCAACAGCCTCGGATGGTTGAAGGCCCCCCTTCAGAGGCCGCAGAGGAGCAGGAACAGACATCAGGATGGGCTCGTTGGCTGCTCTCGCCTCGCAGATCATCAGCAACAGCAACAACATCGACCACAATAACAGCAGTAGCAACAATCACAACCATCATAACGCGAGCGTCATGAACCTTCCCGCCGCCGCCACAGCCCTGGCCGAGCTGGACGAAAGTGATTACGCGCTGGAGGTGCTGCTGTTGCCGACATGCAATGGGACATCATCAGCAGAAGAGCAGATGGGACGGGTTCTAAGCAGGAGGGCGGAAGAGCTGGGCATATCAATACAACCGCCGACGCCGATCCACACCAGCTTCAACCACATCCCGACCGAGTCAGACGACGCCACTGCCGCTCCTCTCAGTCATGCTCGAAACGCCTCCTCCGGCTCCGACGAGACCACAGGTACGGCCGCCATGACGACGACGGCATCGAGGCCCTGCTCCCCGGCGGCGAGCACACCTGCGGATCCCCTGGCTGCCACCACCGCTCCCCGACACCATGCGAGCCCAAGGGCGGCCAGATCACGAGGTCTCACTTTCTCCCAGTACGACAGATACCTGGCGCAGGTGGAGCCGAGCCTCAACCAGCCAAAGGCCCACAAGCAGCAGTCGGGCTCGCTCTCTTCGGCAGCAGGCAAGGCGCCCAGCATTTTCAGCGTGGGCAAGAGGAGGAGCGTCATCAATATAACAAACGGGATCAAGGCCAAAGTGCGGTGGAAAAAACGATCGTCCTCCTCCATATCCCCTGCTATGATGTATGCATTCCTGGCCCCCAAAACAAGGCAGTCAAACGGATCATCATCTTCTTCCTCTGGTCAGGATGGGACCGGCCTACAACAGCAGCAGCAGCAACAACAACAACAACAACAACAACAACAACACTGTGTCGTGAGCTCGTGTATCTGCTGTCGAGACGACTTTGCCAAGCAGGACGACCTCCATAACCTGCCATGCGGCCATACGTACTGCGGCAGCTGCCTGCGCATCTTGACCAGCCAGGCTACGACCGACGAGTCCAAGATGCCGCCCAGGTGCTGTACGCAGGCGATCCCAGGCAGCATCATCAAGCCCCTACTGAGCCGCGAGGAGCAGCAGTCCTTTCTGAAGGCCGTGCAGCAGTTCAGCACGCCCTGGGAGGCTCGCATTTTCTGCCCCAACGCCAACTGCAACGTCTTTATCCCGCCTCGGAGCAGGATTGACCCGAAACACCCCTTCGACGTCATCTGTCGCGATTGTCGGACACGCGTGTGCACCATGTGCAAGATGCGCGCCCACCCGCTCGGGCAGGACTGCCCTAGCGACATGGAGCTGGACCAGGTCCTCCGCATGGGCGAGAAGTCCGGCTGGAGGAGATGCTACAGGTGCAGGACCCTCGTCGAGCTGAGCCACGGCTGTACCCACATGACGTGCAGGTGCAAGGCACAGTTCTGCTACATTTGTGGCGCCATCTGGGACCCGTCCATCGGTTGTCCGAACCTCTGTGACGGGCAGGAGGAGCTCGAGCGGAGGAGGCTGGAGGAGGAGCAGCGCGAGGCCGAGGAAGAAGCCGAGAAGGCCGCCCAGGAGGCTGCGGCTGCGGCTGTGCTCTTGGACCGTCTGGAGGCGGAGAAGCGGACACAGGCGAGTGAAGAGTTCACGAGACTGAAGTGCGAACAGGAGGAGGAGATGCGAAGGTTCCTGGCGTTTGAGCGCAAGACCAAGTGGAAGATGTGGACCCGACACCGCGAGCGCAAGGCGGTACTGAACGAGAAGTACTCGGACCAGACCGAGAAGATGCGCGAGCGCCACGCAAAGACGGAGCAGCACCTCGAGGAGCGACAGATCGCAGCCGAGATCGACCTCCGGGCCTCCCTAGAACAGGCCGAGAAGAGCGTGCGGATCCGAGTTAAGCACATGGAGGCCTACTGCAAGAAGGCCCTGGGACGAGCACCCCTCGCCGATGCCGACGCCAACATGCCACCGCGCGTCGTCACGGAAAAACACCTCCGCGAGCTGGGCCAGCAGCACAACGCCCTCGAGGGCATGGCCCGGCTGCACCAGGCCCGCATCAACGTGCTGCGGGACCGCCAGGCCAAGCGCATGGAGGAGCTGCTGGAGAGGCAGGAGAAGGAGCTGGAGAAGCTCGGCGAGAAGCGCGAGGAAGACATCGAGGACCTGGCCGCCGAGTTCGCCCACGAGGAGGACGAGCTCACCAGGGTCTTTGACGAGCGGAGGATGCGGCTCGTGAGGAGATGGGAGCTTGCCATCGAGATTCTGCGGGTCGAAATGGAAAAGGCAAAGAACACAAAGTACGCCCCTATCCCGACGCCCAAGTGGCCTGTTGACAACAGCAACAACATCAATGCCTCTATCATACTTGGAGGACCCAAAGACGAGATGCTGCTCGACGCGGTGAGGGACATTGATATCAGTATGATAATGACTGCGTGAACTCAACAAACGACGGACGATGAACGATGCACACGCGCAGATACACGCACACACGCAGACACAAACATTTATATACATGACAGACACACGCACACACTTGCGAGACGACACGAGACGGAAAGAGACAAATGGAACACAGATTCAGCATGATTACACACAATGTTGACGCAACGATGATAGCCTCTTGCATAATGCATATACCGACACACATTGGTGTCCCGTTCAAGTGCTGAATGGACCCAACATTACTCTGCATGCAGCATGCGGCATTTCTTCTTCCCTTTTCTTCCTTTTTTTCTTTCTTTTTTCTTCTCTTTCCAAGGGGCCATCATCCATTCGAAACTGCCCTGAAATCCGCAGCGTGGAGCAAACTTGCATTATGCATTTCCCGCTCTAGACACGCGGGACATACCTTTTCCTCTTTTCTTTATTCTTCTGTGGGAACGGGGGCCGGCAATATTGCCTTTTCTTTTTGTCTTTTGGACTCTCAGAGGGCCTTGGGAGTTTGGGCCAGGCAAGGGCTTTCTTTGGATCAGACTGTGAACATTGGGTACAAGATTGGCCAAAGTTGGCGGGAGATATAGTCTCAAGTCTTCCTGTCAGGGCAGACAGATGAGCATTCAGTCGTCCATGGTTTTGTGGCATCTGCAGGAAATCTTGAGCCAAGTTACTGATGAGGAGAAACATCAAGTCGGACTGCCTGATGGTGGGTCTTTTGGTGTGCGTTTTGGCTTGGCTTGGATGAGATGAGGAAAGAAGTTGACAGCTGGTGATCAGGTTGCAACTTTTGATCATATCTACTTTAGCAAAGACGATGACACTTGCATTCTATAGCAAAAGGAAAAACTCATCAATCACTCGGGCGTCATCAGGAAAGACATGAGACGAGAACGGGACATTCACCCAACATCATCATCAATATCTAGTAGAGCCCTGGTGAGTTGGACCGAGATGACTTGTCCTGCATACACATGAGATTGAGGCATGGCACTTGGAGCTTGAGTGAGCTTGGCAGGTTGGTAGTGTTCAGCCATGTCTGGGTCAGATTCTCCAGCCTGGTTCCATGGTCCTTGAACCTGTTCTCTGGAGGAACCAAGACTGCAATCCCTCCGTATACAAGCTGTTCAGGCTTGGGTATGAGGCGGCGTCTAGCTGTTTGGTAAAGGTGCACAAAAACAGAAGGAAAAAGGAAGAAGAAAAGAAGAAGAAGACAGGCAGAGCCAGTGAGCCTGGACAAGTCGCGGACACACACACACACACACACACACACACGAAGGGACTAGCATGTCGAGCACTGGGCAAGGGGCCTTGTCAAACCCAAGAGTGCCTTTGTATAAAGAACGATGGCAAAAACAGGTTAAGGAATACACAGAATGAAAGTGACAATCCCTGAATTGGACCTGCACAAGACTTTAAGACTAAAGAAAGGAAGGAAGTAACTAATTACTTATTGTTGCCACAAAATATGCGACAAAAATGCTAGACAGTCAGCGGCATTATAATTGTACAACGAGCGACTTAAGACCTATCGCATTCCTTGTCCTAAGGCTTGCCACGCTGCTCACCATACAGACAACAACAGCCTTAGAAAAGGCGTCAAGGTCTTGAAGTGAAGCTGCTTGGTTTTCTGGAAGGAGGCCCTGGTCTTGTGGGAGAATGCCAGGTCCTGTGATATCCTCCACCAAGGTCTTGAGATGGGGCACCATGAGGGGGGGGGGGGGCTTATGACAAACAGCCCAAGTTCTGAGCACTTGGAATTTTGGTAATAGAGTTTAGGAGCCTGGAGTGTCCGTGAAGACACCTGAGTCTGGTGTCTGGGAGAAGTACTTGGTTCTTTAGGAAGGGACACTTGGGTTTCTGGTCAAGGCACTTGCATCTTCTCTTATATTGTGTATTCCGATTTGTAGTAATAGTAGCCGGTTTCCCTAGCGGTAGGTTCTTTGGTGACAGCGGTAGGAGCGCCTGGTTGATCCAAGCAGAAGCCGCACACTTTAGGAGGGGATATTTGGGCTTCTAGAAGGAGGTTTGGTCTTATAGTTATAGCAACATGTTTACTCAGTAGAAGGTCTGGTCACTGCCAGAGAGGGTGTAGTAGTGAAGCGCCAAGCCTAGAAGTTTGGGCACGCACGATAGTGAAAGCGCCTAGCCTTCTGTTGACTAGCACTAGGGACTTGTGTCAAGAGCCAAGGAGCCTAAAGTGCCTGACGAAGAAGGCCCTGGAGCATTTGGTGAACTTCTTGGCCAGGCTCTTGTTCCCTCTCCTTCTTCCTTCCTTCATAATGGCCTCCTCCTGATAGCATCCAACAATCTTCGCCAGGTCCGCTCTCTTCTATACACGACTGACTCCCTTGGTTTAGATTTTCGAAGCTAGGTCGAAGTCTCCATACATTCCTCTTCCCTGAGCCTGCCGCGAGGTCATAAAATCTCCAACCATACTAAGGCACCAAAAGGTATGGTGGTTTTCGTTCGCCCAGACATCACTGCGTTCAAAACCAGTCCATAACCAGTCCCCCTTTCTTGGCCCCCAACGCCGAGTGGATGTGTCACATGGGGATGGTGTCTGCAACGGCGAGCTAAGTGAAAGGGGGGGGGGGCATGGGAGGGAGGGATTTGCACACCTGGCTGTCCGACCCCATATAGTCGTCTTCCCGTGCCATCACACCTTTGTATGCCGCAAGTGGGCTACATCGGGGTATCTGCCGTTGCGCCAGGTCTCCCCTTCATTTGGCCGGGGGAGGTGGGTCAAGTGGGTGTACTACCAAGTCTCTACAGGCATGCCACTCCATACCGGAGGCGGGACGCAACACGGGAACAAGGCCGCCAAAAAGAGAGCAGTGTTTCAGGTAAGGGGTGCGGACGGCAGATGCCCCCCTACCAATGGACCGTCTTCGATCAGCCGCAGCGGCAGGCCTCTCTTAGTAGTCCTGTTGTGTTGTGGGAATCGGGAAAGGAGAGTTGCTTCGAGAAGAGACATACATGATGCCGATCTCGAGGTTTGGCTAGACGAGGAGGGTCTTCACCGCCAGAAGATGGGATGCTGGCTGCACGGTCATGCTTTTGGGACGGTTTTGTGGTGTGGCTCGCTTTGGTTACGGCTGTCCGTTCGTTGCATCTTGGTTGACGATCACATCCTGGAAGAGCTGCTTTTTGGAACATGTTGCTTCTTTTTCTTGAGTGGCATTATCAGAGAGCACGCACCATGCTGCTGAGTACTCAAGGGAGCACCACAGAAAAATTACTCAGGGCAGGCAAAGTCTATGGGCTGAGTAGGTCACATACACGTCCATCCCACTATTCTTCTCGTCAATTGTTTCCCTTGACCCAGGCTAGCTCCCTTCCATCATCAGGCCCTACTTTGCTTTCCAGGGAGGACAGGCGGCGCCGGCGCCGGCGCCGGCAGCAGCTGGTCATCTGATTGGAGAAGAGGGCATCTTTGCTTGTTTCTCGTTCTTCTGTTTCTCTAACGCGTTTGCTAATGAATCACCCGTTTGGGCATGTCCTGGGTACCATTCTATGCCGTGTAGAGTGACAAAAATAGCCGTGCGCTGCATGAGCATCTCGTATTCTTTCTTTATATCCTTGCGAGTCTCTTGACGCATGTCAGTCCTCCAAACCTGATGTCTTGATACCACATCGGGCGAATCAAAGCCTTTACTCATTCAGATCGTACTCTTATCTTTCTTTTCTCAAGCCCATCACTGGTACTGTGAGGGGAACTGAGATATTCTGGTGGAAAGACAAATTACAATCTACCATTACGATTTGTGTTTTCTGTTCTGAGGAAGAAGTAAAAGAGAAGATAACATCCCGTGCAGGAAAAGAACAGTAACAAGAGCAGAGCAGGAGAATTTGCCCTGAGCGTGAACAAGATGATATCCTCAAGGTCCACGTCAACGCCCCAGCCAACCGGGAATCTGCCCGCTGCCCCGATCATGGCGACCGTTCATATAAATAACAGCAACAGCAATAGCAGCGCCACCACCGCCACCACGGCCGCCGAGGTCATCGGGACTACACAGCTCTTCGACGGAGACCGCCTGCGCTGCGTGCCCATGCCGACCCCCGACCCGCGAGACCCGCTCAACCTCCCAGTCTGGCGCAAGTGGGCCGCCGTCACCAGCCTCTCCTTCTTCGGCGCCCTCGCCCTGGCCTCCGAGTTCATCATCGGCGCCCTGGTCCCCGTCTTCGTGCTCGAGTACGACGGCATCGACCCCAGGATCCTCGGGTCTCCTGACCTCGGCGCCCTCGCCGGCGTCGGCGGCGCCGTCAACCTCAACCCCTTCAGCGTGCTGGCCGGGCTCGGCGGCCCGCCCGTGTGGCAGGTCGCCCTGCTGAGCTCGCTCCCTCTGCTCATGAACGGCGTCGCCTCGTACGTCCTCGTGCCGCTGTCCATTGCCGTCGGGCGCCGGCCCGTCCTGCTGGCTGTGGGCGTCATGGCCTGGGCTGGTGGGCTGTGGGCCGGCGCCTCGCGGAGCCTGCCGAGCCATCTCGCCGCGAGGGCGTTCCAGGGCTTGGGGGCTGGGGCGGTGGAGGCGCTGATCCCTCTGGTCGTGCAGGATATGATGTTTATTCATCAGCGGAACAGGGCCATCTCACTGATTGGTGCAGCTCAGGGAGTGTTCATCGTGAGCCTGGGCATCGCGAGGTATGTGTGCGCGCTGTTGAAGTGATGAGTCAACCCTAATTAAGTCTCGAGGTGACCTGAGGAGAGAAAGAGAGAGAGAGAGAGAGAGAGAGAGAGAGAGGCTGACGAGATGGGTGAGGTGATTGTTAGCCCCATCATTGTGGTTCGTCTGAACTGGAGGTATATTTATTGGATCACGGCGGGTCTGGGCGTCCTGGCTTGGTTCTTTCTTCTTGCCTTCGTTCCCGAGTCTCGCTTTATTCGATCGGATGCCGAGCTTGGTATGTCTCTCTGCTTCTCGTCCTCAAGAGAGAGCTCGAAGCCCCTGGATCCCAGAACTGATATGATGAGACTCATCAGCTGACCAAGATTATCCACAGCCGGCAGACCAGTGTACGCCCTGTACCCAGGAGAGACCCGACCGCGCCTCGACCCGAGCAGCTACGGCCCGCGCGACAAGAAGAGCAACTTTGGCATCTTGAATGTAAACCCCGAGTGGCGACGCGCCCGCCGCGCCGTCTGGGAGACCATCAAGACGTCCGTGATCCCCAACATCCTGTGGGTGATGCTCACCAACTCGGCCCTCGTCTCAATCCAGGGCGCCGCCGGACAGGTCGGCTCCGCGGTGCTGCTCGCGGCTGGGTGGCAATTTGAGCATCTCGGCCTGGCTGTCATCCCCGTTGTGGTCGCCAGCCCCTTTGTCTGGTTCTTTGGCGGGTATCTCGCCGACAGGGTGTCCAACTGGCATGCAAAGAAGGCTGGCGGGCGGAGGGAGCCCGAGGCGCATCTGGTCAGTCTCGTGCTGCCGCTGCTGTGCGGCATCGCGGGGACGGTGCTGTTCGGGTATGCAGCCGACAACGTCAGCACGGTGCCGATTATCGTGTTTCTCATCAGTATCTTCCTCATTGGGTTCGCGTTCCTGACCGCCAATGCGCTGTTGTCGGTGTATCTCGTCGAGAGCTATCCCGGATATGCTGGGTGAGTATCACAGCACATGATTCCCAACCCTGTGCCGCCAGCTTTATACTGATTGCAAGGTTCTCAAAGTCCCGTCCTTATTAACATCTCGTCCTTCCGCCTCATCATCGGCTTCGCCCTCTCCTTCGACGCCACAACCTGGGTCGAGCAGCTCGGCTTCATGAAGAGCTTCTGCATCTATGCCGCCGCCCTGGGCATCGTCACGCTCGGCCTCCCTCTTGTCTATTTCTATGGCAAGAAGATCCGCGCCTTTACGGCGGGGAAGTTGGAACGGACGATGCATATCGAGGGGGTGCAGGCTGACGAGGAAGATAAATCCAGCGAGGGACGTGATGCTTTTGTAGAGAAGTGTCTTTGATGACGTCGTGTTATTCCTGACAGACAATGCTGCGGCACCATGACGGTCGACTCATAAGGATCTGGAGTAAATGAGCAAGAGATACAACGTACTGTCCAAGGTAGTGAGCATACTTCACTTGATACAAACGTAGCCATGAGATAAATCAGGAATGCAACGTACCATGAACAAGAAGAAGGCCCTTTTCCCGAATCAGTGTCTTGGCTGGCAAAAGAGATCAAAGAGACGAGATGGACCCGCTTGGAACTTGGCAGATATATGCCGGTGTTGAAATTCGCTCTGCCCTCTTGGTAGTTCATCTTCTCCATGCTATTGCTATTTGCGTACTGCCCTCCTACACAGGCTGTTGAATCACTGGTCCAGTCCGGAATTCCCTCCCATGCCGCCAGAGTTGCGCCGAGTCCAGTATGCAAATCCTACCTCCCAATATCCCTTGTGCCGAGAAAACAAAAAGTAATAAGAATACAGGACAAGTGACGAGCACGACTTGAATGAAGTGTCTGGTCAATTCGTCACGAACATCACAGCGAGCTCGTCTTGTCCTGTCCCGAAATAACAGCCTCATCCAGTCCCCGAGCCGCGGCCACAGCCTTCTCTCCAGCCCTCTTCCGCAGGACGTTCTCGATGAAAGCCTCGCCAGCCTTGTACGATGAGCGCACCAGGGGCCCGCTGGCGCAGTAGAGAAAGCCCATGTCTAGGGCTCTCTGCCGCCAGTATTCAAACTCGTCAGGCGTGACATACTTCTCGACCTTGAGGTGTCGCTTCGTCGGGCGCATATACTGCCCAAAGGTGACGACATCGACGCCTACCTTTCTCAGCTCTGTAGCAGTGCGATCGATTACCCGTCAGTCAGTCATTCTCAAGTCAACAGAGGGATGGGTGTGGTTTACCTCTCAATGTCTCCCAGATCTCCTCCTCCATCTCGCCCAGACCCAACATGATACTCGTCTTGGTGATGATATCGTCTCCCTTCAGCCTCTTCACTTCCTCCAGCACCTTCAAGCTCTGCTTGAACGTAGCCCTGCGGTCCCTAACGTAGGGCGTCAGGCCCTCGACCGTCTCCACATTGTGGGCGTAGACGTCCAGCCCGCTCTCGGCAACGAGCCTGACCATGTCGAGGTCGCCCATAAAATCTCCCGTCAGCGCCTCTACCAGCAGGGTGGGTTTCTTGCTCTTGATCCTGCGGATGGTCTCGGCAAAGTGCCTTGCACCGCCGTCAGCGAGGTCGTCTCGGTCTACGCTAGTGAGCACGACGTAGCCCAAGCCCCACCTGGCGAGGGCCTCGGCGGTGTTCTCAGGCTCGTGGGGATCGAGAGGCTGGGGCTTGCGGTTCGTCTTGACACTGCAGAAGCGGCAGCCGCGGGTGCAGGTGTCACCCATGAGCATAATGGTGGCGGTGGCGGCGGACTTGTTGTCGCCGCCCCAGCACTCGCCGATGTTGGGACAGCGGGCCTCCTCGCAGACGGTGTGGAGGTTGAGGCCGCGGAGGTCGGCCTTGATCTTGCCGTAGTTGGAGTTGGCGCCGGGAGAAGGGATGGACGTCTTGAGCCACTTGGGAATGCGGGTAATCGTCTTCTTGCGGCCGGCGGGCCCGACCTGGGCAGTGCGCAGCTCGTAAGCCTCGGAGCTGGGGAGGTTTTCTTCTTCGCGCTTGGCAAGGAAAGAATCGAGGGAGAGGACGGTGGTATTCTTGAAATATGTCGGTCGTACGCTCGTCCCTGAAGGCGTAGAGGAGGAGGAGGACAACGACGATGAAGACGTTGTTGTGGTGATGGGCTGTGAGGTCGGGGACTTGGAGTCTGTGGGAATAGTGGCATAGCCTCGACTGCTCGAAGCCACAGCTCGCGTGAGAGAGCGCCGCAGTGGTGCCTCTACGCGGCGTAGTGTTGACGCTGAGGATGCCATCCTTGCCAAATAAGGGGACTGGATGTGATTGTAGCTCGTCAACGACAATTAAAACGACGCCGCCGCCAACACAGCTCAAGTATGGTTGTACGAATTGTTGTTGAGAAGGGCTCCGAAGTTCGCCTCTCGATCGGGCTTGCGAAAGCAGAAAGTTGCTCCAAGTCCCCGCCTAAAGTCATTAGGTAAAGTTCCGACGGTACCCGCTTATTGGCGCCAGGGGTACTCCCAAGGGGATAGTAGTCAATGATCTGAGTTGATTACTTAAGCAAAACGACTTCGGTACATTGTGTACTAATTACATGGAAAGGAGCAGTCAACGCACATAGTGCAGTTGCCCTGCAGGCAATTTTCAGGCCACTGCATGCATTTTCAAAGTTCAACATATGATTTTGTTACTACAGATTAGCCTTCATTGTAGCATACAATCTTGTGAGGGGTCGAGCTCTGCATCTTAAGAGCAGCAGTCATCTGATCACATAAGACAAAACAGATTATATAAGAAAATAAGCGATAAGCCAATCTAGAGTTGAGAAGGAAAGCCCGTGTCAATCAATTGAATATAAGGACATCAAGGCTTTAAATACAAGAATTACGAGTTATTGCTGAACTCTCATGCAACTATCTTACTATGATCTATGGGGACTATGCTTGGCGTCGCACTGCTCTGGCGAAGAGATGTGTCTCCACGGATCGGGGATGGACGGTAGCTGTGGAGAGGGTGTGGTTCTTGGCCGCCAGGAGTTCAACCATTTTGGCTTGTGCAAGCTTCGAGAAAATATACGCAGCCAGACCTGGGAGCGAGGAGGCAGGAGAGTGGTTGTCCCAGTAGTCAAGACGGGAAAAGTGGCCTTATCTCAGTGGCTTTGACCATTGCATGAGGGTCTTCGACATTTGTCTATGCAAGAAGATCGCATGAATTATGTATTGTTTCAAAACAACCAGCAATTAAGGTTCGAATGGTGAGAAATTTCAGAAATATGCTTCGAATGATTCCGACTACTCGTATGCATTAGCAGGCGACAAAGTACAATAAAAGCAATAAATAGAATATTCATGAAATACAACAATTGAAATTTGCAGGAATTAAATGCTAAGAAAAAGCGATCATATAAAAACACTAGCGTCTCAAAGATCCGACCTTTTCTTCTTCTTCTTCTTCTCCTTCTTCTCCTTCTTCTCTTGTTCATCCGGCAATTCTGTCTCTTTTGTCTTTTTTTCGGACTTTCTCTTGCCTTTCTTCGTTTTTGTCTTCTTTCTCTTTCTCTCGACCGCGGAATCAGACTCAGAATCAGCACTTGCATCTGATTCTGTGTCAGAGCCTGGCCCTGAGCTGCTGTCTGATTCGTGACTTGGCCCAGAGCTTGCATCTGAATCCGAATCTGATTCGGATGAGTCCTGCACTCTCTTGATTCGATTTGGCTTTGCTTTGAAGCTAGCTGGTCTGACCTGGTCTCTGGACGCTGTCATCTCCTCATCATAGCCGTGAGTCTGCAGAAGATAATCGTTGAACTGACTTGAGGCATCTGCAATCAGCATGAAGGTATCTTGATCCAAGACAGGTGTCTTGGACTTCTTGGGAGATGGTGATGGAGTCTCCCCGCCGGTTCGCTTTCTAGACTTTCGTGACCGGGCATTGAATTCTGCTAGCGCAATGGCGGTTTGGAATGCATTCCTAATTTGACGACCGTTCCACTGAAGACTCTCCCAATTGGTCGAGGCCCACTTGATGATCTCGTGCTTGTCGTACTTGATGGGTTGTTGACCTGCCTTGACTCGCTGTTCATTGACTTCTTTCAGCTTTCTGATGTTGTTCTTCCAGATCTTGGTACTTTGCTTCTCGAGAAGCTTTGGATAGTACAGCGTGAGATGAAGTCGTGAGCGGAACGCATCGTCAATAGCACCAACCCGATTGGTTGTCAGGAACAAGATCCCTGGGTAGTACTCCAGAATGCGAAGGAAAACTAGGTCGAAGCCATCAGTATAGCTATCTTTGGTATAGCTTGGAGCGACTGACCAGATACAAGTCCGTTTCGCTTCACGTCGGTTTTCTATGAGATGTCAGTGCTACAAGATTCCTTCTGTTTAGGTCACTCAGGTGTTCGTACAGTTCTTTTCGCGAGAAACACATCTGCCTCGTCTAGTAGCAGCACGCAGGCCCACCGGTGAGCTAGCTTGAAGTGCTTTTCCAGATTTGCCTCGACAACATCCGGCAGATGTCCAATATCGCCTAAGTTTTTCGGCGCGAACACTGAATTAGCCATCTGTCGACACTTGAGAGAAGAAATTAAGTTCCGACGTACCGCAGGTAATGGGATACAATGGCCGCTTGGTGTATGCTGCCACGCATTCTATCGTGTCTCGTGTATTAGCCAAAAAAATTTGTTGGAATCAGCCTGCGAGAATATCTAGTGAGTCCTACCGGCGGTGGATGTTTTACCCACTCCAGGAGCACCATGAAGCAGAATGATGCATCCTTTGCCTGTACGACGCAATGGTCAGTATACACGAAAACCACAAATCATGAATCAAGAGTTACCTTTCCCTCGAACGAGATCTAGATCAACTTTCTCGGAAGGCTGATCATATGTTGCTTGAGAATCATCTAACCGTCTGGTGTATGACTCAACCATCGCCTGCACCATCTCTCTGTGGCCTTTAGGTAGAACAAGATTGTCCCAGTTATCTCCGCGCTGTACATCCTGTAGTCGATCGATATCTAGTTGGACTGGTTCTTAATCAGTATTATAATCTCAGATCGTGTATTACTTAGTTCATGGGTGTGCAAAGGCGGTCCCTCACCCCATTTGCGATTACGCAAGGCATAGCCGGGGACGATTCCCGGGAAAAGTTTTATCAGGCCGGTATTCTCCAGGTACGACCTAAACTCTCCTCGAGCTTTCTTGGACTTTGCTTGTTGCGTAGCATGGCTCTCGAATGCCAAGGCAATCTGTTGCAGGATCTTCTGACTCTCCGCATCTTGAATTTCGTAATACGAAGGTCTTTGGCAATTATTTGCGTAACACCAACGATGGCTGATGCTTCGTTCGCCGTCAACTTCATCATGCCTATACCAATCATGCGCTTCCGGCTGACTTCCCTCGGTTGTTCTCGGCCATTCGGTCTTGGTCTCAAAGTCCGGTCTGATTTCTAAAATGTCTGGTAGGTCGCTACTTTGTTCAAATGCAGTCTTGAAGTCAACGATAACTTCGCTGGTGATCTACAGGAGACGTTGGTTGTTAGCTGGCAGCAAATAGTCTTGAACATGAATATTTGGGCATACCGTCTCTCGCGTGCTTCCCGCAGTGCTACCGTCGTAAGACATGTGAGAGTCGCTCATGAGGTCGACAAACTTACGGCCCCTCTGCAGTAGGCGATCCATTTCTTCGTCTTTCAGATGTTGCGCCGGAAAGACCTCCATGTCTCGTACATCTTTCAGACCGCTATAGGGTTTGATCTGAAACAATTCTCTTTGAGTACCGAATCGATCACCGTCATACTCCACGTTGAAGCAGGAGATGACAAGTGCGGACATTGTGGTTCTGTTTCGTCTCCTTGCGACGCCGCCAACACCATGACCCATCAGCGGCTGTGCAATATCCCTGCGATAACCTGCTGACTCTCCATGTCGGAAGAGGTCCAACCGGTCTAGTCGCAGCATGGCATCAACATTCTGCAGGAAATCGTTCTCATCAAAGTCTTCCTCGACTTCCCCTGGCATAAGCGACGTCTTCAACGGGACGCCACCCCTCACGGAGAGGACGCGATATGCTTGAGGGGAATATCTCGCGCGGGACTCAAAATCAGTAAATACGCAATCACTGTCTGTTCGATCAGCAAGAGCATCGGTAACCCAGAAGACTTCTTTGCCACTTCTGTAGGGGCAATAGATCATGGTACCGGTGTCGAAAAGCATCCATAAGTTCTCGAAGGCCACCTTGTCTTCCTTGCCAAGTTTGAGCTTTTCATACAGCTCCAGAGACTTGTGCAGATACTGATCCGCAAATTTGACAACCGTCCTGAAGTGATTCAGTGCGGACGGTCTCAGAAACGGCTTTTCGTGATGCTCAGAGGTGTCTGCGTCCGGAGGGGCTGTAGATGTTGACTCGGGCTCAGTCAGTTCAGAGCTAGGGGCGGCGTCGGTCTCGGTGGGCGTTGTTGAGTAGTCGGTCTCAGACTTCGGCTCATTCAAGTTCTGACCTGATTGGAGCGATCTGTATATAATTCGTTAGATGATTCATTTGGCGCTCCAACTTCGGGGTTCTCATACCCATAAGCCTTTTCAAGCTTGTTGAGATGGTCTCTCAGCGGTTGAAGGTTCCTAATCAGTGGACGAAATGGCTTGGAGAGACGAATGCAGGCGAAACCAGTGCCACAATCCAGGGCCAATACATCTCTGAAAAACGAGGAGATGGGGTCGGATAGGATATTCAGATAGATGATGTCGACTTGCTCTGGCTTTGGGTTGACCTTGTCGATGGTCGTGTTATCCGACAACTTGTTGTACAACACTCGTAGCACCTGCGGGTGGTCCCTCGTAGAGGAGAAACGCCCATGGTCCGCGGCCATGTCAACTAGGTTGCCGTCTGAAAACATATCGCCCTCCTCCGCTTCGAAAAACTTGACCTCATTCCGGATATCGTTGGGGTCGTGAATTTCGGCTTCATCTGGGGTTGGGTCATCTTTTACGACAGACTGATCCTTCGCCTCTTCATCTCTGTCTAACTTCTTCTCGATAGTACGAAGACGCTCATCAACATCTTTCATGTAGTCAATGACGCCAGTCAACACACTCTTTCCAGTGTCTCCCGCAGAAATTCTTCTGATCATCTCCAGGTATTGGCGGTACAGATTTCTAGCCGCGTCATCTTCCGAAGGCTGTGGCGAAGGTCCGCGGTCCTTGTCGGCCTGGTCATCCGAGACTTCAGTTGGCGTCTGCTCGGGGATGAGATCCTCGGCGGGTGACGGCTCAGCAGTAGAGGGAGAATCGCTGGCTTTGCCTTCATGAGGCTTCGCGGATTGGAATTCAGTCTGCGTGGCATTCTTTTCCGTGATCGACGCCTCGTCGCCGTGACTGGTATGACTTTCCAGGCCCGTTGCGTTGGCTGGCGTCGAATTGTCATCGGGCACAGAGTTTGAATCGCCGCTGTCAGCCATCTTTTCGTCCGTAGAGCCCATGTGTTTGACTCTCAGAAGTCGGGCGATTATCTCGGCGAAGAAAAACGAGAGATGCAACTGATATTTTCTTAGTAGACCGCTCTTTGACTTTGCTGAGCAGGAAGATAAAAAAAGCCGACAGCACGATGCGCTCAAGAAGATTCGATTTAAGCTGAAGACGAACCTCTCTCGTGCGTGTCCTGCAATTTTCACAGCTTCCTTCTCGAATACTCAATTCGAGGCTCGACAGAAATCTAGTCGGGCCGAGCTTTATTGGGAGCTTAGATACAGTAAGCTTACGTGTGACGGCAGGATTATGCGTGACTGGGATTGTCGTCACGACAACAAAAGTGCTATTGGCCGGTCTGGTCTCAATCTGCAAGACGCTTCGTAAAAGAGATGTAGGGCGATTACGGCGGTGATCAGAGTCGGCAGGAGAAGCAGTCCTCAGCTCGTTAGCCGCCCGGAACCCTCAATAGTGTAGCGGGCTGAGTAAAAGGCCATGCCTGAAAAAGTAGCTAGATTACGTTTCCTTCAAGTATCAAATCTTGCTATGATAATACATTCACGTTTTCTACCACTTTTCATATTGTACTGGATCCATTGTTTTAGTAGGCCTGCGCTCTTAACTCCCTGCTTGCTGCGTTTTCTTTACCTTGTGACGGACCAGCTCGACGGACAGGCTCCATGTGTTCGTCCTAACAAGAGGCTGAATTCAAGATGGTCGATACTGCGTCCCTAGATGGTGAGATGATCGCTGAGGTCCCACCTCATCTAGTGACTACAACAAACAGCGCCGCCAGATTCGCATACAGGGCCATCGGTGAAAATAGCACCACGGATACTGCTGATGAGCTGGTTTTCGTGGAAGAGTTCGATGCGTTTGTCAAGCGAGGCAAAGTTCCAGAGTCTGTAAACATGCTTATGTTATCACTTTCAGAATGTGGGGCTGATGAACAGCAGTCTCACAAATTGTTTCGATGGGTCAAAGAAACAATTGGAGCTTTTCGAGGCTACCATGAAAAGATTTGTGAAGAATATGGCAACTCGAAAGAGATTCAGATCCCTTGGCATCGACTTGAAAGATCCGACACATTGTGATCTCAGTTATGTCTTCAAGGTAGCAACAGCCGCTGTCGAGCAGCGGGATGGGACAGGAAGCTTGCGGACTTGCAAAGACTTCGCCCGAAAGTGTTTCAAGAGCGCAAGCAAACGGCATACAGCTCTTGGTGCCATAATGTCCATGATCCCTAGCGATATCTACGGGTCAGCCATTTCGGGAGGCGTTATGACCATCCTAGCGGTATGTTGGTCATTATTTAGCATAGTCTCTATGCTGTCTCGGTCGCGCGACTAATGCTTAGCACTTTGCAGGCCGCTGAAGAATATGAGAAAAAGAGAAAAGCTGTCGAAGATGCTCTTGCCGATATACCGAAAAAGTTAGACAGAGTCCAGAGGCTATCTGACCTTCATATCAAGTCGAAACGTCTCCACGGAAAGGCTGACAGTGTCTTGGTCGCCATTTTTGTGGTTCTGGAGGGGATTATCAACGATCTGACTATGGATTTCACATGTTCGTTAAGAGTCTGCGTCTATTTGGGTTTCAAAAATACTAACAAGTAGTTCATAGCCAAGCTTACATCCAAGATAAAGTTCGGGGCTGAGGATCAAATCACCAGTGCCTTAGCCTCTCTAGATAGCAGCCTTGCCGAGTTCCAAGCAGAGTTGGATGTGTGTACTCAGCTTCGAATGGGTCGCATGGACGAGAATATACGAAGAATCCAAGAGGCTGCGATCAGTAAGTCGAATCAATTGGCAATAAGTGTCAAATGACAGAAGGGATCAGATATACACTAACTTTTTACGTAGAAATCGCTACGGACCTAGGTGAGAGTAAATCAAATGCCGTCAGCAGAGACAATCTTCAAGAGGCTCTCTGCAATGCTCTTCATTGTTTCTACGCGAGTAACCCTCACTTTAATCCTATCGACGGCGGTGGTGAGTCTCTCTCAAGTAAAAGCTTTTCAGCCAGAAGATTAACAACAGCAGTTCAATATCTGGACGCCGGGGCTCGCACCGAAGACACAGTCACGGACAAGGGCAACAACGACGGTACAGCCAGTCATTCTGAGAGGAACAATAGTATTGTCGGCTCATGGTTGGATTTGATTGGAGACTTCGACGCGAGTTCCGAAAATCACGTCAAAGAATGCATTCGCGCTGGTCTTGGCCAACTTACACTGGAGGACCGGGAAAAGAGCCAGTGGATCATGTCTTCTGGCGAGGTTCGCAATTGGCTGCGCCTGGACCAGTCCAGTGTTCTGAACATCAGAGCTGAAGAAGCACCACAGGGCCTATTCCATTCTCTGTCTTTCACAGCCGCTCTGCTAGCTGAGACACTCCAAAAGTCGACCAACTACCCTGTCTTATCTTTCTTCTGCGGACTGCGGACCAACGACTCATTCGACAGTGAATTATGTGGTCATATGGCGGTTCTTAAGAGCCTTGACGGACAGCTAATGAAATTTTGCCTCGAAAAGCGACCAGGAGTTGACTTGTCATCACTTGAGCAGCAAAAGAAGCGGCTGATCAAGAAGTCAACCGAGGCGCCCAAATATGCCTTCCGGCTTTTCCGCGAACTCCTCGGATTACTGGAGGAAAAGGACGTCGTGTTCGTTATTCTCGACTCTTGGTCTCGGTTGCTTGGAGACAGAACACAAGCAGACAAGATTATTGAGAAGCTGTCACAAACAACCAAAGAATTGCCTAACCTGGTGATCAAGATACTCGTTCTCGATGCACTTGCTTCGGACGCTGTGAACCAGGTGGCTGACGTGTGCCTCTATGTGCCCGAAGAGGTCGACTGTTGGAAGAATGATGTACAATTGGGCCATTTGGAGCAAAGTAATCTGTGCATGGTGGAGGAGCTGCAAGAGACACAGCGAAAGAAACGTGAGGACTTGGTCGAATCAGACTCGGAGGATTCAGAAGCAAATTGGTAGAGCCAGATGATTCCATGATTTTCATATTCTGTTAGTAACCTCAGAACTCTTGTTATATTAGCTGTGTTCCGTGATCCCCAGGCTACTCATCCGCGACTCGGAGGCTAAACTCACTGCTATGAAAAATTGGCAACCTTCTTATTGAAGGCTAAAGATTGATTCTTCCAGTACACTAATGCGCTCCATGTTCCTCATTGAAGAAAACCTGCAACTTTGGCCTTGCACTAGCCTTTCCTGAACCTCCGTTTTTGATTAATTTGATGTAATGAGCACTGCAGTAATTCGAAGATACCCAAGTACACAAGGGGTTTATACTAACAAGAGCGGTGCCAAGTACAGGCCTTGACTAGGAAACAATGTCTGAATGCAAATATTCACTGCCTTTGGGGCTATCAGAGTGTGTTGTGTAATCTGATACTTAGATTGACGACTGAAGGGCTATGTACAATGATCAATCTACGGGTGGTTATAACTCGGGTGTTGGTGATGACGGGTTATCACTGGTGATTGGCCGGCTCGTAACCCTAACCCTGTATTATGTAATCCTTTTGTAGAGCATCATCACCGATGACGACACTGCCAATGTTGAGGGATGGCCATTTGATATGACGGCGGAGCAAAAGAGCCGCCGAAATGCCTGGCATGAGACACTACGCGCCAATGACAAGGCAGTCACCCTTCATTCAGACGTCACAACAAATTCTGGATTTAGATCTTGGCCATCAATCAACACCAGTTTTTTTTAGGTTGCTGGCAGAGCTTATCCAAACATCATTTGCAGTCACCCAAGCAATACTTACCACCCAGACGAAGTACCAAGTACGAAAAAGAAAGCCAGAATGTCGCAGCGTCACGGTGTCGTCGACTCTGTGGGAAGCAAGGCCAGCGAGGTCGCGTAAGAAGCCAGCCACTACACCTCTGCAAACCCCTTTCTCGCACCAAGCCCTTTGGCTGACATACTATACGTTCTTTATCCAGCATGGAGGACTTCAGCAAGGCAAGACTGCTCGTCAGTGATGCTGCAAAGAGCGGCTCGTACATGTACGTCTCAAGAATTCTCGTACCAGCTCTTGAGAGTAACTTCCACTTCATCTCAGGCTTGTCTGATGGATCTTGGCTAATTATTCCCATGCGCGGGGTCTCAGCTATCCCTTCAAGGCAAGCCAACTTTCCCCTCATGATGTGTCTCGGCGATTATACTCACTGACACCTCCCAATCCAGGGCATCGTGTACTTCTTTGGCCATCGGGCCTTGTGGAGGCCATTCTGGAGCAAGCTCGGCCCCACGCTGGGCCTGAGTGCCGGGGTCCTGGCCGGCATGTTTGCTTTCGCCTACCTGCCCCAGCTGGCTGTCATGGTCTTCGTCGACGGTCCCATCGCAGTCCTGTCGACCGTCCTGCTCGTTCTCAATGAAAGCTCCACCATTGTCTCCATGCTGTCCCGCACCTGGATCCTGCAGGACGCCCTGCTCGACACGTTCGACGGGACGCTGGTGGCGAGAAATTCCACCAACCTTGTCAAGAACGGCAGAGAGCTCAAATCCGGCAGTGACCCTATCGCCAAGCTGGGCAAGATCCTCAAGAGCCCCTTTGACCGCTTCAGCCCCAAAGCCATCATCCGATACCTGATGTACCTGCCCTTCAACTTCATCCCTGTTGTGGGCACCGCCGTCTTCATCGGTCTACAAGGTTCGAGTGCCCCCATTCGAGATAGCTGAGTTGAGAGTGCGGCTAACTTTTGGTCTAGGCCGGACACGTGGAAAGACTGTTCATGATCGAGTATGTGGAGAACAAATTCCATGGTTTCCAGCATCTTGATGAAGCCGAGCGCTGATTTTCAATAATAGTATTTCCAACTCAAGAGATGGTCCTCTTCTCAAAGGTCAGAGTGGGTGCAGAAGAATGTCGGTGCATACACAGCGTAAGTCCTCGGCTGTTTGATACCGAGTCCCCGCTTGGATTTGATTTGCATGTCAGCCCCAAGCCTGCGACATCTCGAGGTTTCTACTAACGTCTTATTATCAGCTTCGGCACTGTTGCTACGCTTCTGGAAATGGTTCCCTTCGTGGGCATCTTCTTCTCCTTCACAAATACCGGTGAGTGAAACTCCTCTGCACGCTGCCTGTCGTATCCGGCCGCGAATCAGGCGAGACTGACGGGATTTTCAGTCGGAGCCGCTCTGTGGGCTGCGGACATCGAAGCCAAGAACACGTCTATGATGGAGACGACAGCACCTGAGCTGCGGGAAGCGGCTGAAAATGCCGAGTGAGTGCCACCAGAGGTGCCGCAATTCGAGGTTTTTGGGCTGCACGATTAGTTCAGGTGCCACAGTATAAACGAGAGACACGGCTGCAGGTTTGACAGGTTGCTTGTGTGACAGCAGAAAACGAACCTTTCGATACTCGTTTATTTGAAGAGCAATACAAAGCCTTTTGACCAATGCCATCCCATTTAACTTGACATACCTGTACGCACCGAGATTGTTAATGGTTGACAGCTTGCACAGTAGATTCTTGCCGTCTTGCCTAAAATCCTAAGTTATGCCTGTCAGCCCTTGACATCCAGCCGTTATGCGTTTCGATTCGGCATATCTTTGCACTTGCTACCTTGATCGGGAGATGCATTTCGCTAATCTTGTTCACTGTTGCGTGTACCTTACTGGTGATTCTCAGTTGCCGTTCTTGGAGGACGGGATTAACACTCGAACAGATGTAGGCAGCTGTGGTTCGTCTCACCGAGCGTCGCATACTATTTCGACCTCGGAGAGGCCGCGAATTTTAGGAGTTACCCTTCCGTGCCTTTTTCGCCTTCCTCTTGCTCTTCAACACCAGCCCGACACGAGATGAAGGCTCCATGAAGCGGAAACCATCCAGCCTTGGGACAGAATGATAACCGAGAGGCTATAATGACTCGTTCGCCTACTTTCCGGCTTGGACGTTCTGAGAACCCAAAGGTTGCTCTTGTTTGGGGCACACCGCCGCCATCTCTGGGGGAACAAGTGTATCCTCGTCAGACAAGAATTGGGGGACACAAAGAAGGTCAAGGGAACGTTGTGCTGACGACTTGTTCCTACAGGCATCGCTTCATCCAAGGCTCATCACAACGGCTTCCTACCATGCACTCATTCCAACTTCAATATTTTTCTTCCTTCCTGTTCTCCCTGACACTTGGTGGCCTTTCCCTATTTTTTTCTTCTTGTATACATCGTAGGTTTCCTTGCCTTGTAGATCTATCTTCTTGCAGTCTTTACCTACCTTTTATCACGGCACATGCCTTCCTTCTCGGCCTGCTCTTCCGTTTTACCATCAAATGTTACTGCGAAGGGACCTTTTGTGTCTCATATTCATCTATTACTGTCTATTATCAAAGTACTCTGAGAAGTGCTGCTCAACATGAGGGTCTCTGCAATCAAGGCCCAGTTCGCCTCTGTTCTCATATCTCTCAGCCTATCTGCCCAAACCCGGGCGCAGAGGAATGGCAATCTAGACGCACCAACACATGTCGGACCTCCTTTGGGTCAAACACATGTTACCGACCATGATGAGTTCTCTGGTTCTCCGCCAACGGGTGATGCTATTGTTATCACAACCCTGCTGTCTGAGATGAATGAGGACGCTCGTCGCCCACGACCACATTCACGCTCGACTACGAGGTTCACTCATGTGACGACCACCCGTAAGCTAGCCAATATAGAGCATCATTAAGTTTTCTTCTCCTCTTTGCGGATGACAAAAGAACCAGAGACTGATTATCTCATCTCAATAGTACACTTTTCATTTACAACTACGATGTCCTCCGACTCAACTGCCACGATGTCGATCTCGTTGCCAATAACGGACTCGTCCAGTGGAAGAAGCAAGAGTTTCACCTCTACTTCCGTGCTATCATCATCTTCCAGCTCTGAGGGCCACAGCACAACCAGTACAACCAGCACGATCATCATATCTTCCAGCAGGAATTCATCCTCCACTTCAAACAGTATTGGAGGAACGACTGCGCCGGAAACACCAACAATGCTTCCCGGCCCAACTGGACCTCCAGGCCATATCAATACGACCAGCAGCCTTCTGTCTACTCACAGGCACAGGCCTACGAATACGACCAAACCCACCACCATAGCACCCCACAGCACAACATCAGAGCACTCTACGGCAGCAAACATGACGTCGGCCTCAAGTGGAACCTCAGTGATCGTATCAGTATCTGTCAGCACAGAAACAAGTGTCAGCACGACAACATCGTTGAACACCACAACGTTGATCTCGACCACTTTCATCTTGACCAACTCTTCAGCAGTCCCATCCACAACGAGAAAAGCCTCCCTATTGACACATTCCCCTACATTGCACATGAGCACGACCTCGTTATCCATCAGTGTCGTGAATGCAACATCCGCCCCTTCTACCGAGTCAACAACCTCAATCTCTGGTAACTTCTCGTCTAGCAGTGCTTCTGATAGCGGTGGCTCTTCTTCAGCTCCGTTTCCACTATCCAATTCCACAACGTTGGGTCCAACCACAAGTGCAATCCCACCTAGCAATTTCACTGTCACTGCAGGTTTCAGTTCGTTCTCTGTGTCTCCTCTCGTCCCCAGGCCATCACCTCTACCCAATTTGACATCGTCTCTCGTATTATCCGGGAGTGGGACAGTTTTGGGAGATTCGAGCACTTTCACGGCCCTCCTCCCGCCGCCACCCATCACACCGACCACGGTTACAAGTGCAAATCACCTGTCTGCACTCACCGGGAGCGCAGCCAATCCGCCCAAAACGCTGTCGCCGGGACCTCTGCCACCGTTTCCTCTAAGTAATGCAACATATCTCACCTCTGTGTCTGGAACTACAGAAATGGTGACTATCGGGTCGCCGGTGATCGTCACAGTTTCTGCCAGCGCCAGTCTCTCGCCATCTGCGTTACCGGAGCCTGAACCCATCACTAATTCTACAACGAGGGCCAAGTCCAGTGTCAGCTCATTAGAGACGGCAAGCGCCTCGACTGTGGTCGCAATCACTTCCGTCAGCATCAATGTTTCTACTTCAACGTCATCAGCGTACTATCCTCTTGCCAACTCCACCGCAACCACAAATTTAGGACCACCAGGAACAAGAAGCACGTTCCTATCGGCAGACACAGTAACGTCGTCAACTAATGACACCGATTCTTCTGTTTCAACATCATCAACAACATCATCAGGGTCATACTCACCCAGTAACTCCACAGATACGTTGGGACCATTCCCACCGACAGGCTCCTTCAGAGTTCCCGCCACAAGCCGGACCTCGCCAGCCATAAATACCACAACTTTCTCCTCCACTACTACCACACCCTATCCGCTTGTCAACTCTACATCAGCTAGATCAACCATCCTCAGGACCAGCATAGAATCGGCTGGTGAGATCAGCGCGTCTGCGATACCGTCCGTGCCAGGCAGCGCGTCCGCCACGCGCTCAGTCTCAGCAACGAGCAGCTTGGGCCCGTTCCCAACAGTCAACTCTACTTCTGCTGCTTCGGGGAGTCTTAATTCCACCAAGGCAAGCCCCACGGGTTCAATTACCTCGCACGTGGTCTTTCCGCCGTCAAGTGTCAGTGCGCCCTTGTCAAATAGCAGCAGCAGCAGCAGTAGCAGCAGCACTACCACCACCGACCCCTCTCTCACGACGATCGTAGAGCCTCTCACAGTGAACACCAGCTGCGTCGAGACCTTGACCACCACAGCAACGTCCCACACCACAGAAACCTCTCATACCACAGAGACATCTCACACCACAGCGACCTCCGACAGGACAGAGACGTGGTCCCTCGTAGAGCTCTCCCGCACCACCGAGACCTGCGACGAGACAACACTAGTAACTTCTACGAAGATGACGACAAAAACAAGATACGAGGAGGAAGAGACGAGTAGCAGAAGAAAAACAAGCAGGGAGAAAACCAGCCTGGAAGACCCTGTGACGACCTACCTCTGGACATCGGCCTCACGTCTGCACCCGATCCACCCGCCAGAGAAATCCGCCTCGCTGTGCTGTGGACCCGAGGCCGTCTCGACAATCGAGGTGAGCAGCGTATGGGCGGCGTCGGCAGAGGAGTCGCACGGTCCACTGTTCTCGTCACCGAGCTGGCTCATTGTGAGCCCTCACAGTAAGTAACCTCTTCGTTCCACAGCATGTCATGACTTGTTTCTTTCTTTATCCATCTTTCTTTTCTCTCCACTGACCAACCTGTGGCCAAGGAACACCAACCACCTTGGTCACAGAGACAAGCTGCGGCCCCGACTTGTCTGTTACAACAAGAGAGAATATAGCCAAGCCTCCAGAATGATCTTCCTTGGATTATTACCTCCTTATGACGGGGGTTCTCCAGAGCAGCCGTGCAGGAAACGTGGTGACTTGCCAACAACGCGTGCAGGATATGAAGGTCGGAGTACGGGCCATTCGTGACTTGGCCGTTCAACAGATATGAAGTCAACACATACATTTTCCATTTTCCATTCTGCTGCGATACTTATGGTGCTGCTATAGGGCTTTGAAGGTGATCTCATCTCAGAATGCTGCTGTGAAAAGAAGATTAGCGGAATATTTACTTGGCTGTAAGGAGCAACTTCACCTCCTCTTTGTTTCTGTTGGGTGTGCAAATTCAAATGTTTGGTCTTCCAATATTTTGTATGGTGCATTCAGCTTAGGTACACCTCCAACTTACTCGATGATTGATCCTGCTGTGCTCCAAAACATCATCTTCCTCGCTCACTGAGCTGCACCCTCCTGGTCTGTGCCAGCAGAATTCATTATCCTGCAGACAGACTCCAGGGCAGCAAATTGTGAATCAGGTCTCCACTTGCAAAGGTTAGCAAAATATACAGGCACATTAATATCTTATCTCAACTGTGTGTATTTCCTCTAGGAGGGGTCCAACAGATAAGATGCTAGCTACTTAAGCCACCTTGATTTGTGCCAGGATGTTCCGCTTCCACAACCAGTGCTGTGGGCCATGTTGAGATGGCACATACATGATGTGGGACAGGGTACAGGATATGAATAGTACAGGCAACCGAAATGTCAAGTAATGTTACCATGTGTTGTTGACCTTTGCCATATGTCAATGAGCCTTCGAAGGATAAGGCAGAGACACAATCAAATAACCACCTGGTGCCTCCTGAGAGAGAACAAAAAGGCGAACATGAACATCTGACATTTCCCCAGTGAGAAGAATACCGTCACAAAAAAGCCACAATCACCACCCCGTTGTTCACAACAACAGCATCAGACAACAACAAAAGCTGCCGTCCATAGTTTCTGCCAATGCTGTGTTGTTGGGCATGTTGAAAGACTCAGACTAATGCCTTGGGGTCTTTCTCCTCATCATCACTGTCAATCTGGATTGGGCCGCTGTAGCCATGACCAGGGCCACCACGCTGGCCTTGGGCCTTCTTACCAGAAGCAGAAGTACTGTCAGCCGAAGAGACTCTGGAAGGGACAGGAGATGTTGCATCAGGGCCAGTCGAAGTACGGCCAGGGGTAGCACCATCAGTGAAGGCGAAACCACCAGGGGCAGCCATACCGCCATTGAAGGCAGAACCAGCGTGGAAAGCAGAGCCACCAATGAAAGGAGGACCGCTATAGAGGGCATGACCACCAGGGAAAGCCGAACCACTAGTGAAGGCAGAGTCGTTCATGAAGGCCGAGCCACCCGTGTAGGCTATACCACCAGTGAAGGCAGCATTTCCAGGAAAAGTAGGATTGCCAGTATAGGCATGATAGCCAGTGAAGGCTGATGCACCATGTAAGGCAGGATTGCCACCGAAGGCCGGACCACCAAAGGCAGAAGAATCAAGACCATGCGCGCCAGGATTGAAGTTGCGAGGAAGGTGGTTCGGCGTGTTTGGGGAATACGGATCCCAAGTCGGAGACATCATGCTGGGCAGGTGGGTGTGATGATAACCCCAAGGGCTGTCCATGAGGCCACTGCTTATCTGGTGCGCAGCCTGAGGCGTCATAGCCATGCCAGCATCGAACACGCCAGTAGCAGGACCAACTGCGCCAAAGCCGCCGGTAGCAGAACCACCAGCTTCCGAACCGTGAGCCGTAGGGCTGGCGTAGTCTGCATCGTTGAGAGCCTGATGATGCCTGCCGGTGTTGGCACCGGGGCTCTTTTCGTAACCAGCTTCGAGACCGACCCATTCCCGGCTGGGAAGGACCGGTGGATCAGGTTTGGCCAGAGGCCGGTAGAGGCCGGCTTTCGGAGGACGAAGCGTCTTGGGAGGTGGCGACAGAGGTTCAATGGACTTCAGATACTTGGTGCAGGGAAGTTGTTGAGCCTCCTTCGTGGGATTTTTGGAGACAGGAGCCAGCTTGTCGCGGCTGTGACGAGAAGCTAGCTTTTCACGGCTTGGACGAAGAGTCATCGTGTCAGGACGAAAGCTAGGGTCGTTGGGATGAGAGAGCTTGCGCTGGACGCGCAGGTAGGCGCCCTTGTAGAGCGTGCCGTCGAAACGGGAGATGGCCACCTCAGCCATGTCGGACTCAGTATACTCGATGAAGGCCATCGTGCGCACGGGACCTGCGGACCCACGCGAGCTGGCAAGCATGTTGATGGACTTTTGAACGATGGAAATGTTCACTATCTCGCCAACCCGGCCGAAGAGGTCCTCCAGACCATCTGAGGTGGCGGTAACAGGCAGGTCTCCGACGTAGATGGTGCAGCGGTCGCGCTCATAGGTAGTGAGGTAGACCTCATCGTTGTTTATATGCGAGACAGGAGAGTTTTTCTTCATATCGAAGGCTGAAACGTTATAAACGGTATTCTGACGGAAGGCCTGCAACAGAGGATTAGTCAATATGCACCAGAAAAAAACCAGGACGGGACGTGCCAAGGAGCCGAACACGTATAAGTATGCGGAAGCAGACAAGAACGACAGGAATGGGAAGAGAAAGACACACAGAGAGGGATAATACTAACCGTATGAAGGTCACGGGTGGCATCGAACATCTTAAACTCAACCAGAACCGTGGGCGGGAAGCTGAGGAGCTCACGGTTCTCATCATCGATAAGCTCGCATCTGGACAAGGAACCGAAGGGGAGGAGAAGAGTCCGCGCCTCATGGGTCGTGATGCTGCCGAGGTCCTTTCTCTGAACAACATAGGTACGGTTGGCCTTGGTCTTCTCGGTGCGACAGGGCCGACCGTGGATCAGGGCACCGCGGCCCTTGACGAGGGCCTCTGCAGCTTCTTCGTTGGTGGTATACTGAACAAAGGCAAACGGCATGTTGTGTCCGTCGCGACGAATTTTGACCCAGCACTTGCCGTACTTGGTGAACTCGCGGTAGATGCCTGCCTCGAGGGCCGTATCATCCTTGCGCTCACAAAGACTAGCCGATGTCAGTAGAACGGCAAGACAAAAAGAAGAAACCGTCAAGGTCCTGTTGCGCCGTGGTACTCTACCGAAACAGGCGACATGACCAAAGGCAATGGATGGAGAGGGGCAGGCAGAGCTAGACTTACTTGGCAACAAAGACACAGGCAGTCGGGGGGTAAAGATTTTGTGCATCAACTCCATTGATCTGGTGTCGTCCGCTGAGGTTGGAGGATGACTCACGGAGCGGGTGCCCAGCACTAACAGAATGCTGGGAGCGGCGCTCTCTCAGAGGCTTTCCAGGCGAAGCCAAGGCATCGTCACCATTGTCATTGTCGATCGAAAGAGGGGAAGAGAGATCCAGGAGCAAGCCGCGCTCCGAGGAGGCCGTTTTGTCTGCAACGCCTGGCTGGCGGGCATGAGGAGGCGTGTACTTGGGAATTGGAAGCTCCATGATGTTGTTACGGTTGGATTTGGCACCTGCGGATTGATAGGTCAGCATTGTCTGATGGGAGAACATAAATAGCCAACAGTTGCAGGTTATTTGAAGGAGATGCTCGTCTAGTGTTGCGGGACGCGACACACGAAGTGCAGATGGCACGACAGGCAACGCGTCAGATAGAACAGTGTAACAGGGCAAAAGACGTACCTTTGGACTCATGGTGTTGGGAGGCCATCTCGCCAGGCTTGTTGGCGTCGTCCCCATTGCCACCAGGGGTAGTAGGGGCGGGGCGCTTCCGACGCTGAAAGCGCTCGTGACAAGGAGAGGCCTCATAGGCGGCAGTACCGCCTTTATTATTGTAGGCCATCTTGAGAAGAGGAGTATGATGAATGATGGGAGTGGCAGAGGTCTTCCTCCCAAAGATGAAGATCTCAATGACAACAAGGTCGTGAGATCACAGAAGGTAGGGCTGGGATGGAAAAGAATGTTGCACAACAGAAACAACAACAACAGATGGATAAAAATAAATGATGATGAGTAGTAGATGTGCTCTGCTGATGGTTGATCTGCTGGGAGTTTGGGTGTCTTGGGGAGGGTCTAAAGGAAAAGAAAAGTCGACAACGAGAAGCTGAGACGTGCTCAGCACAGATATAACCAGATCAAAGGACTATCGCGTCAACCAGTGGTAACCTTGTCCTGAATCGACAAAGAGAAGAGGTTGGATGATGGTGTGTGCCTGTGCGTGCGTGTGTGTGTGGGTTTGGGAGAGGGAAAATATGTGCGCGTTGGGTTTGTGGGTTTGTTGTGGGTGGAAGATTGGGGAGAGAGGAGGGGGTATTGAGATTGTTCCTCCGCCACACGCGTCCTGTGTCAGCAAGCGCGTCTGGAGGCGAGAAGCACTTTTAGAGAATGAAATACGCTAGTTTGTGAACACCTGATGTTTTTCGAGGTACAGGTAATGGCTTGTAGGTGTTTGGGGCCCTTGTGGCAGAGAGCGTTCTTCCTTTTGGGCATAGGGCACCCTCTGCCCTTTCTGCCCATTCCCATCTGTAGGCAGCAGACCAGTGAGGCCATGAAGGTAAGAAGATACTCAGTTCTTTGATTAGAAAGCGTTCTTCTGGTGTGTATGCTGTAGATACAAGTTGCCCTGGCCTCCCCCTCTCCTCCTACCATTCCTACCAGTAGTCAAGTCACATAAGAGAAGGCTCAATGTAATGAAAAAGGAGAGAATCCAAGGAGGCGCCAGAGATGCCTCCTTACCATCCACAGAGCATCTGTGAATTTCATTCTTGTGGTGCTCTGACACATTGGCAGATCCTGAAGCTTACACACTCATGAAGCTCTGCTGCCATGACTAGAAACATTGACCAAGTACAAGACAATGCTATTAGCATCTGCTTGAGATGGGTGAGTGACTGTAGGCAGCGAATGTTGCAGCTCCCCCTGCTTTGGTGTTGGTCCAGGACCATCACTGACCAGGAAGGCTAGGGCTGCCAGTGCTCTATCCCTCTCCAGACACCCACATATGTAGAAAAGGAAAAAAATAAAGCGACTGCCTGATGCCTTTGCCACAAGCACGACTTTGTAGTGTCAAGACAGAATAGTTCTGGTTGACAGCGAGAAGCTGCTCTCAAGACTCTGGGCCACTTACTCACAGCCTGACAATCGGCAGTAGCCCACATGAATCCTCAGTACCCAGTTATCTGCCCCAGAGCAAGCTGCTGAGGATGAGCCATGCAGACTCACATCAGACCCTTGACCTAGTACCCTCCCTGAACTCTCACTGGAGAAGCAGACGAGTTAAACACCTCACGCATTTACCATGAAGCAGCATGGCACAGCGCTCTATGAGGCTTTGCAGATCTGTTCCCAAAAATGGGTTGCCTTTTCATTTCTGTCTCTACTGCATCTGTTAGCAAGTGTTGATTGTTGCAAGGAGATTGAACTAGAGTTGAAAGTTTGGGATGTTGTCACAGTCTGGTATTATATTTGATTGGGATGTCGTCGGACAACACTTGGGCACGGACCACCGAAGCCCGGGAGCCCCCCTCAGCCCCACATCCTGCCGCTGTACCACCCCCTGCAGAAGCTCCAGGGTGGCTGAGTGGATCAACTGCAGTACTTTGCTTGACCCTTAGCACGCCCTGCCGCATGACGTTCTGTACTTATAACGCTTCTTCTTACTTGTGGCTACCGACCCATTTCCTTGGTGTTAACTCAAAGCAACACAACGAGCGATTACGGAGGAGATCTGCGCCTTGTGCCCTCCTCGCAAACCCGAGACTATTCTATTGTTCAGCTTCAGTACACGACCTCGGTTCCAATTGACGCCTGGTGCCCGGTTACCTTAGGTACTCGCATCTAAACCCTCACTATACGAAGCAAGAGACCTTTCCCGGTCTTCCAAACTGGGCTGCTACCAACAATGAGGGCCACATCTTGCCTGGCAAAAGGCTTCTGGGGCCGGAGCTTGGACGAGTTCAAGAGGCTCTCGCAGATAGGTTAGTGCAACTCCAACAAGCACCAGGAGCCAGGAACTGTTGGCTCGAAATTGCAAGACTGATTGGGACTGGCCTCTTCCAGCAATGAACCTCGAGGGCGTTAAAGGTCCCTCCGGCCCTCGCGAGTTATACTCCTTCCACAGCAGAGAGTCCATGGAAACCTGCAGAGTCTTCTCTGATGCAGACATGGGCGGCTTCTCCAAAGCACAGCTCGACTGGACCCCACCCAGACCACTTTCAGAAAGGCCGACCTCGTCCTCCTTCCCAAACCCTTCCGAGAACCCCAACGGCCACGCTCGATTCCACGGTTCGATATCGACGCAGCTCCCAAAGAACAGGCCAGAGGTGGAGAGGTCGGGGTACGCAGCGTGGAAGACACTAGACAGGCCGCCGACCCTCTTTGGCAAGAGTGTGTGGGATATCGACCCGTACGCCTTCCTCGCGCTTCGGATCAAGTCGGACGGGCGGAGTTACCTCGTCAACATCCAGACGGAATCTCTTGTGCCGACGGATCTACACCAACATCGACTATTCAGTAAACGTCCTGGAGAGTGGGAGACGGTGCTGATCAGATTTAACGACTTTGTGCGGACAAATCATGGCTTTGTCGTGGAGCCCCAGACCGAGATGCTCCGCCAAAAGGTCCGAACCGTCGGCATCGGCTTGACAGATCGCATAGCGGGGCCGTTCGACCTGTCCATCGAGAGGATTTGGGCTACGAATAATGCGAGGGAGGCTGACCACGTCGATATAGAGCCCGAGGGTGCAAAGGAGGGCCAGCTGAAGAGCAAGGATGGGAAGAGCATCAACTGGGCTGGTTGAGATGGGCTATGCTGCACACTTTTTCATGGATAGGTGCTTTCCAGGGCTGATTGTTGTATGATCTGTCTGTTGGTACATGTCCTGTCTTCTTGTACATGCTTTGTCGATGACAACAGCAGCCCAATTTGCGCTGTTACATACAGCATGGTCCAGGTTATTCAACTGGACAGGGCGGGAAGGTCTAGTCTTCCATGTGCAAGATGAGGAACCAGATTCCACAAGACCTTGAGCTGCATCATCAATTGGCTGCGCTGCCTGGAGGTATATACCCATCCAGATCACAAAGCATGGCAGACCAAGGAGTTGGCTATGGCCTAAGGCAAAGTGGCAAACATCGAGGGTAGAACCCCATTATAATGGTATGCAGACATGCCTTGACGACAGACGATCGTACAAATTACTCTTTGACAGGCAAGGTGGTCTGTTCTATGCCATTCATAACCAGTCTTGGTCCAAACAATTATGTGACATGCTCCAGGGCGTACATGCTACAGCCTTAGATTCGTCTCTGCAAGAAATGATACAATGTTCTTTGCGCACCACCTGAAAGTACCAACAAGTGCCTAGCGCCTCTGCTGTGGTACTAAGATGCAGTAAAGCCTTCGCCATAACCTAACCCCTACCAATCAGATTTGTAGCGCAGGTGTGGAACCCGCGCCCCCCCCCCCCCCCCCAGGGCCGATGTACTCCGATGAATGATTCAATCCACCTACCACGCCATCACCAGGGCAAAGGTTTTCATCAAGTAATGAGAGTGCTCCACGCAGTTTATTCCGCCGTATTAAACCACAGAGGGATTTCCATTTTGTATCCTTGACGAAGTGTGCTTCAATCCTACCTCTTTTTATTTATCCATTTTGGACTGCCAAAATTGCATATTCCTCGTATATTCTTTGTTCTTTTCTTATCGAGAACGCTTCAAGCACGTTGTTCGCCACATCATGGGTCAACCCTCTTTTCAGGCGTCCAACGCCATAGTCTACTTGACATACGGTGCTTTCTTGTATGTGTGATCCAAAGAGTCCGAGAGTCACACAGAGACTGATTTAGACGAAAACAGGATTCTGGGCACGGCACTGGCATGGAAATACCGCAAGGACTCTAAAGGAGAGTTCCTCTCTGGAAACAGAACTCGGACTGGTCAGGACTATTTCAACGCATGAGGAGATGACTTGCTCGTTGGATGCCAAAGTTCTTTCTCCTCTTGACGAGAAGATTACCCCGCCTTGGCTCTCCTTCAGCACTCATCTCTTCTTGTCTTCTCTTTCCCCTCTTGTGTGCTAATTTATCAAATTAGCATTCCCGATTGCCCTGAATTTCATCGCCTCTGGTGAGTGAGATAACGCAGAAGAATGCGCTCACGCCCTTTGAAAGAAAACAAAGAATCCAGAGCGGTAGCAAGCAGGCAAAACCAAGCATGACACACAGACGCGAAGCGAAGCGATGCGAGAGGCGGACTTTGGGCGGGCCATACTTGGCTGAGTTGCGCAAACTGATCAGAGAGGTTCGTATCCATATCTACAGTATTCTTCTGTCCTCTTGGGTCAGGACTAGCCAGGTCTTGGGAGGGCTCTCGGGTTGCGGCCCCCCCGGCGCGGGTCTCACACTTGAGATTTGATCTTTGTTGGTCTGGCTGGTTTGATCTGGGAGGACGGGAGACTGCGGCTCACTACGGGCGCGGATTTGAAGCAATTGTTCTTTTCTGACAGGATCTTGACCTCGGAGATCTTGCTTGAAGGGGGCTTTTGTGGAAATGAAGCTGAGATTGTACCGTGATTACTCGATCAAGATAATGCTTGCGTGGGAAACGTGCTGCCGCTCCGATCTACCCCTTTCATTCTTTCTTCCCATCTTTTTTTTTCCCTTTTACCCTACTCCTTTCCCTCCCCATCACTCTGTTCCCCCACCCCCCCCCCCTTCTTCTCCTTCTTCCTCTCCCTTCTTCCGTACTGACCAATACAAGGCCTCGGCTCCGGCATCTTATTCTCTTACCCGCAGCTGGGCACCATCGCCGGCGTGCAGGGCGTGGTCGTGTACGCGCTGACCTCTGCCCTCCCGCTGTTGATCTTTGCCGCGCTGGGCCCCATCATCCGCAGGAAGTGTCCCGAGGGGTTTGTTCTTACCGAGTGGACACGCCAGCGGTATGGAATCGCCACGGCGCTGTGGCTGAGTTTCCTGACGCTCGTCACCATGTTTCTGTACATGGTCTCGGAGCTGTCTGCCATCGGCCAGGCGGTGAATGCCCTTACCGGGCTCGATGCTCTACCCATTCTCATTGTGGAATGCGTCGTCACGACGGTGTACACGTGTAGGTTTCTGTTTTCCCCCTTCCCAACTTGATATCCACGTCGCTTCTCTATAAAGCAACAGTTCTCCCTGGGTCGCTGACGTGTCTGGATATTAGCCCTTGGTGGTTTTCGGATCTCCTTCACAACCGACAACATCCAAGGCACTATGGTGATCGGGCTCATCATCATCGCGACCATCGCCATCGGGGCCCGTACGCACATCGACCCGTCCCTGATCGACTCCTCCGGGCTCACACAGGCCAACCTCTTGGGGTGGCAGCTGCTGTACATCTTCCCCGTGGCGATCCTGACCAACGACTTTTTCCTGTCCAACTTTTGGCTGCGCACCTTCGCCTCCAAGACGGACCGCGACCTCTGGATCGGCGTGAGCATCGCCTGCATCGTGGTGCTCATCATCCTGGTCCTGGTCGGCATGACGGGCTGCATCGCCGCGTGGTCGGGCGCGTGGCCTGGTGACCCTGCGCAGGACGGCAGCGTGGCTTTCTTCCTGCTGCTCGAGCAGCTCCCGGCCTGGGTTGTGGGCATCGTGCTGGTCATGGCCGTCTCCCTCTCGACGGCCTCGTTCGACTCTCTCCAGAGCGCCATGGTCTCGTCCGCCGCCAACGACCTGTTCCGCAACCGTCTCAACATCTGGGTCATCCGCGCCGCCGTCGTCTGCATCATCGTGCCCACCGTGGTCATCGCCCTCAAGGCCCCCTCCATCCTGCAGATCTATCTCATCTCCGACCTCCTCTCCGCCTCCACCATCCCCGTCCTGTGCATGGGCCTGTCCGAGAAGCTGTATTGGTGGCGCGGCTTCGAGGTCGTCGTCGGCGGGCTGGGTGGTATCCTGTGTGTCTTTATCTTTGGTACCATCTACTACGGCGATGCCCAGCAGGGGGCCAGCCTCATCCTGCTCGAGGCTGGGCTGTACGAGGGCGACTGGGGTGCCTTTGGGGCCTTCGTCGCTGCCCCCGTGGGTGGTCTGCTGTTTGGACTGGCTGCCTGTGCGGTGCGGATCGGGTTTCAGTTCCTGTGGGCCAAGAAGACGGGGCGGCGGTTCGATGCGCTCGACTGGCCAGCGGAGCTGCAGCAGCAGGATGGTGACTCTATCGCCGAGAGAGTGGATATCGTTCGTGACGTGAGCGAGACAACTTCGAAGCAGACTGGGAAGTTTTTCTAGAAAATCGCCCACGGAGAGATTATGTATGGGTGGCAACAGAAGGGGAGACACTACCAGGAGTTGTAGGTGGCTGGAACTAGGACGAACGCATAGGTTAAAGGGGGAAAGAAGAGGTTATAAAGTTAGGGGGTTACGATAGTGCATACAACTTTTCGAGTGTTGCTTGGGGTGAAAAGGGTTGTTTCATTCCTATTTCATTTTGCCTTGATTTTTTTTCTTCTCTTCTTTACTCTTTCCCCTCCTCCTTGGTCATAACACTATATGTACACAGGGAGGAGTGTTCCTTGTCTCTTCCCATCTCCCCAAGTATTGCCCTGCCCTGCACACTATGTTATGTGCAAGAATATCTTGACAAGTTACTTGATTATATACAAATCATGCTCATCATGCTCACAGTCCCTTCTTTGCATCCAACTGGGCCTGTCTCTCCAGCAGCTTCGCCGCCGCCCGCGTGTCGCCCAAAGACTTCAAGAGCGCCATCTCCTTGTGCAGGTCCTCCAGTGTGGTCTCCTTGAGCGTGCCGTAAATCTGCCAGTCTCCCTCCGTCAGGCGCTTCTTATCAACTGCGCGCCACAGCACCAGGTACTCGAGCAGGTCCAGTACCTTGCTGCCGACCTCCTTTCCCTTCGCATCCAGCTCCGTCAGCTTCTGTTTGCTCTTGATGCGCACCACGGCCTGCCGGAACGAGATGGGGACGCCCACGTCCACCTCGGTCCACTTGTGGTCCATGATGCGCGGCCGTCCCGTCGTCGCGAGCCTCTCCCACCTGTAGCTTTTGCCCTTCGGCCGGGACTCCATCGCGGCCATCAGCGAGCGGTGCAGCTTAGGCACGCATATCTTGGCTAGGTTGACACGGGCCGTCGGACCACCGATGGCTAGGCTCTGCGACATTTCGGCGTGTAGGGCCAGGGCAGCTTCGACAATGCCCTTCCGCTCGGCGCGGAACTTGGCGCGCGAGAAGAATTTCTCCTTGAGGGCGACGGTCTGCTGGAGGATCTGGGCCCGGTCGGCGAAGCGGGTCTTGAGGACCTCCCAGTAGTATCGGAAGAATTTCTTGGGTTCTCTGGGGGCTCTGGAGAGAGGGAGTGCGACGACAGTTCCTGGAAGGAGAAGGGAACACTTTTATTCAGTACAAATTTCATATGTAGCCCGCAAGAAAAGAGACGGACATATGACATACTGGGTGCCAAAACAGCCATATCGACATTATTAACGGAACTCCTGTCATCCATCAATTCAGACATGAGCGAGGACGTGGCTTCTTGCTTGAGCTGAGAATTCTTGGTATGCTGCATCGCATTCCGGAACCGAGGGTCAATTCTCCTGCGGGTGGCAGCGGCATATTGTCTTGTCTGCTCCAGATTGGCCAGGAGACCTCGTGCTGCGAGAAGAGAGGGGGGTGAGATTGTGGTTGATCGTGTCGAAGCCGTCAGCCATGGCCGTGTTCGAAAAGTGGCGGCCATTATAACTGATCTCGAAGGTTGAGGGTTGAAGGATGTTTGGAGAAGTGGAGAGGAAAGGTTCGTCGATGTTGCGATGGAAGGAGCTCAGGGCCTCATGGAATGGGTTGTTCTCGGTGCAGAGAACACAATGAATATGCTGCAACTTCAATGAAGAGCTGTAGGGCACACACAAGTCCACCTTCGGCTAACAGCCCTCTCTGTCAGTGCAGAACAGGAGCTGTGTGGTAGCTTGTTGTCAAGCAAATCACCACATCATAAGTGTGGTGGTGGTGGGCAGTTGCGCGCGTTCAGAAGCAACCAAAATTTAGCCAACCCGCAGCGGCACTTTCGGGGGCACCCTTGGCACTATTTTTTTTCTGTCTTGCCTGCCGCAAAGCCCTAGACCTTCCCAATGGAAGACCCACTCCACTTACTGAACAGTACTTGTACTGGCCCATGGACTGAAATGCAGTGGTCAGTTTTTAACATAGTTCGCTGCTTCTATTCCATCTTGGGGTGCACAAACTTCAAGCCTTGAAGTTGAGAGAATGGATGAATTTCCAATATGGGAAAAGAAGACAGCGTCTGCAGCCATCTTGGCAATGAAAATCATGATGAATTCTCATTGCAGAACACACAACTTTGATCCAAGATCTTGACAGCAACCCAATCCCACCTTGCTAGCCACAGGACCAACAAAACAAACATGGACTGATAATCCTGCAGAACTAGGTGTATCAATTTCAAAAATTGATTGGTTCACTTCCTGTCATGCCCACAAGGTAGACACGTCATCGATTGACATCTTGAGAGGGAAAGGGAATGGGTTGGCTTGACAGCCACTCAAGTCGACATCATCATCCATACCTCATCATGGGCACTGCCACAACACCTTCTACCATCCTCTATAATCATTCAACCCACTGGCATCACCATTACCTGCAGGAGGAATCTCACCAGCAGTGTCTCACCCTGAGAGCCCTCCTCAGACTGAGCGAGCGAGACGCCCGACCTCTTCTTCCGCCTTAGCCGTACGACACCCACACACACGAGGTGGCTCATCGGTCTGCAGGAGGCCCTCCTTCATCCTGGACCGCGGGAAGCTTAGTCTGTTTGCATGGTAATGAGGCCTTCACTTCATGTGCTTCAGTGTAGGACATTGGTGGTCAAGATGTCAGACAGTGATGACGAGTCGAACGTGGTCGCAGTCGGGCATCGTCAGGTGTTGCACTCACTCAGCCATTACCTTCAACATAAGAATATCAGACGGTGTGGGTGTGGCCGCCACTGCCCTGGGTGCGACTTTGGAAGGCTTTGCTGGTGGGCCTCCAGCATAATGTAGCATTTATGGTGAGTGGTGTGCGAACCATGAGCATTCATTAGTTGGCCTTTCCGGTTCTTGCTTCTTCCACACAGGAACGATATATATATATATCTTTCTCTATCTCTTTCTCTCTCCCTCTCTCTGTGTGTGTCTATCGCAGCCTTCAACATCAGTTGAAACACCTCATCATCTATCCTATATCCCTTCAAGACTCTCTCTACCGATACTGAAGCCATGGGTGCTCTCGCTCAACACCTTGCGCCCCTCGAAGCTCATGACAGCAGGCCAATTGTCATTGGCATCTACGGTGTGCCCGGTGCTGGCAAATCATTCCTCCTGAGCAGGCTCGAGACAGTACTTAACAATGGATCGGAGCGCTTCAGCTTCTATGAAGGCACACAGGTCATTTTGCAGATCGTCTCTGGCACACTGGAAGCGTTCCAGAAACTCCCAGAGGCCGACAAGACCCTGTACCGCCAACAGGCCATCATCAAGATCAGAGACTCTGTGGCGGCCTCTGGCCATCCAGCCATCGTGACGGGACACTGGATGTTCTGGCCCGAAGGCGAGGCAGGGCAGTATGTGTACACTCAGCATGACCTTGCCGTCTACACTCACATCGTCTACCTCGACACCCCTGCGGACATCATCATCCAACGCAGGCAGGGAGACCTAACCCGAGCCCGCGAGCCTGTATCGAGGGAGCACATTCGCGCGTGGCAGTGCGAGGAAAAGACGCAAATCCGCCGCGTTTGCCACAAACACGGCATCTTGTTCTCCACGGTGGGCACAGCTCGACCATCAGAGACCGAGACAGAGGTCTTGAGCCTCATTCGAGGGTTCATCAAGCAAACCGAGGAGTCCAACACTCGCTTGGCCAAAGAAGTCCTGGACGATGGACTCCAGCGCGGTACAGAAGACCTGGAGACGGTGCTGGTCCTTGACGGCGACAAGACCTTGATCGCAGAGGATACGGGCACTTTATTCTGGAAAGCCATTGCTCAGAATCGAGAGTCAAGCGAGGAAGCTGAGGATCCTTTGCAGACACTGTTCAGCGGACCTCTTGGCTACTCCTTTCTCGCCTTCTGCCAGGCCAATCTGCTCTATGAAGAAGCAAATCACAACTTGGATTTCCAAAAGACCTGTGATGCAGTAGCAGCACAAGTATCGCCCCATGCAGAGTTTCTACGGCTCCTTGAGAAGGTGGAAACTTCGCACCACACAAGGGCGGTCGTCGTCACCTGTGGACTCGCTGTTGTCTGGGACAAGATACTGAGACGTGCGGGCCTGACCCGATGCACTGTGGTGGGCGGTGGTCCCAATGGCGACAGAACGCTCGTGGTGACTGCCCAGGTGAAAGCTGCCTTAGTAGACCACATACAGCATGTCCTGCACTGCCACGTTCTCGCATTCGGTGACAGTACTCTGGACATCCCCATGCTTTCCAAGGCAGATGAGGCTTTCATTGTGGTGGGCAACGAGCAAACAAGGTCCAGGAGCATGGAAGCAGCGCTGCTGGGCGCCATCGACAGCGGTGGTCTTCATGCGCGGCAGGTCTTGTTGCCTCACAATGTCCCACCGCGCCTAGATCTCCACCGGCTACCAGCCGTCGACATTACAGACCCAGCATTCGCCGAGACGGTTTTCCGCAGTCGAACCCCGAGACCAGGTTCCCGGGTCCTCCACTCTTCCGACAAGAACGCTGCCAAGCTCCTCATGACGCCGACCCGCGACGCCGCAGTCGCCGGACCAGCCCTCCGAGAAGCCCATCGCCGCGTGGGGTGGTACCTTGCCACCACCTTCCTCGGTGATCTTCTCGGCGTCGAGGAGCATCTCATCCCGCACGTTCAGGGCCATCACACCAGTGGCTACCGGCTCGCCAGCGAGAACCAAACTCTGATTGTCGCCGTGATGCGCGCCGGCGAGCCCATGGCCTTTGGCGTCAGCGATGTCTTCCCGCTGGCCCTTTTTGTTCATGCGAAACGGCCTGAGGATATATCCCAGCATCTCGCGAGAGGAGACCCTCTGCGCGTCGTGATCCTCGTCGACGCGGTCATCAACAGCGGCAAGACGGCTCTGGAGTTTGTTCAGCTCATCCGTCGCTCCGACCCTGACCTGCGCATCGTGCTCGTCGCCGGCGTCACCCAGGCCAAGGCCGTCACTGGGAATGGAGGGCTTGCGCAGGCGGTCGCGCAGGACAGCTGCCTACATCTTGTCACCCTTCGCTTGTCGAGCAACAAGTACACTGGGAGTGGCACTACTGACACGGGCAACCGCCTGTTCAATACGACGCATTTGTCTTGAGAGAGAGGAGAATGATGGCAAGAGAGGAGGGCGAGTCTTAAATACTTTCATCCTTTCTTTTTTCTTTCTCTTTTATGAGGTAGCTTCTTTATACAGGGCACACATGAAGGACTATAGGCCAGGAAAGCTGTGTCAGTTGTGTTGATGATGCTGCTATGGCCTGTTGCAGAATACACAATGTTTATCCTCTGGAAAATGCTCAATAATCTTGTTTCAACCCATGGCGAAGGGGTGAATTTCATGAATCAGATGAACCAGAGATGCCACGTCCAACGGAACTAGATACTTGGAACCCAGTGATATCTACAGCTCATCTCGTCCACCCACCCGAATATTAACGCCAGGAATATTCGCAACCGACAGTTTTCTCTTGACGCTTTTGGTCGGGCCTGCGCGTTCTTCATGGACAGTGGTTGCACCAGGAGGCGTCCAAGGTTGGATCCGGCCCTGCCACACATCCAGGCCCCATTTCTGAAGCGATCGCGTGTCCAACGGCTGACCGCGCGGGTACGGGTAGATCCTATCTTTTGAGAGCTGGTGAACCGCGCCCGAGGGGAAGACTCCAGGCTCGAGACCCATCTCTGCCTGAAGATGGGGGAACTCAAGGGGGTCGACCGTGACACATGTCAGGGATTCGTACTGCGACTTGGCGAACTTGCGCAACGAGCTGCGAAGTTCTGCGCGGTCGGCCTCGGTCGCGCCGAAGATGTATACCATGGGCCAGCCGCGCTTGTTGGAGAGCCGGGGTGTCAGAGATGGTAATGTTGCAAAATAGATTCTTTTTCGAGGAGAAAAAAGGAAGAGGAACAAAGAGTTTGGCTTACATCGATCAACAGTTGCCGATTATGTGGCATGAGCTCTCCTATGGCCGGCCTTGACGCTTCCCTTACGAACCTGTCCAGGTCATCAGGATCAGAGAAGGAGTTCCAGGTTCTCGACTCTCCATCCTGGACAACATGGCATACCACAACAGGTGGTTCCAGCTTTTGTGCCGCAATGAGTGCATCGCTGGTGACGAGGCCAAACGTGAAGTCGTTGCGGTACTTGTCCGCTACGGCTGCGAAACCTTGCCTGGCAACCTCGTCCTTGGGGTCAAAGTAACCGATAAACACAACCTCATCTGCAGTCTCAAAAGATGCCAGGCTTTCACCATCATCTATCTCCGTCATCGAAGGTCTGAGTAGACGCGATACGAAATTCGAGATGCTTTCGCTCCGATCTGAAATTAGCTTTGCTGCCATCGTGCAATCGGTTTGCAAAGGGCTGTAGCTTGCTACTCACCCAGATGCCCGCTGAGGACCTTGGTATTTCGTGATTAGGGTTCCGTTCTTGAAGAAGAGCAAGGTCGGGTAGGCGCTGATCTCATATTTCGCACATGATGTCGTTTCGACCTCGCAGTCGATGCTCAAGAAATTACTGCCCTGGGAGTCGGACCCTATGGACAACCACTCCGTCTCAAGCGCTTGGCTTTTGGCTCTGCAGAATATTTGTCAACGATGAATCGACCACGGTGGTCTCCTTCTTCCTGTGAACAGACTTACTCGTTTGGCTGGGTTGTTATCCGGTTTCCACCCCGAAGTTAGCATGCAGGCTATGAGGTGAAGGTATCACGGGCCTGGAAGAAACTCAAGATTCTCGTACAGAAACGACTAATGACGACAGAAAGAAAAGGAAAAAATCAGTCAGGTCAGCATCTCTTGGTGCTGTGATTCAACCCCCTCGATAGTTGCCACAACAGGCCACTTACAGGCTACCAAGGATGCCCCATGGGCCGCGAGGCTTGCATCGAGAGCCTCTGGACTTGCGTGGTCCCAACACCAAACTTGAGTGACATGCAACAGACTGTAAACGAATAACTCTTTTGCTGGACGCATCTTCTTAACTCAGCTCATACGGCTCACGGCAACAATGGGAAAACAAAGCGTTGGACATGCAGGTCCAGCTGCGAGATGTATGGAGATATATAATTTGCAGAACTTGGCAGCGTCTTCCATGCTAACACTCAGGGGAACGGTACTCGATTGCGGCTAATTAGCGATGCGGCATGACCCTGTTAAGTCGTTCTCTAGTGCCGACTCCCCCTGAAACAATATCCCCTGTTTTTACGCACTGCACTTGGACCTTGTTGATTACTCCCTTTCTTGCCCACCATCCCGACAAACCAAGCACGTTTGTGAAGTGATCACCTTTCTAAGCCACCGTTAAGCAATTAAGCCTGTTTGCAAATGACTTGAGATGAGGTTTGGGGAAACAATGTTCAAAGTCTGGACACCAATCTGCAAGTTATTCATCTATCAGGTTAAGAGCCAGTGATCCATCCCAGGAATCTGCCGATGCCCAACGACTTGAATGGACTCCAGGATCTCATCCAGCTCCTGCTTCTCCTGAGCAGATATCTCGACCACCTTGCAGTTCTCGTTGACATGAACAACAGTCGTGGGTCCAGGAATCGGAACGAGAGGGCCACAGACACCAGTGTTGGAGTTTGCACGGATCCACGCGAGCGCAAGCTGTGCAGGTGTGACTCCCTTTTGACGGGCAAACTCGGTGAGCTTGTCGACCAGCTCAACATTCTTGGAGAAATTCTGCAAAGACACCAATGATCAGTCAGATAACCTTCTTCTTCTTCATCGTCATCACCAGTTTGTGCATTCATATATCCGAGGAGGTATCTGAAATCGGCCTACCTCTGGCTGGAAACGACCGACGGCGCGGCGCCCGTCCCCTTCAGGAATGTCCTCGAACTTCTTGATGGCCCCCGTGAGGAAGCCATAGCCCAGCGGCGCATAGCACCACAAGATCACATTACACTCTTTGGCAGCCTGGGCGACACCATTATGGAGCATGTCGGTGCTCCACAGCGAGAACTCGATCTCGGCAAACCTGATCGGGCAGACAGCAGACGCCCGCCTGATCGTCTCAGCTCGCACCTCAGACAGGCCCACGCTCCCGATCTTGCCCTCGTCCATCAGCTCCTTGAGGGCGCCAATCGTCTCCTCCACAGGGACATTCTGGTCCATGCGCGCAGGGCCAAAACAATCGATCGTCTTGACGCCGCCGAGGATCCTGTCAGCCTCTTCCCAGCTGGCTCGAACGCCCTCGCGTGTGCATTTCATCACGCTGTTTTCAAAGTCTATGCAGCCCCGAATAAAGAGCGTCACCTTGGATGCGTCCTCGGGGTACTTCTCGAAGTAGCGCCGCAACAGCCACAGGCCGGCCGTCGGTGGTTCCGGGGGTAGACCATACACAGTCGAAGAGGACCACATGGTTGCGCCATTGTTGATTGCAGCTTTCATTGCGCTGAAGGCCTGCTCGTCTGGGACTTGCTTTGCTCGCCAGGTAAAGCCCTGTGTGATGGGTTTGTTAATTAACTGCATGTTGTGAAGAAGGGCATGTCGGTTCTCTCTGCCCCGACCCTTCTTATGTGGTCTCGTGTGATTCTTCACTCACCAGCAAACCAAAACCCACAGGAGGAATACTTTCAGCTGCCATGTTCAGGTTTATCGAAACACGAATGGTATATGCTTAGAGTAGCCGTCAAGTTGCAGGTATGGCTCTCGAGCTGTACTAGTAGCACGCCGTGGTAGCCAAGCGAGGCTTGTTGAAGTTTGAATTGGTAATCTTCACTCAAGAGGAGAGGAAGAATGAAATGGTATCGAGCCCTGAGTTCCCAGTGGCAGAGTTGAATATGGAAACTGGATGGTGGAAATTGCGTGACAGGAGCTGAAGAAATTAAAGACGCGCCGTGCTTGTGTGCGTGACTTTATAAATGATCTGGATCTCAAGTCCGTTGGCTCTGCGCTGTTGATCTATCTGGCGGACTTTAGGTGTTATTGTTAAATGCGATGGTGAGCGCAGACAAGCTCCGGAGCCGAGAGGGTCCGACGACCATTATCCATATTGGGTAACAACTTGCAAGACAAGATGCACGTCGGACCAACAGTCTGGTGTCCCTACCTGAAACCTCATCCTAGAAGTAAATAACATGTTCGAGTCATCGACACTTGGCTGGGGCCATTGGAAGGCGGCAACCTTGGAAGTCTCACCATCTTCAGCGCGTGGGGTGTGGTTTAGATCGTAGGGTTCCGTAGCGAACTTAGAATACAGGATACCGATCCCGCGACTTGGTATTGAACAAGAAAAGAAAAAACTTTAGGCGGCCGTCCTATCCTATCGGAGAAGAAGCCGCTGTGACAGAGCTGGAAGAATCGGCGCCACGTGCGGGCTGCAAAGTAAGAAGAGAGAGATCGATGGCCAGAAAACCCAAGCTTGTTCTGAGCCCGCTTGATATCGTGATCAAATACTGACTCTTGAGGCTTGAATATACCGAGTTCACGATGAAATGCAGGATAATAATTGGGACGGGATGAACGATAGTGGTGTTGAAGACGAGAACACCTAACATTAAAAGAACCACCAGACAGGCCTTGTAAATTTGCTGAACCTGTATGTAAGGATGCTCAGCTGGTCAATTTGACCGCTGGCTGCCGAAGCATCTTTGAGCGCCTTCAAGAGGCTTTATAAACTCTGGGTTCCCATTTGACGGTGTGGAGAAGGGGGCCGTTTGCATGATTAGATCACGGCCCCGAAAATCAGAATAGTCAGAAAATCCAACCTGGGTGTGAATATCCAACAGGTGCCAGGTTCAAAAATGTGCTGTGCAGCCGTTTTAGTTGTCTAAGAAACTTACTTCACTTGTAAAGATCCGTCCTGCAATCCGACTGGCGCACCGTTCGTTCGAGCCTGTATCTACATTCCTTTCCTTGACAAAATGGAAATGAATATAGACAGAAAGAATATTTCATAAGAATTGTCCCGAGTGCTCACATTGTCGGTGCTTAGGTAACTTTGTAGGCTGTCCTCAACGTTCCAGACAGAGAGCGAAAAACGCGGTGTAGGACGACACAGAAAATCGAAGACGGCAATCCACAGAATCGAGCAACACGGCTCCAACTTGAGCCAAAATGAACACGCGAAGGAAGAGTCGCAGTTAGTAAGACGCTAGGCATCTTCCAAGGGCAATAAAGGTCCAAAAACGAAGTGGAATGACCAAAAAACTCTCCCGCCGGGAATTGAACCCGGGTCTCAAGCGAGCTGCTCTGGTTGAATATCCTCAGTTGGGGATGTACAAGTCGAGTGACAAGCTTGCATACTGACCACTATACTACGGAAGATGTACATTGACGGTCTCTGCGTTTGAGCACAGAGTGTAGTGGGTCTGGTTGTTGTTGAGGGATTTTGCGAACATTACATTCATGAATGCAACCATAAGAGGCGCTTGGTCAGTTTTGGGGTGGGTACAACGCTTGTCTTGAACTGGAAGCTGTGGAGACTTTGGGTGGCGAAGGGAGAGGCTTGAGCTGGCACATAGCGCTCGATAGCTCTCTAACGTGGCACCGGTCACTTTCGAGGTAGTAGATACTTTGAGGCCTGATCACCTTGTGTTAGGGAGCACATGTCTTAGTCTGCTTTTTGAGGTACTTTGTCTGTTAGTTCAATGCAGATGTGGTGCGATTTTTGTCAAGCAGTCAGGGAAGGGAATTCTCGAAGCGGGCATACTGAACGTTGGCCGCTTGGTAATAGATCAGTGAGTGAGTGACAAGGGAGGCTTTCAGATTGCCTCTGCTCAGCGCAGCTTTTCAAAAACAGGGAGAGCTTTGATGGTGCCGTTCGGTTCCTGGGTCTCGAGTAACTACTGTATCCGGCTCGGCGTACGCCTTTGCTACAGTACTCGACATGATAGCATGTACAGCAGCACATGTCTTCGACCCCGTCATCGTCCTCGCTGCCCAGCTTTGTATTGCAAATAAGTAATACGGGAGAGAGACGGCGGCAGCGATGAAGCTGCGCCCAACCTCCATCAGAACGACGGTCAAATAGAACAAGCGAGTGCATGAATAGGGCTGGGACAGGGGGAAGGGGAGATTCGCCGAGAAACTGAGCCTGTGTAGCTGAGATTGTAGAGGCTCGTATCAGGCTTGCTTAGGATCAAATGGTCCTGTCGTGATAATTACTCCACCTAGTATAATATACTCTCGTCCTCTCCACTCAATAATCTGAGCCTCTAACTCTTGCTAGGTTGCTCTTTCAAACCCTTTACTCAACCTGTATATTTTCAGATTTCCCTTCTTAAAAGCTCACGTCCTGCCACCCCCCCTCACAAATGCTCCCTCCTCTCCTCAGACCCGTTGATATGCTCATCACTCTTCTCGGTGTGGGCGTATCCATGTTGATGCCCGGGATCACTACCAACAGCCGAGTGCCTCCTGTGGGCATATTCGGTATCCTCGTAGTTGATGAGAAGCTCTCCATGCTTGTCGTAACGCCTTGGCTTCTCCCTGGCGATCTTGACAACATCGAAAGCGCCTTTGAACCCATGGGCGTCCTGGAAGATCTCGTCCATCTGCAGAATCCTCGAGTCAGCTGATGGTCATAGGGACTGGGTAGAAGTGAGGGATGGCGAGGGTTAAGAATAATATTTACCTCTTCGAGCGACCGGTAGGCTGTTTCGGGAAAGAAAAAGTAGACACATGGCACCATGAATGCATTGATGACGGCGAAAACCACGTAAGTCCTATAACCAATATTGGCAAAAGCAGGAGGCGTCACCATCACGACGAGGAACTGGTGGGAAAGAAGTGTCAGCAAATATGAGTTCTGATCCCATACAAATGACGCTGATATCAGCCTTTGGTAGAAACTCACGTTGAAGATCCAATTGGCCGTGGTCGAGATGGCGTTGGCCGGGGCTCGGATTCCCAGAGGCGTGATCTCCGCAGGGTAAAGCCAGGTCATGCCCAGCCAACCAACAGCAAAAAAGGAATTGAAGACGAAGAGGAAGATGGCGGCTGTGATTCCCGCACCTTTGCTGACTTCGGTGTACTTGCTGGTCACCGCCAGCACGACCATCGAGAGGGACTGGCCGACGGCCCCGAAGAGCATGAGCTTGCGCCGACCGAACTTTTCAATGGTGAAAATGGCAATCCAGGACGCGATGAAGTATTCTGTTCCGTTCAGCGCAGCAAGGAGCCGACTGAGGAAGTTCGATAAGCCGATGCTAACGAAAATGGTGGCCGCATCTGCACAAAAGGTTCCTAGTAGTCAGCGACGACTGTGCGAGAAATTGAAGGACAAAATAATTCAATAAGGAAAATCAAAAAAGCCAGAGGCGCTTCAGTGAACGCACAGTATGTGATGATATTAATCCCTGAGATTTGTTGGAACATCTGGTTGACATATCCAAGGATGGTCCGATGAAGATTGCGATTCTCGTTCTTCTTGAAGCAGTCCCTGAACGACCCAGATGCCATCTCGAGGGCAGCATCCTTGACCGCTTGAAAGTCGCTGTGGACCCTGGGGTCATCCGGGGGGAGATCCGCAAGTGCAGAGAGGACCTCGAGGGCTTCGTCCTCCCGTCCCTTCAGGATCAGCCACCGAGGGGACTCGGGCAGACCGGGAATTCCCAAGGCGACAAATAGGGCGAGAATGATCTGGAAGGCGATGGGGAACCGCCAGGCGATAGTTGACGGCTCGAGAAACGAGAAGCCGAGGTCGATCCAGTAGCTCAGCATCACACCAAAGACGATCAGAGAACCCTCGATCATGACCATTTGACCCCGCTTGTGAGGTTTCGATGTCTCGGACTGCCATGTCGGCACCGTCGACGTATTGATTCCTGTTTGTAAAGCCTCTCAGTAAAAAGACTGTGACGGCAAAAAGGGGCCGGGATTGAGAAGAGGAAGATCAATTTACCATTGCCGAACCCGGTGATGAGACGAGCAACAATAAGCTGTGGCAGGGAGAATGAGGCACACTGTATGGCAGCGCCAATGATCATGATGGTCGAGCCAGTGATGATTGCTCTCTTTCGTCCAAGCCAGTTGCCCAACCAGATCGTGGCTACAGCCCCGAAGAAGCACCCCAGGGTGTACCCTCCCACGGTGATGCCCTGTATGTTCGACGCCTGCGAAGCAGTGTAACCAGGTGGTGGGTTGGCCACGTCCACTTGGGGGAAGTATTGCAAGAAGGAGGACAGGGTCAACAGCCCACCCATGACACCCTGCGAGAGAGAAAGCATTCTCGTTAGTAATTCAGGTCTAAAATAATCGTCACTGGAATATTCACTGCGGGCTCACTTGGTCATATCCGAAGAGGGCGAAGTCAGTGCCGGCAATGACGGCGATGGCAACGTTTAGTGACGTGCCTCTAAGGCCGTAGAACTTGGACTTCTTCATGTTGGCAACCTGACAAAAGGGAGAGGAAATTCGGTGCTTCGGCCAATGATGGAGGAAAGCAACGCAACAAGCCTTGTGGCTCTAAGTCAAAGGACAGACAGACAGAGTTCTCTTCCTCTGACTTATATATCATACTCGGGTTCGCTTCATCAGTCATCCACCACAGCCAAGCCATGGGGCTACCATCAAAAAACACAAATGGTGGGCTGACCGGCGTGTCGGGCTCGGCATTGTTTTCGGTGGTGTCCAAGGCTCGCGCTCTCTTCCGGGGCCCGCTAAGTCCCATTATCCCCAGAAATCCCCAGAAAAGGCGTGGAGTCGAGTCATCATCCTTCCCCGGATTCCGTCCAAAGAGGCTGCACCCCGCATAGAAGTGGAGGGACGATCCGTTACTTCTGGCAAATCGATGCTTTCCGGATTGCTGAAAAGAGAAAGCCGAGCCTTGCATCCTCCTCAGTGCGTTGTTTCTTTTCGTGATCGACAAGCTTGACATCATCTCTCAGCCGGTACTGCATATGAATGGAGACATACTATTCCAGACGTTGTACTTCGTAATATTTGATCCTTGTGGTTCCTTGGCACGAGTTTTATTTTACCCATTAATCTTTACTTCTTCTCTTCCTGCCCAGTTTCAGAGAGGAGTCCCCGGCCACCTTTTTATGTGTGAATGTTGTCGATCTGGACCTTTCCGAGATCGTCAGGGTATCTCCTGTCTATCACGACAGACGTGCATGTGATCGGCGAGTTTGTGGTGTGGATTTGTCCAATGTCTTTTCTTCTATTTTTCCCCCTTTCTTTGTTTGACTGCCATCCCTCCGGGCTCCGCATGGGACTACTATATTCCTCATTTGCGCAGTAGAAAACGTGTCGAAACAAGGAGAGTGTTTTCTCTTGTACTTTGGATGCTGCGGCAATATTCAGAATCTGATACTGCTGCCAATCAAGGCGATTCCATCCACTCCGAGTCCCTATTTTGGTAAGATGAAATGTCTCCAGCCTTCACCCAAAAGCATAAAAATTGATTGTTTGTGCCTTCTCAATCAGCTTCTATAATATCTCATCTGTTTCATCATAGTCATAAAGGCTATCTAGATCAATCTCATGCACCGTAACGCCGTTGTCGTCAATAATAGGAAGAGTCTCGTAACGCTGCTTCGTCCGACCAAAGGCTGGTATCTCCTTTGCCAGAGAGACTAGGGTCAGACTCCCTATCACGCTTCCAACCCCTACAAACGTCCACACATTCATGCTGACATGCCAGAAAATGCGGTCGAGTATCAGAGCCCACAAGACCTGCGAGTAGATCATGATGGTCGCCACGGATGACGCGTCGCTCGCGATCCCAAGTGTCAGGAGAAATTCCTGTGTGTCTGGTCAGTAATCCGCTTATGGCATATGTACTGAGGGTCCCACACATACCATCAGGCCCCCGAAAACCCCGACAATGATCATATATGCCCATGCCTTGGGGCTGCTGGGCCAACTGAGCTGCTTGATTATCACCACTGTCATGGCAACCAGCACAACAACCCACGCAAAATAGTTGACGACGGTAAGCGGGTGTGCTCGAGATCCAATGCGGCGCATGGTTGTCAGAGCGGTCTTTTCATTTGCTCGACAATTTCCTCGCTGTCAGCCTTCTGGAACTTGAGATAACGGCAAGTAGGTAACACGAGCAAAGCCCAAATACTGGAGGCCAAGAACTCACGATTGTGCCCATGACACCTATTAAACCACATGCCAGACCTTTCCATTTCGCAAAGGCATCTGGCTTGGGCCCAAGTGATAACGTCTCGCCAGGCTTGAAGAAGTTGTCAGGCTGAACCACCATGACCACCCCGGCCAGCGCTATAGCGGCGCCCGCACGATCAATAAACGTGAATGTCCCATGATCCATATATTTCGATATGATCATGGCGCCCATCGGTGCAAGGAAGTTCAGGGCGGTTGCTTGAGACAGCGTGAGGTATCGAATCGAATCTGCGACATGTGAGATGAGTATCATGTCCAAGAACAACGATAACACCCTCTGGACATGAGAGGTTAGTATAATTCCATTGCGAAACTTACAGTACATGCCGGCTGCACCAAGCACCCCTCCAACTGCTCTCAACAGCAGCATCGGGCGAACATCACGATGACCCCAGGGAGACTCTGGCACTCGTCTAAGCCAAAGACCGAGCGAGCAGCCTACCCCCGTGATGATCATCCGGATCAGGAGGATCTGAAAGGGATCGACATGGTCCACCCCATTCTCCAGCGACTTGACGACCCCATGTACCACAGCAGCGGATATTTGGGAGGCGAGGACGACGAGCGATGGCTTATGCCTGGCCACGAAGGACGGTTTTTCTTCTCTCCCCATTTCAGAAGTGTAATTTCATCATGGATATCAAATTTCCAGTCAACTCAGGGAAGAACTGAGAAAGAAGAAAAGATGAAAATGTGGAGGGGCTACCTCGGACTTTACATGCGGCGATGCGGCGATGCGGCGTGCTCAAAGAAAGGATTTCGGACCGTGCAAAACTATTGGCCCCCAAATGCGGAACGATCTTTTTGTTGAATCCCAAATGGGTCTCAATGAACAAAGGCTAAGCTGAAAATGCAGGATGACCCCCTGGGGGACTCTGCACAGATGGTCCTCCCACAGAAGTGTTTCACAAGCAAAGATGCGACAAACCCCATAAGGGATATCGTACCATTAAATTTCGAGCCCATCTCAGCAACTGCTGATGGGGAGATCCGATGTTGATTGAGGAGTGCAAGCATTGCTTCATCTTGTATTTGAAATGTCACCTATGTGCAACGTAGTTAGATATCGTCAGTTTCTGTCTACATCACATTCTATGATTGTTTATTCTCCACCTTCCCGCCCTGGTTGCCAGCATCATTACTGAAGCACACCCTTACCAATCATACCTTGTGACAGCTGTTCCATCTCTCCCACAAAGCACCTGTATAAGCTATATCAGAACATTTCAGGATGATCACAAAATATATGCTAATTAGGACATTCACAGATCAAGGTCAGTCTGCTCAGTTCTTGAAGTGGGGCTGGACTGTCCTCTCTCAAAAAAAAAAAAAAAAAAAAAAAAGTTACCAGCTTCACTATGATGACTTCGACGTAGCTGGAAATGAAATTGGCCAGCTTGCGAGAGGCTGATTCTTTGTGACAAAGGTATTGTACCTTATATTGATCACATAGCCATGGTTTCTGGTTAGCCGCCAGTTGAACCAAGGGAATTCGCTCAACACAGCAGCAGCAACGTCAATGATGACAACGTCTTTCCAATCCTTGACTTCGATTCAGATCTTCATCATATCAACATCGCTATGCAAGGTCGTCTTCAACCATTTCATATCCTTTCCTCCGCCCCTGCAGAATGTGCCTCTCGAACAAGTCCTGCGGTGATTACATCGTATCAGTCTCAATCGACTCCCAAGTCAAATATCGACAAGCAAGCTCTCGACTGCTCCCCGAGGCTACTGCCAATTTCCAGGAACCTTCACACTGATGACAATGATCAAGTATTATTCTGCGAGAACTCCCGATGCTACAGACTTCTACTCATTGGCATTGGGTCCTTATTTCATTTTTTTTTTCTTTTTTTTGGAGCCATCCATCTTGTGAGGGTGGTGGGTCTCTGTACCAGGGCAAGCCTTGCAGCTGTCTCAGGAGCGGTGGAGTTTTAACATGCATACTGCCAGAAGTGAAAGAACAGGCGGAGAGCGCCTAACAATACCTCAGAAGGACGATGAAATTCTGGAGGTAAATGGCCAGACCTTGCTGGTGTAACTCTGGGCTGCAAATTTCGCTCCCCGAAATAAGATAATTAACCAATGGTTATTTGCCCGTCGAGGTCCTGTATCACACGAGGTTTTCTTTAGGGAGAAAAGAGCATACGCGAAGATGCTTGAGCTAAGTAGACCCACGACGGGCCAGTGGGTTCTCCAATGATCCGCAGCCAGGCGAGAAATTCTTCATTGTGTTGAGTGCGGCAAATTATGTGATTACCGACCACCGACCATTACTTTGGGGTACTGTATACTGGACCCAAAACCCTGTAGGGAGAATCACAACAAGTCTGCACCAGCATATCTACCACAGAAAAGAGAGGGACAAGAGGCCCTTCGCTCAGCAACTGGGGGGCTTTGTTCGTGCCCAGCATGCGCGGTCAGCAGGACGTGCATCATGAGGCCGATGAGTGCAGCCCACTGCTCTCGGACAGTCCGGCCTCGACGACACCGAGGCCGGAACCACCCACGGAGGCCGCTGCCCGCGATGAGGAGGACGAGGCCGACATCTACGGGTCGAGGAGCAGTTCGGAGCTGTGGCTGCTCACGAGCTACTCGCTTCCCCTCATCGCCACATACCTGCTGCAATACTCCTTCTTCGTCATCATCACGGTGGTAGCCGGCCACCTGGGCCCCGACGACCTCGCCGCCGCCAGCATCGGCGTGACGACCATGAACGTGGTGGGGCTCGCCGTCTTCGAGGGCATGGCCACGGCCCTCGACACGCTGTGCGCCCAGGCGTACGGCTCAGGCAACCCGGCCGCCGTGGGCTTGCACGTGCAGCGCATGCTGCTGCTGATGGCGCTGGCGGCCGTGCCGATCGGGCTGTTCTGGGCGTGCTCGCCGTGGGTGCTGCCGCTCGTGGTCAGGCAGCACGACGTCGCCGTGCGGGCGGGGTTGTTTCTGCAGTACAGCCTCGTGGGCCTGCCCGGATACGCGGCGTTCGAGGCGCTCAAGAGGTTCCTGCAGGCGCAGGGTGACTGCAACGCCGGCATGGCGGTGCTCATCGTCTGTGCGCCCGTGAACGCGGTGCTCAGCTGGGCGCTGGCCTTCCCGCTCGGCATGGGGCTCGAGGGTGCCGCCCTGGGCGCGGCGCTGAGCAACAACCTGCGGTTCATCCTCTTGCTGCTGTATATCGTCTCACCCCTGGGTAGGTGGTCGCACGGCTGCTGGGGAGGCTTCTCGAGGGAGGCTCTGAGGAAATGGGGCACCATGGTCTCTCTGTCTACAGCGGGCGCCGTCGCAACGCTGGCTGAGTGGGGCGCGTTCGAGATTCTCACGCTCAGCACGTCTTATATCAGCACGGAACATCTGGCCGCCCAGACCATCTTGGTAAGTTTGCCACACAGACGTATTCTCTCTCTGTATTTGTATCTGGGCTAACGTTGCATTCTTGTGGTTGGAACAATAGACGACAGCAACAGTCATCCTCTGGCACATCCCATTCTCCATCAGCGTGGCCGTCAGCACGCGGCTTGGCCATCTCATAGGAGGCGGTCTGCTCCCGACCGCAAGGCGTGCCACACACCTCTACCTGGTCGTCTTCGCCGTCGTCGGCCTCTTCAACGCGACCCTTCTCTACGTGTTCCGCCACCATATTCCCTCCATCTTCTCTGACGACGCCAAGATCCAGGCGATCGCTGCCAACAGTTTCCTCACCGTCGCCCTGTTCCAGAGCGTCGATTCTGTTCTCTGCGGCACACATGGCCTGATGCGCGGCCTCGGGAGGCAGGATATTGCAGCCTGGATTGTCTTCGTCATGAACTACGCTGTCGGAGTTCCGCTCGCCATGTGGCTAGAGCTGGGCCCCCTGCGATGGGAGCTAGACGGCATCTGGGTTGGCTTTGCGGTCAGCACGGTGGCCACTTCGATCGCGGAGGGGATTTACATGAGGTGCTTGAGATGGCAAAGGTGCGTTGAAAGCGTCAAGGCAAGAGAGGAAATGTAGATGCATGGGGGAAAGGGGGTTGTTTTCTTTCTCCATGGGCATGAGAATTCGACAGGTTACTCCAGTCGCTCATCAACTTGTTTGGTGTAACATATTTGTATAAATCACATTCTCACCTTAAATATACATATCTAGTAGCTCATCATTAATGCATTGCCAGAATTGACTGTCGATCGTCGGCTTAGTATTCAAGGTTGCTTTGCATCCTGCCCCTCCAAGACCGAGACCACCCCCCCCCCCCCCTGGCCCTTGCTGGCCATGACTTCAGGTGGGCATGCACTACTTACCTACCTACTACTGTAAGGGACTTTACGGCGTGTAGCTGCAACACCCCAGCATAGCACATCACCGTGACTTCCTGTCTTTAACTAAGGGGATTTGTCTGCATGATGAACAAAACAAATAGGGCCACTTTAACTTTTACTCCCAACAATTACATCCTTACAGCGTCGCAGTCCCCGTCCGAGTGCTGGTCCGAGTGCTGGTCCTGGTCCTGGTCGTGGTCGTGACTTCTCGTCATGAACAGGTGCAGTCCAACACGGGATGAAGCAAATGACCCTCAGATGATACGACCTCAACCATCCCTCACAAAGTAAGATGTATATAGCGGCACATACCATCTTACCACACCTCTTTTGGCTAAAGGGAGGGGGAGGAAGAGCAATGCCACTATAGCTGAGAAGCTTTGACACACACACACACACACACCATCATCTTGTCACTTTTGGCGGGTTCAGTTCGATGCTAGCTTCTATAACAAACCCACTAATGCCCCATAAGTGCGGGAAGGGGCGACAATTCGGCCAGGCTAGGCCCTCTGACGTCGATGGGGTTCGAGCCTTTCGTCAGGGCGCCAAGGGTTACACGTAAACTCCATAAACGGCTCCGTCATTGCTCTTGTGCCACTTTGCTGCAGCGTGCCCAGCAAATAACAGAACAAATGGGGAATCGAGAAAAGCGAGAGGGAGAAGAGAAAACAGATTGTTTTTCGTACGTGCGTGTGTATGCAGATCCCTCTCTCTACCAATGTATCCTCAAACTTAAGGAAGTCAACCCATCTCATTATTCTTTCTGGAGAATCCAGTGAGCTGTATTTAATATTAAGCCCAGCATCCCACCGAGTCTCAGCCAGAACAAGTCTTTCTTTCCCTCGCCCATACCAGTCTCGAAAAACATAGGAAGGGAAAAAGAAGGGAAACTTCCAGGAAGGAAAGAAAACAGTAAAAACGAACAAGACCAAAAAAAAGACTCCCAATTCTGTCTACTTGTCTTTCCTCAACCCACCCGCAACATCTTTACAATCAACACACTCAACACCCTCACACGAGAGATGGGAGTCACACGCCTCTGGTTCTTCACCCTCCAGCCCACCGTCTCAGCAACAGACCCAGCCTTCACAAGCCTCTGGACCGAAGTGCTCGAGCTCTGCGCAACCTACACCCCCTCCACACCCAGCCCGTCCGCCTCGCAGTTTCGAATGTCACTCTTCAACAAGCCCGCGCCCCCAAAGAGGTCACACCATTTCCTATTTCAGGCGGTTGGGGGGAAGGAAATTGATGGTCATGGTGATGATCATAGCGATGAAGGAAACGAGCCCGTCTTTGTTCTCATCTCCACATACCCCTCCCTCGCCCTCTGCAGCCAGGCCAACGCAGTCTACGCCCGGCGCTACCAGTCGCAGATGTCGCAGTACGTACGCCACCGCGCGGTGAGGCAGATGGACCTCGAGGATGCCGAAGTCATGGCCGCGCTGCTAGCGTCTTCGCCCAAGGGAACAACCCACTCCCTGCCCAACAACGAGGGGAATGGCGACGTCATCGACGACGACGACGACACCGACGACGAAAAGCGAGCCCCGTCGACCATCACACTCACAATCTCAAGCCGGGACCCGCTGGTCACCGAGGTCAAGGAATCACTATCCAGCCCCGACAGAAGGGCACGCGTGCCCCCGCCGACCGAGGAAATCAGCGGTGCAGATACCTACCACGCACCAGCTGCTCCGCCGCCGCCAGTAGTGGACGGCGAGGCTGGTGGGACGGATGCCTTCGAGGCGCGAAAGCGAGAGGGGAGGAAGTGGATCCGGTTATCGCGGAGGGCAGGAGCTGGGAGCGAGTATGGGGACGTCGAAATGTTTAAGCTGAGAGAATTATTATCGCGGTGATTGGGCGGACAGGAATCGGCAACATGTCTGTCGCGAGAGAGATTTGAGAGAGAGAGAGAGGAGGGACTGACGTCGTCTCAACAGCTGAATGAAAATGCCAGTTTTTTTCTTATCACTATAGCAATGAGAAATAGTAGTATCCAAACAGTGCAAATTGTTCAGAGATGGAGAGAGAAACAAAAGTATATAAAAAAAAAAAAAAAGGGGGGGGGGGTATCATCGACCTACAATCCCTTGCTATGAACTGAGAGGGGACTGGTTATCGTCACAAAACGCCGCCCAATATGTACGCAGATCGAGTCGAAAATGCCAGGATAGTGTGGACGACCCCTCGGTAGGCCCGTCAACCTCGAGCCCGAGGCCAGTCTACCGTCCAACAAGTCTCCCACCCCCTCCCTCTCGAGGCCTTGACACAGCTACCCAAATCTGATAATGTTCTTCTTCGTCTTCCCTCTTTGCAGGCTGCAATGTATCCTGCAAGGAACCGCGAAGGAGCCCTTTATTTTTTTTCATTCTCAACGGAACCGCTGTAACCACTTCCTGAATCCAGTTATCTCAGTTCGTCTCTCCTTCAACTGCGCGATCCTCTTGAGCCTCTCTCTATGTTTCGCCTCCAACAACGCCGTGGGGCTCTCCTCGCGGTACCACTCCCGTACACCGTAAGGGCCCAGCGCGTCCTTCCCATCCCTGCCATCGTTAACCTTGCGAGTGCGCGTGGTCGGCTCCCTCATGCGTACACGCTGCACTTTGCGCAGCTTGGTAAATCCCCACCAAGCCACCACAATACTGGCCAGGGCCGAGCCGACGGTCACAGACGCGAAACCAAAATTGGTCTCCTCAATAAAGTTCTCCAGGTTCATGCCGTAAAGGCCTGCTAAGAACGTTCCCATGGCGAGACCGAGGGTATAAACGCTGAACTTGAGCTCGAGAAGCATAAGGGAGTTGCGGTTGGCGTCCAGGATAGCGCGGATACTGTGGCGTGATATTAGCAGTGTGTCATGCGCGCAGAGGCCACGGTTATAGTGGAGGAGAGACCGAGTGAGTGTGTGTGTGATTGCTGCTTAACTTACATTTCTTCCGTGTTCCGGATGCCAGACACCAAGTTGCCCGCCTCCTGGACGACTTCGTCGCAGATCTTGTGGTAGGACTCCAGCAGCATCTCGATTTCGGTGTGGTCGTCCAGCTCGCGCCTGATGTCCCGTGCCTTCTCTGTCAGGTACATCTCCGAAAGGTCGTCGTCCGCCTCCAGCAGCTCGTCGATCGCATCGCGCACCAGCCTTGCCTTCTGTTCAAACGTGCTGACCTTCTTGGAGAGCACCAGTAAGACCCGCAGCTTCTCGCGGTCGACGTCATCCTCAAGGTCGCTCAGCAGGTGCATGACGGGCTCCTGGACGGTGCCAAATTCCTTCCACAACTCAGCCGTCACCGACATGAGTACCACCTCGAGAGCCCGAAACTCATAGGGAAGCCCTCCGCTCGTGCCCGGGGTTTGTTTTTGGCGCAGTTTGCCCTGCAACTCGTACATGAACTCGGACTGCGCAGACGAGCTGGACGAGCCATACACATCGAAGAGGAGTACGCGGTCATGCTTGATCAGCACTCGCAAGTGGAGGAGATTGAGGAGGATCGCAAAGGGGCGGATGAGGATGTGAGGGAGATTGGAAGAGTCGATCTTGCGAAGGTCACGGGGCATGAGGCCGTACTATAGCAGGGAAGAAATTTAGCAAATGTTTCTGTGTTTATGCGGAGCAGCAGCAAAACATCGTGGCTAGTGTAATGGCGGCTCACCTTGGCAATAAGCTCGCTCTTCTTGAAAGCTCCATCCGTGAGGATGGCATCACCTTTCTCGTCGACCTCAGTACATCTCAAGACGGGCTCCAGCGCGGCCTTTGCACGCCTGCCGGTCATGCCAGCGTTGAAGATGGAGTCCTCCAGCTCGTCGGTGCTGCGACTTCGAAAATCTGGTTTCACGGCATTAGGCCCCCAGAGTCTCTCCGACGCAGACTTGTCTTCCTCATCCCCTTCGAAGCGATCTCCATTGGAGGCGAACCGGCGCGAGGTCGCGGCATTGTTTGCGGCCAGCAGCGTTAGGCCGGACGAGCGTACTCGCTTCAGATGTTTCGGAAGGACGTTCTCGACGTGGAAGACGCAGGTTTGGCGGGTAGGCTCGAGGCGTTTTAGCCTAGCAGCTGAGGATGGGCAAGAAAGCGGTTTGGTACCGCCTGGGCTGGATGCAGTGGAGTTGCCAGTCACCTGACGAGACTGGCCATTCCATCTTGCACCTGCTCCGTGGACATGGGCATGGTGAGGACTGAAGAAGGGAGTTCCCTCGGACTGGGAGCGCAGGAAACGAAGCAGCCTGCGGGATGGGACAGCAGGCTGCAGTACGGAGCGCATTGCGACGGACGATTGCTGACGACCTTCCGCCTCGGAAGGGTACTTGACAGCAATTGTCTCCGAGATCTCAAGACCTCACGCGCTGTTATGGTTGACGGTGCAGCTGCAACATATTGTGCCAAGTTGTTTGCTGAATCGAGAATTTGATAGCAGATTTTCTTAATTACGTCAAACTCCATATCAAAGCTTGGACCCTAACCCTTGCCCCGCATAAAAGCATGCAGCCTGTCTCTCTTTATTTTGGTCAACTTTATTCCAACCCTTCGTGCCTTAACTCACCATCCTTCCATGTGATTTCCCCAGCTTTCGCAGCATCAAAGCTCACTGTTCGAGTTTTTGTTTTTTGAATTCTTTTCTTTCATTTCTAAAGCTCAATTTCATTTCAGTCTGCTTGCGCTGTGAGAAAAGTTTAGCAGCTGGGGCCTCATGTGTTTGGCTTCAAGATTTCCAAGCCAGCAATTTTCCCCCACACCCCCACTCTCGCCTACTTTCGCATCAGAGTTTCTGATGGCTGGTGTTGTGTTATTTTCTTCTTCTTTTCTTTTCTCATAAACAAAAACAAAAAATGAAGCTTACTCCAATTAGAGTACGCGGGAGGCGTGGCCAGCACAAGCCCACTAACACGGCACCTTCCAAGACCAAGCAGCCCATTATGACCGACGATGGCCAGGGAAGAAGAGACCGCCTGCAGCTACACAAGCTGCCACAGGAGATCCTCGAGGTCATCTTTGTCGCCTCGAGAAATCTATCCCTGCCTCTTGTCAATTCTGATCTGTACAATCGCCTATCCTCGCCTTCCGCCAAGTATCAGCTAGTCAGCGCTGCTTTCGGGCTCACATGGGACACATACTATGGTCTTGATGCTATCTCAGTCGCATCCTACAATGAATGGTGGGCAGACGAGGCCCGAATTATTGGTGACCCAGCCTTCCAGGTGAGCAGCTCGATCTACCGGACCAGGTCAGGGTTACCTGTGTCAGGGCGACGATGATAGATTCAACTAGCTAATAAGAACCATAGTCTGCCATTCTCCGTTGTTCTTGGGCAAATTTTACCATGATGATCACCTCCTTGGAAGTTTGGACTCGACAGCATGCTCGCGGCCGTGCCTACTTCACCATCCCCGGGGCTGAAGAGAGGACCATGACCATGCCAGACAAGTTTATCTTTGACTTCAAGAAATTCGAGCACGGACTCCCAAGCCGGGACCGTTTCCGCAATCCTAATGTTCTCCTTCTGGATCAAGAGGCCTACCTCTATGCCCTGCTGGGGTCGCACATGGAGGTCCACCCCAGGACACAAATACCAGACAATCTACTTTCGGGGCCTTTCGAGTCAGAAGACGGAAGTGTTGACATTGGGGAGGCCAAGATGCGCTTCCTGTTCTGGCTAGTCCGTGGCGGAGCATGTCTTCAAGCTGAGCAGAATTGGGAGGTTCTGCAGGGTGGTGTGAGAGCCATTGTCAAGCTCATCACAGGTGCAGGAGGGGAGGCCACTCTCATCAATGTCCAGAGACGGTTCGCCCTAGCCACGCAACTCTTCTCTCTTTATAATTTGCTGGGCGTATTTGAAGCGCACTGGCCTGATTGTGAGTACCCCACCTCTTTCAAGAAGCACAAGAAAAATACCGAAGGATGTGCAACCCGGACTGACAAGGCTTTGAGCAGATATTGTCCAAACAATTCTGGTTGATGACATGATCACAGGCATCCATCAGGCACCATACAGTGCAGCTCAACGTACCTATCTCATCGAGCTTGCAGCCTACATACAATTTATGTATAGCCCAACTACCGACCTCCCTCCAACAAATAGACAGCTTAGTGGGAGATGGCGTCGACCAAAGCATGATGAACCCCGGTTCCAGCAACAATACCGGAGGGACCTTGCACAGGGATGGCACATGCAGGTCTCGACAGAACGCGCCAGGCTCTTCCAAAATATCACGGATGAAGAAGTGCAGGCTCCACATACTTTCGACCTTGGAGCTGCAGAGGTGATTCATGCGCGCCTGTGGGCATACATGGACATTCATGAGACTGACTGATAAATGTGCGCTTGCATAATTGTTGACAAGAGCGGATATGTGCTGTTTCTGGGACCAGTTGGCTTCAGCCTCTTGATTTTTTCTTTCTTTTTCAGCATAGCAGCTTTGAGTAGAAATAACTGGACTCTCTATTTCTCTCTGAGAATGTCTCTATTGGAGCTGGTTGACTTTGTGCTAGATGGTCGTAGTCATTGATGGTTATGGATATGGGAGTATTTCAGCATGGCGATTCCACTTTCTGTAAGCATTGCTTTCTTCTTCTTGCTCTTCTGTTTCCTTCCCCTTCTCTATTATGATATTATTATCCATGAGTTCGGATTATGATTACAAAAATGTTTCCCATCCAACCGTGCTGTTCTCTATGAATTCTTGTATGGGAAAATCTTGGTGTTCAACAGGACAGAACCCTCGGCTGCGATGTTTATGCAGCATCTCCTGTTGCCTCTCCCTCCCTGCTTTCCTCTGGGTATTGATTTCCAACTCAATAAGGGAGATGAACAAATAAGAAGAAGAGAAAAAAAAAGGAAACCAGAACAGTTAAAAGGATGAGATATCCCTTTTCAGAGTCTTTTACCAGTGACTATAGCGATTACTGTCTTACATACTTCACAGAGTAAATATACGAAGGTCAGATATGACTTCCAAGTCTGGGTGGGACATGTGAGAGTATTACACGCTATTGGCTCATTCTTTGTTTACCGGTCAGGGGTCTACTTGTCTCGGTCGCACCCGACTTCGGCCCCCTGGATCCGCTGCTGCTTTGGCGTGTGGACCCCTGAAGATCGTCTGCAGAAATTCATCCGTCCAGGAGCTCTTGATGTGGCACCACCTGGCAGCGGCTCGAACGCCAGTTCCCTTCTTCCCCCCCCTCCCTCCAGAACCAAATTGAGAAACTCTTCTCCTCTCTGGTGCAGGAAGAGAAGACACGATGCAGGTCGAGGAGACGTTCGGGCACTGGCTCTCCCAGGCGCGAGAGCAGCTGCAGAGACTGCCGTACGCGCTACCTTTTCCTTTCGCCTGCCCACCTGTTGAGGAGACGCGGCCAGCTGACAGCGGTTGGTGGCCCTTCGCCGACAGGCTGAACGACATACCGCAGGCGGCATGGCTGGCGATATGGCCGTTGGCCCTGCTTGCCGTATTCTATTACATGAAGGGCGAGAATGACCAGCCCGTTCGCTATCGAGTCCCTTCGCCCAAAACACCAGAACGAGAGGAGTTTCTCTCGAACCCAAGCGTCAAGGTATGGAGCTTACAAAAAGAGCAGCCAGCGGACCAGACTCAGACTTTGAGTGCTCTCCTTGTTTATGATGTGGCTGACATTAAGGTTCTTCCTCCGTCCCTCTCTCTTCTAGGTCTCCGGGACGAGCGCGATTCAATGCTTTGCGCCCGCGACAGGACAGTTCCTTGGCTTCATCAACGCCGCCTCTCCATCTGCCATCGACCGAGCCATTGACGCCGCCGAGACTGCACAAAAGACATGGGCCAGCACGACCTTCAGGGAAAGGCGCAAGGTGCTCCGGTCCGTGCTGCAGTATGTTCTCGACAACCAGGAAGAGATTTGCAGGGTGGCATGCCTCGACTCGGGCAAGACGATGGTGGACGCACAGCTGGGCGAGATCCTCGTCACGGTGGAGAAACTGCAGTGGACCATCACGCACGGCGAAAAGGCTCTCACGCCCGAGAGTCGACCGACAAACCTCCTGATGGCCTACAAGAAGAATACAGTGCACTACGAGCCTCTTGGCGTCGTGGCGGCGCTGGTCTCGTGGAACTACCCCTTCCATAATCTGATCGGGCCCATCATCTCGGCCATCTTCTCTGGGAATGGTATCCTCGTCAAGACCTCTGAGCAGACGGCATGGAGCGCATCCTTCTTTGCGAGCATCGCGAGGGGCGCCCTGGTCGCCCATGGCCACGATCCTGCTCTCGTACAGACGGTCGTCTGCTGGCCACAGGTTGCGAACCACATCACGTCTCATCCGAAAATCGCCCACATCACCTTCATTGGGTCACGACCTGTGGCACACAAGGTCGCCGAGTCCGCAGCCAAGGCCCTCATCCCCGTGGTGGCTGAGCTGGGTGGCAAGGACGCATGCATGGTTGTGGACTCGGCCAAGCGAGACCTCTCACGAGTCACCGAGACGCTGCTCCGCGGCACTTTCCAGGCGGCAGGGCAGAACTGTATCGGGATCGAGCGCATCATCATCACGCCAGGTATCTACGAAGAGCTTGTTGGGCGCCTCGAGCCCCGCGTCAAGGCCCTCCGGCTAGGGCAGGATCTCGACTTGGGCGCCGTCATCTCGGATGCATGCTTTGCTCGGCTGGAGGGCTTAGTGCAGAAGGCAGTCAAGAGCGGTGCCCGTCTTCTCGCCGGTGGCAAGCGGTATAAACACCCTGACCACCCCCACGGCTTCTACTTTGCCCCTACGCTCCTTGTGGACGTGACACCCGACATGGACATTGCGCAGGAGGAATGCTTTGGTCCCATCATGGTCCTCATGCGCGCCCCCTCGAATGTTGCCTCGGACGTTCTCAGCATTGCCAATGCGCCCAACTTTGGCCTCGGGGCATCCGTGTTTGGAAAGGAATCGGACCCCGTGGTCCAGGCCATCGTCAGAGGGGTCAGAAGCGGAATGGTGGCGATCAATGATTTCGCGGCCTACTACGCGGTCCAGCTCCCCTTTGGCGGAGTTGGTGGGTCAGGGTATGGCAGGTTCGCCGGAGAGGAAGGACTCCGAGGACTATGCAACATCAAGGCCGTCTGTGCGGATCGCTGGGGCTGGGCTGGCGTGAGGACGAGCATCCCACCACCGATCCAGTACCCTGTGGGCAGCCAGGAGAAGAGCTGGCGATTTGCACGAGGCGTGGTCGAAACCGGCTACGGGATTGGCCTGATGAGGAAGGTGGGTGGTGTGTTGAGCATATTAAAGAATATGTAAAGGGCTCCGCTCCATGAAGAGCCTTGTGTATACATACAAGTTTGGAAGAACTCCGCCCGGGTATATATCTTCGAGAGAAGGGCTCAGATGAGGAGACCTCTTGGCCAGTCATGCTGGCCTTACCTAATATAATAATAATACTAAAATTCAATTGATCCCTTCCCAATGTAATAGTTACGATAGACAAGACGGCAGACGAGAAACTTATTTAGTATTTTCGTTACTTGCACAGACAAATATATAATACAAAACAGACATGTAAATAAATACCTACGAAAAAGCAAATCAGAAGCTCGTCCACCTTCTCGTCATCAATTCTCAGCCAGCATTATGTCGTGCCATCAAGTGACTTGGCTCGTACGATGCTGCGTATCCTCCTCGCTTGACCCCACAACATGTCAGGAGATAAGATCGATTAGATAACCTCCGAGACTCCTCGGCTCGTAACGGTTACTACTATGGTACCACCTTTTGTCGATCAACTCTTGAACATAATAATCCTCTTCCTTCTATCATCATCATCATTAGCATTCTCTAGCATTATTATCGTATTCCTGCCTTTGTCTCCTCCTTGTTCTCGTGCTTGTGTGTATGTGTGCATACCCTCCTAGACCCTCGTCACCATGAAGCTCTCGACCTCCCTCTCCGCCATTGCAGGTCTCACCGCCAGCACCGCAGCGAGCAACACACCCATCGACGAACCACCCTCCTCCCACCTCTTCCAGAACCCCGACCCCTCCTTCTTCTCCTCCTCCCAGCAGCAGCAGCAGCAGCGCATCCCAACCTCGTACGAGTCCGCCGTCCTGGGCCGACGCATCCTCGCCCTCACCCCGCTCGCGACCCTCTCCACCGTCTTCCCAACCTCCTACGCCACCGCCGCCGAGGATGCCGATGGCCTACCACAGAGCATCCTAATGGAGCAACGGCCCGCAGGCCTGGGAGGTGTGCCGATCGGACTGATGGATTACATTGCCGACTGTGACCCGGCGCCGTTGCTTTCGTTGTCGTCGTCGTCGTCTGAGGAGGAGGGAGGTGAGAAGACGTCGCTGGGCAATGGGGACCCGACGATCCTGGCCATCCAGATCGCCACGAGCTTCAAGAATGTCGATGCTGGGAGTAATATGAGCGTGAGCGTGAACTGGGTGCCACCGTTTCCGCCTAAGAAGAGGATAGAGTCAGAGGGGAAGAAGAAGAAGAAGAAGGAGAAGGAGTCGTCACGAGGCTTGCTAGGGTGGGCAAAGAGCTGGCTCTTTGAAAAGAAGGAGGAGTCCAGCAACAACAGCAACAAAAAGAATCACCACGGCAGTCACCACGACGACGACGATCACGGTCACGACGACCACCACCACCACCACCATCACCACTACGACCCCGTCCCCTACTCAGCCGCCAACCTCCCCCGCTTCTCCCTCCTGGGCTACCTCGAGCCCATCCTCCCGCTCCCCACCAACACCACCGCCGCAGCCGAAGCCCTCCGGTCCTGCTTCCTCAGCGCCCACCCAGACGCCAAGTACTGGCTCCCCGGGAACCGGATCCACGAGAGCGAGTGGGTGCGGCTGGTCGTCACCCAGGTGTACTGGATCGGCGGGTTCGGCGACCGGGCGTATATCGGGTGGATCCCCGTCGAGGAGTGGCGCAATGTGACGCGCCAGGAGTGGGAAGGGGTGAGGCTTCCTGGGGAGAAGGAGGGGTGGGAGGAATGGAGTGTTGAGGGGGCGGGGGAGGAGGAGATGAAGAAGAAGGAGGGAGAGTGGGAGTTGTGAAGTTGTGGGCTGTGAGGTTGGTGGAAGAAGAGGAAAGAAAGAAAGAAAGAAAAGAGAGATTACCAATAAGAGGGAGGATACTTCTGTCAAAGGGGGACATATAAGAGAAAGAATATCGGAGCATAAAGAATGTAATACACCGTTCGCTTGCATGATGTTACACAAGCCACAGACCATATGGCGTAGGGATGGTAGTTTTTCGGGATATATGCTGTGCTCCCTCACTCTCTCACACACACACACTCTCTCTCTCTAACACAGCATCTTACAAGTAAAAGACACATTTTTGACGATATAAAGAACAAGCCCGTACCCAGGATCTATTAGAGTGAAGATTGATGATGCCTCCTATCTTCCAACCGATCCATTCCATAGCCAATATTCCCCTTTGAAAAATTCCTGTCCCAGTATATTCGTTTCCTCTCATTTGTGTTTCATTCTCCCATGCAGTTCTATCCATGTTATGCAGGTAAGCCCCTAAAGATAAAAAATTGTTGTAGGGAGCCCAAATATCAAACGCGCTCGCTTTGCTTGGCAGGGTATCGTAAAACACTTCATCTCCTCGTACAACAACCAGAAGAAGAAAAAAAGAAGTCTCCTCAGAGAGAAGGGGGTGATGGGGAGAAGACAACCTCCAGGACGTCCCAAAAGAATAGCATGGGAGTACCCTGCTGCCCTGCGGCGCTCAGTCAACCCGGACGACAACCCGCCAGCCGACCGCGCCCGCCTCGCGGATAGCACAGGCGAGACACCCTCGCCTTCGTCTCGAGATGACCGCGTTCCAGCCCCGCTCGGCGCAGATCGCCCTGACCAGGATCTCCATGTCGCTTCCAAACTGTCGTCTCCTCGACTCGGAGTGCATCTGCTGCTCCGCCGCCCCGCCGTTCTTCTCCGTGTCCGTCCTCTGGAGCCGGGGGAACCCGCCGTCCACATCCGGCGAGGCCAGACCGCTCAGCGACGAGTGTCGGCTCGAGATGGAGGCATCGCTCAGGCCTGTGCTGCCGCGGCTTGTCACGGGCGACAGGGGGATCTCGTGTGCCTCGGGCTGCGGCAGGAAGTTTGTGATGGCGTCGATGACTAGGACGCGGGGCGTGGGTGCGCTGTTCAGGGACGGGGTGACGCTAGGAGAGGTGTCGCTTGGGGCGTCTTGAAGGAGCTGCTCCAGGGTCCAGTCTGGTCTGCCGAGGAGCGCAGACAGGTGGATCGGGGTATACGTGTAGAACTTGTGAAGAGGGTGGCCTAGAGATATGATTCATGTCAGCAACGCGAGGATCAAGGGGGCAGGGGGCACTGCGACGACAAGAGACAGGAGACAGGAGCCTACAAGTGATACTCGTGTGACCGTTCGACCTGCCGTGGCCAGCGACAGGGTGGCCAGAAAGGTCAATCTGTTGGATCGTGGGGCTCGAAGGTGACTTCAAGATCCGAACATGATGCGAAGGCACACACGGATGGGCCGTTACAAAGTTCACATCCTTGGCCACAGGAAGCGTGTATTCACGGTCCTCGTCATCCTCCCACGTCGTCACATTGAAGGTGATGGAGGGCGTGAAGGTCCTGAGCTCGGGGGTCGTGCTCGGCTCCGAATACGGGGTCACAACCTCGAGGGTGGGCGTCGTGGTGACGGAGTCGAGGGGATCGGTCAGGTTGAGCGATGACAGCTCAACGCTGATGGTGGGCGGTGGGGTCTTGTAGTGGTTCTCGTACGGGATGATAAAGTCGGCAGGGAAGATGGCATCTGGATCCGAGCCGCCCAGGATGGAGGACTCGCGCTCCACGGCGAGCTTGCCCCAGAGCCTGGCCTGTTTGCCCGTCCGCTTGACATCCTCGGCGATCGTCTCCACATCGATGTCCACCCACCCGTTGCCTAGTCCGCGAGGAATGATGTCGCAGGAGATCCAGCCCATGCACTCGACGGCTCCCTTGCCGGCGGCCAGGACCCGGCCCACGACGCACGCGGTGCTCCAAAAGCTCTTACCATTGTACACGAAGCCACCACACAGGTTCGCCATCGGCCCGAGTTTCGACATGGCCACAACATCGTTCTCGAGCAGCGTCGACATGATGCAGTGGTAGAGCCCCTCGCCTGGCAGCATCAGGCCTGACACATAGCTCTTGGACAGCCAGCCGGCAGGGTGCAGTGCAGCGCCCACCTTCTGCCGCCTCTCCTGTCTCCTGCCCACAGAACTGTCCTTCTGGAAAGCAAAATAGGACGAGTTCTTGGACCTGGCTGTGGTGGTGGACAGTGGCGTCTCCAGGGGCGTGCTGATGGGCGTACCCTCGGTCACGGCACGGCAGTTGTTGGCAATCAGCGCAGACTGGGCATCGATCTCGGGCCATTTGAGCCTCCTCGCGAAATGCGTCAGTCCTCGCACCTGCCTCTCCCAATGCTTCCCTCTCATGACGTAGATGACATTCGGCTTGTGCTGATCGTGGGCGGCGTGCCTCTCATGGTGTCTTGAATGTGGTCGGTCGCTTGTCAGTGCCATCTTGTGTGTTAGATTCGCCAACCAGCCCTTGGGCTGCTCCTCCTGTTGGCCGTCTGCAGGCTGCTTCGACTTGGTGATTTCGATGTTGTCCAGCCAAGCCCTCGCCAGGTGCAAGGACCACTTCACAGAGGCGTTTGCGGTCCTCTCTAATTTCTGGATCTCGGAGGGCCTGACGCTGTCGGGTAGCTCATCGCCTTCGGTGAGGATGTCCAGCCGGACGAGCAGCTCACATGCCAGGAGGATCTGCAGGAGCAGCCAGTATCTCTCTTCGTGCAGGCCCGTCGTGTCATCGGCGTCCGTGATGGAGCTGCCGTCACTCACGCTGTCCTCCCCGCCGTTGTCAGCTCCGGTGGTGGTGCCCCATAGTATCTGTCCGAGCCTGATTCTCCACTCGACGTGGGAAAAGTCAATCCACACATTGGGCGTCGCGAGGACCTTCAGCAGGGCCTGGATCTGCACGGCTAGGCTAAAAGGATCCGTAAACGTCCTGCTCGGCGGGTGCAACAGCTGCGTGAACAGCTCGTTGAACAGCTCGTGGCACGAGGCCTTGTCCTTTTGGTGTTTTTCGTGGTACCGCTGGGCGTTCTTGATGAGGTGGTCCAGCACTGTCGTCTCCTCCAGCCGCCTCAGCCCGACCTTGGATGCGATCAGGTTCTTTCTCGTCTCGACGACGACACTGTCCTTGGCGCCCAGGCTGCCAAAGCCCCACTGCTCCTCCTGGAGCGTGTCCGCTACGCCGAGCTCCAGGGCAGCCTGGTAGCCCATGGTGCCCTTCTCGAGCCCCTGCATGCTGAGCATGTTGGGCCGCTCCCTACACCGAGGATAAAAGTGTGCCCTCCGCTTCTCGGCGACCTGACGGGTGGCCGATGCCGAGGGGCCACGCCGCACATCCCTTGTGATGTGCGGCCAGGCGGTGATGCAACCCCATGCCTCGTCCTCGATCTGGGTGTGGTCGGTCAGATCACGAATGGCAAGCTCTTCGTCCCATGGGAAGGCGACGGAGGGGTGTGGTGCGCCGGTGAAGTGGCCCTCGGACCGGGCAAAGTACTGCGGGGCACCGGAGAAGAGCTTCTCGATGTCCAGGGTGGATAGGGTCGCCATGATGCGATTGAGGCGCAGAGGGACGACGACGACTGGTGGCGGATGATCACCACTGGTCGTGTCGGGCAGCAGATGTTCTTGTCCCTGGCGGCCTTCGGCGGGTGTGGGCGGGAGCGGTTTGTTGTGGTCCACAGGCTCGCGGGATGTCAGCTTGGACACGTGTGAGTAAATGTCAGCCACCTGAGGCAAAGCAGTGTGTCATGAGACGTAGTCGTCGTCGGAGACAAGGGCTTGCTTAATGGCAATTCCGTTAAGAAGGAGTAGGATGCATGAAAGAGAAACCCAGGATGATGATGAGACAAGAAACATGCATAAGAAGGTACCTTAAGGGAGGGGGGGGGGGTGCGGGTATGGAATTGAGATCTCGGGAATGCAGCCAGCCTTCGACTATTGCCGTATGGTGCAGATGCAGATGCAGGGCAGGGCAGGGCAAGCAGGAGGCAGGGGGAAATATAACAAGGTTTGTGTGCTGTGTTGGCGGGTACAAGATTGAGAACTCGAGGTTAGGGAGCAGAGTGAAATTGGGACCAAGTAGAGGTCAGGTGAGGTGGTCTGACGAGTTGAGATTGGAATTTTCCCAGGCATGAGGAGGAGCTGCAGCAGCTGCAGCAGAATGCGAGAAACGTCAAGGACAAGAAAGACGACCCCTCTTCTTCATTCTTCTCCTCCTCCAACTCGACAGCTGCTGCTGCTACTGATACTGCTCCTCATGCTCGCTCATGCTTGGACCGGGGACTGGACCGACAAGGGCCCCCCCCCCCCCCAAAAAAAACAAAAAAAAAACCCCCCAAAAAAAACAACCGAATTGACCCCTCGGGGAGCCAGTGTGCCACTGTGCTACTACCACGCTCTTCTCTTCTCCTCTCACTGTCAGGCCCTCCTAGGCTGATAGGCCATTCATTGCCAGGGGTGGTGGAAGTGCCCGCCTTGCCCTGAGTGGGCTGATGAATCTGGGGTAAATTGTGGAGCCTGAACTGACTCTGACAGGGGGGCAGGCCACTGGCACCACTTGCTGGACCACCTTTTCAGGGGTCCATTGTTTGCCGTAGGGTGTCTGAAGGAGGGAGGGAAGGAGGGAAGGGTGAGTTGGAGAGGGGAGAAAGAGCCCAGGGGAGAAAGAGCCCAGGGCAGCAGAGCAATTGACGACAGAGGAGGGGTGGGGGGGGGGGGGGGGCGCGGCATTGGGGAAATCTTCTTGTATGTGGGAAAAGGAAGATAAATAAATTTGGAGATGCATTCATCCAAATTTTTGGGATTTTCTTTTCTCTCCCCATGCATACGCGCATACACACACACACATGCACACAAAACACAAACACAAAACACAACATGACTTGACTCGGAACACAAACAAGTAAGACAAGAAAGAAATTTGTTCAAAACTTACCACCGGGGCAGGCGTCACAACCAGCTGTGGGGGCTTGGTCAGCTTATTTCCTCGCCTTGACAGGCCTCGTTTCAGAGACAGGCTTGGCAGCTTCTTTAAGCCTCGCTGGAGCCTACCAGTCCCGTTGTTATTATTTTTGGTGTCGTTGTCATTGATGCTGGCGGTGCTGGGAATGGTACTGGACGAGGGTTTGGCGGTATTGTCGGTCGCTGCCATCTCGGCTTGGGCTGCTGGTCCTGCTTCGACCGCAACACTATGTGGACGTTGCCGCTGCCGTTGCGTCTGTGCTGATACTTGTGTTGGTGCTGGTGCTGGTGCTGATGCGAGTGCTGGTGGCTGAAGGATTCTGTCTTCAGGTTCCTCCTCGTCCCGAACGGCCCGTGTTGAGGCTGGCGCCGGATCCGGATGTGTTAGGTCTGGCGCAGGCGCTGATGGTGCATTCCTCGCACTGACACCTACGCCCTCGCCCTCCTCATCCACGACGGCTGCGGCAGAACGATCCCCACCGCCGCGATTCTTGGCATCGCGCGGGGCCTGCCAGCTCAATCTCGTTCTCGGTTCGCCGTCACCACCGCCGCTGCTGCCCAACCGGAAATGCGCCGACCGGCTGCGGAACAGGCGAAACGGAGCACGCCTCGTGTCAGCGCGGCCCAGCTGCCGTGTTGTCTTGTCGTGATCACCGTCGTTGCCCGCCTCGTCTCCTCTTGGTACAGTCGATGTCGTACTTGTCGCTACCTGCTGCTGCTGCTGCTGCTCACTGCCGCCGCCGCCGCCGCCGCTGCTGCTGCTGCTGTTGGTGAAGGTGACGGTAGCATCCGTCTGCGGTCTGGCGGTGCTGGCTGCCAGGGAGGTCATATGGTCCGGCCTGGGAGTCTCCGAAGGGCCACCACTCCTGGGTCGTCTGCTGTTGTCGGCATTGGCGGCGGTGGCTGAGGCGGCGGTGGCATTGGCGGTGGCGGTGGGTGGGTTCTGCTGTACCGATCTACGCTTCCTGCTGAACAGCGTCCACGGCGGCATTTTTCCTCACGCGCGCACCGGATGGGGCCCAACTTATCGCAGCCAATATCGATTCGGGGCCAGCGCTCGATTTAGGGGTGACGTTGTCTGTGCGTGTGTGTCTCTGTGCAGCAATGTCGTAGCCTCTGTCTTTGCCTAAGAGTGATCGTCTTTGTTTCCCCCTTTCTCTCTTCTTCTCCTTCTCCTCTCTCCCTCTCTTCGAGTCAGAGACTTAAGGGTCGAGCGTGATAGGCACGATATGTGTTGTGTGTGTCTGCGTGCGTGTGTGCGTGCGCGCCCCTTTCTAGAGCCTGTAGGCCCTCAACAATTCAAGATTCTAATCTCGCAGGCCTTGTCATCACTCCCTAGGTGGGTAAGGACGACGTCATGCTAGCACGGTTTGGAGGGACGAATAGTAGACGGCGAGGCGCAAACACGACTCGCCGGACGAATAGCCAGGCAGGGAATTTGGTCGTCCGTCTGGCAGCTGATACACACAGAACATCCACACCAACAGCAACAACAACAATAAGAAACAATGATTTGGCTGGAGTTATTAAGAAACCAACGTATTAATATTTTTGTCTCCTATCTTTCCTTCACACGAGAGCCCTATAATATATGTATGAATGTGTACGTGCGTGTATCAATGCTAATGGGACGACGGCCTGGCGGCCCGATTTCAGGCTCGTCCGCGTGGCAGGCTGGGTTAGGCTTGCAAGCTTGGTTTTTTTTGTCCTTTCATTCTTGGTTCTTCCTCCACCCCTCCTTTGCTTTGCTTGGCTGTTTCTCTCTGAGCTAGGCTGTCTATCCGATACAGTAGTGTCCTCAGCTCCAGCGGATCGACTTTTTGCTATGCTCAGACAGCATGATCGACCTAAAAGAGGTTTGCTTCAGGGGGAACACGACCGAGGGCCGCAAGCAAAAGCCTGTCTGAACTCTATCTCTCTCCGTTACCCTCACGCAGATACACCTCCTCTGCTGTGCTGCATACTTCAGGTAGCGGGGCACAGCTGCCTGGGTTCTACTACTATGTGATCACCGTATGAATATGTATGTATTGGAGTGGATTGCCCGCGCTATGCGTTCACCCTGCAGCATGGCCCATGTACAAGCCCGGCGGAAGACTGCGCCGTCTCGTGCTCCTCAGCGTATGCAAGTTGTATTTAGAGGAGAACGGCGGAAGAGCAACCTAGAAATGATCCAATGCCTGACAAGCAAGCCACAATGTTCATTGAGGAGGGAGACGGGTAAAGACAAGGGGAGCAGAAGAAAGAAAAAAGATGATTTGATAAAGGTGGATGAACCCTTTTGCCAGGTCTTGCAAGCAAAAAGCGAGCGAGCAACAAGGGGCTCTGGACCACCTGGACACACCCTGTCAAGCCTATCTGTCTGACGCAATGCGCAGGAATAGAGAGCGAGCGAGCAAAAGGCACAGCAACAAGCCATTCTCGGGTGCGTACACGCCACAGTGCGGTGCAGTCCAGTCACCGCCAGTCTGTTGTGGCCCGCCACCCACCTTTTCACTTGGCTTGCATCTCTTTCGGCATCATCTGGGACGATCTTGTGTCACGTACTGCGGTAGTAAATAACATTGACTGCTTGTTGCTGCTGCTCCAAGCATAAGAAAATGTGGTCCTTTCTGTCCGACCCTCTGCTTGGTGTGTCGGTGTCGGCCCCTTCCTCACACGAGCGTTGGAAAGACAGAGTCAGTACCGTCTTTTTTTCTTCTTTCTTCTTTCTTTTTGGAAACGGCCATAACACAAGCCTTGCTGCTGCATGATCTCCACAAATGGCAGTCGCAGTCGCAGTCCAGGTCGCACGACGTGCATCGAGCCGAGATTCGCACATGGCCCGATGTGACGCCCTCTCGTTTGCCTCGTGCGAAGATGACCATGCGCGTCAATTTATTAAAGGGCCCAGGCATGCCGGGGTCCCTCCTTCTCAAGCCACACGCCACAATTGGTTGGTTCGGTCCAGACGGAGCCCCAGGGTGGGAAGAGGAGTATGCAGCATTTATTTTGTCCCGTACGAGCTACTATGCAGTCCCAAGTCGCCAGGGCATCACCAGCCTCCTGTGGCCAGACTATCCGAGATTCTGCTGAGACATGTACGACGTACATGTTCCATCTCCCTTCTCGTGTCCACCATAGACTTACTTTTCCCTTCTTCCTCTTTCCCTGCATGCCACCAGACAGCTAATATAGCATCTTTCAACTTTGTCCTCCCTCCGAAAGCACACCAGTGTTCTCCTTCTGCTATGATGGCTGGGGGTATCGCACGACCGGGCCCCTCCTCATATGGCATAAGCAGCCAGCAGAAGATTTAGATAGATGAAAAAAGGGGCCCTTTCCAGTCCAATGTAAAGTTAAAAATAAAAATAAAAAGATGCGTCAGAGCGCGCAGGGACGGCTAGACCAAGCCGATCCATCATGCTACTTCACCGCCAGACAGAAACGGCAACGGATTGCCCGCTCCATAGGAATCGTCGAGCCGAGGAAGAAAATCTGCTCGTGTGGCCGCAGGATCTCCGGCCCATATCTGTGCGCCCACCGATGACACTGTGGCACACAAACCAGGTCTTATGCTCTCTCTCTCTCGCTTTCCCTTGGTCCCCCTCTTCCAGCTTGGCATCCTCTCCGCCGGGCAGTAAAAATTGGTGTTGCAGAAGATAATTGCGTTTGTAGGAGGCTGGACCTGTGGTTCCGGGAAAGGAGGGGGGCAAAGGAAATCCCAAGGCGCTATGTTGGTCTGGCCATCTAGGTCCTACACATGGCTTCTTGCTTTTTTGTTTGTGCCAGCCTATCCTGTCCTATCCATTTCCTAGCCACAGACGAGGAATACGAGCTGCCACCCAGGAGCGCTGGGTCATTTCATAACGCGACCCAGCACAACCTCAAGACCTTGTCATGGTCATCATTAGAGGTCGTAGTGTTCATGCAGTCGAGGTAGGATTGTGAGTGGGTGTTGTGTCAAAGGTTCTTGTCTTCTGTCTTCTTTGTTCTCCCTCTTTTTGCCCGGTCGCTTTCGTAGATTTGTTTGTCGAAAACATCAGGCCGCCGGCGTCTCGTATATCACGATGAGGAGGTACTTGGCGTCGGGCACGATGACAAGCTCCTGTTTCTTGGTGCGTACGCGGAGCAGCCTCAACTCATCCTGTAGTAGGAGGAACATAAAATAGGTTCAAGGCGTCAGCCTTTTTTTCCTCCGAGAGTTCTCCACCAACCTTGTGCGACTTCTTCTCGCTGCCACCTGCTGCCCCTTCTCCTGATTTCCCACCGGAGGTTTCTTTCCCCCCAGCAGTGCAGCCTGCCGTTCATTGTGCCCTTTGGAAGAACTCACCTCGGTGTCCAGTCCCTCCACTAGGCCGCCCGCCACGTTGACGAACCCCCAGACCATCTTTGCCAGTTCCTCTGCGCCTTGGGTCTCACTGTCGATGACGCTTGCTGCCGCCGCGGCGCTGGAGTCGTCGGATTGTGCTTGTGCCTGTTGTTGCTGCGACTGGGAGGAGGAGTCCGTCGAGGTGTGCAGAAACGAAATCTGCCCCGCCGTCTTGAGGATCGTGCCAGACACGCGGTCGAGCGCGATGGTCGCCTTCACGCCGGGTTTCTTAGAGAGGCGGCTAAGAGTCTCTTCGAGGGCGTCGGCGCCGTTGGTCTGGAGGGCGACGCAGGTGGTTTAGTCAGTTCAGCCGTTGGTGATTGTCGAACGATGCAAGCAGACATGCTGGAGGGAGGGACCATTAGGGGCACGTACCGTGACTGGGTCTGCCATCCTTTCGATATGGACAAGACGTCGTAAAGGCGTTGTGGAATCGAAAGCGTGTGAAGCGAGTCGGCGGCGGCGGCGGCTTGCGATAGTAATAGCAATTATAGTTGCAGTGGGCAATGTAAACAAAGCCCAAGCTATATCATCCCAGCTCCAGGGCCGATGCTCGCCCAGTCCAACGGTGCCTCAGTGGGGTCACACCCAAGTCCTCTCCCCCAAACCGAGCCCGGATTCTGCTACAGGGCATCCCTGGTGTACGCAACACACCGCTTTTACCAGATTCGGCCTCGCCCTCAATCAAAGTCCGTTCTGGAGAATTCTCAAATAGTCTTTGCAACTAACTAGGTGAGTGAGTAGCTGGGTTGTCTGCGAAATCCCTTACCTTTTTATTTGTCCCCTTTTCAGGGAAAGGGATTCTGGTTCGGTCGTTGTTGGGTGGCTGACCCTGTGTCAAATGAAGTCAAGATGGGTTCAAGCACAAGGAAGAAGAAGGAAAAGAAGAAGGACTTCCAGGTAAACTAAGCCCCCACCCCCAGGATACCCTTTTGGCGGATATCCTCTTGATATATGTGTCTGAGAGTCTGAGGCTGACTGGACGAGCATGCAGAAAGCCAAGCTGAAGGTTGGCAAGACAAAGGCTAAGGCGTCCAACTTTACAGACACAAGTTTTCAGTCCAAGGGTGAGTGGGTGGCATTCCCTCTGTCTTTTTTCGGCGCTATTCTCGTGTGTATACAAAAAGCACAGAGGTGGATAGAGGGGAGTTTCTAAATGGTGTCCATCGCTGTCTACACGAGAGGCATGTGCTCTCAGCAATCGATGAAGAGCGGTTCGAGGGTGACTGAGGATGCTGGGTGTGCTCCTGCCCGAGGAACTGCAGCATGAGGATTTGCTTTTTTCTTCTTGGGCGACTCATCCACTAATCACATGCCCACAGCCATCGTTGTTAACCAGCAATCGCTTTCCACGGTCGCCCCTGATGCCGTCGCTCAGTTTAGGCACAACTTCTCTCTCGCCACCTCTCGTGCCGACAAGCAGCGGCGCGAGGCCCTCTCTCATTTAGTTACACAGTTGACCTCCACCCCACCCAACAACCCGGTGGGCACCTATGCCCTCCTGGACAAGCTCCTCCCGCTCATCACCGACATCTCGGGCGGGGTGCGCACCACCCTCCTCCGTCTCTTTCAGGCCCTCCCCGCCCAGGAGATCGCGCCACATGCCGACAAGGCCGCCAAGTGGGTGCGCCTGGGCATGCTGCACCTCTCTGCCGAGGTACGGCACGATGCTCTCAAGTTTATGGAGTGGCTGCTCGACGCTGCGGGCGAGCCACTGCTGGAGACGGCCGGCGGGTGGACCAAGATGCTCGAGGCCTTTGCGGCCATGATGGGCTGGAAAAACGCTGCTGCCGCTGCCGCAGCTGCCTCCGCTGATAAAAACTGGACCTCGGCGCCCAAGACAACGTTCGGCGCGGACAAGGGCGGCTCATCCTACGCCGGTCAGATTGCCGTTCTGACCAAGTTCGTCGCTCTGGGGCTGAAACAGCCACCACCCGTGCAGGCCTTGAGCGAGGATGAGTACTGGGAGCACGTATATGGCTTGCCCAAGGGCCCGGACCCACTTGGCTATCTGTCGCTCTTCGGCCCTCCACAGGATGGGGAAATCTGTGCCGATGTCGAGGAGCGGCAGCGGGTGTTCTGCAGGTGGATGGATACCATTCAGCAAAAGGTCGGCGAGGCAAGGAGGGAAGGCGGACCAGCTGGTCGGGCGGCTGGCGAACTGATGAACGTCATCGAGGAGGGGATGGACGGCTATGAACATATCGAGATGGAAGAGATGATGGTATGGTAGCCAGCGAGGAATTCGTGGGAGGGGGGGATGGGGAACAGCTTTGTTCAAAGAGGTACGCAATGCTCTGCCTTCATATTAAATGCAGTTGATTTCGACTACGACGGATCGTTCGCAGCACTCAACCACCTTGTCATCTTTTCCATCTGATGCGATTTTCGTGCCTTAGGGTGCCTAAATCTTTGATACAATACAGGAACCGATATTGGCTCAATACACGGTCCTGGGGAACGAGAACAACCTCCTCTGGGATTTTCTTTTGTCTTATTTTTTTAAAAATTTATTTTTGGTCTCTTGCCCTTCCTCTTCACCCATCCGCGTATTCAATTCTTATACCAGCAAGGTGTGGGGACATACTTTCCTGTCCAAGACTTATAGTGTCATGTAACATGTTCTGCTTGGGATGTGGTCCCGTTTCCACCAAAGGCCGTGTCTTTCCAAGCTGACAAGAGGACAAAGCTCGCAGCCTGTGATCTGAGACCGCCTCTCGAGAATCAGAAAGGAGGAGGAGGTTTAGGACCGGCTTCTTCTTACAACTCATTCTCCTCCTCTGGCAAGAGCCTCCAACCACCCAGCCACATGCACCTTCCTCCTCCAGTGTTCTACATTGGTACTTTAGAGGCTACTCCAAGGCTGGTTCTCATAGCTCTTTAGAGGCGTCATCCCATAGCTCCAGGGCTAACAAGACAACGTGAGTACCCATCCACACTCTTTTCTTCCCACTCCCCCAGCAGGACATCAGCCCTCTCTCTTACAGCTTCACTCGTCAATACTCCGGACGCCACGACGACGACAACAACAAGACAACAACAACAACAACAACAACAGCCATCAAAACATGTCACATGTTATTACCAGCTGACGCCCTCGTCCCTGTCATGTCGAGAACCCCACCTGGGGGCCTGGAATAAATATCTGCCAAGTTGTTGTTTCTGGCTCCCAGCTCTTCCTTCCCTCCCTCCCTCCTACCACCGCCACCTCTTTCTTCGCGTTTGGAGCATCAGTCCGCCGCTCTTCTTTCTCATTTCCTCATCGGCAACTCTTCGTACGTTAGTTCCGTACAAAATCATCGAGATCATCGTCATCGTGATCGACGACAACTCGTGGCCTTCTTGGGGACCTTCCAGGTAAGTAATTACGCCTCAACACCCAGCACCTAGCAGCCAGCACCCGTTCAGCCCTCACTACCAACTATCCACTACTCTGCTCATCTGTTCATCCATCCGTACACACATTCTCAGCATCAGCAATATCATCATCGCTATTATCATCAACTTGCGAGCCAGGGTATGGTTTACAAGGGCCTCTTGCCCCCATTTCCTCACGTTATACGCATCTTCATCATCACAGGTGTTAGATGCCTCGATGCCTTGTGTTGATGCCCCAAGCTCCTTCCCTTACGCGGCCATCAGTAACGGCTCTCACTCGGCATTTGCATTTTTCTCCTGAACAATAAGTTGGACATTCCCAAAACCCTTCCTCAGACCACCTGTTCTAGAATGGGTGTCTGGCCACTTGTCTGGACAATGTGGACAGCTGCCCTGCTCCCTCAGCCAGATATTGACCTCCCAAAACCATCCTCCTAGAGGTTATCTCTGCGGGGCTGGGTTTGGAATTTCTTCCCCCTCCCCTTTTTCGGTTTGCACTGCTGCCCCGCGAGGGGGAAGGGGGTGAAATCTTCATTTAATTTGTCGTTTGCACCCGCCCTGATCTGCCCAAGTGCCCTCCCACCTGTCTCTAACACTCTATAACATTTTTACATTGTCTCCCATTCCTTTCTTTTGTCCTGGCCCATCGAAGATACTCACCAGGTCCATACAGAGTCTTCCAACCTTCATTCAAGTCATTTCCTTCACGGTAAGTTGTTCCTAGCAGCAGGTCTCTTCATTGTCAGTGTGCAGCACCTCCCTAGACTTTCACCACCACCTTTCATGTTCTTCCATTGATACATCCAGGCCTTCTGCCTATATCTTCATGTGCTTTCTCCCCCCTAGGCCCTTCCTTACAGATCCTCTTCCCAGAGTGGCTGACAGACTGCCCAACAAATACAGATCAATTTCTTCTGCTGCCACTATGTCCTCTCAGTGGGCCAGAGTTTCGGATTTCAAGCCCGGCGACGGTGCTTGGGAGACTCCTCACGCCGTCGAGGCGTCCGGCACTCGCGCAGAGTCGAACCCTGGTGATCAGGGTACCACCAACACTGGCGACGATGGCGCCGGCCCCAACACCACTGGGGCCAACGAGGAGTGGGCTTCTCAGGACCGCCCCAAGTACGACTATGACCAATTTGCCCGCACCGGCGGCTATGATGGCAACGTTCGTGTCTACCAGTGGGACGGCGAGGAGGGTGACATTGGTCCCGAGTATCCCGAGCTCGAGCTCGACATCTTCGGTCCTCCTGACCAGCGCGACCTTGGCGGTGCGCTCGGCGTCGCGGGTCCCAGCTTGCACAAGTGAGCATTCTCGCTTCAACTTCCCCTTTCGCAGCTTTCTAACACGTTGCCTCAAGGATAAACGAGATCCAATTCCAGCAGGAGGGTCAGATTCGCATCCTGCCCTGTCTCACTTTCAAGGACGCCGGTCTGCACCCGGCTATGGTCAAGAACGTTGAGCTCTGCGGTTACAAGGTTCCTACCGCCATTCAGAAGTACTGCATTCCGGCTATCAATGATGGTCACGATGTCATTGCTATTGCGCAGACCGGTAAGCACTGCACCATTATTCATGATAATCATCTCGCTCCCACGGACAACTGACGAGACTCGTAGGCTCCGGCAAGACTGCTGCCTACCTGATCCCCATTATCAACAAACTCATGGGTAAGGCGAAGAAGCTTGCGGCTCCTCGTCCCAACCCTTCTACTTACCGTCATGGCTACGACGCCCCAGTTCGTGCCGAGCCCTTGGTTTGTATTGTCGTCCCCACCCGGGAGTTGGCCGTCCAGATTTTCATGGAGGCCCGCAAGCTCTGCTACCGCAGTATGCTACGCCCCTGCGTTCTGTACGGTGGTGCTCCCATCGCCGACCAGGCCTACCAGCTGGCCCTGGGCTGTGACATCTTGATTGCGACTCCCGGTCGCCTGATAGACTTCATAGACCGCCCTACCGTCATGACGTTTCGCCGCCTGAAGTTCATGGTCATTGACGAGGCCGATGAGATGCTGCATGACGATTGGTCTGAGGACTTCTCCAAGATCATGGGCGGTGGCGGTGTGTACATGTCCAATAGCCCCTCACTTGCCTAGCCGCGACTAACAAGTTTAACAGAGCAGGAAGAGGGTGAGATCCAGTACCTGCTCTTCTCGGCCACGTTCCCCAAGGATCTCCGCGAGCTTGCCTCTGAGCACCTGGCTACTGATCACGTCCTTTTCCGTGTTGGCCGTGCCGGCAGCACCCACGAAAACATTCACCAGCAAATTATCGAGACGGCTCCTTCCATGAAGCGAACGGCTCTCATGGAGCTTCTCAACTCGATGCCCCCTGCTCGGACCATCGTTTTTGTCAATCAGCGCCGCACTGCCGACGAGCTTGACGATTTCCTGTACAACTCTGGCATGCCCAGCACTTCGATCCACTCTGATCGCACCCAGCGTGAGCGTGAGGATGCCATGCGTTCTTTCCGCGCTGGAAAGACCCCCATCCTGATCGCGACCGGCCTGACAGCCCGTGGTATCGATGTTCGAAACGTTGTTCACGTCATCAACTACGACCTCCCCTCTGCCGACCAGGGTGGTATCGAGGAGTACACCCACCGAATCGGTAAGATAATCTCCTGCAAGGCAATCTCTCTCTCACTTTCTCCTTGTTAATCCTAATCTTGGCAGGTCGCACTGGTCGCATCGGTCATCAGGGCCTTGCTACGTCGTTCTACACCGACCGCGATGAGCCCTTGGCCCCTGTTCTCGTTCGAACCCTTTTGGAGACCGAGCAGGAAATTCCCGAGTTCCTAAAGAGCTACATTCCCGAGGAGGGTGAGCTGAACAAGTGGGAGTCTGAGGGAGACTTCGCCATGGGTATGACCGGCCCTGAGACTGGTGATGGTGGCACCTGGAACGTTGGTACCAACGATGGTGATGCTGGCAACGCTTGGGGTGGTGGCCCCGACGCTGGCGGCTCTGGAAACGCTTGGGGTGGCGACTCCGGCGCTGGTAACGACGGTGCTGGCAAACCCACTTCCTCTTGGTAAGCGCCTCGACCCTGTCTCGAGGCAGAAGATACTTGCCTTGCTTGGCGTGTCTCCATCATGACCAGGGGATTCTTGCACCGTCTGCTCTTGAAGAACAAAATTTTGATCAGGACTCGTACGCAATTCATCACGGAAAGATTATGGAAGGAAATGGATGGCAGATGCTCTTGAGACAGTTGGCCATAATAGTCAGTCGTCCGATTCGGTTCGTACTACTTGTCACATGATCAAAGAGATCCGTTGGCATCTTTCTTCAGGTAGTCTACATCTTCTTCCATAGAAAATCACCAAACACAAACTCGACTTTACACTTGTGGTCTTCTTTTCCTGATGGTTATTTCTGAATGAGGTGATTGTGCTCCTGTCCTCGTATGAAAGTAAATCATCAATCACGATGTCTCCCAACCTGGCTGCGAGGCTCTTGTACGATTTTTCTCTTCTTTCTTCTTTCTGGGCTGTATTACACGCCACGCGAGTGCAGCAGTACCATCCTCATGTCGTCTTCTAAACTTGCAGAACTCGGAAATGGTACGGGCAGCTCTTGAAAGAGACCATCTCTGTAACTTATGCTCAGATTCGCGATGAAGAAACAAGTGATGTCTAATGGTTGAGAGAATATATGTATGAAGTGTGTCGTCAACTTTGGAAGGTACGGATATGCAATACAATAGCAGATGGCCGGCCAGACGAGAGTAGCTCAGACGAAGCCCTCCAATACGATTATAAAAGCCCACGATGATGACGATGACCATGACGCTGAATCTACCTCTTTCGTATATCAGTGCTCCCGCAAGGGGGTCAAGCTGCCCTGCATATCGGCAAGCAGCACAGGCCCCCAGGAAAATTTAAAATTCCTAAGCTACGCATCTTCAAGACCATCCATGAAAAGATGCATTTCTCTCTACTACAGGACAGTGCTGGGCCGGGCACTCTTGCGTGCATCAAATCTAGGCTACGAGCCATCTTCAGAGCACGAGACAATAGCCAAAACATCAAAGGTAGAACAGTGACTTTACATGAGTATCAACAACATACCCCGTTGGAATTCTAGATAATAATGCAAGCTGTCTCTTAGTTGAGCCCTGCACACGACACCCTCCCCCCCCCCCCCTCCCCATCCAATCGGGAGTCCAGGGGAGAGAGGAGTCACGCCGTGCAAAAGTTATGCCAGCATGTCGGCCGACAAGTCATCTTCACGAGGGTCTCTCGTTCTCTCCAGATCCTGACAGCAGTAAGACGGATGAACCGGAAACCAGATGCGGGGTGGAACAAATTACCATCACGAAGAAATTATGCATAAATGGATATATAATTCATCTAGTTACTTAGTCACTCGCCGGCTCACTGTCTCCGACCTGCCGCGCTCGATAAAACCCCCAAGCGTGATCATGCATGCATGCTAAGTGTGTGCATACGAACGGCATGAAGCTAGCAAGGACTCGCCGTGCCATAAGCGGAAAGCCGCCTTCTACTTTGCCAAACTACATGTCACGTCGGTGGGCTGGAACAGAGGTCACGCGAGAGGCAGCGATGGAACGCGAATGGATGATATTTTGGGCCTTGGCCATGGATGTTTTACGTGCGGAACCAGTGGTGGATCCTCACGATCTTGTTTCCAGTCTGGCCGTCTTACAAATTCGCTTCAGGAGCAGCTCCGAAGTATCCGGTGGTGGAATCTAATCTTGCCACGAGGGGCTCTGGGGGGGGGAGGGGGAGGGGAGGGGAGGGAGGCTGGGCGGGTTGTTCAATATCGTGAGACCGATGGTTTCCCTTTCCCCCTCGCCGTGTCTGCACTGACCAGTCATGTTTCCTGAGCAGGCAGACAGGCTAGTGTGGCCATGAAGCTGGGCTTGGCACGCTTCGTTCCCTTTCACGATGCCTGTACCTCTGCCCTCAGAGGAGGGGGGGGGGGGGGCGCGTCGTGGTCTGTGTGTCTTTTGTCTTACTTGAGCTTCGACAGTCTGGTGAATGGTGACCCTGAGAGCAACTCATTCAGCCACTTCAAAAGCCTTTTGTCTTCGTCCCACTTACCGGTGCGCTTTGTCTCGGCCTGTTTTGGGTTGCCTATCCTCTCCTCCGAGACGAGTCGCTTCCCAGTCACACTCACCCACCCTCACGCGCCTTGGTGGGTCATGTACTTGATATTGCCTGCTTGAGCCCAGATAGGAAGGATATGGCACTTCGGGCAGCCCAAGCTCAAATTTGGGATTTCGAGTGCCAGGAACCAGAAGCCGTCACATCTCCGGGACATGTACCTGAGTGTCAGTATAGACGATGGCACACAAAGTGGCGTTGATCTGAGGGAAACCAAAATCAATGCAAACAAGCAAACAAGATATCTGCGAAAGGATACAAAATCCTTATGCTCCTCTGTAGGATCTCGATGACGCTGTGGAATATAGAGTGGGTCAGCAAAGGCTGAGACTCACGATGGCAAGTATCATCGTGCGGTCCACCAGGCCAAGCCTGCTCACGTCGTTCACGTTGGGACAACTGTCTGGGGACCTCCTTCGAACATGGCTCAGCACTGGGCAGTGGCTCAGTCGCACCAGCCCACAATCACGAGATCAAACTCTCTCAAGCCATTTTGTAGTCGAGAGATCCCAATCGTGTCCGCCCGCCCACCTCGTTGAGATCAGGTGGGCGCCAGGTGGCGAGAGTGAAATTTCGGCGTCACTGGTTTTCAATCATAGCTGTGCGTACTTTGGCTCCAGTCGGCTTGTCACTGCTCAGCCAGGGCTGGGCTCTTTCCTACCTAGGGTAACAGTAGTATCCATAGGCCCTCGAGACCTCCCTGGCCGTGACAGCCTGTACAGGTAGTCGGAAACTCATTCGCCCTCACAGCGTCTCCCAAATAGGGGAGGGACGCGGTTCCGGCGATGACTCACTCGGGCGAAACTTGGGGGAGGGGGCCGTGGCGATGTTCATGGAACCGCAGAGCAAGCTTAACTTGCTTACATGCTCAGGCGAGGTGGAACCAGGCTCCAGGGTAATAGTATGCTGTCTAAGCGAATCCGCCGGTTTTGGTGTTCAGATGGCGTAGGTGGTTTGGTTCTGAAATGATACGTGAGCAAATGCGCATGTCTTTGAATTTCATGCCATGACAGTGGACACACACGTGTATGGTGATCAGTCTGCGCTCAAGCAGTATGGCACATCCAGGAAAATCATCGAGTCTTCTCAAGGCTGTTTTTGGTTTGAAAAGTTTGTAAAGTTTTGGTTTTTGTTTACTTAAATTAGGATGTATTCTCCTTGTGTAGGCCAGCTCGGATCTCGAAGGCGGCTCTCGGTGAGGGAGACGCTCTTCTCGTCGCGGCTGGCTTTGATGTGAGGTATTGAAACCTGTCCTGGTCCTTTAGCATGTCAGAATCCCGGGGATCCTTCAATGCAGGCCAGGAACTGGGTCTCATATCCTCAACAATGCTTGTCTGGAGTAAATAGGGTCAGTTTTGGCAGAGCCTCGAGATGGTCCGTTCCAGAAGTGGTTCGCGTGCTGGCAGCCCGTCTGGTGCTTTCGCAAAACAGGCGCCTGCTGCGCTGGCCGCTCCAAGCAAACCCAAGCTCGTCTCTTCTGCCGGTAGATATTGTCGTAGTCACGTAAAAATGACTTCCTTCCACGAACCGCCACCCTCCCCTTGTTCTCCACAACGCTTCCCTTGCTCCTAGACATCTCGGGCACTGGTTTCCCAGCCACGCCAGACTCTGCCCCCCCCCCCCCCCAAGAAATCTCCTCCCAACTAACCACAAGCAAGATGCATAATATTTCTCACACTTCATCGTACACGGTGCACTCACACCTCATTTCCCATGGAATAACCCCATTGAGCCCAGTGAATAAGACACCTGCCAAATGCATGTAAAACGCAACAGCGCTTTTTCCACCACCCCTGGTTATCGGCCCCGGCTCCCTCATACGCCAGCAAAATTTGACGTCTAAGGCAGCGGTATCAAAATGCCATTCCGCCTCATCTTCCAGACAGGAAAACAAGATTAATTTTGTGAATTGAGAAAAAGAGAAAGAAAAAAAGGTTTAAAAGATAGTGATGACAACAACGATGCCCCAAGAATATGCAACAAGAGAAAAGCAACACGTATGCGCCGCCATCAGTTCAAAATACCTGACCACATTCCAGGACCTCCAAAGCCGCCCATGACGGGATGCATTGAAGGGATCCTGAACTGCGCCGCCTCGGTAGAGCAACAGACTCGCTTGCGGCCCTCCGAAGAAGGAGCAGGGACCTGGAAGCGATTCTCTCCCGCGGCAAAGCTGGCGTGATTGGAACTGCAGTCCCCACGCAGCAGATCGCGGACATTTTCCTGGAGGCCAAGGTCTCCTGACAAGGGACGGCTTCGCTTAGACCCGGCTTTGGGCGCCGATGTCATGGAGCCTCGGGTCGCGAAGGAACGCTGCCAGTTGTCGTGGAGAGCCTGCAGAGCCTGCGCGGCATCATTTGTGGCGTCATCGACCTCAACTGCCCCCGAGTAGGACTTGGGAGACGCAGTAATTCTCTCTCCGAATTCTTCACCATAGGAAGGGATGGTAGGCCTCGATGCAAACCTCTCATCCACTAGCTTCGCAGAGCGGTAGCGCGCCTGTACCTGGAGGTTGGTGTAATCCGACCTGGGGTACGGCGCACCCGCCAGCGAAGACAGCGATGAAATGGAGGATGATCGAGATGTGCCGGACGTGTCCGAGACCATCGATTCAGGCGAGGAAACCGTCGAAACTGAAGCTGCCAGCGAGGAACGACGTGATGTATAGTAATTTTGCGGCGACGAGGAGATGGAGCCGGGCCACCTGTCAAGCATCATACCATTGTGCACAGAACCGGCCGTCGACACAGCCAAACTCATGGCGGAGCCGGGGGCAACGAACTGTGGCGGTGAGATGTCCCGAACGGCGCTGACCTGGGGCGTCAAGCGAGGCGTTGGCAACAGTCCGAAGGGAGGCAAGCGGGCAACCGTCTGTGCTGACGAGGGCGAAGGCTCCATGACGGAAGGCGTCTTGAAGATGCGCGGCACCGGCGTAGCATCCCGACCGCAATCAAATGCAACCGATTCGTTCTGGGCAGCAGCCAGAATCGATCGGGGTGATAATGATCGCGGAGACAGGGATGGCACCGGCGAGTAGCGACCCGTAGACAGGACATCTTCCAGGTTCTCCAGGTCCGAGTTCAGACGACGGATGATGCGTTTGAAGACGTCGCATTGGTTCTCGAACTGCGCATGGGCCAGACTGGAGCCAGGAGCGGGCGGTTGAGAAGGACTGTACTTCATGACACAGTCCGTCCAGCGATGATACACCTCCTCGGTGATGTGAAGTTTCCAGTTCACCGCAAGAACAAAAGCCATTTCGTTTTGATTGATCTCGTTGGTGTTCAGACCCGAGATCTTGCTCCATGCTCGAGCGGAGTAGTTTCGATCCTGCAGGTACTTGGATGCCAGGATGAGAGCAGAAAGGAACATCCTGCGGCCGCACTGCAAAGCGCGGCTCGAGTGACAATCGTCAGTTTGTTCCATGGTGAAATCACGCTCAGGGAGCTGATCCTTGATGAGGACTAAATAGTAGAGTGCGACCTGGAGGGTTGAGTAGCTCGTGCGTGAGCGGCGCAACGTCTCCTGGATGAACGTCCGCAGAGGTAGCACGCTCGAGCTGTTGGTCTCGTCGCGGCAGACCACGGAGGACGTTGGCCATATCGCCTCGACAATCTGGGTGGAGGAATCTAGAGTATGATTTAGAAAGGAAGTCCCGGCCGGGGTCTGCCTAAGATTTTGAGGTTCTCGTCACGGCTTACCGACTAGATTGTCGACGAAGTTGAGCTTGCGCTCTGCCTGCCTGACCAAAGTGGGAGGGCAGCCAGTCCGAGACGTCGCGGTGTTTGAGGTCCGCCTCGGGTTTGTTCGAAGTGAGCGTCGAGCATCCGAGACGACGGGTTGCGCGTGTGGCTTGGCGAAAGCGAAGCCGCACCTCGGAGGCACATCCACCGAGAGGGAAGAGGCGGTTGTGTCGTCGGAAGATTGCGATAAAGAGGATGATGCATCAGAGCAGACCGAAGCCGTTGCGGAGGACAATGATGAAGTATATGACAAATTTCGGCGGACCGAGTAGAAATCCTGCGAGGGGTATTCTACTGCCGTCATCTTGTCTGAGACTTTCGTCAAGGATTAAAAGTAAGGCCGATCCGGTCGGGTTGATTCGAATACGTCGAGGACCTTTGAATTTTTTTCTCTTTTTCTTCTTTTCTTTTTGGTTCCCTGGCGTAAATAACTGACCGAGACGAGGATTCCTTACTGGCAAGCCATATTGTACCACATAAATACTAGTTGCAAGTCGGATTCGTGTTGTGTGATTGGTCGAGATGTTGAAGAAGGGGGTGTCGATTGACCTGCCAAAGTATTATAGCAGGTGATCAAGAGAGGTTGTGAGAATCCGCAAGGCGATGGAAAGTCTGATGCAATTGTCCTTGGCTGGCGATGTCATGCCGTGGAGGACAGGAAAAGGAGTTCTTCTTTAAGAGGTTGGTAAAAGCGCCACTGTCATCTGAAGTATGAGTAACTTGGTGATGTCCAGCCGGTAAAGTAATGGCCCAAAGAAAGAGCGTGCGCGTGAATGTAGTCACCGGAGCCTGGCACCCTGAGAAGGCAAGGGCAGGGCAAGGCAAGCGCCTCACGGCTCTAGGCAGTGGCTAGGCCAGGCTGAAGAGGCGTCGTGAGGATGAGCAAGGGATGGGGGGAATAGGGACAAGCTGAGGGCACGAGACGAAGATGACGATGATGTTGGTTTGGGTATGGTAGAGTGGATCGGGCCAGGCAGTGTCTGACCTCCGATGCTGGAGACGGTCAGGTAGACACGGCCACGTCCACGACAGGATGGTGCCCCATTATACGTGTCTGGTCTTGGATGACTCTTTTTCGACCTGTGATGGGAGTGGCGAGAGACCCACAAGGCCTTTGCCGCTGGGTCGCAAGTCGGACAAAGCAGGGTGGGTAGGTGTAGGGTGTAGTAGCAGCGGCTGGGCCGGGGGAGTTTGGGGGAGTGGAGAGGGGGGGCGCCTGTAGCAGAGGAGAGGCCAGTACCAGTTGGGAGACTATTCCACTGGAGAGAGGCTGTCCCACAGGGGGTGTTGGTCCTCAAAGCTTGGCCTGGTTGGGCGCTGGGCGCACACAAAGCCTCGAGGCTGGTTGGGCTGGGCAAATGATGGACACCGTGATTATGGGCATGGATGGTGTGTGCGTGTATAGTATGCATGGGTATGGGTATGTGCAATTGGGTATTGGGGCAGTAATCTGGGATCGATCTGGGTCCTTACCTGTCGAGTCACAGCCTACGTGACGGGAAATGAGTCGCTGGCGTGGAGTGACGAGTGAGAAGCTGGGCTCGGGCCAGTGTGAATCAGGCCCTGGGGGCGAGGGGGGCGGAAGCCTGAAGACGGACCCCTTGTAGCGTAACTAGTGGTGGCGAGTCCAAGTTCCAGAGGGCTCCGAATCAGGAGATCCTTGGGAAAGATGAGTTGTGACTGTGACTAACTTGGTCGTGTCCGATGAAAGAAGGGAAAGAAGTACAGATGTCGTTTCCGAGATGATAGGTTTGACCTCGGTCGAGAACAAACACTCGGATAAAAAGTAGAAATTGGGGCGAGGCGAGTGGTTGAGGATGGAATCGTCCACGGGAGTCCCGCTGTCGATATCACAAGAATGGAACCTGTTGTCCCCGTCTCTATTCTCTCACTCTTGCCTTCTTGTCTTTCTTTCTTTTTCTCTCTCGCAGGTGCAAGCAAATGCCTCACGGGAGAGGGAAAGGAGACAAAAAAGGAGGAGAGAATAGACTGGCCAAATGGTTGAGAGAAAGAAATGAGGTCGTGAGAGAGGTGTTCAGGCCCAGATGTCCGACTGTGGTTGAGCGGCGTATGTTGGTCTGATTGCTGAGAGGAGATGGATAATAATAATAATAAAAGACCACCAAAAACTGATGAGAGGAGATTTTTGAGGAATTCTCAAATAAAGAACAAATCAAACAAACACCATGAGAGAGAACAAACAAAAAAGAAATGACGAGATCAGATCAAGGAAGAGTCGACCTTGCAGCAGAATATGTGCAGAAGCAGACCACAAAGAGTCGCTTAGCACTTCTCAAGAGGTCGAATCGAACATCTTGTCTGCTCGATAGCGAGAGAAGGGGGAAAGGAGGAAGGGATTCGCGATGGCGGGCCCCAAAGCAGTTTTGAAGATTCCACTACTGTCAACTGCCCTCTGTTCTTAGCATCTCGGGACAGCCTGTTCTCTCCCATCAGAGGTACCCCGGCGGTGTCATCTGGGCGTTTGAGGTACATAGATAGGTACCTGGGACGCGCAACGGTAAGGCCCCCCCTGCAAGAGCCTAACGGCAAGCACGGGTGGTACTGCGCTGTCCTCAGAACGAACATGCACCCACACCCATAACCCACCCGCACCAAAACCAAGTACGCCAGAGATTCGATGGCAGGAAGGAGGAAGGTAGGTTCCTGTTAGTGGAATGGTGGGACGAGGGTGGCTGGCTAAACAGAACAGGGAAGCCACCACCATGCAGAACGTCCGCGATTGGACACCACTGCAGAAGTGTAGGGATCTAGCGTCCCACTATGACCTTTTAGGGACTAGCGCGACTCAGAATATGCAACCCCAAATGTTGGCGGGACAAAGACAAACGAAAGTACAGGGAAAAGTAGAGACAAGAACAGGGGAGGATCGCGATGACTCTTGTTTTCTCCTCCCTCATTCCCTCCCCCCAAATCCTCACTCATCCAAATCCTCAAGTAAGATGGCCCTCCATTACCTCGGAACAGTCTGGCCATCTGACACATGGTACAGAGATAGCACGCATCGTATTAGATAAAAATAAAGAATGAGCATTTTACTTTTTCTCTCTTTAATTATCTGTCTTTTTTACTAAGAGGTGGTGTGTAGGGATGGGGAAGGGATAAGGAACGGGTGGTTAGAGATAAGACACAGAGCGTGTATGAGATTTTCAGGGGCGACGGTAAGAGTCATAATTTAGAAACCTCGGGGGTACTATGTACCATAGTACCTCGTGTGGTGGTGAGATGGATGGTTGATGGTGCAGCTGCAACCAGGTGGTTGAATGGCTCTGTTGTCCCCCCTCAGCTGCCCATCCCAGCCCAAGCCTTCCCACTCCCCTTCCCTGTTCGCATCTTTCTTTTTGCCACATTGGAACTTTATTCCCAAATTTTCCAAGCTCTTACCACCGAAAAGATTAAGAAAGCAAAGATTTGATATGTGCTCTCGCTCATTTGATCTTCTGCTGTGGAACAATCGGCCAAATACGGGGTTGGCTGGTAATCTGGCAATCACTGTAGTGTCATTTCTCTTGTTCATGGGCCAGCCAGTCAGTCAGTCATTTGGGTAGGGCTGGGTAGGTCAGCTTAGGGCCTGCAGGGCAACCCAACACCCCCATACACTACTGCTCGAAGCAGCCTAAAATCTGCCACTGTCTCTTCTGGCGGGGTAACCTACAGTGGCACCAAGGCGTGCTACGAATGGAGCCAACAGGTTTTACGCACCTTACACAGCAGGTCCTGATTCCGTTCTCGTTACTTGGCCGCAGTTTTGGGTTCCCCCTCCCATCCTGCCGTGATTCCTCGTGACGTGGAAATAGCCAAAGCACAGACGAAATTGCGATGATCTCACCATAAAGCCCCTCCTCATCCTTCTGCTGCCCGTTGCTAAGTGCGACTACTCTTGTACATTGAACACTGCACTTGCTGTTACTGCTGCTTGCTGTTTTTACTGTCAGATACGACTTACTACGTAATACTACTTTTAACTTTACGAAACGCACCATGTCTGCAACCGCAGCACGTGCTGCAGTGCCCAGGGCTTGGGGCTTGGGCTTGGGGCCTTCTTCGGAGAGAAGATGGGGAGGGTTTTAGGGCGGAGCCGTGATGTGTTCGAGATTCTCGAGTCCTCCGTCCGTTCACCTCGGCAAGCCACAGCCACCCCAAAAACAGCCCTGCTAATTTTGGCCACGGGGCGATAGTAGCCTGGGCCTCCGACGCGCAATCTCCCTAACAATACGAGTCTACCCCCGAGGCCCCTTACCTTTCTCTTCCCCTTCATTGTCCGGGGATTGTTTCTAGCTGCCTCCTTATTTTGGGGCAGTTCAGTCTGCATTGTCGTCAGCCTTGTCCACCCAAATTTGGCAGCAATCTTTTGTTTCTTCTGCTTTCTCCTTGACATGCACATGGTTTGTCTGATCACCACAGCACAGTCCTTTGGGGCGCTCTGTGTTTCTCTTTAAACCCCGGAGTAATGAGGTGCATGCATGCATTCACGCGTATACATTTCTCTTCTTTTGCCTTCCCGGGCGAGCCTGGCACCCTAGCAACCGCCGGGACTTACTGGGTCCAGGCCTGACACTACGAATCTTTCGCAGGCTGCTGGTCAAGCCACTCGATGTACGCGTTGATACTACGTACAGCCGGAATCTCACCCGCCTGTGGTTTTGTCGTGTCACGTCTGTCCTGGTCTATATGCGGCCACGCCGGTCTCTGGAGCGACCGAGGGAATGGGCCAGAGCTGGCCGCGGCCATCTCGATCAGGAATCAAGATAATAGTATAGACACAGAACAGTCAGACAGTCATTCATTCAGTCATCCTATTGTGTTGGCCATGAGTGCGAGACCTTTTTCTCTCTTTCTAGTGGTTGTACCACGTTGGGATCGATCATACCCGAGGGGCCGATTCACGAAGGCTACTGCTACAGCTGCAAGGTGATAAGGGTGACTCGGGTGATGCATGAGGTCGTGTATGTGGTGCTACACAAACCTATATAGTCCTGCACCACTTATGATACAGTACGTACAACCCTCCCAAGTTGTCCACTTGTGCCCGCACGAATGTATGAACTGGCACTGCTCGTCACAGCACCCCCCCCCCCCGAAAATACAAAATTGTGAACACGGCACTTTCGATATTGGAAATAGCCTCGCAAACACTACTACCTGTTCCCGATCTTCGGCCTCAACACACAACTTACGTTGTCGGGTTGGGAAACACGCCACCCAACCAATTTCCAACAACTATTCAAGGTCAGCAGCAACAGAGTCACCTTGTCGCACGGGTGATTTCGGGGCTCCTGATCAGCGATCTGAAGAAAAAAAAAATCTCGAGACCACAAGCCCCTGTTCCATTTGCCTCGCCTCCATATATTTTCCCTTCTTTTCGTTCTGCTGACCGATCGGACAACGTGATTGCCATTTGATTGTGTGTGAATGTCGCAGAAGGATGCCGAATCGAGGCTCAAATCCCCTATGAAGTAGCTAGCTAGCGCACAGGTGCTCACTCGCTCACTCACTCAAACTTCCGAACCCCCTTGTGGCCCGACTTTATTTGTCAGTGGCATGTCCAGTAGATGATTTTTAAACATCTCGTCTCACTTTTCAGCCCTCCTCTCGGATAATTTGAATTTTGCGTTCCTTTCTTGTATAGATCGCTGGTGATAGGCTCGATCTTCAGAAAAGTGTTTTCCTGGCGCCCTGTTTGGACATTTGGAAGGATTTCTACAGTTCTCACCATCCGCAAATTGCTCACACGCCGGTCCCGACTTAGGCGGCCGCGTCCTCTCCCTCGCTTCCTCTCTTTGTCCCTAAGGACGGAGGGGGGGGGCGGTCATCTACTTTGGTTGCGTGGCCTGCATCGCCTTGCATTTCATTCAATGCCACTTACCGCTTGTTCATATAGTACAGAACGACAATATTCATTTGTTGCGAGTGCACAGCACATTATCTCGTACAGGTCACCCTGCAACCTGTTTTCGCTGCACCATGCCGCTGCAGGGCGGAGCATGCCCCCATTCATCGTCTTTCCCAACGGGGGGAGGGGAGGGGACCCTTCGAGAACATTCAATGATGATCTTTTCTGAACCGACGGTGTGTCACTAACTAGTCGTATGCATGAATGCCTGGCTGCCTTGCTCGCTTTCTCACTCACCACACACACACACACACACACACACACACGCACCAACCCCCAATCACACTCACACAGCATGCATCGTCATCCCACCTCTGACTCCACATCTGCAACAGCACCCCTTCACACACACACACACACACACACCTCTTCACCGCAAACCAACCTCTCCCGGGCCTCCCTTGCATGGTCCACCATCGCGAGCGATGCCTGCACCTTCTACTACCACAATAGTTATGCATGCATGCAGCGCGCCCAACTGACCCTTTTCCCTCTGTCCTGCTGCTGCACGAACGAAAAATGACATAAGGACAAGAGGGAAAGCAAAACCTTAGAGGCTGCATCACAAGCCTGCATGCATGCATGCAGGCCCCCCTTCACTTTCTCTCCAACCAGCTACCATAGTACCGTAGTGCACAAGACACCACACCCAAAGAAGAAAATTCCCAATAGACACCGCCGCCGCAGCAGGCGTTGTTCCCCGCCCCCGCCCCACCCTGCTGTCTGACTCTTTCTTCTTTTTCCTTTTTGTTTTCCTTTTTCTTCGAGAACCCCGGTAGCGCCGTCTTGACGCTGTTACCGTCTTTGTCTGTCGATGGCGCGCGGGGAGATCTCGAGCGTGTGAATGGCGCCGTCTCCAGTTTCACACAACGCACATAATTTCTAACACGTGTATGTAGGAGGATGGTGAAGCATTTTTTTCTCCATTCTCGCCCACACATACACATACATACACATTCAATGCATAGTGACCTCTCTCCAACACCGTGTATGCAGGAAAATGGGTGTTGGTGGAACCCCCGTGTTTGTTGCTTGGAGGAGGAGAGAGGGGGGAACAACGTAAATTCCTAGTGACCTATCACTTATCATCATCATGATGCGCTGTGAGGGGCAGGACAGCGTACATAGCCGTAGCGTGGACGTCTGGTTTTCATTTTCCCGCTCGACTCCGCCCTTGGGGGGCTTGACAAATGATCCAACAACAGCTTTTTATTTGTTGCCCCACCGAGCGAGGATTCAAAGTCCACCACCACATACTAGTATATATGTTATATGTATGATGTAGTACACAGTAATCAGTGTCTTGCACAACAACCAATAGCTTTTGAGGAAGAGGTGGAGAAGAAGCCCCGGTCCCAAAGCCACGAGGACGGGACACGGGCCACGGACTACGACCAACAAGACAGCGAGACAACGAACGGGCTGAAGATAAAAAAAACACAAAAACGTGCAATCTTGCTTGGCCATGTGTGTGCCATGTGGTCCGTCCGTCCGAGAGGGAAAAAAAAAAAAATGCAAATCTGCCTTTTCATGTCTTTTTATTGTCCCGCAGAAGCACTGGGTCTCGTTATCTGACAGGGTGTGAGTGTGGGTGTGGGTGGGTGTGCATCAGCCCAAACTAGACGTCACATCATATCAGGCTGCCGACGGTGCTGTTGGGGGCCATGATGGTGGTTTTTTTTGGTTTTTTGGTCGGTCAGCCCCAGTTGGTTCACTGAGTGTTTGATAGTACCTCCAGCCTTTGTAGATAGACAGACCGTGTGTCTCTCTGTGTGTGTCTCGTCCTCTCTTCATACGATCCTCGGCGTTACCTTCGATGCTGAAGATGATCATGCCCATCTCGCCATGGGAGCATTTTTGCATTGTGAGACAGTGACACTGCTCTTAATATCAGAAATAACGATAATAATGGCAATGATGGTGAGGAGAGGCCCCCCAGCAACCCCTCTAGTGAGCCTTGCCGCTTTGGACGTGTGTCTCGGTATGCACATGGTAAGGAGGGGGCCGTTGCGGCTTGTCGCGCTCACTAAAGTAGTCTCGAACGGAATGGCAAAGGGGGACATTAACTGCTAGATGTGAGGGAGAGGGAGAGAGAACGTGGCACCATCTTCTTCTCACTCGGGCTTGCCAAATAGTACTATGGTACTTACTGCTTTGCTGCAAATACTTCGCAATCTTTCCTTCCTCATTCTCAAAAAAGCCCTGCTAAGAAGACCACACTGCACTAACACTACGGCTTAGCGCTGGACGGAGCATCGTGACCGGAAGCGGCACAGCAGCCAAGACGCCAGCCAGGCCCATGTAGTAGTACTATAGTATAGTATATTGTACATACTAAGTATCTCATCTCCGGCACACACACACCTTTGAAGATGCTCGTGATAATGGCCTGTCATCTTTTCCCCCATTTTATTTCCGCCCATGTTTTGCCGCGCGGTAGAGCTAGGCAAAGCAAGTCATCTCCCAACTCGTCTGGTCTACAGGAGATGAAATACGACTCGTAGTCGCAATCGTAACCGCTCAGCGAGAAAGCAAAAGAAGAAAGGAAGAGGAGGGAGGCAGAGCCTCCAGGGGAGGGGGTTGGGTTTGACTCACCCCGCCCGGGGAATACACTGAAAAGGGTACCGGGCTTAGCACTGACTGAACAAGCTCGAGGGGGCTCGTGGCGCAGTACCCTTCTTTTGGTGTCTTCCAAAGACGGGCTCTTGGTCGCTTTGATTCGCGGGAACATTCATCTGCCAGGGCGTAATATCATCTCTGGGTGGTTCTTTCTTCACATCATTCACATCATCATCGACATCATCTTGACGACGTGTGCTGCCTCAGAGTCGCACTTTCCTCTCGTCAGCCGCCGTCGCGGGGAAGAGAAAACAAAAGTCCAGATAGGAGGGAAGGAGGGGTCGGCCGATGCTAAGCCAATGATAACTCGGCACTCAACGTTCCCCTCGTAAGACAAATGACCGCGCTAAAATCAAGAAACGAGAGCACTTGCCACGCTTGCCCAACCGTCACTTTACTATGATACTTACTTTCCCAGTACGCACCGCGGGCCGAGGCCACCGAGTCACATTTCCCTCCTCTCTCTCTATTCTTCATGCCCAAAACGTCCCCCCGAAGTCTGGCCAGTGGCGACGAACGACGAGGGGGGTTGGCTGTAGCACAAAAGAGGCCTCGCACGTATTCACGCCGGGCAAAACGACAACAGAGAGATCGGGGCGCAGCCTTCCCTTTTGGCATCATCGTTATGTCGATCGGCAGGCAAGCACACGTGCTCTCGCCCCTTGAACAAGGAAGAGGAGAGGGAATAAATAGCCTTTTTCCAAGGGCACACGTAACTTTCGCCCTGCTGCGGCGAACCGTGAGAGCTGAACCGTAAGGGTCCGTGACTAATAACAGCCTAAGCACGACGTCCCCCTCAGCCCGAATTAGTGTTTCAGCTGATAATGTATATGGTCAACAAACTACAACACTATTGCGCTCACTTCATCTAGCACTGTAACTTGTCTAGAGAATGATGACGAGAGGATAAAGAAACTCCAATTTTCTTTTCTCTGCCAGCCGGTCATGCCAGGTGGCCGTGGCAGAGAATGAATGCAGTGGACAGGACAGAGACCGAGGCACAGTGTTTTGAGTCACTCACCCGCCTGACGAAGAGGGGGGGGCGGGGGGTTCGTTTACGTTGTTCACGCGCGGGTCCTGCGATGTCGCTCATGACCACTCGGGAGGCCTTGGCTTCCGCCCTTCACGATACAGTAATGGAGAAAGACACGCACGGAGTCAAGTGATGAGGACCACGCGGAAGCAGGGACTGCCTGGCTGGACAGGGTGGGTGTATCTATCTCTTGTCGAGAAAAACGCCGCCGCTTTTGCCTCGCCACCAACTATCGTGAACCTCTCTTTCTCTTGGTAGTGTAAGCACGCTTTCCGTCGGCCTCTTTGTTCCCTCTCTTTCTCCTTATCATTCCCTAGAATGGTGGTAGTCCTTTCTTCCTTCTTTCCCTTTTGAACGAAGCGGTCACGCGGGCCAAGTCCACAGGTCGCTTGAGATGGCTGGTTGTTCCTCGACCCCTTTTGGGAGGATGGAGCCCCCCGTCCTTCGCACCTCCCTCCGGCTCCTCCGCTCAGCTTCTGCCTCCTCTTCCTTTGTCATCGTCAGAAAAGCAGGGCAAGTCAGACAGGAGGATCCCGTGCGTCGGAAGAGAGAAAGAAAAAAAAAAGAAACAGAAAAAAGGACATCCCACCGCCTTCTAGTGTAGGCAGCACAGGGAGGTTGGTTGTCGAAAAGAGAAACAGTGAGAAGAGCTGCTACGGTGTCCCAGGTGATGATATGTCCGGAAATAAACCCATTCGTTCACAGTGGGGAACACAACTCTCAGTGTTACGGTCAGAAAAGTGCATCACAAGGGTCTCCCGTTTTTGACCGCGGCCGAGACCTGCTGAGAGGAACTAGGTAGGCAGGCAGGCAGGCAGGCATGTTTGAGATGCTTCACGATCTGCAACGTGAGCCCTTGGGAACTCGGTGGGAGGCCGAGTTTGGTATCGCAGCTGAAAAAACCAACAGGAAGAGGACGAGGAGGGATCTTAGCTGAGCAGTTGCTGTGACGATGGTCAAGCACACATACACGCACACACCATATTAATAGATGATGATACATGATCAAGGCTGCCATGGAGATGTCGAGTTTCTTTGTTTGTGCATGCATCCACCTCTCCTCGTATGACCGTCTCTCCCTTTCACTGATACATGAACTCTTGAGGGATCTGCGTTGTTCACTTCTTCAATCAGACAATGAACTTGGTCAACGATATGTAGGTAGGTAGACATAAGAGGCTGATCACATATATGTATTTGCTTCAGTATGTTCAGTGGAATGACCAGCCAGCCGTATACAGCCTGGGCAAAGGCTCAGCTTTTTCAGGCCGGTCACTGCTATCTCAACCCAATTGTTCTCGACGCCGACCTCCATTTGGTCCGCCGTGCCCTCGACCGGGCCTCCTTCCTCCTCATGATATTAGATTATTGATACAGTACTAAATAGAGAAAGAAAATGGTATCTCATCTCGTAAACATTCATAACAAACTCCAGTCAAACTCCTTTTCCCCTTCTCTTCTTCCCTCTCCTCCTTTCCCTACAGAGCATAGTTCTCTGCGTGCAGATAAATCTCCTCCAGCATAGGGTCTCCCCAGATCTCCGCCTGCAGCCTGGCCACGGTAGTTGCAACGCCGACTCGCATCGCAGGGGGCCCACACACAAACACCGCAGTCCGCCGGCCCAGGATTCCCCTCCCGTCCGAGCCCCCCGTCGCCCACTCCTTGAGCATAAACCCCAGGTCCGGCCGCCCGTACTCGACGCTCCACCCGCCGTCAATCTGGTGCGGTACCGGGAACGCGAACCGCATCAGGTTCTTCTGGAACTCGGTCGGCGTCTCGGGAAATCCAAACTCGAACCCGGACGGTGGGCCAAATGTGCTGGTAGGTCGTGCTGCTGCCCGCTGGCCCTGCACGCCACCGAGGTTGGTACGGAGGTGTGCCAGCTCTGGCACGTCTGGCGCACCTGGCCGCCGTCCTCCCGCATCCATGCTGCCCGGCTGAGGCGAGGTCCCAGGCTCCTGTTCACCGTCGGACTGGGACTGGGACTGGGACTGCTGTTGTGCAGCGAGATACTGTGACGTGCGCTTGTAGCTGGGCGAATTAGGGGGAGGGTAGTTAAAGTGCGGCGCGTCCGCCTTGGTCTGCAGGGGCGGGAAGTGGAATTCGCGCTTCTTGCCCTTCTCGGGGGATGGTGGTGGTGGTGGTGGTTCTTGTTCTGAAACGGCTTCTTCTTTGGTGTCTCTGAGGGAGGTGGTTGTGGGGATCTCGTGTTGTTGTTCGTCACCACGCTCGGGGCGGCCTTCGAGTCGGGACAGGGCGTCGTCTGTATAAGACTGTCTGTCCTTCTTGGATGACGACGGTGGCGGGCCGGGTGGTGGCGGTGGGATATTATATGGTTGTAAGTATTTCTGCTGGGGCAGCGCCGTGAACCGGTCCTGCTCTTCTGCCCTGAGCTCACGCTCCCTCTCCGGGTCCCCCTGCGCGACGTCTGCGATGAGCGTCGAGTTGCGCTTGGACGCGATGCCCGCCACAAACCCGTCGAGCTTGTCATGGAACACGTTGGACAGCGGCCTCGGGGCGCGTGAGCTGGGCAGGGCGCCCATGGAGTTCCGCACCGCAGCCGTCACGAAGAACTTGCAGGTCACACTCTCGGGCGGTGCCGACTCCCGACAGATGCGCAGCTCCTCGCGGAACCAGTCCATGGCCTCGAGCCGCTTGAGAGACCACACCACCACGATCTTCTTGGTGATGGCCTTGCCGTCGCGCATCCGCTTGATTAGGTTTAGCAGCTGCGACATGAGCGATGTGATGCCGCTGCCTCCCGCGATCAAAATGCACGTGTCGAAGGCGGCCAGGTCTCGGCGCATGCCTCCGTACGGTCCGTCCAGGAAGGCCCGGTAGGTGTGAAAGGGGCCTTTCTCGATGGCCGTCTCCAGCACCTTCTTAGTGAACCCGCCGTAGGGTCGGAACACCAGCACACAGTCTCGGTACTGCTCGCCGTACTCGGAGGGGAAATCCTCACTGCAGAGGGACGAGATGGTGAAGGGGTGGTTCTCGAGCAGCGAGATGCCCGGCATCCGCAGGTAGACATACTGGCCTGGTTGCCATTTCATCTGCGTGGGGATGGTGATCTTGATGGTGTTCTCCGTCATGATCTGGATGGCCGCCTCATCGCCCACCAGGAAAGCGTACTTCCACGGCTTGGTCCAGTTCAGCTTGCTGAGCCGCCACAGGTTGCAGATGACCAGGATGGCGATGGACGAGTAGAGGTAGCTCCACGACATGAGGAAGTTCTTGGTGTGCCAGAACAGGATCCCGATGTAGATGTAGCCCACGGGTGCGTGGAGGAGCGCGAACAACTCGTACAGGTGGCGCCGGACAACGGGCAGGGACGCCACGCACAGCCAGCACAGCGGGACAAAGGATGCGATCCCGCTGCCGTAGATGATGCCGCTCCCGGGAGGAAAAAGCTGGTAGAAGACCGACATGCCGCCGTCCTCCCACACAGGCTGGATGAAGAATGGGACCATGTGGACCAGGGCCATGAACAGGCATAGGTACCCGGCCCATCGGTGAAAGACATTGAGCCGATCGGGGGCGATCCCCGTGACGAGGCTCAGGAGGTTAGCCTTGACACTCGTGGCGATGATCCAGGGCGTCATGGCCACGGCAAACATGCCAGACCGGATGGCCAGAGGTGGCGAGCCGTAGCGGATGCTGACCCAGTATAGAGGCTGCGGCAGGAAGCAGTAAAGGGCCACAAAAGCCAGGCCGATGAAGCCGACAGTCAGGACGGCCAAGGAAGAGAAGGTGAACCTGTGTTTGCGCCACCTTATATCGGGGATGGGTCGGTAGAAGACCCATCGGAAAAGCGCCAAGGTATCGTTGATGAAGCCGACAGAGGAAAAGTGCTCTTTCGGCCGGAAGGCTGTCGCGGCTTTCTCCTCCTCTGGGAAAAAATGGCGTTCGGCGGTGGAAGAAGGTTGCCCGGTCTGCAGCGACTCCTGTTGCTGCTGTGCATGTTGCGGCTCCAGGCTCCACAGGTTCTGGTAGTATTGCTCCACCTCCTGCTTGTAGATGGCCTGCCTGATCTTGTCCTGCCAGTAGTGCCATAACCTAACCACCAAGACCAAGCCCATCAGCACCAACGAGAAGTACGTCCATGCCAGACCATACTTTCCAGACTGGCTCCAAGGGTCGACGGTGTCTGCTTGTACCAGGCCAGGCGGACTGCTCGACGTCAGCGGGATATAGATCCGCTTGACTAGGCCCTCCATTCTCGTCATGACCGCCGAGGTCATCTCTCGTAATATGACGGGCGATCTCTGGTCTGCTGCCATGTTGTGTGTGTGTGTGTGTGTGGTGTGTGTGCGCTCTCTTTTGTGAGACAGTCCGGCTGTCATCAGAGACGAGGCTTGTGCGAGCGACTAAGCGCAGTCAAAGTGTCAAAGTGATAACATGGATGTCGTCAGCCTTCTTCGGTCGGGAAATCCTTCGTGTAGCCTTGCGTATCGAGCTCGAGTATATGTAAGAGAATGAGACGAGGTGCTTGCAGAGGCGATCGATGCCTACTGCTTCTCCAAGAGGTCTCTGAGAAGATGGCGGAGCGTCTGGCGTAAGGACCGGTCTGGATGTATCTCGTCTTCTCGAATGAAGGACAAGATAAGAAGAGAGGAGGAGATAATAGCTCGGATCCGATGGACGAGAGTAATCAAGTCGCGGATCAATTGGTACACTCAACCTAGATCATTAAAAACCAATTGGTTGTGCGTGGGTGTGTGTATGAGCTTCACGGCAAGGCGTGGTGGCGTCTGGTGTAGTAGCGTACAGGAAGCAAAGGTGGAACTCGAAGGTGGAGGGAGAGAGAGAGAGATCGATCTTCGTCGTGGCCCCCAACGTGCAGATATGGAAGAGCCGACGTGAGGAGCGGGTATGTGAGAGCCTAAGTACTGTGTAGGGAATGGGGGCGTTGGGCCACTTCTTGACTTGGACGTTGGCGTCGCACGGTGGCGTCCTCACACAGGGACCAGATTTTCCTAAAGAGGGTGTGTGCTTGTGCTTCTGAGATCGAAAGTCGATCCGGAACCAGATGATACCAAGTGATTGTGATGGTATAGATTGATTGCGGCCCAGCGGTAGACCCGGTGCTTATATTGGCTGGCCGCCTTTTCTGGCCTGTTCCCCGCTGCTCATGCAATGCAGGCCGCACACGCGGAGAACCTGTGTGGAACGGGTTGGGTGAGCCGGAAAGAGGAACGAGCCCGCACACGCACATGCACACTCAAACAGGCGCCCCGGAGAGAAAACAAAGGTGTGTCGGCCACGGTGAGTGGTGAAAGGAAGAAAAACGAGGGAGGGTGGGGCTTCACCCTGTCAATGTGAACAAATGCTCGGCACGCAGGCACGTAATGTCATGCAGGTGACGAGGGTCTGTTCTCCTTCGTTCCCTCGACATAAAGGAGCCGTATGGGCCGGGCGCTATCACACATACACACCCCTCTCTGCCAGTCGCCAGAAGAATGCCTGTGCCTGTGCCTGTGACCGGATTCGGCAGTGTGGGTGCTCTGCCGACAGCAACTTTATCGCCGAGCAAAGGAGCCAACAGGATCTGGCCTCAGCTCATACCTTGACCAGAGTGGCGCGACTTGACATGTACCAGGATATGTAGAGTCGCACCGAGATGATGGCGGTGGGGAGGGGGGATTTCAAGGAAGATGAGCCAGTTTGATAAGCGCCACTTGACCTAGAAAAGAAGACGAAGGCCTCGTAAACGCCCATGGAGCGTACAAAAAGAAAAGGTGGTACGGTTCGTGACGAAGAACTGGGCTGACAGGAACAGGAAGAGTGTGGGAAGAGAAAGATTGGAGATGTCAAGTACGCCGTCGTCGTCTTCGAGTGGGGTGGAGATATTGTCATCAAACGAAGGAGCCAATGAGGCCAAGCATAGCAGACCTCGTCCAAGATCTGCTATTTTGGTGACGATTCCTCTTTACGAGCTGTGATTCGTCCTATGTCAACAACCCTGGCAGAAAATACAAAATCGTAGTACGTATGATGAGTTGAAGCGGAGAGCGGAGAGGCGAGAAGGGCCTACCACAGTACAGAGGGGGAGAGAGAAAGTGGGTTTGAGAGGGGAGGGATGGGATGGAACAGAGAGGAAGGATTGGAGGGAGTGATTGAATGTGGATGGAGAGTATTCATCATCATTGTGGCTTGCTCTTTCCTCTCTGTGCTTCTGAGCTTGCTTATTCGGCTGGACGGGACGGACCCGGGAAGGATCCAAGCCCACATTACGCAGTATGCCAGGGCAGGTGCAACCAACAGGGGCAAGGGATGGGATGGGATGGGACAAAACAAAAAGAAAGAAAACCCCACATTGTGTTTGTCCTGCCATGGCTTGAACGTCGTGGTCGGCTTGGGGGCCAAGAGCACGCCAGATGGGGGATGGTCAAATGCATGGGCTTGGGAAGGGTGGACGTTGGACGGTTGGTGATTTGATGCCACAGCAGGTGGTGCCCCAAAAACACGGGAAAGAATATCGGGGCGGGCGCTAAGTCGAGCTCGCTGATTGGTTGATACGAACAATGCCATAGTGAGATCCCCCCCTGCTGGTCACAGTGGGTCTACTACGTACATAGTACAATAGTCCGTCTGTCTCAATTGGCAGTGGCAGTGGACAAAGTACTGACACGCCTGGCTACTATGGTGAAGTACATACTTGGACCGTACTACTATAGTACATACCATTTCTTAGGTCAGCTGTGAGAGACCCCCTCTTTTCAAATGATGAGGATAAAATGATGAGGATTAACTCTCGTACATTCGTTCTATTGAACTTTGAATCCACAGACAGTCTTTCTCTTGTATGACTAAGTACTTGAGTACTACGATTATGTGTTTCCTGCTAATGCTGATACCAAGTAAACCTCATCTGCAGATATCATTGGAGAGCGCTACCGATCACTGAAAAAAGACTACGACCCCTCCGAAAACTGATCATGAGACCACACATGTCAGTCCATAATATCATCCATTATCATCAAGTCTTCCCCCCCCCCCCCCCCCAAAAAAAAAAATCTTTAGACCGTCTTCGCCGATAGGGCCAACCAACAATTCAGATTGCGCTCCAGGAGCCCCTCTTCCAGTGATCTCCAGCCTGATTGGACACAACCAGCACCGAGAGTCTGGGTCGACCTGCACACCTGTCAATCCAGTCACACACAAGTCGTTTGCCTCGTATGGCCGCGCTGGTACGGCGGCTCGAATCACTCGGCACTAGACAATCGCAGGGGAATGTGTCCGGGATAGGCACCTCGGCAGCATCCGCATGGCCGGTTCTCGACCCTCTTGCTCCCTAGTCCAGGGGGTCTAAAGGGTCCTTTGGGGGACGGATGTTTGGTTGCCGTTCTTCTTTATTCAAAAAAGGAGGAGAGAGAAAAAAGACACCATCCTCTTTCACGAGTCACGTCACACATACATGGACTTCGACCAGCAAATAGCTAGACGAACAAGCCATCCTTCCCACTGCTGTCGACGCAATCAACATTGTCATTGGCGCACTGCGCAACGGTTGGTGTGATGAGACATCGCAAACAAAACAATGCAGTGTGACTAGGCATCGCCAGACTATGAGACGCACATTGAAATAATCACTGCCAGAGATATGACAAGGGTACATACTCTCTGCTGTTACACATCATGTCCTCGTCCTCCTCGTCGTACTGCAGAATTTCTTCTTCAACAGCCGGGCGTTAGTAGTCTCACCATGAAACATGTTGAAGAATCAGAAGCCACCCGGCACGTAAGCTAGACCCACGTAGAAGCATAGTTCGAGAGTTCGAGAATACCTAGGTGGTTGCGAGATCTGTCTCTTCTGCGATGTTGCCCTCCAGCGGCGTCACAGCAGCAACAGCGAACATGTTGAGTTTCAAGATAGTTCACGTACAAGACCTGATTGCTAATTGCTGCTGCTGCTGCTGCTGCTTGTCCCTCGTGCATGGTGTAGATGTCGTGTATTTTCCCCATGTGTGTATGTGTGTGTGTGTGTGTGTGTGTGTATCGATCTTGATCACCTGTCCCTGACAAATCGACAAAAAGGTCTCGGAAATAGTAGAGATATGCCGGCTCACAGCGCTATTACATGCGCCCTCGGGACAACTCTCATTCCCCATGCTGTTCCTCCTTGTAGAAAGAATACGTAGGGCCAGCCGTCTCACCACATCAGCAAGGAGCTCACATCCGCGCTCAGCTTCCTTCCCTGCGCCATCTCCGCCAGCACGATGCCCGTGCCCAGGCTGAGCGAGATGCCCCAGGGCCCATGGCCGGCCGCGAGGAACACGCCGCCCTCTGCGTCAGGCTTTGTCGTGATCCCACCGCCGAGGTGACCATCGTCCAGCCGGGAGATAATCGGGGTGCCGTACGGAGTGACGGGTCGGAAGCACAGAGCCTCCCTGACAACCTCCAAGTCGTCGATCACCACCTCCTCGGCAGCCTCCTCCCCTTTTTCTTCTTCCCCCTCGGGACTGGCCCCGAGGAGCCGAACCGCCGTCTTTTTGATCTGTGCGATCGCCTCTGCCTCGATTCGACTTCCTGTGGGGTCCTCGGGCAGCGGAGTGGTGGCCGAGTTCAGCCCCCCGATCCAGATATCGGCCCCGGCACGCGAGAACATCTCGGGTGAGTAACCCTGCCTGCTCGTGGTGAAGACGGCATGACAGCCCGCCCCCGATGCCTCCATCTCCTCCGTCCACCGCGGCGACCGGACCACGAGCGAGTGGCCTGCGAGGCTCGAAACGGGCAGCTTGCAGACCGAGTTCGGGAACAAGTCCGAGAAGACACGCGCGGACCACGCGCCCGCCGCGATGACCAGCCTCGCGCAAGGGATGTCGCTCTCGGCACCCGACGACGACGTGGTATTCGCAATTCGCACGGCCGACAGCTCGCCGCGCATGTCTGCCATGACCGCCAACGCGCGGGCCGGGTGGTGCAGGTGCACGCCCAGACGGACGCACTCGTCCAGGAGGAACTGGCACAGGCGCAGCGGGTCGAGCTGGGCCGTGTTGGCCCCGCCGCCGATGACGTTCACCTCGTCCCCTTCCTCCCTCCTCAGCCATGGCGGAGCAACGACGACATTCTCCTGCACCTTCTTTTTCTGCCCTCCCTCCTGGGTTTCGTCCTCCCTGCTCCTGTTGCTGCTGGTGCCTGCCCTCCCGTTTGCGACCACGGCCCGACTCGCCCCGGTCCTCAACCAGTCCTCTCCCCTCGGTCCTTTTCTCGCCTTTCCTTCTGAGGCAGGCGTATAGCTCACCGCCGTGCTGGACCGATAACTCCAGCGCGCAGCGCCGTTGTGGGCCTTCGCGAGCCGCCTGTGCTCGTCAAAACTCAGGGCGGCGAGCGGGGCGGACCCAGGGCCAAACCAATCGCGTGCCAGGAACCCGCCCGCGTAGCCGGATGCGGAGGCGAACAGCTCTGGGCAGGACTCGACGAGGTGGATCGTCGAGGGTGGTTGATGTCGTGCGAGGTAGTACGCGGTGGAGAGGCCGATGATGCCGGCACCCAGGATGGTCGTCTCGGTGGCCATGATACGGTATGAGTGGTCTGATTTATGTTTCTTTTCTGTTCTCTTCTTTCCCCTTTCCTTTCCTTTCTGCTCTCTTCTGGTGATGGCACTCGTCGACGTCGAAGCCTAGTAGCTTTCTACCAACTGTGATACGATACAGAAAAGGGGGGCGAGCTTTGCTCTCTTGCTGGCTTCAATGTTGCTTGCCCTGGGGCGTTATCATGTACGGTGAGTTCGATATGGCTGCCGCCCGATTGGAGAGAGAATGAGGTGTGTACTATTATAGGATGCCGGGATCGGACCCTCAATCTTTCCAGCCTTGGCGAGGTCAGATTTGCGCGCTGTTTGTGTGTTGCGTGTTGCGTGTTGCATCGAAGAGCTAGGTGTGTGTGTAGCACTGAGCGCGGCCCAACAGAACTCCGGCTCTCCTTACTCAGATTGGCCACTTGGAGGCGGACAGCGCGGCCCTACAGCAGCTCATGCAGCACTCACCATGCTGAGCTGGCAAGGGAAGCATGGGCTGCATGAGGGGAAGCTGTGCTGCCCGCTTCATGTGTTGCGATGGCGGGTAAAAAATCCTCCATGCATCATCTCTATTGTTCCTGTTCAGACATGCAGTGGAATATGAAGCTGCCAATGTCTCGAAACGGATTGCTTATCTGAGCAGCAAGATACAGTCCAGTGTGAATTCCCAGTGGCCACTCGGTGATGGCACAAGACCTTTAATGTTGCTTCCAGCGTTACTCTATGCATTTCGACCACCCTGACAAGCGAAGGTGTGCTGATGTGATATTGCTAGACCTCTCTTGCGGTTCTAAAGATGTGTGAGCAGATCATCAGAGACACACCACCATGCCTAGGCTGCTGGAATTCCTCGATGTGGCGGAGATTCCACTCAACGATCTGGGGGGACATGGTTTCTTGCCATACTCGATTCTTTTTCCCGTTACCAAGAGTCTCGAAACCAATGTTTGGCTCTTGGATGCCGAGACAAACAGGATGAAATTCCCTCAGAGTACTATTGGTGGCGATGATGGCTTGTAACAGCTTCTTCCGAATGATGGGTGGGAGGGAGTTGGGTACGGGAAGCTGTGCTGAGCACGCACTGGTACAAACAATGCAGCCGCCCTATACCATAGTAGAGCCTATGCTGAGATGTGGCATACCATATCATGAAGCTGCCGAATGCTCAGGAGGAAAAGATCTTGCGATGGCTGATGCATCTAGGACAGTTGATAACATGTCAAGTAGAGCAAAGCATCAGGAATATACAGGCAACCCTATGGGAATGGCTGCTATTGAAGGAAGTATGCTCAAGAAGGCAGGAAAGAACGAAAGCCAGGCCTATGCTGGCTGATGCTTGCTACTTTAGGCAAAGGTGGCAGAGCAAGGCAAAGAGCCTGGCAGGTGCCAGCCACCCATGCATGCACAGGCCATTGAGTCCTTCGCCCTTGCACACGATCTACCCCTCGGCATGCCCTGTGCGATTGTTTCGGGCAGGAAGGGAGACTCGAGAACAATCTGAGAATTCCTTTGCAGCGACTGCACAAGAATGGGCACAGGACCCCCAGTCTAGCTACTTATGGAAACCATTAGAGATGCATCGCAACAACAGAGAAGGATTTGCAGGTCCAAGTAGATCCTGACCCCTGTATGAAATTCAGAATTGTGATATTCACAGCAAGAGAGAACCCTTGGTTGTCACAAAAAGCTGTAGGAAAGATGCTTTAGCCCAGTTCATTATTGACCTTGCCGCCTCCTGGAGAGGAACTCCCAGCCAGGATGCCTTGAAATGGTTGTTTGTCCATGATTTGGGGCTGAGGAAGAGGGGCCAGATGCAAGCAGAACAATCTGTACTATTTGGAGCCTTTGCAGTAAGCACACGCCATTACTCACTGTTTTCCTCTTGTTGGATGTTGTTGGCAACGATTTCAAGTATTTATAACCGTTGCTCACAGGAGGATGAATCGAGTCTCACCCCAAAGGATGTAGGAACCTTTTGCGAGGAGGAATCTTTGCACATTGTGCACATCGAGCCACCCTGACCAAACCAACTCAAAAGAACATCAAAAGGGAACAGCCAGATGAACTCCCAAAGTTCAGATCAGATCACCTCACATGTTCACATTTAACCATATTTCGTGCATGAAACCCCCGCATCCTCCTCTCCACTTGACCCGGGACACCCTGCAGCATACAAGTGAATTCGTTCCCCAACTGCGAGGCCTCACGATATACAAAAAGGGGCCTGTGCTCAGTAGCCGATATGTTGGCAAAATGCAGCAGTAATGCTATGGTGGTAGTGGCAGCACTAACAGCAGCAGTACCCAACAAGCCCCTCAGGGAGGGGTCGTTTCAGGGGCAAGCCAACGATCGCCACTGGGAGCCTGGAGCCTGCCTCTTTGGGACCCCCTGCACGTTTCGTAGACTGCTGTCAACCAGGGGTAACTCGGCAGTGATTGGCCAGCTGTTTGGGGTAACCCCCCTGAGAGGCGCCGCCCCCCTCTGTTAGGCTGTCCCTGAGAGGATAATCCACTGTATCCATTCGTCCTCGTCAGCTTGCCTCCATGTGTGAGCCCACAGGAACCCAAGTAGCATACCACCCTTCACCCTGAAGAGGGCCCGAGGAACGCCCTTAACACCAATGGATTATGCAGTTGGAGACTCGAAGTATGACAGTTTGAAGAAAAAAGGGAAAAGACTGTTAATATAACAGTACCATAATACAAGGAACCAAACAACATGGGTTTGGGTAAAATGTGACTGGACATCTGCAAGGGATGAGAACCAGCTGGAGGAGGGGCTTGAGGTTGTGCACAGGGCGACAACATAAGGCTCAAGTGAGCCACTCCCCTTCCCTTCTCGCTCTCTCTCTCTCACTGACCACATATTCACCCCTTCACTTTCGTCATTGCTTGTTGTCTGTAGAATTAAGAACCTGGCAGTTCTCAATCTCGTCTGTCATTGATCAGCTTTATCGTTTCTACTTTTATCTCAGTCCCTCCTTTTCATATCATAGTACAAGTACAATTCAACTGTTTGCTACAGGCCTAGCACAACAACACAACTGCCTTTCAACATTACTGATACCCACACAAAGGCATTCTCCTGTGTCTCGAGAAACGATTGCTTCCACGAGTCTTTCAACTACAAATAGGAGCCAGGACTAGCTTTTATTCTGTTCTTGTCTAACGGACCTTGAGACTCGAGACCGATCCCCTCAAGATTCGCCGGCCACACCAACCAGCCACACCAACCAGCCACACCAACCAGCCAGGACCGTTACTTGAGTGCGCCCAGGTCGCCCTCATCTACACCTACTGCCACCACCACTCTCAAAAGAGGAGCAAAATGCAGCTGCAAATCCTCGTCTCGGCCGCCGCCGTCGTGGGCTCTGCCCTCGCCCGCCCCACCCTCCGCTCTGTGGGCGAGATCGTGGAACCCTCGCGCACACTGAGCAAGCGCAGTGCCGCCTCCGTTATCGAGGCCATTATGCCGAGCTCTGTCTCTTGCTCTGGCCGTGGCGATGAGTGCACCACCGCAGCGGTGGCCGGACCCCTTCTGGCGGACGCCATGACCACCTACAGCATCACCAGCGGTGTCGAGCAGGCCGGTATCCTGGCCCTCATCGCGTACGAGTCCGACGAGCTGCAGTACAAGAAGAATACGAACCAGGACGCCAACCTGGGACGCGGCACGGCCAACGAGCAGGGAGCCGAGTACAACATCGACTACGCCAACACGTTCTCTGAGCTGGCGTCCCAGAACCCCACGGCCTCGACGGTACTGGATCTGGTCACTGCTGATGAATACAACTTCGGCACTGGCGCCTGGTACTACAGCAGCCAGGATGCGTGTGCCACCGCCCGCTCCATGTCCAAGGATGATGCAGATGCCTGGTTCGACGAGTACATGGCTAACTGCGACGGCATGGGCTCCTCTTGGGCCTCTTCTGAGCCTGAGCGGGAGACGTACTGGACAGCTGCTAAGGCTGCTTTCAACCTGAGCTAAGGTCTTCTTTGGGAGCAGTCAAGCGGATGTGATCTCAAAGGCGATTGGAGATATGGATGGTGTGTCTTGCGGTGGTTTGGCGAGGAGGTTGCCTTTTTTCTTCTTCTCGCTGATCGTGGCGGTTCTAGCCCTGCGAGCTTGTACTTAGCCACAACTATTCTTCTTCTGGATGTGCATTTTGCATGATGTATATATACATGACGACTTGCAATGATATCAACGTGTGAACATACTAAATAAATCGGCGGAGGCAATCAAGTGACCTCATAGCCCTCGCACATAGTCAACAAGATTCTCGTGACAAGATTTCGCACGCTGTCATGCACTACCGTTGTTAGAAGCCCTCGTGTCACGCTTCCATTTGCTAGACAGAGGAGAGGAAACGGGTAGCCGCTCACAGGCGAATGCATGTCAGTCACCCCTCCCCAACCACACTCATTTAAATACAGCTAAACAAATCAACTTCTTCACTTATACTCTACACCTTTGTATACATGGTGGTAGTCTGGAAAGAGGCACGCCAGGTTCCTCTGTCTGCGAACAAGAACTCATGCCAGACATTACCTGCCTGTTGCCAATGGCAAAAAGCCGACACCAAATGGACAGGCGGTCCCTGATCTTCAGCAGTGCCAATTCTCTTACCTCTCCACCTCTCTGTCTTCTCGCTCCTGCACTCCTTGTTGTCGTCGCTTTCTCTGTGTGTGAGTCATCTTGTGCCTCTGCTTCGACCTCGGTCCTTCAGTCTTCTTTTACTGTTCCTTTCTGTCCTCCGCTCCTTCGCTCCTTCGCCGCTGCTCCCACACCTCCTCTACTACCCCTCTAATGTTTTAGTTTTCATATATGTCCTGTCATTTCTCTCTGTCTTCCTCTCTTTGCTTGTTTTCTCCCCGCCTCTATGCCTGGTGTTGACAGTCTCCCTCCCTGTCAAGATGTTGCCGTGTAGCATAGGCAAGTTGAGACCGACTGCCATTCTCTCCTGCAGATCCATGCTTCCCACAGGTCCAAATGTCCAGTATCTGAGGTTATAGGACGGACCTGCTGGCTTGCTACAGCCCACCGCGGGTCTTCTCATCGTCCGAGGACCCAGGTGTCAGGGTTGGGCTGCTCTGGGTGACCACCACAGCTTCGACGTCCACCTCTGGGGACGGGTGGCCGTGCTCGCGCGGATAGACCCGCCGACCGCAACAGGTCGTAGGCCCACTGCACGAGCAAAAGGCATCGAAGAGCACATGCAATATTTTCCAGACAAGAACAAGAGGCCAAAGCAGAGCTGGCAGAAAGACCGCGAGCACGTAGAGAGGCCTGAGCCAGAGCTCACGCTTGAGAACATCGGGTACCCATTCGAATTCATACACAACCCTGCCATCTTGTTGTATGCGGCGACTCCTAGCGAATAAGCCAATGACGACCCCGAGGGAGATGGAGCCGTACACAACGAAAAAAGAAACGATTAAAGTGATGGCATCATTGGAAAGGTCTCCGGCCATGTTTGATGTCTGAAGATGTAGGTCAGAGTTCGAGAGATGTTTTTCGCGCGGAATTTCTCGAATGTTGTGAGAACGTGAAGACGGAAGAGAAATGATGTGGTGGTCAAACTTTGGCTGGGTGGAAACTGCAAGGAGAAGACTCTCAAGGCCATCTAAATAGGCTTGAGGTGTGTGTCAGAGCCCTTCGGGAAGCCCCTTGGGGGGAGAGAGACTTTAAGTACCTAGGTAAGTATCTGGGGGAGAATGAGGCTCCCAAGGTAAAGAGAATATGCCAGGCAGGTGACGTCAGGTTGTAGTATCTTGCCCGCCATATTGCATGAGTATCAAAGTAGTGTGAAGTAAGCTGCAGGTAAAGCGGGTGCAAAGCCATCAACGTGCATACTTGCCCATGCACGTTCACGTACTATGTACATAGACCACAAATTCTCCCAATGCACACACGCAGTGGCCATCGTTTTTATACTTGAGGAGGGAGGTCTGGGAATACACTTGATCCATCATCCCCGGCTCATGGTGTCCTAGGCGTTCAGTCCAACTCCGCCACATTGGCTACAGAAACTAGACAGCCAGTCTCTTGGTTGTCGGTCTTGGCTATCACCAGCCTGCAAAAGTGATCTTCAAACTGGAAAGCTAGACTGCTAGCATGGCCAGCCTACCGGTCTTCAACCTCTTCAAATCAGGCTTGGCCACCTGGCCAGCCTGTCTAGGTTCTGGCAGTTTTAGGCTGTGGCCTGCCAACACACCAGAGGAACCACAGTGATTGGCAGAAACCTACTCCTTGCCCAGCCCTCCGCTATCTTATTCTGGCCCCCACCCTTCTCCCCAGTACTTTTTTGGTGTTGCTGAGGGGTCTTGAACCAACATCTGACCAGGTCGAATGAGAATTCTCCTGCAGCTTGGTACTTAAGTGCTCACCCAGTAGTCTGCATAAGCGCTGCGGCCTAACCACACACATCCCAAGCCTACCTGTGTGAGGCCAGCCGCTACGCATCCCCAAAAAAAGCCCCAACTCCTCAAGTAGATAAGCAGCAGTCAACACATCAGTGCTCGACACACATACACATATATATATATGTGTGTGTGTGCATCTTGCCTCTTTCAATCTTCATACCACGGACCACCACCTTCAGTTTGCTACATCAATTTGCCCTCACTTTCATTCATTTGTACCATGGCTCTAGACAACATTTCGGAGAGGTTTCGCTCCTTGAAGATTTATGATGCTAACTTTATGCTATTTAACCCTCCTCAGTCTAAAGACCATGTACGAGATAGGTTTAGAAATATCCCTCGTTACCTCTTGAGGGTTGTGAGCCCTCGATCCGTCGGCGCCAATGATACGACATGGATCAGATCAGACTCTGCAGAACAACAAGCGGCGCATTCTACGGTCGATTTATTCGCGATGCGTGATGACGAGGCTGCCGCAATGATCAACGCGCATTTGCGATGGGAGGGCGGATATGACAACCTCGTCTCTTGGACAAGCTCGCAGTTGTTCGCAATACAGTACATGCTTTGGTTACATACCGCGAGGGGCTGCAGTACCTCTGCTATCAAGCTTTTTGTGCTTGACACTTCGGCATTGCCTGCGGGGGTCTTCCTAAGAGATATTGATCTCCTAGAGGCCTACCACGAGCATTCTCCCAGGCTGGATGATCTGTACATATTGAGACGCCGGAGACACAAAAATTATCAGGGATACTTTTATTTCGGAGAGTATCTCTCCCAAGGCTGCTTGAACATCGAGGGCCGCGTTCAAGTCGTCAGTCTAGCCGCATTACTGGAGAATGGCCTTTCCACCTTGCGCCCCGAGTTCGCCGACATGTCAGAGAGCCGGCGGGGTCTGGCGAACCAAGTCATCGCAATGCGCGAAGCATTCTTGTACCCACCACGGCTGATCACTGAGAACGAGGCCCGCGCAGTTATACGTCTGTCGGAGCTCTTCGAGCCAAGCTGGAGACTGCCCATGGCAGCCTACTTCCTAGCACTCTGGCCTCGTACCCTGCAGGACGGGGACATGATCAATATGTTCAGCAACAGGCTCATGATGGACTCGTACTCGTTCCGCTTACCATACATTCGCGTGGCCGGCCTGACCGACACCGATAAACAGAGTTGCTCCGAGCTTGGAACGAAGGTATGGTCCTGTGCTGAGCTGCCAGAGGTGACACAGTTTGAGGTTATCATACGAGCAATTTACGAAGAGTTCGTAGCGACGAAAACCCTAGGTACGTTCTGACAAACGAAGAGTTCACGACGACTTGGTCAATTCGTAAGAATAGCATGTAATTACCAGCGGGCTTTTTCTAATCAAGATCTTTTAGAACTGGTCGAGAACGCAGAGGCCACCTTGCGGCTTGCGCTGCTCTCCTCCTTGATGTCCTCGCGGTCTGGCAGTCAAGATGCGCTCGCAGATGCACGGTACAGAAAGGTTCACAGCCGTCTGAAAGACTTGCGGCAAACAATACATGATATAGACGACGTGTGCCCAGACGCAAGCAGTGTCAACAAAGCCAACGTATGACGATGGGATGATGAAGGTCCCAAGTAGTAGTCGTTGCAGAACGAGGGTGGTAATTATGGAGGGCGCAGTGAATGGTGCAAGTCCTTGGCTCGTTTTGCTGGGTCTGTACATTAAGTGAACGTGGGCTGGAAATGTCAATCACAGGTCTCCCTCTCAAATCAGGCATTTGGGAGCAGGGGAAGCAGGTCTGGCTAGCAGAGGAATGTAGAACGTGTTTCCGTTCCTATGTTTGATGAAAGAAGAAGAAAGTAACATGTTGGCTCACGTGAACGACGGTTTCCCCAGTGGATAGACGAGCGGACAGCATCAAAAAGTTTCAGACTTCGAGCACTTGAAAGTAATTACGTAGAGTGAATTCTGACAAGTCCACATTATACAATAGTGCCTGGTTGCTTACGTAATCGTCAATCAAGAAACCCCGAACCCTTGTGGCGTCGCGCCGTTGCCTTGGTGAAGTTTCCTGCAGACCAGACGCGTCGTGCGCGCCCGAAGCGTCAGCCAGATTCGAGCGTCGACAGCACAGAGGCTCTCTTAGGCATGCATCTCGACCATGTCAATCTTGGAAGCCCCTATATGAGTTGGTAATGCTGCATCAAGGATGGCTCCCGATCCAGCTGCAGGCGGCGGCCCTCCCCCATCCACCCTGGCTGCCGAGCTCGTGGGCAACATCTCGACCACGGTCAGATCCTCTAGGCCCGACGAGAACAACGAGCTCAAGCGCCTACTGGAGACGATAGAGGCCGTCAGAAACAACCCAGAATCGCTCAAGACTGTGGCTGAGCGCGTCGGGCACAATCATGTGCTGATCTATGTCTACGCATGCGTTGTGCTCGACGGTCTCAAGTGGGATGACCCATTCACCAGTCGTGACCAGCTGAGGCTCAAAACTGAGCATGCGGTGCAGTTCCTGAAGATGACGATACAGGAGACACCCCAGGTGCTCAAATACACTGCGGATGTCGGCGCATTCCTCCATCGGGGCCGGGAGCCCTTGTGGGTTTGGCTGTTTCCGAAGCTCCTCAAGATGCTTGGCCATCCACATTGTCTGCCCTTGATACCCACACTAGAGTCCTTCTTTCATTTTGTCCTTGTAGACGCAAGCAACTCTGCAGGCCTCTGGAACATCTTCGAGCCCATGTATACCTACCTGCAGGCCAACTTTCGATGTAAGACATGTTGTCTTGTCTCTTCTTCGTGCCGGACTGGGTCATGACTAACGCCTTGCCATAGCCATCATAGCGCACCTGGATTCGTCCTTTCTACAGAGCCATGGGCTAGATCTGGCGCTGCCTCAACAAACCCTTCTGGATCTTCTCCTGCCTCATCTGTCCGGCTCCGACGGATGTCGAGGCTGGTTTTATTCCCCTGTCGACAACAGCCACGCTCTCCGGCATGCTTCTTGTCTCCTCAATATCCTCCGCGCTGCTATGGTGCCGGAGAACCAGCCCAGAAAACAAGTCCTGTCCTTCAATAAGCATCTATCGTGGTTGATCGACTCGTTTGAAGTCTTGAACGAACAGCAGAAGACATGGCGAAATTATGTCGACTACAATCCTGCGTTCCTCCTAGAGCAGGCCCTCGGAACCATCCGCTTCGTCTCCGACTCTGAGCCCGTGGTCTCGCAGAAGCTTGATTCCATCATCGTACTGCTTGCGGCAGATGTGGCAGAGTTTCTGGGCGAGTTCTACATGGAGGCGCAGAGTGCCGACGCCGCCACTACCACCCAAACCAGCAAGACTTTGGCCTTTGCTCTTTTACATCTCACGGATGCTTCGAGCAACAAGAGGCCAGTAGCGAAACTCGTTACCGCAAAGTTGCTGAAGCTGTTGGACAGACTCCGAGTCGAGGATCACCTCAAGGACAAGGACTTAGAAGTATGTTCCTTTTCATCTGTCCCTTGTCCCTTTGATGTCGAACATAGACCGTGATCTCTGACTGGTCGACTGACTGACTGACTGCTGTGTCCCTCCAGCGTTCCGCTCATCTTCTTCGGAGCGTCGCCATTTTACCTGCTACCCAACCTTCCGGTATTGACCTTTCACCAGAGGCATTCGACGACAAGAGGCTGCGTGCCAGGGTCTCCCTGATTATGACGAGATCTGCCTCAGCCCAGGATGGCGAGCGAGCTGCCAAGCGGCCAAAAATGTCACACGAGGCTTCCACCGGGCTACTGCTGCATATCGTGAAGCGACTCTGTAAAGTAATTGGCATACCTGTCTCCACAAGCCTAGTAGATATCGAAGACTCGCTGTTGTAAGTTACCGTTGACCCCGACCGCTGCAAGGGAAACCTCCTAACATTCTCCCGTACAACTAGGAATTGCTTGTCAGAGGCAGATGATCCCGTGCGCTGCTTAGTACTAGACCTGCTATGCCGCCTGCTCTGTGCCTCTGATGGCACGCTCGTCCTAGCACCAGCTGGCAGAGGTGAGATGCAGTGTCTCGTCTGTTCGAAGCGAGACAATGAGTCCACTCCGCCTGGAGATCAAGACATGGCAACTCATTCAGCGGTGTTTTCGCTCTTCGTAAAACTCATCAGCCTGTCCAGCTTTCGGATCTCGCGACGGCCGAGAGTCGTTGCCATGGTAGCACTTCGACGTGTCATTCTGCACTGCAGCGATCCGGACATGTTGGATCTTGAGAAATCTGCACTTGGCCAATGGTGTTTACAGGCCTTGAACAGCTCCCTGAGGGAGTTTCGAATTGCTGCCGGAAGGGCCATCGCCCTATTTTTACGGCCCCGGGTGGGACAAGTGGCCGGACCTTCTGTTCTGAGTCGTAACACGGCCAATGCTCTGAGCATTATGAGATCTATCTCGGACAAGAATAAGCCCAACATCAGCGAGACCTGTCTCATGGCATGGGGTCAAGTCGGTATGGTGGTTTCGGATGAGGGTCTCAATTTGGTTCTCGTCAAGATGCTCGAGTTTTTGGGTAATCAGAACCCCATCATCTCCGCCGTCGCGCTCAACGAGATGACGAATCTCGCCAGCTGTCGGAAAACGACACCTCGACGTCTGCTCGAACCATTCTGGCGTAACCTTGCCTACGCCACTGTCAAAGACATGCTGACACGGCCCCAGACGACGCAGATGGTGGCCGACCTGCTGAAAACCAGCATCACAGAGCTTTTGCTGCTCATACAATCTCATGCTTTGCCGTGGTTGGTACTGTACAGGAAGAAGGATATCATCCAGAGGTTTCTCGACGCAAGACGAGAGTTGTCACGATCAGATCCGCAGAAGATTGAGCCGCTATGGAAGATGCTCTACTTTGACGGAGCGAATTTGAGCACTATTCTTTCACGACTGCTGGTGCAAGACGTCCCCGACATTGAGGCGTATGCCAGGTCTGTCCTATTCGATGTCTGCCCAGAACTCGAAGTGCCCACCTTGCGGGAGCTTCTGTCTACAAACCCGGTCCCTACAGCCCTTGAGCTTCTGAAGATGAGCGGCGACGGGGATCAGTCCATGAAGGCGTCTGCACGCTCTGCACTGGCTCTCGTGGCCGGGCTGCTGATGCCAGACCAGGGTGGTCGGAGAAAGAGTCACCACGTCATAGGTCGCTTCCTCTGCGCGCACGCCTTGGGCTTGTCAACCAGGATGATACAAGTCATCACCGATGATTTGTCCATCATGCCACCGATTCAGGAGAGAAGGCGGTGCATCCGCGCCATGGAAGAAATGATCGTGCTTGGAAAAGAGTACATTCGCACCGCTAGACCACAGGTACGATTTCTTCCTTTCTTTTTCCTATTTTGTTTTGTGACAGGCACCGAAGGTTCATGTAGAATGCTAATAAACGTCATGTAGATCTCCGTTTGCCTCCTAAGTGCACTTTCCCTCCCCGATTTGAGAAGCGATGCCTTCATGTGTTGGTACTCGATGCTCAACCATATGGAGGAGGAGGACGTTGAGGCCTTGATCGAGACGACTTTCTTCATCATAGGACAGTACTGGTCTTCCTTGGACCAAGCCACACAAGAGAAAACCAAGTCACTGCTTCAGTTCTTGCTGAGTGAGCACAAGGACGTGTTAAAGAAGACCGCTCCGAAACTGCCATCACTGGGCCACATTGGCGAGCTCGCTGAGATTTGGCAGAAATTCGACGCCGGCCGAATCGACGTTCGGAACACCTACTGTATTTTTATTCAACGGGTTTCTCATGAAAATTCTGGAGTGGTGGCACAGGCTTTAGCTGAGCTCTCAGCCTACCTCCGTCAGCATCAAGGCTATCTGCAGACATCAGCCATAAGTGAGCAGCCGGATTCTGTAGTTACACAGTTGAGCCGAGCTTTACTCGACTGCGCATCAAAGTACAATAGCAGAGACGCAAATATCCCGCGGCTCTGCGCAGAATGTATTGGGTTCATGGGATGTCTGGACTCGACTAGGATGGAGACTGCCCGCGAGCAGCGAGAATTCGTCATGTCGTCCAATTTTGAGGACGCAGAAGAGACGACCAATTTTGTCGGCTTCATCTTGGAAGAGGTTCTCATCAAGTCCTTCCTCTCTACCACCGACGTAACCTTGCAAGGGTACCTCTCCTATGTCATGCAGGAGCTTCTGAAAAGTTGCGACTACAAGGCAGCTGTTGCCATGCAGGGCACCGAAAAGCAGAGCGAGCGGATATACCAGAAGTGGCAGAGGATGCCCGAGGTTGTGCGCGAGGTGCTAACGCCCTTCCTAACATCACAGTACGCCATGAAGCCAATCCCAGCTCCAGTCGTCGAATATCCCATCTTTCGCGCAGGACGGTCGTACACCCTCTGGCTCAAGCAGTTCACCCTCGATTTACTACACAAAGCGCAGAATACATTCGCGCAGCTCATATTCGAGCCTCTCTGTCGAGCAATCAGGGTCAAAGACTTGTCGATTGCCGTCTTTCTGCTACCCTACTTGGTCATTCACATGACACTGGGCCAGGTGAGCACAACCGAGGAGAAGGACGCGATCTGGAACGAGATACTCTTGATCCTTCGGCAGAATGTGTCAGTGAACACGTCTTATCTGGAGAGGGAAGACAAGTACCTTTTCTACGAAGTAAGAGCCCCCCCCCCCCCTAAAACACCGACAAAATATGTGATTGCTGATGAGAGTCTTCAGGCTGTTTTCCGCATCATAGATTACGCCATGAGGTGGATCCAAGTGCAGAAGGCCTCCCCGCTGACTAAAGCTGGCGAGAACAACGTCGCTCTGATCCAGAAGAGGCTCGATGCAATACCAGCTGAGCTCCTGTCCCAACGTGCCATCGACTGCAAGCAATACGCCCGGGCCCTATTCCACCTAGAGCCCTATGTCCTTCGCCAGGAGGAAGAGCCGGGTCAAGATGCTGCCAGTGTTCAGCGGGCCCTGGATTCGCTGCAACATGTATACACACAGATCGATGAGCCCGACGGGCTTGAAGGCATCTCGGCGAACCTGAAGGTCATTGATCTCAATCAACAGATCCTGAGCCACAGAAAAGCTGGGAGGTGGTCCCGGGCGCAGACCTGGTGCGAAGTTCAGCTTGCCGAGGATCCCAACAGTGTCGACGTGCAGCTTGACCTCCTGACCTGTCTGAAGCAGTCCGGACAATATGGTAAAGACTCTAACCCCTTCCCTGCCTCACCAAATGACCATTCATATGGAGGTAATTAACAACATAATATTTTAGATGTGCTACTGAACTATGTGAGCGGTATGGCCACCGACGTGTCCACGATCAACAAAATTGCGCCCTTCGCCGTCGAAGCAGCTTGGGCTACGAGCAGATGGGAGACTCTGCAGAAGTACCTGGATTCTTACAATGCTGGCAACCCTCTTGAGGAATTTAACCTTGGTGTTGGCTCGGCTCTCCTTGCTCTCAAGGACGGGCAGACCAATATCTTTGCAGACCATATTCAGAAGTTGAAAGACCAGGCCGCCTCATCCATGTCCTTGTCTGCGACTGCATCTCTTCAGGCTGCTCACGAGGCCATGCTGAAGTGTCACGTCCTTGCCGATCTCGACATCATCGCTGGAGATCATAAGAAGGAGACAGGTGACCAGCAGAAGACGATGACCTTGCTAAGTCGCCGATTGGAGGTGCTCGGGGCTTATGTGAATGACAAGCAGTATGTACTCGGCATACGCCGAGCGGCAATGGAGTTGATGAGGTATGTGCCACAGGGAGAGGTGTATTTTGTCTTGAAATCGTATCGCTAACTATGGGAATCAGGCCGAAGTTCACCGATGGTGATATATCTTCTCTGTGGCTCTCGAGTGCCCGCCTGGCTCGAAAGGCCGACTCTCTTCACCAGTCCTTTAACGCCGTCCTACACGCATCACAACTTGGAGACGGATCAGCTACCATCGAGAACGCCCGGCTACTGTGGAAGGAAGGCCATCATCGCAAGGCTATCCAAATACTCGAAAACGCCATTCAGACAGATTCGTTTATCGGGTACAACCTTGGACCGGCCGTGGCGCCTACTTCAAGCAAGGCCCCTGAAGTGCAGAGGAATCTGCTGACAGCCCGCGCACACCTGTTGCTGGCAAAATGGCAAGATTCTACAGGACAGACACACGCCAGTGCTCTGCGTTCCCGGTACCAACAGGCGGCCAGGATGCACGCGACCTGGGAGAAGGGCCACTACTACCTCGGTCGCCATTACAAGAAGGTCCTGGAGTCCGAAAAGGCCCTGTCTCCAGACGAACAGAGTGACGAGTATCTGACAGGCGAGACGGCCAAGCTTGTGATCGAAAATTACCTGCGATCACTCAACTTTGGCACAAAATACCTGTATCAGACGCTGCCTCGCATTTTGACCCTATGGATGGACCTTGGTGCGCAAGTCAACAAGGCCCCCGAAGGAAAGGTCTCACTATCTAAGGAACTGCACCAACGAAGGAAGACTTTGTTGCACGAGCTCAACAAATACTTTAATAAGCACATGCAACGCATGCCAGCCTACATTTTCTACACAGCTATGCCGCAGATTGTGGCCCGCATCACACATCCCAACCCAGACATTGTTAGGTCCCTGCAGCAGATCATCGTCAAGATTGTCGAAGCCCACCCTCGACAGGCTCTGTGGGGCCTCTTTGCGATCATGACTACCAGGCAGTCTGGTGATCGGGCCAGACGAGGCAACCAGCTGCTCCACCAGCTCCGCGACAGTGACCTCAAAGGCGCCGACGGCACGTCGTTCAGTCTGCCCCAGCTCTGTAGGATGGGGGAGAAGCTTGCCGAGCAGCTGCTTCTGGCCTGCAATAACGGCGACTTTCAGAGCAATAGGACGACACATGCCAGTATCACGCGGGACCTCAACTTCAACCACAAGTGCACGCCTTGCCCGCTCGTGGTCCCCATCGAGACATGTCTCACGGCTACGCTCCCCACATTAACCGACAACATCAAGAAGCACAAGGCCTTTTCTAGAGATGTCATAGCCATCGACAGTTTCTTGGATGACGTTCTCGTTCTCGGATCGCTCGCCAAGCCGCGGCGACTGACAGCGCGCGGGTCGGACGGAAAACTGTACAACCTGCTCATTAAGCCCAAGGACGACCTCCGTACCGACCAGCGGCTTATGGAGTTCAACGGAATGATCAACCGATCCCTCAAGCGCGACGCAGAGTCGAGCCGCCGACAGCTGTACATCCGCACCTACGCCGTGACGCCGCTCAACGAGGAATGCGGCATCATCGAGTGGGTGGACGGACTCAAGACGCTCCGTGACATCCTGCTCGGAATCTACAAGACACGTGGGGTTGCCCCCAACTACGGACAGATCGCTCAACTGATGAAGGAAGCCACATTGTCGGACAAGAACATCTCGATGTTCACAGAGCAGATCTTGGGCATGTTCCCGCCCGTGCTGCCGAGCTGGTTCATGTCGCAGTTCCCTAACCCGTCGGCCTGGTTCGCTGCTCGCCTCACGTACACACGCTCGTGTGCGGTCATGTCGATGGTCGGCACGATCCTGGGCCTGGGCGACCGACATGGCGAGAACGTCCTGCTGGAGGAAGGCAACGGCGGCGTGTTCCACGTCGACTTCAACTGCCTGTTCGATAAGGGACTTACCTTTGCCCAGCCAGAGCGCGTCCCTTTCCGGCTCACCCACAACATGGTGGCGGCCATGGGCATCTACGGCTACGAGGGCCCCTTTCGACAGTGCAGCGAGCTGACGCTCAGCATCCTCCGGCAGCAGGAGGAGACGCTGATGACGATCCTCGAGGCATTCATCTACGATCCCACGCTGGACCTCCAGCGAGACAAGAAGCGGAAGAATGACCTGGTCAGGCTGAACCCTACAAGCGTGGTCGAGAGTATCAGGAGGAAGGTGAAGGGGCTACTGCCTGACGAGAGTATCCCTCTCGGTGTGGAGGGCCAGGTGGAAGAGCTGATCAGGCAGGCCACAAATCCCAAGAACCTGGCCTCTATGTATATTGGGTGGTGTCCTTTCTTGTAATTTCCTAATTCACCACCACCAAGTAATATCTCTCCCATTCTTTAACTGCCTGCTCGAGAGATTATGCAGGGCTTGAAGGATGTTGCTTTATTTGTCGTTGATGGACTGTTGGGCTCAATAGGCACTGATGCCGCAGCATGTGATTCCTGTTTCAAGGTTACTATTAGAAAAGGCAGGGTGGGTGTTTACGTAAGCCACAACCCCTGACTAGTCCCACCTCCACCAAACTTGACTCCCTTCAGTGCACTTTCACTTAGGAACATACACTTCCACAGCCACCACAACTCTGTTTGAGCCTACTCCATAGCAGGAGAGTGAAGCAGGTTCTAATCAGTCTGTCCAGTGTACTTGTTACAACCTTTCTTTCCACCCCAGATAAGACAACTTCAACAGGTGTGTGTGTCCCCTCAAGCAAACTCTGAGCTGCCACCCACCCACCACGTATCCACTGCATCTAGTATTCTTCAGGAGCGACTCTCCAGGACGACTGCCTACTCTGGAAAGCACGCTAACAGTGATTCGCTGTTGCAGCACACAGAAAAAGCCTACCATTTCTGCCTGTTGTCCCCTTCCCCTTCTTCCCACCACTAGGCAGACTGATCTCGAGCTCCCTCTTCTCATCTTTCACTTCAGCACTCTGACTGACTCAATTCTTTTCCTCTGCGTGCCCATTGAGTCCTGTCTGAGATAGGCATCAGCAAAGCCGTTCTAATAACAAGATCCCATCACTGCATCTCTTCGACAATCCATCTCGACGCCAGTTCAATTTGTCATCTTGGACCTGTTCTACTTTCCATCTTGGCACTGGTTTTACTGTTCATCTGAGCCACTGTTCTATTCTCATCTGAACGCCTGGTCTACTCTCTATCTAGGAATCCCTTCGACTGCCTACATAGGCATCTGTCCTGCTTCCCATCTCAGCACGTGCCTGTACCTTCGTGATACCCATACTTTTTTATCTATTCCTGCAGCTCTTCGCACTCTTTGTTCTTCCAACAAATCACCTGAGTCAAGTTATCCACATGCAAGATGCCTCAGTACCGTGTTGGTAAGTAGATTCTGTCTGCAGCATCATAGCTTTGAGCAAACACTACGAGCAATGCATCTCAAATTATCACTGCCCACCGTCATGCTACTCTCTTTCAACAGCACCCATCCTCATGTTTGCTGCATACTGACATTTCGTCAACCAGAGGTCTCCCCCAACAACCGTGCTGTCTGTAAGGACAAGCAGTGCAAAGAAAACAAGGTCAAGCTGCTGAAGGGCGAGCTGCGCTTCGCTACCTGGGTGGAGATTAAGGAACATGGCTCCTGGTCTTACAAACACTGGTATGATCCCATGTCACAGGTAAGTCTCTACTCGAAGACATACAAGTACGCTAACACTTCAAAAATCTATATAGGGGCTGCGTTTCCGGCAGCCAGATCCAGAACCTACGCGATGCCATCCAAAAAGAGGATGACACCTATGACTTCGACATGATCGATGGATATGATGAGATGACGTGAGTTGTGTCTTCTCTCCCTGGTGTTGTGAATATAACAATAATGATTTCTGGCTCAGCGAATACCCTGAGCTCCAGGCTAAGATCCGTACCGCTATGATCGAGGGCAAGATCGCCGACGAGGACTTCAACGGAGACCCCGAGTTCAATCGCCTCGGCCAACGGGGCATCCGCGGGCGCGCCAAGAAGCCCGCCGCTGTTAAGGAGGAGGAGGAGAAGGAGGAGGAGAAGGAGGAGGAGATCGTACGTCTAGTCTATTCAATCTTGGGGATTCAATTGCGTACTAATGCTTGACAGGACGCCGACGCTCCCAGCTCTCTTGCGGACCGGTCACCCACTCCCGTCCCTTCCAGTACTAAGCGGTCTACTAAGCGGTCTACTAAGCGGGCTGCTAAGCGGGCTCCAGAGCCCGATTCAGTCTCTTCGCGACCCAAGCGCAAGCGGACTAAGAATTAAGAGCTTCGAGTTTTTTGTTTTCCTATTTTTCTTTGCCTATTTTTGTTTTCCTATCTTTTCTTTCCTATGTCTCAATTCATTTCTTAGCTTAGCACACTTAACAGCCAATAAAGTGAAGATTGCGTGAACAAAATTTCCTTCCAGTTGAGAATTGAGAGGTCTCTGAGCCAAGTCCTAAGCTTTAATCACGACTTTCTCAAGACTAGTTTCATGAGTACTTGAGAGGCCCCGAAGCTTTTACTTTCTTTTCAGAAGTAGAAAGAAATTTTTTTTTAAAAAACCTTTATCATAGCGACGAAAAACATCTTGATTTGTCACGCAAAAGATGACCACTGATGCGGCCACATGGACTGTGCCCATACATTTGCACCACAAGATCAATACAGAAAACAAGGGCCTTCTATACAGCCATTCCAGGTTCATGGATAATCTGTGGGTAGGACAGACTATCGAGGTTCAGGCATCCTCGTCACCCAGTCATGACGACATGCGAAGGCCAGTGCATTCTCCTTGTTTTCTTCTGTAGCGCAACTCATCCTCCTCCCCTCGTTACCACAAGCAATTGTTACAGAAGTGATAGATCAAAGTGCTAGGGATACACAACATGCCCCAGCATGTAAGCTACCTTAGTAGTGATGAACAAAATAAATAAAAACTATCACGCACAACGATATCACTTCAAATTCAACATATGTCGTGCACGACCTGGTCAAGGCCTTTCAAGGACCAACTTCAGCTGCGCACGAACTATCCAAGATATCGTGGCATTTGTAACTCATCCAAAAGGCTTTTGTCTACTTGCTGCGCACAAGATGGTCATTTAAGGGTTTCGCTAACATCAAACGTATATAAGTGAATGACGCGACTGGATTCTCGCTTGACTCTGCTTCGAAAGGCTAAAGACTCTAGTTGCCCTTGACGCGTCCATCAGGCTTGCCATCCTTCGTCAGACCGTCATTCTCGGTGGGCTTGTATGCGTCGCCGCCGCCGTCGCCACCACCAGATGCACTTCCAAGGCCACTTGCCTTACCACCTTGCTTGCCCGCCTCATGGGGATCAACTTTTCCCTGCGCAAACTCGCCAGTGCCGACGCGCTTGTCTGGCTGACCGTCCTGTCGGAGACCGTCATGCTCTAATCACATCATTTCCAGGGGTTAGCTCTGCCCTGACAGTTTCAAAAACTATAGCATTGTGAAGGAACGATAGGTGTTACCTGTTGGCTTGTAGTCAGACATATTATAATGGGTCGTCTTGGCTTCGATAACGGTGTAGGTTTTCTTTGCGTCTTTCCAAAGCTCCGGTTCTAGAAGTTACAGATGAGGATGGTGGGTGCTTGGATTAACTTCATTGATAAGTCTGGACAGATGCTCGGCTTATATACATTTCTCCAGACCAGACTTTACAGGCTGGCAGTCAGTCGTCGGCTCTCAAGATGGACGAGTCTTCTCAGCAGTCATTGATTTTCGAGGCTCGATCTTTCCGATGCATGACGCTTGCATCAATCATCATTTTCTGCATTTTGTATGCGACTGTTAATAAATTTGATGACTCGTGTTGCTAGTATAGTATTGTCTATTAGTGCTGGAGGAAGAGCTGAAGAAAGCGTCAGTCTAGAGCGTCACTATAATCTTGTCGACATCACCATTTGGCCTTTAAGTGATTGGGAAACATACTGTGCTAGACTGTTTCCTGACGGCCTTGCATTTTCTTATATGCTCCTTGAGCAATGTAGTTGACGGTGATGAAGGGACAAAGGCAGAATCCTCGTAAGTTGGGGCTAGAGGGCGTAATGTCCATGAGTGGAGAACCAGCATAGGACACAATTCATGAGGACATTGGACCATGACATCATGTCAATAATCAATCTATCAAATACTTCTCTCTTAATTTCTCCCGACTAGTATCATAACATTGCATCTGAGTACTTACTCTGGTCAAGAGGACCTATGTGTCCACGAAGACAACGATGATGGCTGTGAATCGTGACATCCACCCAGTATGGTAATACCCAGTAATGTAATGAGTTGACTTTCTTACTTTTCGGCGAATTATCGGCACCTTGATCGAATCTCAGCTCATGCGAGAGACAAGACGGTGAAGGGCAAACAAGAAATTCCGAGATCTGATGATGAGTGGGCCCGAGGGCGCCGGGGTGCTTGGCCTCCAAGGCTCCTCGATATTCATTGGCGCGGATGAGCAGGAGTATTTCCTTTCGAGCCGAATACTACCATCTCATATGCCTTGAGCATGACATATCTTGAGTGGAGTCTTCCCCTCGTTTTACCCCAACATTTGTCTCCACGAAATTGAAAGTTGATGGGACCAGGTTTCCCCAGATCCTGACGATCACTTTTTTTAGTTTTCAATCCCCCCCGCCATGAAATTTTGAATTTCTTCACACCTTAATTTCACCACAAAGCACGTCAAGCAAGGGGGGTCACAGCGCAGGCCGGGGCGGCGGGCGGCGATGATTTCCCAAACCTGCGTTCGCCATCTCGGGCCAAAGATGTTGTTCGGAGGTGATGGGCCTTTGTCACACCATGTCACCACAATTATTTTGAACTCGTGACCATTGACTTCTGTCTGTCTCCCCCCCCCCCCTTGATTTTCGCCCTCTCCACAAGCATGCAGTATGAGATCAACAAGCCCGGTTTTCCCCAAAACCCGTCGGGCGCTACTGGTAGCTCGGCGCTCGGGGGCGTTGGGAACTCGGTGTGGTGTCCTGAGGCTTGGGCATGTCTCTCGGTGTCTCATTGATGCGCCTGTTTCTGCGAACTGGGCGAGTGGATGCGTCTGGACGTTGCCTCCGGACTGGATGCCGGGGTGAAGTTGTCGAGGGGCGCGCGGGGGAGGGAGTGGGGGCCCAGACGCGCCTTGATGTATGGCCAGGACGCAGACGAGGAGGAGGAGAGGGAGGGGCAGGCGGAGGAGGATGGGAGATTCAACAGCGAGTATGATTTTGAGGGGAAGATCTTTTTTTCTTACAAAAAGGGAGCATGATTCGGAGATGATCCCCTTCCTGTTCCTGGGACCTGTCGCATTCTCCCCCAATTCTCCTCTCTCACCAGCAGCGCCGATCCTCTCGCTGTGTGTATATGCCCTCCTCCTCTGCTGCCATGGCGCGTCTGTCTCTTCTGTCTGCGCCCCTCCTCGTGGGAGGTGCTGCGGCCGTGACTCTCTCAGTTGCCTCGTCTGGCGGAAACGCGACCTCTGGGTACCAATATGGCCTTATGTTCGAGGACATTAACCACGGTGGTGATGGCGGCATGTAAGTTAACATAGCATTGACTGATCTCTGGTGGGCATTTGTGTGGTGGCCGCGTGTGGAAGAGATGACTGACCTCTTATGCTTAATCCTTTCCTGGCCACAGTTACGCCGAGCTGATCCAGAACCGGGCCTTCCAGGGCTCTACCGAGTATCCGTCCACCCTCGACCCGTGGACGGCTGCTGGTTCTGCCTCGCTCGCCCTGGATAACAGCTCTGATCCTCTGTCATCGGCCCTGCCAACCTCTGTAGAGGTGACAGCAATAGCCGACGGTGCTGCTGGCATTCGAAACCCAGGCTGGTGGGGAAGTAAGTACAGCAGTGGTGGTGGTCCCCTCTAGAGTCTCTCTCTCTCTCTCTCTCTCTTTCTCTGGCTCTCTTTCATGACGGTGATCCGTCTTGCTAACAGAGAACAAATTAATAAAGTCGACGTTTCGGCCTCAAGCACCTACGCAGGAAGCTTTTACGTCCTGGGAGACTACTCGGGCAACTTTACGGCGAGCCTTGTGTCCGACATCACCAATGCCACGCTGGCCTCGACAACATTTTCGGGCTCGTCGAGCGCAGACGCCTGGACACAGTTCAGCTACGAGCTCACGCCGTCAGCCGACGCGGCCAACATCAACAACAGCTTCGTCTTGACCTTTGACGCATCAGCTGGCGACGTCCTGAACTTCAACCTCATCAGCCTGTTCCCGCCCACGTACAAGGACACGCCCAACGGCAACAGGCCAGACCTCATGGAGGCCCTGGCCGCGCTCAACGCCAAGCACTTCCGCATCCCCGGCGGCAACAACCTCGAGGGCGAGGACCCCCCGTACTGGTGGAACTGGAACGAGACCATCGGCAACCTGACAAACCGGCCTGGGCGCCCTGGCACCTGGGACTACGAGAACACGGACGGCCTCGGCCTCGTCGAGTACATGCTCTGGTGCCAGGACCTGGGGCTCGAGCCTGTCCTGGCCGTCTGGTCGGGCGAGTACCTGGATGGCACCATCATCTCCGAGGCCGACCTAGAGCCGTATGTCCAGAGTGCCCTCGACGAGCTTGAGTTCCTCATGGGCGACGCCTCCACCACCTACGGCGCCCTGCGTATCGCCCTCGGCTACACGGATCCCTTCACCATCAAGTTCGTCGAGGTCGGCAACGAGGACAACCTGAACGGCGGCGAGGACAGCTACATTGAGTACCGCTTCAATGCGTTCTATGGTATGTACACACAACAACATGCCATTGTCTTGGGCTTTGTACAGTATGTTAGAGAGAAGTCCGTCCGCTGATTTATGTTCCGTGTGCAACCATTAGATGCCATCTCGGCCGTCTACCCAGACATTCTGATCTTCACCTCCCTCGCCGACCTGAGCTACACCTATGAGTCGTCTGGGCAAGACTATCACCAGTACACCCTGCCCAACTACTTTGTCGGCCAGTTCAACTTCTTTGATAATATTGCTGCGGGCCATCCCATCCAGGTCGGAGAGTTCGCCGTCGTGCAGAACAACACAAATAACGTGAGCGACACGACCAACTGGGATGACGCCAAGAAGTGAGTCTTTTCATTCTCATGACACTATTCTCTACACTTTATACTGTGGCTGACACCTCTTCTTTTCTCTGCCTCATTTTAGTCCCTGGCCATACTGGATTGGCTCCGTCTCAGAAGCCATCTTTGTCATCGGCATGGAGCGCAACGCAGACCGCGTCTGGGGCTTCTCCTATGCGCCCCTCCTGCAGAACCTCAACTCGTACGAGTGGTCGCCCGATCTCATCTCCTTCACCGCCGACCAGAGCCAGACCGTGACCAGCACCTCGTACGACGTGCTCAAGCTGTTCGGCAACGCCGCCTTCACGTCCACCCTACCCGCAGACACCACCGATGACTTTGGCCCCGCCTACTGGGTGGCTGGTGTGGACAACGCCACGAGCACCTACTATGTCAAGGCCGCCGTGTATAACAGCACTGAGGACGTTGGGTTCAATGTTACCTTTGATGGCGTCGCGAGCGGGTCGACGGCCACACTGACGGTGTTGACGGCCCCAGACGGCTACAGCTATAACAGTATCGGGTCTGTGGAGCTCATCACCACGACGAGCAGCTTGACGGCGGACGACGGCGGTGCTTTTAGCTTCAGCCTGCCAAACCTGAGCGTTGCGCTGCTGGCTGCAGCGTCGTCGTGAGGTGCTGTCCTGAGACGTGTGAATATATGAAGGAGGGCATTACATATTGTCGGAATAAAGGCATTGGTCTCATGTGGGTGAAAGGGCTTTTCAGGCCCCTGACACCAGGGCCCTTTCACTAGGTTTCGGGCTAGCCGGCCCTTTGTTGTACTTTTCCTATAGAAACGGGTGCACCAGTACCTCTGGCCCCAGGATAGTTAGAAGGATTAGTGCAAGTGAACTATGACCTGGCTTTTCACCCATCCTTCACCCCGATGAGTTCACTGCCCCACATTTGACACATATACCTGCCAAGATGTGTGTACACATGTATAATGATGTATATCTTAGTTGGCATTTCTTTTTGAATATCCAAACACGATTTTCCCTCATTCTTTAATTGACCTATTCATAGACTCTAGACTATGATGAATTGGTGATAACCTCAATGTATGCTTATGTTGCTTGTATCCCTCTCTTTCTGCTATTCTATCATTATTAGGTTGCAACTATTATCACATGCTCAACTCCCTCAGAAAGAAAAAAAAAGACAAGAAATCAGGACATAATTGTTCTCCTCAGATCACACACCGTGGTGTAAAAGACCCCACACAACCAACAAGGAAGGTCACACAGTAGTGACAGGCAACGGAAAGCACGCTGCAGTAAGGTGTGCAAGCCGAGAAGGAAGAAGAGGTGGAGGAAGGGGGAAAGGGCGGGTTGCAGTGGTAGGGTTACAGTGGCTTCCGAAAGGGCCGCAAATCTCCCCAACCCAACAGGCCTCCCCTCATTTTCCCCTCTTCTCTCTGTCTATCTATCATTTCTCGCGATCGTCCGAACAATCTTCCTCCACACGGTGAACTATACTATGCGTACTATGTACCTGCACACAACCATAGCACTGCGACCCTGGCCAATTTTTCCATCATGACCATGACAAACACCATCTCGTCTTTCTCTCTCTCGTATTTTAGGCTTTTGCCCTGCTCTTCTTAGTTGATATGCTGTAAGGCGATGTGATGCCAACGGCTCGGAAGAAAACATATACCCTGATGTTCCACCAACCAAGGAAGTGAACTGCAGATGTGGCTGGTGCCAGCCCCAAGCTTTTGTCGTCCCCAAGCTTTTGTCGTGTTCTCGTCCGATGCGTGGCACGCTGGGGATCCCTGACTCCTTCCCCTGCAACCACCCCTCGACGACGTTGCAGTCATCTCCAACAAAATAATTCCGTGTCCTTGTAACCATGGCACCATGGATGCAGGCACGGGCTGGGTGGAGAGGCGATGCTTCGGTATGTTGTCCAGCAAAAGGGCCGAAGCGGGCCGGAGAGGGGAGAGAAAGAAGGAGAGAGTCGCAGCGAACGTCATGAAGAAGCAGGGTGATGCATATGAATGATGAGGTCCGCTTTTGTCAATCTGGTACAGACTCAAGGAGAGTAAGAGTGACTGTCTTCAACCCAAGTCTCTTAAGAACAGGCGCTCTGGCTCCTGGCTTGGACCACGCAAAGAGGGCTGTCCACCAGCATCTTCAACAACCACAACGGTGACCACTGTACTCGTACATTACTTGGTTACAGACTCAGGTCACAATGAGGCTCACCGGCATCCTGCCCCTCGCCCTCCTGGGTGCTGCCGCCACCACCGCGCACGCCGCCGCCCTCACCGGACGCCCGCCACAACTGTTCCGCCCTGATCGCCGCGAGCTCCTCCAGGACGTCGTGACCTACGACAACTACTCGCTTCTCATCAACGGCGAGCGGCTGATGATCTACTCGGGCGAGTTCCACCCGTTCCGCCTGCCCGTGCCCTCACTGTGGCTCGACGTCTTCCAGAAGGTGAAAGCCTTGGGCCTGAACACGGTCTCGTTTTACCTACACTGGGGCCTGCTGGAGGGCAAGAGCGGTGACTTCAATGACCAGGCCGCCTTGGCCATTGAACCGTTTCTGCAGGCTGCGCAGGAGGCTGGGCTGTACCTCATTGCGAGGCCGGGACCGTATATCAGTGAGTGAAGGACCACAGACGAAATTGGCAAATCGGGGTGATGATGATGATGGCAAAGAAAAGGGGGGGGGGGGAAAGGAAGAAGGAAAGATTCGCTGACCAGTTGGGGTGTGTGCTTGGCCGGGGAATACAGATGCCGAGGCCACAGGCGGCGGCTTTCCAGGCTGGCTGCAGAGGATTGAGGGGAAATTGAGAACCAATGCTACCGACTATCTGAACGCCACGAACAAGTATGTTGGTGCTAATAAAGAGAGAGAGAGAGGCCGAGAGAAAGCTGCTAACGAATGGTACCCCCCCCCCCCCCCAGCTACATGGCCAACGTGGGCGCCATTCTGGCCAAATATCAGATCACAAACGGCGGGCCCATCATCCTTGTCCAAGTCGAAAATGAGTACACTGATGCCACATCGGACGTCGTGTTCCCCAACGGATACTACATGCAGTATATCGAAGATCAGCTTCGTGATGCGGGTATCGTAGTGCCCCTTGTCAACAACGATGCCTCGCCAGATGGACACAACGCCCCGGGTACAGGAGTTGGTCAGGTCGACATCTATGTGAGTTGTCAAGGAGGGGTTAATCCCGCCGAAAGGCGACCTTTTATGCTTCTTGCTTGACTGACACATACATGTGTATCAAATCAGGGACAGTAAGTTCGCTCTTGTGTTGTTCAGACTCCTCCTTCACGATGATGACGGCTGCTTACGATATGAAATCTGCTATTAGTGATTCCTATCCATTGGGTTTCGACTGTGCGAATCCTTCCTCTTGGCCGTCTGGGTCCATCCCAACCGATTTTCGAGAGCTGCATCTCGAGGAGAGCCCGACGACGCCGTACCTGATCAATGAATTCCAGGTGCGTAAATAATTGGCCCAGAGTTCTAATTAGTATGAGCCGGCCGTACATAGCTCACACATGAACACCAACATGATAGGGAGGTTCCTTTGATCCGCCCTCAGGCGCTGGCTACGAAAAGTGTGCAGACCTCCTGAACATGGAATTCGAGAGGGTGTTCTACAAGAACAACTACGCGGCGGGTGTGACCATCTTCAGTCTGTACATGGTACGTTTTTCTGGTCGATTTTCCTCTTGAGACCTTTTATGATCAATCCATCTAACCCCGGAGAACGAATAATGGCAGATCTTTGGCGGTACCAACTGGGGCAACATCCAATACCCTGGCGTCTATGCCTCGTACGACTACGGCTCTGCCATCCGGGAGAACCGCGCTGTCGACAGGGAGAAGTACTCAGAGCTCAAGCTCGAGGCCAACTTCCTCAAGGTCTCGCCGGGTTACCTGATCGCCGTGCCCGCGACATCCTACTCCACGGGCGTCTACAACACCAACGCCGACATCGTGACCACGCCTGTGCTCGGAACCAACGGCTCCTTCTTCATCGTCAGGCATGCCGACTACACCTCGGAGGCCTCGACTAACTACACTCTGTCCCTGCCCACGTCGGCGGGCACCCTCGCCATCCCCCAGCTCGGAGGCTCCCTCACCCTGAACGGGCGCGACTCCAAGGTCCACGTGACGGACTACCCAGTCGGTACCTTGACGCTGCTCTACTCCACCGCAGAGATCTTCACCTGGCAGGCCTTTGAGGACAAGACCGTCCTGGTTGTCTACGGCGGCGCGGATGAGCTCCACGAGCTGGCTGTGGCCGGTGCCTCCAACGGCTCGCTGGTCGAGGGCAGCGGCGTCACCATCCAACAGGCCAACGGCTCGCTCATCGCCCAGTGGGAGACGTCCACCTCCAGGAGGATCGTCCAGGTCGGTGATCTGTACATCTATATTCTCGGTATGTTGTCGTTGTTTTGTGAAACAAGTCCTCAAGTGCATGTGCTGATAGCTTCGAATGTACGAACTATGAAATCAGACCGCAATAGCGCCTACAACTACTGGGTCCCTGAGCTCACCAGCGGGACCGCCGTCATCGTCAACGGGCCGTACCTCGTCCGAACGGCTTCCGTTGACGGTTCTACCCTCTCTTTGAGGGCTGACTTCAACAAGACCACTGCCTTAGAGATCATCGGCGCGCCCTCGAGCGCCACGACCCTCCAGGTCAACAACCAGACTCTGACCTTCACCACCGACGCCCAAGGTTCGTGGTCCGCCAACGCCTCTTACGCGCCCCCGACGTTGGATCTCCCCGACCTGGCCAGCGCCGTCTGGTACACGATCGACTCGCTTCCCGAGATCCAGGCCTCGTACGACGACAGCGCCTGGCCTGACGCGAACCACACCAACACCACTAACCCGATTGGCTCGCCGCTCAAGACGCCCGTGTCCCTGTATGGCTCCGACTACGGCTTCAACACGGGCAGCCTGCTGTTCAGAGGCCACTTCGTCGCGTCTGGAAGCGAGACTTCTCTCTCACTCACCACGCAGGGCGGCGAGGCCTATGGCGCCTCCGTCTGGCTCAACGGTACCTTCCTAGGGTCCTGGACTGCCGGCTACGACGACATCCCTTCGGACTACACCCAGGACCTCACTTTACCCTCAGGCGCCGTCACGGCCGGGCAGAGCTACGTTCTAACCGTCCTGATCGACAACATGGGTCTCGACGAGAATGGCGAGGTCGGCGCGGACGAAGCTAAGGACCCGCGCGGGATCCTCGACTACACCTTCGCGTCCGACCTGACATGGAAGATCACGGGCAACCTGGGAGGCGAAAACTATGCCGACCGTGTCCGGGGGCCCCTTAACGAGGGCGGCCTGTTCGCCGAGCGCCAGGGCTATCACCAGCCTTTCCCGCCTGTCGCCACTGCCTTTACGAACGGGAGCTCGTCGCCGTTCGACGGCATCGACGCCGCCGGGGTCGCCTTCTATACCACCAGCTTCACCCTCTCCCTCCCCGCCGACGAGTGGGACATCCCGCTCTCGCTGGTCTTCGCCAACGACACAGAAGACACCACGACGCCGTATCGATTGCTCATCTTTGTCAACGGGTACCAGCTCGGGCGATACACGAGCAACGTGGGCCCGCAGACCGAATTCCCCATTCCCGAGGGCGTCCTGAACTACAGCGGGGAGAACTGGTTGGGCTTGACGTTGTGGGCGCTGGAGAGCGAGGGGGCCAAGGTGGCTGGGTTGAACTGGACCATAGGCGCCACGCCGGTCTGGACGGGGCGGGAGACGCCTACGTTGGTGGACCAGCCTGCCTGGACGGAGAGGCCAGGGGCTTATTAGGCGAGCAAGGGCCAAGGTGGCGGTGGTGTTTACGCCATCTTGTTTTCTTCGGACAAGCCCTCCCTCTTTTCTTCTTTTGTAAATATATACCTAAATACTGCCTGGAGGGGTAGATAGACGCAATCTTCTCACAAGGCTGTTTGCCGCTGGTAGCCATGTTCCACAATGGTCTAGCGAAATATGACTGAATGTTGGTGAGGAGGAGAAGTCCTTTCGTGTAAGGTAGCTCTGGAGAAGCTGGGGTACCTAATGATAGCTCGGAGCAGTAGTATTTCTAAGATGTAATCTTGATCTGGACATGTAAATTCTTGATACTGGCAGACTCTTTACAAGTCGACTGGAAGCCAGAGCACTAGGCAAGTTGACTATCTGGTCGGTACCTTCTGATGAACGTGGGCCGTGGCCATAAAGTCCGTGGCTCTCGCTCTATACAAAAGATGACGATGCGATCCGAACATTCATCATAATCCCTTACGCGGCTCCCTCCCCCCATTCCCTTCCGCCTCGCCGCTCTGGACGTAACGTTGGATATCTAAGACCCCGGATGGAGAGGATCGTGGCGGTGAGTTCTAGGCTCTCCTTTCAATGTGGCAGCATGGAGGTTGGCCAGATACATTTTTCTCTGCAGGGTAAATTGGGGAAAGGGAAAGGAGGGGGGTGGGGAGTGGATGAGAGTGATTGTAGATATAAACTTTTGTTTCAGAACACAAGTGCAGCATGTCGACGTGGCATGCGCTTCCAAGGTCCCGAGACCATATGATGCGGGGAAGAAGGAGGGCAAGGTCCAAGGACAAGAAACCTGAACTGGTGCAAGAAAAGAAATCAGGCTCGAGTTCTGCTCTTGGAATATGCCCCCCTTCGTTTGGCAGAAGACAAAACAGACAGTGTGTGTGTGAGAGAGAGAGAGAGAGAAAAAGAGGATGGATCTCTCTTTCGGGCCGAGGTGATCTATGTCTGCATGAATTCACAAAGTCGTCATGCCAAGATGGCTGTCTCGTCCCAACAAGGAAAATGAGTTGCGAGGTCGCGTGGACCAAAGGACAAGATGCCCCAGCAGAATAATGGAGCCCGCTGGACCTGGCTCTGGCTGTTGCTGCTCGGTCGTGTGATACAGACAGGGCAACTTGGAGAGATCATCGTCTGATAATGATGCTTGATAAGAAGCCTTCTTTTCTCATATGGAGGCAGAGATAGGCTTACACTGCAAAGGGTAGACCTACAGTAGAGACAATGTTATGCTTGTTTGTTAGTGTTTCAACTAAAAGGAGTGTGAATCTGGGTCGGGTGTCGTCCCTTGGCACAAGTATGGCAAGACCCTGGATTGTGTCCCCCCCCATACCCCTCCATCCCTTTCTCTTTCTTCTTGTTGTCTCGTTGTTGTCTTGTTTTTTCACCCCTTCCTCCTCCAGCGGGGGTTATCGAGGAGGCGGCTGTGCAAAGATCTGCCGAAAGTAGAGAGGGGCATGGAATCCCCAGTTTGTCCCCAGAGGAAACCTTGCGTCGTTGACGATACTTGGGGCAGGGCTGCAGACGGCATGACGACAGTGGACAGGCCACGACTTGTTAATCACGAGGCGCGCGGATCAACAGGACCGACCACACCCCCTTCATGGCCCCTCTCTATGCCGCCCCCTCCCCCTTCCAAGTCATGACCATTGTGGCATTGGTTTGTTTTTCTCTTTTGTTTCATTCATTCCGGATTTTCTTGTATGGAATATGGGGAAATGACATATTGAAGAAGAAAAACACGATCGTCATAACTGTTGAATTCCGGAAGCATAGCCTGGGATGCCACAACAAAAGAAACCTTGGCAGCCCACCTACAGTAGCTGCTGTGTACTATGTAATAGTTGCTTGCTAGCCAGAGACAGTGTGTTGTTATATTTAGCAACAGCAGCAGCACGAAGCAGCAACAGCGGGACGTTTAAGTTTTCGCCGGGAAGCGATGGACAAGCTTCCAGAACTCTATATCGCTGGCGCTAAATAGTAGTAGTGCGCAAGTTTGGGCTTCGACTATCGATCTCTGCTGGTGCATGAGAGGTTTTTTTTTCTCTCTCCCTCTTTCTTTTCTTCTGTCTTTTTTTGTTTTCCCCGAAGCCTGTCGTTCATTAATCCCTCGCAATGACACACTGCCCTTGACAGCAGGTAACTAGTATGACTGTTGGCCCACCGCTATGTGGGAACCGATCTCGTGCAAAGTGAAAGAAAAGCCCCCGACTGTCCCGCGATCCCTTGCGTCCTGCCATAGAACGTTCCTGATCCTGGTCCTTACGCGTATGGCACTGGCTTCTGGGCGACAAGAATCGAGGGCAACGCTCGGGTCGGGCCCATATTCTCCGCCCGACCCCCATGAGGAAGAAACAACCCCCCCCCCCTTCCGCGTGGTGGCGGCCATTTCCAGTAGCACAAGGGCCTGCTGCTGTGGGTACTTGTATGACCCTTCTCTCTCTCACATAATCCACATGGAAAGGGTTTTTCCTTGACTGTGCAGAGAATTACTAGGTGACAAAGTGCGAGTCTGGGCCAGGGTTTCTCTCTGCTCATATGGTCAGACTGGCAAGATCCAACTAGTGCGGCAAGTATTGGTGGTAGGATGAAGGGTGGGTGGGTAGACGATGAGTGTGACTTTCTTTGCTGAGGTGACTTTTGACTGGACCGGTGGCCTCCCACCAGCAATACGAGAACCCAAGCCCGTGTTTAGGCAAAACCCAGGGGGTAGGTTCCCTGCACGTCCGCACCAGGGCCAATCACAACAGAGCCTAGCTGACCCTCCCTTCGCAGGGGTCCTCACAAGTACCTCTGTCACGGTACTTGTGGTGCGGTAGTACAATCTAGCAGCAGTCATCAGTTCTGCTCAGAATGGCAACAAAGAGGGCAGTGCAATATACATTCTAGTCCAAGGGTTTCTGCACTTTGGGTCCAAGAAACAACAGCAACAACAAGGGATGCTACGGTAGCAGAAGAAACTTCTCACAATGTTAGGAAAGAGCTAGACATGAGAGTCAGAATTTCAAACAACACAGCAAATAAAACAAAAAAAGAACTCCAGGGCGTTGTGCCTTGGGGTACCATTCATAGTACAGTACATACACTACTTGCTTAGCAGACAAAGTTAGAACAGTTTCTTGTTTAGGGGCCCATCTTCTCGGGTGCTGCGGCAGTTTTTAGCGCCTTGGGTGCTCCTGCACTCGTACCCTTATATCAGTATGTGCTGACTGTCACTGCTCTCTATTGTTAGTGCTTGACCTGAATGTTATGGCCCCCCAGTCTCCTCTTCCCTTTACTGTGTACTTCCCTTTCCACCTTTTTCTCTTCTTTTTTTTCCTACCCCCCCCCCTATGGGCCCACCAGGTGGAAGGGTCAAGTCCTTACTCCCCCTCTCCACTCCACTCTCCCTCCCTTGCCCATTCTTACTTCACCTCCCACTCACTTCTTCCTCCTTCTCAGTCAGCCCACACAAGTTTAATAACCAACTCTTGTCACTCATCATTCCAACCCACCCCAACGTCGCTCGCTTCTTCCCCTTTCATACAGTCAATTTCGTCAAAAACGGTCTATCCACCCTCCGCTTCATTACCAATCTACCACATTTAGCAACACCAATAACAATACAACATCTCGATACTGACCATTCACTGGATTTCGATCGACTGCTCATTCTCGTGTTCGACATCTTTGATTCACTTCCAAACAATCGCTTGCGAGAGAAACGAGCACAACACAACCAGGGTCTCGAGGGTACCACAGAACAGCTTGAGAGCTTGATCGCAAAGGGGCTCACCTAGCAACAACAGGCCACTCCGGTTGGTGCACAAATCAAGTGGTGAACGAGTGGACAATCTCCCCTCGCCTGTCCACCCTCCATCTCTCGTTTTTCTCGTGTGCTTTCATAGCACCGAGACGATCCTTTGACGCTCGTCATCACACATCAATCCACACATTCATATCCACCACACACAACACACATTATGCATTCCACAAGGATACTCAAGCTGGTTGTGGCAGCGCTGTCTGCCACCAGCGTCGCCCAGGGCTTCATCATCGATGCCCACCTCCTGGGCCGGAACAGCAGGGAGTTGATGGCCAGGCAGAGCGCCGACGCGGGCAGCTCTGACTCCAACAACGCGGCCGACGCGAGCGGGGGCGGGACCGCGGCTACCGCAACCACAGCGGCCGCCGACACGACTACGACGTCTACCTCAGAAGAGCCGACCACCACCTCCAGCCTCACCACCTCCACCTCTGCCGAGCCCACGACTACGACCTCGGCCGCCGCTGCGACCACGACGTCGGCCACCGAGGCCGCCCCGACGACCTCGTCAACAACCACTCAGGACGCATCTGTCCCGACCTCAACCTCTTCCGACGCCGCTGCCGCGTCGACCTCGGCGGCCGCGGGCGGCTCCGACACCACGTCATCGGCAACGTCTGCCTCCACCACCGCCAGTGCCACTCCTACCACCTCCACCACTGTCGTGGTTGTCACTGCCACCGATGGCTCCGTCAGCAGCTCGACTTCCATCACCGTGACCACCCCGACCGCCAGCCTGTCCAACTCGGGCTCCGGCAGCAGCGGCAGCTCCGGCATGACCACCCAGACTCGCAACATTATCATCGGTGTTGTGGTCGGTGTGGGCGGTGCCATCGTGCTTGCTGTCGCAGGCGTCTTCGCCTGGAGGATCTGGGGCCGCAGGCGCAACACCGAGGAGAGCGACGGCCTGATGGGTTTCAACGACAAGGACGCCGGCACTAGCGGTGTTGGCGGCCTCGGCTCGGCCACCGCTGGCACCACTGGCGTCTCCTCGCCCTTCCAGTCCACCCTTGAGAGCTACCACCAGGCCACGCCACCCTCCAAGGCCGCCGCATCGACCAACTTCTAAAGGGCGCCGGGGCAACCGACAGGATGCCACCACGCTGGATTTCTGTTGGGGGCGCACAGAGAGAGAGAGAGAGAGAGAGATTGAGAAGAGTGCGCGCGTCTGTGTGTGTGTGCGGCGTCACTGGAGTCATTGCGTTCTTTTTCCCCTTCTTCTGGCTTAGGATTTCTCCTTTTTCGGTATCAGGCAGGGGCGAAGGAGTTTTACACAACCTGCATAGCATTTTCCCCGGAGTCCCACGCGATCAAGCCGAGTTTGTTACCCCAAAAATTACAACAAAAGGGGAGGGCCACGAACCATTTTACCTTACGAGCATAGAATGGTGAATATTCTCCTTTACTCTCCATTTTTCTCCTTCTTTTCCTTTTAATGAACATGGAATTTGGGGGGGAAGAGACAGACATACACACAAGCTGAGAGCATGTACTCTTGAGCATCCCCGGTGGAAAACACAAGCTTGAAGCCGTGGAGGATGAGGCCCATGAGAACGAGAGACTATCAGCACTGCCTTTCCGCAGGGTGGAAAACCGCAGCATCATGTCTTTACACCCTACAAAGTACGATGTATTACAGATACCCAATTCCATTTCTCTTCCAAAACGAAAGCCAAATGACTTGAATTGTGAATGAACTGCAAGGGGGATGAAATGTCGAGGGATGAGAGAAGGGAGATTTGAATGTGCTCTTTGATATGTGCTATTCCCAAAGAAAAACAAAACGAAACGAAACATACATATTCTCTCTCTCTCTCCACACTCTTACGCAGCCCCAGTAACCCCGGCCCTTTATCATTTTGACATGCGTCGGAAAGAGGAAGCCCTTGTCAGCGGCACTCTCGGGATCCTTTCCCCTAGCCCTTGACCCTCTCTCAACTCGTAGAGAATACTGCTTGTTCCTTATTTTCCTGGCTTGCTAATGACCCCCAGTAGCAGTTCACATACAAGAATCCACGGCAGAAAACTATTACCAGCTGCCGGAGCCTGCAAAGTGCGCAGTAGACCGTCGTACCGAGGCTGGAAAAGTAAGATCTACACAACTTGGCTAACAAAGGCAAGACTGACATGACAAAACCAGCACTCTCAACTATTTCCAATATAAGCCTTCTTCACCCTTCCCATCCCCAAAGCAACCGTTTTTGCTTTCTTATTTTGTATGAAGAAGGATAAAATTTACCAACGAGGTCGAAACCAATAGAATTCTGGCAGAGGAATGTGGTACACCTTTTTCCCCCGCATGAGGAGCGGAAGAGACGCTGCTTGGGGCCATGAAGGGCAAGGCGCCTCGTCTCAGGGGTGTTTCAGGTTCTCTCCTTCCCACGCTCGTCCCGGTCGTCTCGCCATGGCATCCTCATGATTCTGTAAATTTATCATTCTCATTGTACAAATCAATCATTCTTTCAATTTTATTGGCGATTCCTCTGTTCTGAATCTTTAATTATCCCAGCCTTGTGAGGACATTCTCGGGCGACGACCTTCTTGACTCAAAAAAGTTAGGTGGGGATTCTATTGCGCCGGCACAATTGGTGATCGTCGTCAACGAAGGAGCGAACGAACGCGAGAGAGAGAGAGAGAGAGAGAGAAAGAGGAAGGCACCAGATAACGCTGGCTGGCAACGCTGCGCGGGTTCATTCCTTCTTTTTCCAGAAGACGGACAATCGACGTAAGAGGCTTCGGAACGACAGAGCTGGCTCGACCACGACTGGATTTCGTCTTCGAAAACGGGATTCGTTTCTCACTGGGCCCTGGCGTAATTAATTAGAGAGAGAGAGACACACACGCACACACGCACGCACACAAAACAAGATGCATTTCACACGCCTCACTCTCCTGGCGGCCATCAGCACCGGCGTGGCGGCCTCATCCGCACCGGACATGCTCAACGAGATCCGGGCGAGATTCCACGGCGCCGACACGGTGTTGCTGCCTCGGCAGAGCTCCACGAACCTGCAGACCTTCTCGGGCGCCCTGGGCGGGATCACGGCTGAGCCTGTAAGTCACAATTTACTCCTCACTCTTGTCTTGTTTCTTAAAGACATTTTCAATTTGAAAGGGAAAAAAGAAGAGGGGGCAGAAGAGAGATCCACCCCCTCCCGGGTGTCCCCCTCCCTCTTTTCCCTTCTATATTCTTTTCCAAAGGGGACAAGAGAGGCACAAGAATTTCAGGGGAAAGAGCTACGCCTTTGGAACTGGAAAAGAACAGTGAGAAAAACAGAGGGAAAACGATCGCAAACCACTTTTCAAGTGAAAACTACCATTTGAAAGAAAAGCAGTCTATGAACAGTAGCTAATTTTGGTTCTTTCCTTTCCCACGCCTCCAGGTCACCAAGACAGACGACTCCAAGCGCCCCTTTGCCGTCGCCGGCGACACCTTCACCGACTTTGCAGACGCCGCAGGCCGGTCCTGTGACAACCAGATGAACAGCTGTGCCAGCATGGCCAACAGCGGCGGGCAGTCCTTCACCGTGAGTGACTGCAACGAACAAAATAGTGAGTAATTCATATATACAGTCCAACGCCCTTCCCCCCCCCCCTCCTCTGCCTCCCTTTCTCTCCCTCTCTCTTCTTTCAAAGCTATAACGTTACCGTTCCATCAGTATGGTCCTACTAATCACACCAAACCAGCCCAGTGCAAAGCCGACATCACCAACGAGGAGGTAGCCGTCAGCTCAGGCACGTCCCTTTCCACCTCAACGACGACCACGTCATCGTCCACATCCACAACGTCCACCTCAACCTCCTCATCCTCGACCTCCACGTCGACCACCGCTGTCGCTGCCGCTCCCGCCGCCGCCACCACCTCGGCCGTCACCACCACCGCCACCACCTCTGCGTCGCTTGCCCTCGTGAGCTCCAACGCCGAGTTCAACTTCTTCTGCGAGGTTTGAGAGAGAGAGAAAGGGGGGGGGGGGTCGGGTCGGTATGTTTGCCTGACACACGGCCGGGGTTGCTTCCAGGGTGTCGTGTGCTCAAGGAAGTGTTTCGTATGAGGGTGTTGATTTGTTCCTTTTTTTTTTTTTTTTTTGGTTTTAATGCTGGGACCACGGGAGGAGACGGCTCTTGAAAGGAGTCTGGGAGGGGAGACTGGAGTTATTATCGGTACGGCGTTTTCGGTCTTGCGTGGCGACGGCGATGCCCTATAACAACCCAGAATTTAAAGAGGGCGCAAATGATATGTATGTGATGATGGGTAGCCATGACGAGATGTTAGGCGTGCCATAATGGAATTCGTGTAGAAACTTGACCAAGGCGAACTTTTACTAAAGTCCTCAAAAGGTGAAGGGAGTGATATCAGGCTATCTATCACTCAGCCGTCTGGATGAACTATACCGGGGAGTGACGAGTCTTCATTGTAATGCAAACTTCTTGTCTAATCAACAAAAGCCCATACCAGCTCTCTGAAGTCATGCTCATACACCTCACTATATCTCACAGTCTTCTCAATGTCCCGACGGTATACTGTACACTGCCTGAATTGCGTGCTTCACCCATAGAGTCAGAAAGGAAAATGTAGTATTGAATATGTACGATACAGTATAACAGTCTGTCTCCACCACAATGCTCTCGTGCTCGTGCTCGCAGTTGAAGGCAGGGGTATCATTCTAGTGATGCAGTGATCATGGGTATGTTGGGCTTGTGTTCGCGTTTCTGTAATAAAAGGAAAGAAGAAGATTAGAAAAGGAAAGAAACAAGGTTACACAAACATGAACTATTTTTAATTCTTCCCTGAACAGCATCTTATCTCTCCCTCCTCTCTCTCCATCTGAACGCTCTCATATTGACAAAAGAAAAGTGGGTAGTATTATTAGGTGATCCGACATATGTAATTGCGAGGGTCGAGTTGACTGGCGATCTCACTCGTCGTCAAAGAATTCAGCATCGTCAAATTCGTCCTGCGTAAGTGCATCGTCGTCGTAAGACGCTAAGCGCATCATGGGTGGCGTCTGAGGTAGGCTCGGCTCGCTCAGCTGGCGGATGGGGCTGTCCTCGCGGGCCGGCAGCTTCTCAGCCTGCCGTTGCGACAAAGCCGGAGGCTTGGGCCTGTTTGCGAGATCCTGCGGCGTGAACCGACGGCCAGTAGCAGAAAAGGCGGTTTGCTGACCTGACGATGGCGCCTGGCGGAGGTTGGACTGAGGTGGGGTCAGCAGTCCCGAGAGGAAGCTGCTCTGCGACGGCGGACTGTCTTTCTGAGGCGTGGCAGTACTGCGGCCTGGTGCCGGCGATGACGCCCTGCCGTTGGTGAAGCTGACGCCCTTTCGCCAGTTGCCTAAGGCTGCAGCCAAGGGACCTACTGCCTGCACGACTCCGGGGGCGCGCTCACGCAGACTGGCGGCGATGTTCGGCAGATTAATATTCGAGCCGCCATTCACAGCTCTCTCTCGCTCTTGCTGCTCCATCTGCAGGTTAGCCTTGAGGCGGATAGCAGCATCACGCACGCGCTCCTGGTCGTAGTCGTCCCGGCCGAGGGCAGTGATGATATCCTGCAGGTCAGAGTGCCGAACAGCCAGAAGTTCACGCAGCCAGACAATCTCGTCATCACGCTTGGCAATCTTCGTCTCAGCCTCGGGGTCGAGCTTCGCGACGGTCTGCTCGAGACCCTCAATCTTCTGCTCGCGCTCCTGTAGCTGCTCCTGCAGGACCATGATGGATTCTCGGAGGGCCTGCGGTGAGATCTTCTCGGGAAGCTGCATGGCATGAGCCACAGCCTCCGACTGAGGTTGCGGCTGCGGGACGGGGTAAGGCTGTGCAGCGATTGGTACAGGAGTGGCGATACCAGTGACAGGCGTAGAAGCGATACCTGAGGCCTTGGCAGCTTGGGCGGCAGCACGAGCGGCTTCCCGGGTGATTTCGAGCTTCTCTTCGAGGTGGGCAACACGATCTTGAAGATGCTCGCACCTGGACGTCGAGATGCTCAGGCGCTCAAGGAGGTTAGACTCGCCGCGCTGTGCATCTTCCATAGCGTTATTGAGCTGCCGCTCGAGGCGGGCCTGCATGTCCTCCATCTCGTCCTGATGCTTCTGAATGAGCGCGTCGACGTCGCCCTTGCGATGCTGGCTAGCACCCTCCGCGAGCATATCGTATTGCGACCGCACGGTGTCGGCATCGAGCTTGGCTTGGTCAAGCTGGGCCTGCAACGTCGAGATCTGGTCCTCGAGCTCCTCGCGGACTATGTTGACCTGGTTATTCGCCTGCTCAAGCTGGCTTTGCATGGTGTCTCGAGAACGTTGGATTTCACGTGCCGCAGATTCCCGAGCCTCAGAGAACTCGGCCTGGTAGCGCATGGTGGTCTGCTGAAGCTTATGGTTCTCCGTCCTCATCTCTCCAAGCAGGACATCCAGCCTCTTGGCCTCGTTGACAGCCTTCATGCCTTGGCGTTCACCAGCCTCGAGTCTCTCGAGCTCAGTCTCCAGGCGCTCACGAGTACGCGACTCTGCCTGCAGCCTAGCGTCGAGTACTTCTTGTCGAGCCAGCATAGCATGCTCCCTCTTGACGCGACGCGCGTTTTCCTCGGCAATCTCGAAGGTGGCGCGTTCCATGTCCTGTTGCAAGGACAGGAACTTGGCCCGCCAACTCTCACGCACTCTCTCGTTCTCGTTCAGCTGAGTACCGAGTGTGTCGACGAGCACATGAAGCTGCTTCTTCTCTTCCAGGGCGTGGTGAAGATCATCGCCCTGGCGTTCAGACAGTTCAATGGCTCGCTCCGCTTCCGTCCTCCAGCGGGTCGCTTCCTGGCGGAGGTCGCGGGCATCAATTTCGGCAATCTCCACACGAGCCTCCAGGTCGCTTCTGTCCTTCTGGGCGTTCTCCAGGGATGCTTCGAGCAGAGCCAGGCGCATCTGGTTCTTGCTGTTGTTGGCATCTAGGATCTTCACTCTTTCGTCCTTCTCCTCGAGCGCCTCGCGTAGACGTACTTCTTCCTCAGAAGAGATGCGGAGGAGACGTTGCACCTCGGCAAGCCTGTCCTCAGCTGCCCGCCTGAGCTTGACCTCGCCCTCGACCAATTCCTCCTGGTGGTGCAGCTTGTCCTCGAGGTCAGCAACACGCTGGTCAAAGGCGCTGCGGTTGATGATCTCCACCTCGATTCGGGTCTCCGCCATGTGCAGCTGTCTCTCGACCTCAGCGGCTCGGTCTTCGACAGCCCTCCTGGAGGCAATCTCAGCAGAGGTCTTAGCCTCCTCAAGGTGTAGACGCTCTTCAAGATCAGCACAGCGAGCCGACAACTCGTTCATCTTCTCGGCTAGCACATCCCGCTCGTCTTCAGCTTCGACTACCGGTGCAGGCGGTGGTGGGGGAGGTAATCGGCTCTCAACGGCCTCTTCAACAACCGTCCGTAGATCCTCAGCTCGGAAGTCCAGGTGAAGGGACTCGCTGAATTGCTCTCTCATTTCCTCCATCGCCTTCAAGATAGACGACATGGTCTGACTAGAGGCCTCATCCAACCCAGCAGGTGCTGGTGGTAGTGGGGGCAAGGGGGCATTATCTCGCTGCTGCTGCTGCTGAGTTGCAACAGCTTCCATGACGGCAGCCCTGATCTGATCCATCCGCCTATCCTTCCGGGGGCTCATGGAGCGACGTGGGATAGGTTCATCGTCTTCATCGTCAGCATCGCTTTCCTGAATGATCTCAGCAGACAGACTACGACGCTCACGACGAGCTGGTGGCGTACGATCAGAGAACGAAGCCAAAGCAAGCTGAATACCACCCAGTGTCTTCTCCAGAGGGCCCAGACGAGCTTCCAAGACGCCATCGACTAGGTCATTAACCCGGCCATCGAAGAATGTGGCCCTGGAATCCAGTTTGTTTTGCTCCTCGTCACTAAACGCCCGTTCCCAGTCATCACTGGCAGCCTGGCTCTCGCTCGTTCCAAGTCGAGATAGTTGGGCGCTCATTGGGGGATCGACAAATGGGTCTTCCAATTCTGTAGAGTGTAGGGGCACCGTCGCCTTGAGTGGAAGATGGTAATGCCTGGGGCTGGGGCTTGGCGCGTTGTCTCGCAGATGCGGGTGGATATGCTTAGGAGACCCGTTACTAGAGACAGCGCCAGGTATCATGATAGGCCGCGCTGGACTTGGCTGCCAAAGAGGCGACTCGACGGTCTTCTTGACACCCATGGCCGGATCCTCGTTGATGTGCCGCATGACCTCGTCGATTTCTTCAAAGGTTGGTTCATGGAGTTCCTGATCCTCTTCGAACTGGATGGCTGGCGAACTGATAGGTCCAGAAGCCGTTCCCTGGGTGTCCTCGAGATCTTCAGCAGTGACAGAGGAGACTAGAGCCTCTCGTAGCTCCTGTGTCTCAGCCTCCGAGACTGCAGATGGCGACCTGGCGTACTTCGAGGCGGCCAGACCCTTGGCTGGTGAGACACTGGCAGCGAATCTGCTTGCGTTGAGGCCCATGTTGATAGGGGAGGGCGAGGGCGAGAATCTATCCTGATCAAAAGTGGCGTCTCCTCCGACGTCTTGGCTGATGACGAGCGACTCTTCAACCTCGATAGACT